GGCGTTATACGGCTGAGGAATAGCGAGCGAAGAATATCTCAAAGACTAGTCTTGAACAATAAAGCGAGACCGGGGGTTTCCAGAAGATTCAAGAACGTTGAAACTTCTTCTTACATTGCCTCCCCCTACGGAGACACTCGGATGCCTTCAAGTGCTGGCCAGTCATTCCTTTCAAAAATAATTCCCAACCCAAATATCCACCGCAAGGCAAAAATAGTCATTGACTTAGAGAGTACATGCATTTTACGAAAACCCGGCGTTACCAGCTTTCTCATTATAGATATCCAAGTTTGGAAGAACTCCTGGTCGGTTTACTTTGGATTAAAAAAACTATCAAACTATGCTTACTCATGCCATGGTGCCTTTTCTGCATTTCATAATGCTGCCTTGCGTCTATCCCATACTTCAACTCGGTATAAACGGCCCACGTTCCTTTACCGTGTAACCTCTGCGCCTGCTGTTTTGGTTTTTATCTGGTAGGTGCACTCACTTTTACGATAACCTCAGACACGAGGCGATGAAGACAAAGGTCAAGCCAGCTTCCCCGGCACTGACAGTTTCAACGCAAAAGAGCATCTGAAGGTTTGTACCATAAATACCATAACCCCTCGTTTACGCAACTACTCTACCCCTCCTCCCTATACTTACCGCTATCAGTTATTGGTTTCACATCTTGGGTCGCGCTGTCCACATCTATAATTAGCATGCCCTTCTCGGAATCTCCAGGGCTTGCACCTCCCAGGCCACCGTTCCACCCGCCTCTGATAGAACTCTCCAGCCCCAAAGCCATCCCATACAATGCTAAAAAGGGCGAAACCAAAATTCCCGAAATAACCCTATCGCCGTCGCCAGTGATGACGCTTGCTTCGATTCCCGACTTCGAGCCGCCAGACACCAGCGATAGCGACACCGGCTTCAAATCCTTGGGTGCGGGCCTTATCAGCAAGGCTGAGAAGCAGCGCAGACGGTATTCGGCCTTTGACCCGCTGTCTCCTAGAGACAATGCCGCCAGGCAGGCGCTCCGGACGCAGGCCCCCAGACCCAAGTCGGGGATCTTTTTCAGCGACTCGCCTGTGAGAGACCAGATGCTATACTACCAAGACTCCCTCAACTCACCCACAGTTCCTACTTTCGCGAGCCAGCGCCATAACCACCATAAGAAAATACCCTCGATGGCCTCGCTCAACTACACTCCGTTGTCCCCCGCTGTGACAGGTCCGCCGCCCATCAGCGAGCGCGCCAGCAGAACTAGTTCTCCCGTCAGGGCAAGGTCTCCAATGCGCTCCAAGTCACCTGTTCGCCAACCGTTCAACTTCCAGTCGCAGATGATGATGCACAACAACTCTTCGGCAAACTCCTTGACCGGGCACACGCGAACCTCCAGTAACACCGGTCTCAAACCGGCGCACCGCAAGGGACACAGATACAAGCACTCTTCGGTGTCGATGAATCTTTTCCAGGAGCCGAAACTGCGAGCAGACATCAACATCCCTGTGACGTTGCCGTTTCCAAAACTTGGAGAGATCCGGGGCAGCTTGTCGCATGAACAGAGCACCCAAGTGGCCTGGGGGCTATGGCACGTGCTTCTTTCGGCGCTTCTCTACCTCATCAACCGCCACACAGGTCTTCCCAACTTTGATACCCTTTCGCACTTGGTGTTTTACGATTCCGTTTCGATCATGGCGATGATCATCGTCAACGTCATGGGAAACTTTGACTGTTGGAACACATCGCTGATCAAGTATCCGTTTGGTTTGGGTCGTATCCAGGTGCTTGCGGGGTTTGCCTTGGCCATCTGGCTCAGCTTTGTGGGGTTTGACTTGTCGAACCACTGCGTGGAGGCGTATATGGCCGAGTTTGTGGTGGGCGAAGGTCATGCACACGATACACCGTCTGGTGGCCATAGCCACCACCACCATCATGCTCACCCTGACATGTCTGGCTATGACGTGGTCAATGGAAACCGTTTTGTATTCCTGTTCATGCTTTTGTTAACCATCTTCACCACCATCGTCTCGGCGAAGCTTATCAGAAGCGATTCCAGCCATAAAAGTTTGGCAAACATCGTGAGCATGAGCGACTTGAAGGTGACAAAGTGGGATAGACAGCAGCTCTGGGCGCGACTTTCCCAGAAGATGAACAACCCAGCCCACTTGTTAACCTTGGTACTCGCCGACTTGTTGTTACTCACGTATAACCCGTTCTATCCCTGTGCGATCAATGAAAAGATCATGGCTTTCACCATCGCAATCTTGATTATCGTTCTTGGGATCAAGCTCACGCACAAGCTTGGGCTCATCCTTATCCTCTCGTTCCCCGCGTCTGCCAAACAGTTTGACAGGCTTCTCCATGAGGTGGAGAACGATATCAAAAATTTGGACGCGTTCAAGTCGTCTACCAATTTGAGCGAGATCTTCATCACCAAGTTCAACTACAAGTTATATGTGATCGGGCTCAGGTTGAAGATGATCGGTGGGAGCGACCAGGACGAGTGCTTGTTGCGAAATGATATTGTGCGGTTGATCAAAAGACACTTGTCAGACTACGAAGAGCGGGTCAGTGGGCATAGGGCGCCTAGTGTGAGTAATGATGACTCGGACGATACCGGCGAGTGGGAAGACGTTGCCGAGGCCGTGGACAACGATGCATTTGAGATCACAGTAGATATTGATAGATTGTAATGACAAATGCTGAATTTATTATATATGTGGCGCAAAACGCTGTGGACGTGTGTCTATTTTCAGTGACATCAAAGTGATAGCTGAGACGCATTGTACTGCAGGTTGGAACTTGCAAGTACACCGTATAACCATTAAAAGAACTAAAGCGATACCGCATACGTATAGGTATAACCTAGACTTCACGAGCACCCTTATTTTAAGGCGATAAAAGTGCGCATTAGCGGAACAGTAAAGTACATACCAAATAAATCTAACCCCAGGGGTACTTCGGTTTGAGATAAACAGGTGCATATCAGGCCAGCCCGAAGGCGACATAACAGCATTCTTTTTATACAGAACATAATAGAACAGACCCTCCATACCATTTACATCTATAAACCTGCTTTAAACCAACTATTACTTCCAAAAAGCATTGATTAAATCTCCAATTCTTTGTATCCTCACGTGACCTTAATTACGCCTCAATGGGGAAAAATCATCACAGATTACAATGCCGGATGCGGCAGTTTGCAAACACGCAGCGGCGGCGTGGATACGATCCGTCTTGACAACAGAACAAAACCGCTTATATAAGACTCACTTCAGCTTTTACTTCTTCCATCTAGCTCTAAGGCACTAGCCACTATGTCATTTTTTAGATCCAAACACGAGGTGGAAGACTTGTCCCACTCTGTGGGTAACATCAGCGTCAATGACGAAAACTGGAATAGCTCACCAACCAAGTCGCTCGACAACTACGTTCCGATGGTGCAGCCGATGAGGCCGATGGAACGGTTCCAGAACACAAACTATGCGGGTCCACCGAAGGCGTACTATACACGGCGTCCGGACACGCTCAACTCCAACTTGGGGCCGGACTTCTACAAGAAGGCGAACGACAAGAAGACGAAGCGGCTAGTGACGGTAGCGCAGATGTACTTCTTGGACTACTACTGTGACATGTTCGACTACGTCATCTCGCGCAAGGAGCGCGTCCGCCAGGTGGAGCAACAGTTGAGCGCGATGCCACCTCAGGAACAGCAGGTACAGTGGAAGAACTACGTGGGCCGGGAGCGGGCGTTGCTCCGAAAGCGCCGCATCCGACCACAGCACAAGGACTTTGAGACCATCACGCAGATCGGGCAAGGAGGCTACGGTGAGGTGTATCTCTCGCGCAAGAAGGACACCCGGGAGATCTGCGCGTTGAAGATCCTCAACAAGCGTATTTTGGCAAAGCTCGACGAAACCAGACACGTGCTCACAGAACGCGACATCCTTACGAACACGCGTTCCGAGTGGTTGGTAAAGTTGTTGTACGCGTTCCAGGACCGCGACCGCTTATTCTTGGCGATGGAGTACGTACCGGGCGGCGATTACCGGACGCTTTTGATCCACACGGGGGTCTTAAAACCGCCACACGCGCGCTTCTATATATCCGAGATGTTTGCCTCTGTGAACGCGTTGCACGAGTTAGGCTATACGCACCGTGACTTGAAACCAGAGAACTTTTTGGTTGACCACAACGGGCATATCAAGTTGACCGACTTTGGGTTGGCGGCCGGAACCGTTTCTGACGACCGTATTGAGAGCATGCGCATCAAGTTGAACGCAGTCAAGGACTTGCAGTACAACCCGCCATCGCAGTCCATCCGTGAGAGACAGGAGTTGTACCAGAAAGCCCGGGCCAAGGATGTCTACTACGCGAACTCCACTGTGGGGTCGCCGGATTACATGGCGTTGGAGGTGTTGGAGCGCAAGAACTACGACTTTACCATCGACTATTGGTCCTTGGGGTGCATGTTGTTCGAAACGTTGGTGGGCTACACACCGTTTTCCGGTTCCTCCTCCGACGAAACCTACACCAACTTGCGCCGCTGGAAGGACGCGTTGCGCAGACCGAAGGACTCACAGGGCCGCTATGTGTTCTCCGATCGCACGTGGCACATGATCACGCGTTTGATTGCGTCCCCACTTGACCGTGTCCGCTCCTTTCAGCAGGTTCAGCAACAGCCGTACTTTGCGGAGGTGGACTGGCTGGCGGTGCGTACCAAGTCGCCGCCGTTTGTCCCCCAATTGGATGGCGAGGAAGATGCAGGGTACTTTGACGACTTTGACAACGAGGAAGATCTCAACAAGTACAAGGATGTGAAGGCTAAGCAAGAACAGGCGGAGCGTTTAGCTGAAACATTGAAGGGCGAGAACAAGCGCCTTATTGGGTTCACCTTCAAACACAAAGCCAATCCGAATAACAACTCTAGCGGGATCGTCGAGCCGCTCATAAACATCAGTCCTAGTCACAGCGGGTCCAATGATCCGTTGGGCACCCTCTACTAGGTTTAGATGGACAGTGTAGGTTGAATGTGCGGTGAAAATATAAAAAATATACAAGAAAAAAAATACAGTTACGTCTTCCGTCATGCAGATGGTGGGGGTCCTACACACATTCTATATGGTTTGAGTTGGTCTAGTAATCCTCTTTGAAACGCCATAAATGTGCCTATAATTATTCTTCCCCCTAGTTCTTTTGCTTGGGCTTATCCCTGATTTTCCAGATTAGATTTCTGCCCTAAGGTACGCAATTTTTTACTGATAGAGCAGCACTTTTCACTATGCAGTCTTGACGGCTTAATCCTACATGCTGCATCTCACCGTTCTTTTATACTGCGCCACACCTGCGCCACGCCCTGATTAGTAATCGCCGCACCTAATATGTGGCCAAATCTGCATTCAATTTACCGGTCTCTATTTGAATTCGTACAACATTATCATACCCACACAATACAAATTACACATGACGGAAGTAATAACCACCTCCATCAATCTCACAGCGCCCGAGCCCGAACATTGTCCCGGACCGGAGTCGGAAGCCGCTGGGCAGGCAGATGCTTGTGCGGGCTGCCCCAACCAGGAAATCTGCTCTTCCCAGACGCCGATCGGGCCTGATCCCGACATGGCGGTAATCAACGAGCGTCTTTCGATCATTAAACACAAACTCTTGGTGTTATCCGGGAAAGGGGGTGTCGGAAAGTCCACCTTCACGACGATGCTCTCGTGGGCGCTTGCAGCGGATGAGGACTTGGAGATTGGGGCGATGGACTTGGACATTTGTGGCCCATCGTTACCGCGGATGCTCGGGAACGTTGAGCATGAAACAATCCATTCTTCCAACTCTGGCTGGACGCCTGTGTATGTCAATGACAATTTGGCGATGATGAGCATTGCGTTCATGTTACCGGACCAAGACTCTGCCGTTATCTGGCGTGGTGCGAAGAAAAACGGTCTCATCAAGCAGTTCTTGAAGGATGTCGACTGGGGCTCCCATCTTGACTACTTAGTGGTGGATACGCCGCCAGGCACGTCCGATGAGCATCTCTCAGTGACGACGTACTTGAAGGAGAGCGGAATTGACGGCGCTTTGATCGTCACCACGCCCCAGGAAGTGGCGTTGCTTGATGTCAGAAAGGAGATTGATTTCTGTCGCAAGGCGGGGATCAAGATTCTCGGGCTCGTGGAGAACATGTCAGGGTTTGTGTGTCCCGGGTGTTCGAAAGAGTCTAAAATCTTCAAGCCCACTACCGGTGGGGGCGAGCTGTTGGCCAAGGAGATGGGCATTGCATTTTTAGGTTCAGTGCCGTTGGATCCGAGAATTGGTAAGAGCTGTGATAGGGGTGAAAACTTCTTGGATCTTTATCCTGATTCCCCTGCGAGTACCGCGATTTTGGACGTGGTGGATGCATTGAGGGATGCTGTTGAGTAGGCAGACGAAACTACCTTGAGAGTAATGAAAACGGCATTGCATGGTGATTACGGGAGTTTATTATAAACCGAGACTAAGGATAATTTCACGTTCAAATAGTCCTGTAATGTATCACGGGTTCAGACCCAGGGTGATTAAGTACTATGAAATGACACACATGCCTTTAGGCCTATATAAGAAACGTTATAGATATACCTGAAAAAGAAACACCCCCCCTCCTACACATTCCTCAAACATTCAAGCTTGTAATTCTACATTAATATACATCATATTTCGGATCTCAGGTTTAGTGCCCACCACCTGAGAGCTTTATTAGCCAGCTCTCGGGTAGTAGGCTCGCGCACTAACTGCGCTTCACCCGTTTCGCGGCAGCCTCACCCTTTTCCCCCCTCTTCAACGATATTTTCCCCTCAAATTCTCGCACCACACACATCAAGAGTGTGTGACACCGTCTGTTCAACTCCGCTGGGGTCCGTGACTGAAAGAAGAAATCAAACCGGAACAACGGTGACACGCGGATCGCATCCCTAAGCAACTCGTACAAGTCCGGTCTGTCAAGCCCAAAGCGGTACATCTGCACCAATAGATACCGGTCTTCCTCGTCTGAATAGACCCTTCTGCTGCCGGACGTTGACGGCGGAAACTGCAACACAAGATCCTGCAACGGCACCGGGTATTGCGCCACCTTCCGTCTCAACGACTCCATCTGCAACTTTAACTTGCGGAGCTTCTCCTCGCCGGTCTCGATCTGCGCAATAAACCTCTCATGCCCGTCAATCTCTCTGTAGCGCTTCCAGAACACAGTGGCATACTCATGAACTTCCGCCGGGGTCTTGTCCTCTAACTCGCTCGCAATCGCGTGAATATTGTTGCGTCCATAGCGCGCACACATCTGGATAAACACGAGGAACTCGCGGCGCGCCCAATACCCGAAGCCCTGCTCGAGCAACTCCGCCTTCAACGCCTCCTCTGCCTCCGTCAACGGCCGCGACGCACGGATCTCCTGCTGCTCCAAGAGTTGCTCTTGCTCACGCTCCTCCAACGTGGACACTGGCCCGTCCACCAATGGCACCACGTAGCCCGTGCCCTTTCTAAAGTGACTCTTCTCCATCTCGTGTAGTTCGAAGAGCTGCGCTGGGTAGAATTGGTGATCCGCGGCGTTGAGTTGCTTGGGCGGTCTGGGTCCGGTCTTGACCCCCGCCGTACGACCGCCGGTGTTCAAGATGTCCTTGTAGTACAGATCGATGGAGTAGTTTTCCTTCCGCTCGCGCTTCGCAGGGTTGTTCCAGGAGAAGTCGACGTTTCCAATCCCGGTGATCTCTTTCTTCTTGAACGACTGCCCGTTCCATTCATACACCGACTCCCCCGAGTTGGAGAAGTTCTGCAAGTCATCCAAACCGAGTGTGGCATATTTTGACGCCAACGTCGCGGTTTTGGTCTCGGATTTTGCAAGAATCCGCTCGATATCATCGTCCGTCTCGCCAGCACTTTGACCGAACACGTCTACTGCACCGAACTGGATCATTGACAACAACTCATCCTTGGAGTTAGCCTTGGTTTTGGCCAATTCGCCGGCATTTCGGCCCTGCTGGATAACCAACTGGTCTAAGCGCAACTTCTGGGTCGCCCTCTCCAAGACCTTCTCTTCCACCGCGTTTTCCGTCACAAACCGAAACACCTTGACCTGCTTTGTCTGGCCGATTCTGTGAGCACGGTCCATCGCCTGCAAGTCCGCCTGGGGGTTCCAATCGGAGTCGTACAAAATAACAACGTCAGCAGATGTCAAATTGATCCCCAAACCACCAGCTCTGGTGGTGAGCAAGAACGCAAACTTGTCGCTATCCGGCGCGTTGTAGTCATCGATGGCGGTGACTCTATCCGCGTGGTCCGTCAGCCCGTCGATCCGCGAATACTTGTAGCCTCGGAAGATACAGTAGTCCTCCAAGATATCCAACATTCTTGACATTTGCGAAAAGATCAAGACCCTGGACCCATCCTGTCTCAAGCGCTTCAACAACTTGTCCAAGACCTTGGTTTTGTTCGCGTTGTAGACAAGGTGTTCGTCCGTGGTATACGGCGGGCCTGGCTCTGCCCCGTCAAAGAGGTATGGGTGGTTGCAACACTTGCGCAACTGCATCACGATGTTCAAGAGGCGGGTCTTGGATTCTTTTTTTCCGTTGGTGCTATTCACTGCGTCAAGGTCCTTCTCAAGGATCTTCTGGTACCAAGTGCGCTGCATCTCGCTCATCCCGACGTAGAGGTTGATCTCCTTCTTCGGGAGGAGCGATTTTTCCACGTCAGATTTGATTCTTCTGAGGAGGAACGGCTTGAGGACCTTGTGGAGCTGTTGGATAATCGAAGACGAGTCTGTGGCCTGTGCGGGACCCGAGCTCTTCCCAGCCTCTCCATCAATGGCCTTAACGGATTCGCCATTTTTTACGACTTCACCGTTCGAAGCATCGGTGGTAGCGTCTTTCTGAAACCACTCATCAAACGTTTCGCTATCCGCAAAAACGTCTGGCAAGATAAAATTCAACAACGCCCACAATTCGTGTAAGTTATTCTGCAACGGTGTCCCGGTAATAAGCAACCGGTTCTTTGAATGAAACATCCGAATAATCTGCGAAAGAAGTGATTCCTCGTTCTTAATCCGGTGCGCCTCATCAATCACAATGTATTCCCAGGCAAACTTCTTAAACGAAGCCTTCTCAATAATCACCACCTCGTACGACGTGATAACAACATCAAACTCGCACTTCATCATCTGGTTCTGGATGATCGCCTGGCGTTGGTCCTTGTCTCCTTGCAAGATCAATACGCTCACCTCTGGAGTCCACATTTTAAATTCCCTCGCCCAGTTGTCCAATGTGGACTTTGGCACAAGCACCAAGTGCGGCCCCGGCACGCACTTGAGGTATCTGAGGTATCCCAAGAATGAAATCGTCTGCAACGTCTTTCCCAAGCCCATCTCGTCCGCAAGAATTCCCGACAAGTTGTTCTCATGAAGCGAGATCAACCAGTTCAAGCCCGCAATCTGGTACGGTCTCAACTGACCGTCCACATAACCGGGCGATTCGGTAAACTCAACAATCGTCTGCCCCTCCTTCTCGTCCTGGAGCAACTCGGCATCTTCCTCTTTCTCAGTCTTGCGTCTCTTGGTACCCTTTTTAGCCTCGAGCACGTCGAGTACCTTCTGGAACTCGGGGTCCTTCGCGGCCTTTGCATTGATAAAGTGCGAGAACAAGCCCGTGAGCCCGAGGAGGTACGCGAACCGCTTTGCCGTTTCGTCCACGTCGAGCTTATGGTTCTCTGACGTTACAAAGTACTTCTGCGTGCGGTCACGTTCGTTGAAGCGCGCCTGGTAGCCCTTGAACTCGGATAGGTTATACTCTGGGGTTTCGAACTAGAGGTGTTAGTGGTGATCACAGGCTAAACCGTGGTACATACTCTCGACGAAGGCACCAAAGAATCGTCGCGTGAGGAGGCCATGTCAGGCGTCCCTGGTAATTCGGGCATGGTATTGATGGATGGTGTAGAGTGCGGTATTGGGGGGTGGGAAGAGCAAAGTCGCGTTTAAAGCAACAGCGGCGCGAGCGCGTCGATCGGGTGGGTGAAAAATGTGAAGCGCGTCGCGCCAAAAAGGGAAGGAGGCTTGTGTTACTGCTTAAACAGGAAGGCTACACCGTGTGGCTTGCCGGAGTACTGTAAACCAGTAGAAGTTTACATTGTGATATATTGGTGCGATGTCTGGGATTTTTCCTTAGCTATTGGTTTTGGGACAAGTTCTCCGGCGTTCAGATCCGGCCGGGGAATGCATATCTACGGTTCGGAACTGTGCAGATTGTAGCCACTTTGAGGGTTTCTATGAAGGTGACTAACAGTATGCACTGGATAGAGTGCAAAATGGGGTCGTGTAAATCCCAGCTTTTGTATGGTTGTGTCGGTACTAAAGTATACGGTGAATGTTCATAGATTAGATATAGTGAGGGTAATATCCTATTTGGAGGAGTTTGGATTGTTCCTGAACCCGAGTATTATAAATTAACAACTGACTTGAAATTCTTACCGAGCTTATAGTAGTTTGACAGATACACCATAGATTACGCTTCTACCTAGCAAGATTAACAAAGATGAATACACTTCCATGCTTCTCCCAACTGCTAGTGATATATGTCCATGAGAAAAAACTTTTATTTTTTGTTCAAAAGCTAGATCTGCGTATATCAAACGTGCTTGAAGTTATGGACGGGATATCTCAGATATTAAATTAAGATGTCGGTCCCTTAAAGTAAAATACGCGAAGGATAAGGACCCCGACAGTGGAGAAACTCCAGTGAATCAGGTTTCTCGCTTTAAGGGCTATCAAAGCAGATGGATATATTACCGCATTAATAATAGCCTTCAACCGCCCCGGGTATTTCTCATCCAAAAACAGCTTCTTTCGTTCCATACGTCAGTACTACTTCTGATCCAACATATGTCCCATCTTCTCAATCTTCGTCCGCAAATACCCATCCACCTCCTTCGACTTAATCCCCCCGCCCAACCCTCTCCAGGCCAATGGGACCATCGGAACTCGCTCAATCACCCGCACCTGTCTCTCGTTTCCCTCCACGGCGATAATCTTGTCTGGGTTGTTTGTCATCAACTTGATCTCCTCCAAGCCCAAATCAAGCAAAATACTGGTCGCCAACCCAAATGAGCGGCCGTCAGCCGGATGCCGCAAGAGTAAATTCGCCTGGACGGTATCGGCACCCAAGTCCTGCAAGTTGTACGCCTTCAACTTCTCGCCTAGCCCAATGCCGCGCCCCTCCTGTCTCAAATAGACAATCACGCCCCTGCCCTCACGGCCCATGAGACGTCCGGCTTCGTCAAACTGCTCACCGCAGTCGCATCTGGCAGACCACGCGGTTTCGCCGGTGTAACACTCTGAGTGGATCCGTGCCAACGTGGGGTCGCACGCTGGCTTTCCCTCTCTCAACCTCTGGATCTGCTCAGCTTCACTGATCAGGCTTCTGAGATTCACCTCCCCGAGAAGCTCACCTGTGGTTTCGTCAAACACCAACTTCAATCCCATCTTTGTGTCCTCGTTCGCGTCGGTCCGCCCTGGGTAGAGCTTGCCCACGTACGCACCACGGGTCATCCGGTCCTGGCTGGGCTCGTTCGCCCCGCGCTGACGGAATAACGTCTTTGAGCGGATATTCTCGCCAAACACGATTGCAAGGTGTTCCTTCTGATCTATGTCGTTAGCGTACAAGTGCAAGTAAATCTCTGTGTCATTGGTGGTGGGGATGCGTGCGCGTGCAATGCACTCGACCTGCGGCAACGGCGGGAGTTGTGCGCGCTTCTGGCAGTCCTCGGGCGAGTTGAGTGCGGGTGGAAGCTGTGGCAACGGCGTCTCTGAGCCTCCCCTCGAAGTCGGCCTCAACGAAGGCGAAACGGTCGTCAAGCCGTCAAACATCGTGGCCCTTTCCACGCGGGGTATCTCCACTGGTGGGGTATAGGCGGCCTGGTTTAACTGAAATAACGGATTGGACATGTATGTGGAGGTATGGAGATGTAAAGAAGAGGCTGTAATGGGTCAGATAATCTGTGATGTGCGCCGTTATATATGCTAGTGATGAGTGAGGGCGTGGATTTTTCAACCTCATCCGTCTCGATGGGAGTTGGTACCAGGATCCGGCAAGGGCACGTGACTTATAGTCGCCTTATAAAGATATTAGTAATTGAGCCGCTGGTCCTGCACGCGCTATTTCTCAGAGGCGTAACTCCGGAGGTTCCTCCCCAGCGAGTGCCGAGTACGAGCCGAGGGTCTGTTTATATATGTTTAAGGCGGGTTAATTTAACCGTTACGGTTCAATGTACATGGGGTTGTGCTGGGTGTAACTAAGAGTCTATAAGGCGTTTATGTTTACAGGTGCATGCTAATCATGGATGTAGGGGCATTGTATCGGATATTGGTTTGAGTTTTCGGGTCTGGCCTTTAGTAAGCAGTGTACATTTCGTCTCTCACACGGCTGTCTGACACGGCTTCTGACAAATGCTGCACTTCTCTTTTTTTTCCTCCAACGGTTTACTGCAGGTCACAGAAGAGACTGGTAATCAGTTTTGTGAATACAAGAAGAACGGACAGTATCCGAGGTTTAGAAGACTCTAAAAAGGGGAGGGTTAGTAAGCACTGTGTCATATGGCTACTATTGGGGAGAGAGGACATGGATTTTTGTAGATTGTACATTGGTTAGATAATTTAAGAGACCATGTTTTTTTTAGCAATCTGCTGCTGAATAGTGATGGTGTCCATGGCGATAAGTAATCAATGGTTATTGATTATAATACCTTACTTGTCCTTTCGTAGGTTTATCAAGTCCTGAATGTGTATACAGTGTGTATATTCGTTAATAAGAGTGAGAACCGCATACGCCTTTTTTTTTTGTAGACGGCTAGTTCTTCCAATTGTTTTTGAATATACTAAAATCTCTTAATCATTATTTGATATTTGGTGCGCATTATGGAATTCTACGGGCACGAAACAATCCTGTGGTGCTTGTGTGCTTGGACAGATTTCAACAGACCGATCATTTAACTCCAGTCTGTGAACAGGGATTTGCTGTCGTATCAAATACCTAAGCTATAAATAATGGTCCCAAATACCTGGATAGCCAGCACCCTTACAATTCATAATCTAATTAAACATACTATACATAAATCACATACCAGAGTACTTTTCTAAATATCAATTTCGTTGGCCACCTCACGGCGCAGGGCTACGCGGTCGAGTTGTTTGCGGACATAGCCCGCGTCGCTCGCGCACAAAGGAAGGCTCAATAAGCTGTCAGCATGAAGTTCTGTGGGATTCTCAAGACACCTATCGGCAACCTTTCGGGCCATTAAGTTGGCTGCGACAGTGATCTGGAAGCTCCCGAGCTTTAACACGGGGAGGTTTGTAAGCAAGTCAGTAAGGGCCTCACGGTCATCCCGCAATACCTGGATGTACGCAGCGTAGACTCCTGCTCCGGATGACCAGTGGACGATTCTGCCTCTGTTGGCGAACCTATCAAGGAGCTGCTGGAGGTTATCCAAATACTTTCCGCCCGAAATGACAGCATTTGGCGCCACGTTCTCAAGGATCGTGGCGTGGGCCTCGGCGTAGTTGCTCGCATCGAGAAGCGCCGACGCCTCGTTCCAGTAGTCGCCAAAGGATCTGTATTTGGCTGCAATAGCCTCGTCGATTAAGCGTCTTGGGACGTGCAACGTGTTCACAAGCGCGTGCTCGTAGTGGAGCGACTGGATGTCATCGATTCTGTCCATCACCACCCTCGTGATGTGGGTATCCACGTCCTCGTCGCGGTTCATGTGGGACAACACAAAGACCGCCTCCTGGATGAGGCTGCTGTTCTCTAACTGTTCCGCAAACTCCAACGACAAAGCGTCGCCCAATGTCGCGTCAGCACCTTTCACAAAGGTGAACACAAACCATCTCAACTCCACCGGAACCGCATCGCTAGAAAGAAGGGTCGTAGCGGCAGCCATGTCATCTCTAAACACATACAACTTCATCGCAGAGAGACACACATCGGTAACGCCAGAGGTGTCAATGGAGGCCAAACATCCCTCAAACGTGTCCCTTAACGTCTGGTTGAGGTCACCATAGTAGAGCTCCAAGCCTATGGATACCGACCACGCCAAGCCCTCGGTGACATCAATATATGTGGTGTTGAAAACGTCCCCGGTGAGCAACTGATAGATTTTGATAATTACAGGCGCAATGTAGGCTATAGCACCGGTTTCCTTCCACACCGCAAGCTGTCTGGTGGCCGAATACTTTACCGAGGCATCATTTGACCCGAGAAGCGAGATGAGCACCGCCAAGTGTTTGTTGTTACCCTGGATGGCGAGCTCCACGGCCTTGTTTAGGTCGTTCGCGCACAAGTGGCCGAAGATGGTCTCCAACGAGTCGCTCTGCGCCAACATTCGCGTTACGGTCTGATTGTTGAAGTCATGTATCCACATGGTCACGAGCTGGCGTCTGTAGAGAGCCGCCACGTGCTCTGCTACCTCTGGAGTAGCTTGGCTACGGGCCTCCTGGACATCGGCCGAGGTCATGAGACACTGTTGGTCAAACAACTTCGAGCACAAGCGCCAGAAGTAGTCGTAGTCGCTGCGGGCGTCGTGAAACCGCACGAGGTCGGTGAAGGAAAGCGCCGAGGCTTGGATCTTGGGAAAACCGCTGTTGCGCTTCAAGATCTTGGCGCGGGCGATCATCGTCTGTAACTTTGCGGCAGTGGTTTGGGGGCTAGCCAATCCTCTAAGAAGGTTCTCGGAAACCTCATCATCCTCAATCTCCACCTGGGTGCTCTCAAAGTGGCCGAACAAGATGCGGTCAACATCTTCCATGCAGATGCGCGGCTTTGCGGAAACGGGTCTGGCTTCGGGGGCAAGGGATGAGTGCAAGTGGGAGGACATTTCCAATTGGGCAGACCAATCGTCCGCCACGAGCACTGACGGCTGAGTGTCAATGTCAAAGACGGAAGGGTGCAACACTGGCTCAAACGGCTTTTCAGCCACAATGTCGTCCATGTTCACGTCGCTGGTGGCGAGAGCCTTGACTAACTGGAAATCTGTCTCAAGCTCTTCCATAGGAGTTGCGGGCGTTGAGACCCGGCTGTCGGGCTGTCTCTTGGCGTTTACCAACTGCCTGGCAATTTCGTTCTGGATGTCCATGTTACGATTCACCACCGAGAACTCGTCTCCTTCAAGATTCAACTCCCAACCGCCGGGAACGGCGGTGGCGGGGTGGAAGTCCATTTTCTGTCGCTTCTGTTCGTGGGTGTCGAAACTGTCGTCCATGACCGAGTCCTCGTCCCGCTTGAAAACGCCGCTTTTCTCCAATTTATCAAACTCCTGCTCTGCCTGGGCCTCCATCGCGTCTTGGCGCTGCTTCAACGCCTGGATCTCCTCGTCCGCATCGTCCACGATACCCCAGACGCTAAAGTGCTTAACCTTAAAGACCCAGATCCCGGTAGTGGGGTCGTAGGTGACAAACTCCATGCCGCGCTGGTGCTGGAGGCTCTTGGTGAATTCGTGTACACGCTTGGGATTTTTGGGGAACACCTTTTCGATGGTGATGGTTGACGGGATGTTCAATTCCTGGCCCATCGGTGGTTTCTCATCCGCGGAAATGTTGGAGTATACCTGGACATTCTTGGTGTTGAACTTCACAATGTTGTCGAAGAGCTTGCCTTCGATGTCTTCGGCTAGCTTGGTGATGTCCACCGGGTAGTTGAAGCGGATGCTGCCAAACCCGACCCTCCCGACGATGAAGTTCTCCACGTTGGCTAACTGCTCCATGTTCATGGATGATAAATCTGCAACCGAGGGGGAGCACCAGTAGTCGTTGTGTTTGGGGGCTTCCTCAATTTCCACGCTGATTTCATCGTTATTTTCCGGTTCTGGCGTCTCCTTGACTTCTTCAACCTCCACATCATCATCACTTTCCACCAATGCATTGCTTCCTTCGTATGCGATCCGTCTTCTCTTGATCAACACCTCGTTGGCGTCGATGAGATTGAACTTCGAAGGCTGGTGCTTGATCACCAACTTCTTGATGTCGGACGCATCGGCGTAGCTCTTAGCCGTCATCTTGCGGAGGGCATACGACTGGAACTTTGTTACGTTCGCCACAGGCTCAGTCCCGAAGCCAAGATTGAAAGAGAAATGCGGCGAGAAGCCCGCAGCGTTGGATTCTAGTGCGTTCGCAATGTCGTGGGTGTTGGTGGTTGTAAACAAGCCCGGGCCTTCCTCTCTACTTTTGGATTTGGAAAAGAAGCGCAACGTGTTGCCCAAGCGGTTCAAGAGCGAGCCGCTTGTCGAGGCTGTGCCTTCGCTTACCGACTGGCGCTTGCGCTTTGCGTGGCCTAACGCGAATTCGCTGACAGGCGGGGTCGCAGCGGTTAATGACTTTGGCATAGTTTCAATCTTTGCAGTGGGGATCGCTGTTCCGTAAGTGTACGGGTTCTGGGTGGTGGACAGAGTTCCAGAGTTGCCGAACGTCCCAGACGTCCCAGAGCTGTTTCCAAACATACCTGAGGATACCCCAGTGGATCTATTGCCAAACAAACCACTTCTGGAAGTGATAGAGCTATTCCCAAACATGCTAGGAGCAGTGGCTGAGTTGTTTCCAAATGTGCTAGGAGCAATGGCAGAGTTGTTTCCAAATGTGTTAGGAGTAGTGGCAGAGTTGCCCCCAAACATACCAGGAGCAGTGATAGTATTATTGCCGAATCCAGAGATGGTCGTGGCACCAGTCCCAGTGGTCCCATTGGAGTTGCCAAACATAGACGTGACCCCATTGGAGGCAGGAGTGCTACTAGCGCCGAATCCGGTGTTGGTGGTACCATTGCTAACGGCGTTAGTATTAGTACCAAAGGTCGATGCACTATTATTGTTGCTACCAGTGTTGGCGCTTGCAGTGCCAAAGAGATTGGTCAGGGTGGCATTGTTTGCGATCTGGGGGTTAGCGCCAAACGCGTTTGTGTTTTGGCCAAACGATGTATTAGAGGGCTGGGCCGCGCTCCCAAACATCGAGCCTCCCGAGTTCTGTGTCTGGCTATTGCCAAATATATTGTTTGAGGTATTGGAAGACCCAAACATGATACTCGTGAAGGGATGGTTAGCGTAGGGATCGGGGTTATTATCAACATCAGTTCAACTTTTTATGATCGGCTTTGCTATGAAAAAATGGATGTCAGGGCTCATATGCTGAGCTAAATCGAGGCGAGAGAGCACTTTCAAGTCTTGGAATTAGTGACGATCCAAGGAAAATAGTAAGGTATGATAAAATAAAGAGAAAGTACTTTTTTGAATATATATATTCTTCTACTGGGGTACATTCTTTTGGGAGCCCTCGTCTGCTCCAGGTGGTCAAAAAGCTAATGTATGCGATGCACCGGATTACTGTAATGTTTTGTGTGAGAGGACAGTTACAACCTTTACGGCTGGACCGGTTTGTGATTACCATGACCATAGCCTTATCAATTCCCTCACCGATATACCTCTACCCGTTAATAGTATTTATGTTTTATCCAATTGAGCTGAATAGAATAATTTGATACCGTTGCGTAAAAATATAATTTATTACCGGTAATATTTGAATACCCGGCCCCGAAGCCTTGGTCTGGAATAACTACATGCAGGAGGCTACTACATGAAGACAAAACTTTCCCTTCCTTCTTCTCCCTCTTACTGGCCACAAATGTCTTTAGATACTCCCATTGCCCAACTATTGGCAAAGTACACTGCCAGCTTGCCGCCTTGCTGTTTGAGAGTCCATCCGGAGCACAAGGATATCATTTTTCTTGGGACGTACGATCTCCAGAAGGAGTCTGGCCAGAGGTTAGGGTCGGTCGAGGTTTTGCGGTACGACGTGGAACGGGGGAATATCACGCTTCTTAACTCTATTCCTACCCCTAGTGCGATTCTTGACCTCAAGTTCAATCCCTTCAACAGCAGCCAGTTTGTGACCGTGCACTCCACGGGGAACATGACGGTGTGGTCCACCAGCGACGAGTTGGTTATTTCGCAGCTCCACAACGCCGAACTATTCGACGATACTAACCTCATCACTTCCGTTTTTTTCTCACCAATCTTAGAAAACCAACTCTGTGTGACGCTCACAGGCGGTGAGGTTGCATTATTGCGGCTAGGGCCCGCGGGTGTGGTGGTAGAGATGCAAGCTTTTTCCACCACCCACGATATGGAGAGCTGGACCTGTGCCTTTGGAGGCTTCCAGGGGTTGGAGAATGTGGTCTTCTCTGGGGGAGACGACTCCAAGTTGATTGCTCACGATATCAGAACCGCCGAATACGGCACTCCTATCTTCCAATCTCGGAGAATCCACGATGTGGGGATCGTGGCGATTTTGCCCGCTACCCCGGGAACTAACGGCAGGGATTCCTGGAGGGTTGCCAATCCTTACTCCCTCTGGACCGGCTCTTATGACGATAATGTCAAGGCTCTTGATTTGCGCGTACTTCCTCCGCAGGAGTTGATTCCGTCCATTCCGCCGTTGGTGAAACAGGCGAATAACTTGGGTGGCGGGGTATGGCGTTTAATCCCGTCGCCACTCCAAGATGACGACAGAGTGTTGACGTGTTGCATGTATGATGGAGCCAGGATCTTAGAGCCGGGCCGGGGGTTGGCGCCGTCGCGGTATTTTAAGGGCACCCACGAGAGCATGTGTTACGGCGGTGACTGGTCTCCAGATGCGGATTATGTTGTGACCTGTTCGTTTTATGATAATGTCGTGCAAGTGTGGAGTCCGAGCTCTGTCGAGTAGCCTGTAATATGTACCGGGAGGATTGAACGAATTTGAATTTCTGGGAAAATTGCAAGCCAAAGGCCTAACAGAAATCATTTGGTCGTAATTTTCCTTCCCGGACTCGGCCCTTGGATATGTTACCGTTTCTTGACCAGTTTCTAAGTTTACTTATTAAGGTTATTGGATTCTACTCGTGGTACCGCATGGCAAAGGCTATTTTGGTATGCCAAGGGAGTATAAGACGCTTTTATATGGAAACGCATATTCGGTCTACCAGCAATTTCCCTAGCAATTCAACTCGGTATATATGCATACATAAAGCAAATCCGCATTTTAAAGATATAGCCTACATCTTAAAATGTATTCGTTCTAGTACAAACAGTATTGTCAAGCTGACTCAATTCTAAAACGTGGGACCTGAGATTGTCACCGCACTGAATGAAAGTTCCAGACCCAAAATAGTAGAGTGATACAGGTATGAAGTCTCCTGTAATATTTACAGACTCGATTCGGTATCCTCAACCTTCCGCCAACCCCGTTACTCCATAAGCACAAGCCACAATAAGAACTACAGGTGACGGCTACTATAGACGAGCCAATGAGGATTTAAATTTATCGTCACTGTAACCCACTCATTTCATCCCTTCCATAATCCGACACCCGGCTAATTCAACACAACAAGCAAAATCATCAAGATCAACGCCAACACAAGGATCGTCCACCAATGGGCGTTATTCGAGGACAGCATCAGGGTAAACCGGCGCAAACCGGCATGACCCTTAACCAATTTGCGCCCTGTGCTGTCGAGCTGGGCCTCTATGTCATCTAGCATGATGTTCTGCTCCCCGAGCTCTTCGTTGATGTGCAATCCCATCGTTCGCTGCTTGTTGATCGACGCCGAGAGCGACTCTAACCGACTGTCCTGGTGGATCATGTGAACCTGCTGCTGCTGGAGGATTTCCTGATTTGGAGTATCCTGGTATGGGTGGTGTATGATTGTGGGCTCTAGCCCGGTGTTTCGGCCGTCAAAGAGGTACAGCTCGGACTCGTCGTCCCGGTACGGCTTGAACGAGGTTTCAGTGATGTGCAACGGCTCTTCCTCAATAAGGTTGTCCTTGAAGCGGACAGATTTTGGTGTAGAATTTGCCGTGGTACCGGTTTTCGTGTTGTCAAAGCTCATATCAACCGTGTATTCAGAGGTGTTGATGTCATCGACGAGCTTGTGGAGGAGCCCGTCATACTCCCTGGATTTGTCCTCTAAGGTGTGCATCTGCTTTCTGAGATAAGCAACCGACGTTTCGCCTTTAATTTCCTCGTCCACGCTGTTCTTTGCCGTGTTTAGGGCTGTCACAACTTTTGCAAGCAATTGATGCAATTCCATGTTCTCGAGCTTCGAGGGTTTCACGTTTAGCAATGTGAGGCGCTCACGCTCTTCGACGAGCACAGCAAGCTGGTCGAGCAATATTGTTATCCGTGCGGTGGAAGGTGGCATTCTAAATCTGATTGGGTGGTGAGGGTGGGACAAGCGTGGAATGGATGCCGGCGGCTAAATTTATGGAGGCGAAGGAGGAGCGCCGCACGCTATCGCCGATAGCCAAGCCTTAGTGAGAATGGACTTGCGAGAGCGGGTTTCAAGACAGCCTAAAAGCTGTGCCGGTTATATATACATTTCACATAGTATAATATAAAAGATTAAAGTATAAGTAATACAGGAAATTGAAGTATAAGAAATATAAAAGATTAAAGGATATAGACTGATAGGGGTGTGTATTGATGTATTAGGTCATAGTAAAGACTAGGGTTCAAAGTAGCTCAGCCCCTCAACGATGGACATGGGTTTGAACCGTGTGTGCGCGTTCCCCAGCGCCTTGACGCCGTTCATTATTAGAAAAACGTTATCCATGCCTTGAAGTGACTTTTTTCTGTTATATTCCTAAAGTCGATTAACTCTCAAGAATATAAAGTTCTGAACATACCAGACATCTGACGGTTTCCTTGTAGGGTAATCATGATGGTACGGAATATTCGAAAGTAAGCGCTATTTTCTATTGTTTCACTGGTTAAACCTCAACCAACAGCGGTAGACCCAGGTTCTATCCCAGCTAACTGTAAGTTTTGTATCTTTGCTCTTAAATCCTGCTCCATCGCCCTCGACCACTGTCATTGTCAAAATACCGAACCCATATTCTTTCAATCATTTATTATCGATTGATTTCTGCGTTGATTAACTTCGGTAGCATTCTGTATTTCTCTAAGCTTACTCCATTACCCTCCGATCCCGTAGCTCAACCTTATATACAATATCTACTACCTGAACAATCTAACATTCAACGTTAACCATCTGCGTACCAATTCATAGTTATACGACACCAATCCTTCAAACTTAATTAAATCTAAATTACCTACCCTTACAAATCTCTGGTGAAATCGCATATCTATCTATTGTACAATAAGTCCACCGTCTCTAATCCCTTCTCTTCTTCGCCGGCTTCTTCTCCAACTTCTTCCACAACTCCTCAGTCTCGCTATCTTCCTCTTCCTCTTCTTCGGTCTTTCTCTTTCTGGAAGTGTGCTTAACCGCAACCTCCTCGACCGGTTCGTCATCTTCCAAAAACCAAACGCTGCTGATCTTGGACCCAATATAGACCTTAGCAACCAACTCTCTGGATACAATGTCAAACACTCTCAAGTAACGATCCAACCCTCCAGTGGAGATCAAACCGGACTCAAAGTCAGCGTGGAGCGCTTGGATGGCACCCACCGCACCGGGGAACTTACCCACAAGTCTGCCGGTGGTCATGTTGTACTTGGCAGTGGTGGTGTGGGAATCCGAACAGATGATCTCCTCGGAATTAGGTGTTGAGGTCAACGTAAGCAACGGCTTTTCCGACACCTTGATGTCCTGGATTGGTTTTCTGCCGTTAGAAGTGACATACTTTCTCAACTGGCCGTATCTGGTGATGGTTGCAAGCTCCCAGTGCTTTGGGTCCGCACTGGCGACCGGGTCAAGGAACATAATCTTCGAAATCCACACCGGTACCCTCAAGTCCAAGTGGTCGTTCTTGACGTTCTTTGCCTGGAAAAGTTGAGTGATCTTGACGTCTTCTGCCTTGGTCTTCTTGGAAATGGACAATTTAGTCAACTTGTTATCATTGGTAATCGAGACAACCTTTAAATCGTTGTCCTTACCACCATACGCAAACACGGCTTTCTGTAACGGATGGTTGATGAAGGCACTCAAAGGGCCCCGCAAGTTGATCTTCACCGGAGGCAAGTCAAATTTACCGCCGTTTGGATCGATAATAGTCACCAAGCCAGATTGCGTAGCAAGGTAGATGTGAGTTTCGTTGAAGATAAGCGCAATAAATGGGTCGGTCAAGGCTGCAGACAAGGCCTCGAATTTCTTTACAACTTCGTAGGTTTCAAGATCAATCACTTCCAATGTACCGGTGCGTCTGGCTGCGAGAGCCACCTGGCGGTTATTGATAGTGCACACGATCAATTGCTGAACTTTCTGCGCAAGCGTCGTGGTGCAATACGTCTCGATGGCTGATGGCTGTGGTGCGGTCTGAGAAGCCGTGTCGGTTCCTCTAACACATTTAACTTCCTTCAAGGAACCAGAATCGTCGGCGGAAACAATAACCTTCATTGTGCTATGATGGTTGGTGGTGGAATCGGTGTTGAATGCTGATATATTTGGAGCTGCAGGTGAAAAATAGTTGAAGAAAATTTGAAAAAGAAACAAATATTCAGGCAGGAGATGAGCTGCTATGCAGGAGATGTTAAGCCCATATCCGAGGAAATAACGTGTTACCGCTGGTGCCCGGGAAGGTATGTCTGGCTTATTGATACTGGAAATCGCACTAAAATGATAATAATATATAGACGGTAATGGGACTCTCATCCATAAATGCACTTTTTTTTCTTTCTGCAATTACTGTTTTAAAAATGGGTTAGCCGGGCCAAGGCATAATCGTTTATCTCGATCGTTCCATAATACACTGACAGAAAGCGTCCTCTAGAGCCTAGATGCTCATTTATAGAGATATCTTTATCTATTGGCATCAGATCAAGTAAACAACTGACTACGATTGTAAACATATTTACTCGAATAAATCATTAATATACATTACACCTTCTAGTTCAACTGGGCATACCCCCGTTATCAGGCCATTCATTAGCCTCTGGCCACCACTCTCTAGTTCAGATTCGCACTGATCACAGACATACACTGAAACTCGTTCGAGAAAGACGATTTCCATAATCTGATATTCCCGTCATCCCCCGCACTGCTCAAGATCGTGCCTGTTAAGTTCCAATTCACTCTCCAGACCTCACCGCTATGGTCATCGTGTTGCGATAACAATTCAACCTCAATCGCGGAGTGCGCCTTGCTCTCCCCACTGCTGGCATCGTTGATTTCCACATCCTGCGCCTTCTCCACCAACTTGAAGATACGAACGTACCCGTCCTTGCAGCCAGTAGCAAGCAAGTGGTGCCAGCGGCCCATAGATGGGGCCCAGGAGACAGATCTGATCAACCCGTTGTGCTCGGGCAAGTTTGCGGCAAGCGTCAAGCGGCCCTGGGCATCGCGGGTGTAGATAACGCCCTGGTCCAACGCGCACACGACGATTTTCTCGGCGGAAAAGCGGCCGGGACACCATGTGAGCGAAAAGTCCGACTGGAGGTTGGTGGCCGGCGGCAAGTTCAACACCTGGACCTCACTGGTCAACGTCCACACGCGCAAGTCGGACGGCTCCATTGCGTCGTACACGCGCAACACACCGTCGGAACCAATGGCACCGACACGCAAACCCAAGTGCGCAGGTGCAAATGCCACGTCGTACAATGGCCCGCGGAAGTCGGAGATCGTCGCCATCCGCTTCCAGCGGCGACCCAGGCCCGGTTGCTCGTCCGTGTCCTCCTCCCAGATTTTAATCGTGCGGTCATACGAGATAGAAGCAATGACATGGCCAAACTCCGGCGCCGCCCACGCGACCTTCATAATCAGCGAGTCGTGTGCCTTCCACGAGTCGTTGAGGTTCCAGGTCTGCGTTGCGGCATCAAGATCGAACACCTTAATATGTTGGTCTGACGAGCAGGTTGCAAGCTGTTTGCCGTAGAAGTCGTAGCTGATATCGTGCACGAGCTCTTCGTGTCCCGTGATGAATGACTTTAACTCCTTCATGTTTGTTGGAAGGGGCAGTGTTGGTTGTGGGTTGTTTTGCTGAAGTTGTTTTAGGCGCTAGGTTAGAGGACGGTGTGTCGTGCACGACCCGTCTCTGACCTACGCAGGGACGTAAAACAATGATTGAGCTCTAGCAAGAACTTAATGCGATTTAAATTAGTTTATGTTTTCACTCATTTATGTTTAAGAAGGTACAGCCTGGACAGTTTGGCCATTTTTCTCACCTAATAAGAGGTACAACTTGGGTTCTCACCGTATCGCGGCTCAGCGCCATTACAAATCTGAATCTCAGCGTATCCGTGGGTCTACATTTCGGCTTTATCCAGCCATGCCGGTATTCAATCTCTCGTCGCCTGGCTTATTTGAAAATTGCTCTTGAATAAGCACTAATCCTTATTTGAAATATCAACCATGCTAGCAATCGATTCATCGCAACCTAAATGACTCATGGTGGCTTCAGCCCCCACGCTTGGCACTCTGGATGCACATTCACCGCCAACATTTTCACTTTTAATACCTTCCTCTTTGATCGGGACAGTGCACTGCACCAAGTCCTCACTTTCTTTCTCATTCATCGTCGGATATAACAGCTAGTACCTCGCTATCCGACCCATAGGTTGATCCCGGCGTAGCAAATCCGAAACTCCGCTCGCTGCTAAAGCTTCCGGGTCTTTCTCCTCCACTGTCCCCCACACTGCTCAGCGAAATCACAGACGAGCGCAACTTGTTTTTGGTGTGGTTCTTTGGGTTCGTCTCCGCTTTGTTGGAAGACACCCGGCGCTTTCGGGCCCCTTTTTTCCCATCGGTTGGCGGATTTTTCGGAGGCGGACCCGAGAGTGACGTGCGTCTCCGTTTGTACCCGTCACGCGACCAAAACTCGTTGCGGTACACCTCCCAGCCCTGTCTGATGTTGATCTGGAACGTTCTGGGGTTGAGAATGAGTTTAACATCATTGAACCCGATTCTGGGCTGCGTAATCTTGTCAATGTACTCCAACTTGGCGTAGATCTGGTTACCTATTCCCGGACTCTTGCTCTGGCTAGGCGCCTGTGGATTGACCCTGGTAGCTAGTTCTAGGAGTTGCTGCACGGTCTGGTTGATTATCAGTCGCATCGAGTCGATAATCGCGTCGGTGCTCGAGGTTTTCACCTTGATCAACCGCAAGTTAAACTGGCGCAAACCCTTATTGGTGGCACCTAAGAACCTCTTGGGCATGATAATCTTCTTGTGGTACTCGCCCGAGAGCCGGAAAAGCACCACAGTTGTGCAGATGGCGTAGAACACAAACTGGAATGAGAGCTTTACGTAGCCTTGCTGGTCCTGGATCTGCACAAAGAGCCAAATAGCTAGCAAGATCAACGTGGAGATGAAACACACGTATTTTCGGCGGAGGCGGCTCTGGTACAATACCTGCTGTCTGAGGCTGTCCTCTAAGATAAGCAAGTTGCGGTATATTTTGTGCGCAGGGTGGGGCCTCTCGCGGCCGTTGGACGTTACAGAGGAGGGCGAGCGCGGTCTCAGACCGGGCGACCGTCTTTTGGGCTTGGGCGTCTCTGGGCCCACTAAATCTATGGCAGGGATGTAGCTCATGCTAATGGGGTTTTATGACCTAAGGATGACAGACGAAGAATGATGGTCATTTAAAGGGCCTGCGCTCTCGTTTGGATAAGTCGGCTGTCACGTGTTCTTGTCACATGACTAAAATTTTGTTAGCCCTTCTCTCTAATATAAGTATCACGTGCGCCATTATCGCTTTGGTTAAGCGGTGCGGCGCTTGTAACATGTATTGTTGATCAAAATGTTGGCCACCACTGAATCCAACCTTTACACCATCTGCATACGATTCATCCCCGCCTTCTAATAATTCGCCTCCAATGACGCTGTATATGGAGCATGTCCAGAACTGCTACTTCCTCCTGACAGGCTGGGACCAGTACAACTTCTACGACACATTGCTTCATGTTCCCAGACGGTTGCTCCATTTTTCCACGCCCCAGGGCGTATCGTTCTCGCTCTCGAACCAATCCACAAAGTACACCGCCTCGAATTTGCACCTCACATCTACCGGGAGTATTCAGGGGTCTGTGGGGTACTGCTATAGCACCGTGCCGCTAAACAACGTGTTCACCACCCAGGACGGCATTGTGGACCAGATTCTTTACTACAATCCAGCCAGTAAGGCCAAAAATAGACAAGCCAATCGTCTGTCAGATACCAGCAGTTTGTACTATGGTCGGATGTACTTCCCGGGCTCCACACTAGAGGCAATGTACATCAAGCGCTTCAGTCCCACGGCCCAGCTCATTGTAAAATGCGTGTCGTTTCCAAGTTTAAAGCAGTTAAACAAAAATTTGGGTGCTCTAACGTTCAACTACCAGAAAATTACCGAGAGATCGGCTCGTGAGTTTATCTACTCCACTAAAGGAGGCATGTTGGGCTTCCGGTACATGTACCACGTTCCGTTGGACGTTGAGGCCGATGACCTTCAGACTGCCGGCGGCGAAAGTATGTTGTCTGCCAGTAGCTTGACGGTGGGTAGTGAGGTATGGTACGGAAGCTTGAATATGTCTCCAGGATTGTCTTGTGCGTTGCGGTACAGCTCCGTTATAGCATTGCATCAGCGCTACGCTGCGTCCCGTTTGCCCAAAATGGCCTTGCCGTTTAGTCTCTCCTTGGCGTGCAATCCGATCATCGGACAGTTGTCATCGTCCTATTGCATCTCTACGTTAGGGAAGTGGAACCACTTGTACCTCGCATCTAGCTACGACTTCAACGTCTATTCGTACCGTAGTGATCTCACCGTGGGGTTTGAATACTACACCAAGGAGCCAGAAACAGATCCAAAGACAGACTCAAAGGAAGCCAGCACCATTGCAAGCGGGAATCATGCCCGTTACAGCGAACCAGTGAAGGCACTCAAACAGTTTGAGAGAGTCATCAACGACATTGCCAAAGCTCCTGCGACAGAGCTAGAGAGTCGGTACAAGAACTTCAAATCAGTTCTTAAGTCCACGTTTAGCCTTGACTTGCGCATCTTCAAGCTCTTGTATGACTTTAGATTGGGCGACTTTGTCGTCAGTCTTGGGATTGACTGGTTGTGGGGCAGAAACCGCATGGCCAGTTCTGTGGAGGAGGGGTGTTCTACCGAGAGCAGTTCCGAGTTTGTTCCGTTCAGGCCTCGTCGCATTGGTGTATCTATTCAATATTCGTCGTAGGCAGCAACATTGACGGGTGTATTGTGAATGTGCCGCAACTAGTGTTAGTGTATTTAGTAATAGAAAACCATTTATCGAGTCGCCTCTGGGGATTAGGACAATGTTGGGAGCTAAGTATGGTTGTTTCTTACGGGCCCCTTTTCCTCGGAATCTTTTCTCTGCAGATATTTCTGATAGCCCGCTAAACTAGTATTTGCCCTCCTTTTGCGCAAGGTTTATATTTTTACGCATGAAATATTCCGCATTCTGGTGTTAGAACTCAGATATAGCTGCCTATATTTGCTTCAGCGAGAAAGATGACTTCATTGCCTAATACTTGAGGGGATTTAAAATACCGATGAATCGGCGCCTGAAATAAGCATGGTTTCGACTACTGACGCCAACCAATTACGATTGCGTTTAGTCTACAGGGATGTCATGCAAAAGGAATTAAAGGCATACGCTAAAAGGTGGAATAAAACAGATGAGAAATAAAGTTATGTGCACAGTGTTGAGAAACTTACTTCAACAAGGCTTTAATTTGGTCCTCGATGCTTTCAGGCTTTGTCAAGGAAGAAAATCTTTCGACAACCTTACCATCCTTGTCGACAAGGAACTTCTCAAAGTTCCACTTAATGCCCTTAAAGCCCAACAAGCCAGACTTCTGGGACTTTAAGTATTCCCAAACAGGGTCTGCAGAGGAGCCGTTGACATCAACCTTCTTCATGATTGGGAAAGTGACACCAAAGTTCAAAGAGCAGAACTGGACAATTTCCTCCTGAGTACCTGGCTCCTGCTTCCCGAACTGGTTACATGGAAAACCGATAATCTCCAAGCCTTGGTCGTGGTACTTCTTGTACAAGGCTTCCAACCCCTCGTACTGAGGGGTGAAGCCACACTTGGAGGCGACGTTGACAACGAGGACAACTTTGCCCTCCAACTGGGAGAATTCGTACTTCTCGCCTTTCTTGTCCAAGGGAGCTAATTTGTAAAACGCAGACATGAGTATTTTAGAGTTGTGTATGAGTGACGAGGAATTTCGGGAAATTATACTAGGAAGCATATCGGTGGCAGGAAGAGAACTATTTTATATTGTTCTGCAAGTGGACAATTTGCCCCTGTGCTTAATCGCCTGATTGCTGTATCCGGTATACAATATCCGATATACAACAATTTCTAAGCAGACGTTCCAGGCCTTGAACCTGAACCACGTTTGCGCATGCTTACAAATAGTTTGAGCAGTAATACACTATCCAGCTGCATAACGGACTTTTCAAAGATAAGATCACAACTTTTTCCTTGGGCTATGCTTGCAACTGCCGAGATCCGTTACTCCTGTATAGTTCTCAGGCCGAGCTACCCGGTTACAGAACGGAATTCCTCTAACTCCCCGGTACTTGCTCGGTTACTCCCCTCATGGGCATCAGAGCGGATTAAAACAATAGCTGAGCCTTGTAAGCGATAGCGCATAAAAAGACACCAGTGGTCTAACACAGGAAAAATTGATTCGTTCCGCCAAGCATACTCCCTTCTGTTGGATCACCAGGCTAGTCCTCTGCATGTAAGCTGGTCCGAATGTTGGGCATTTAAATAAATGGATTGTCAAAGGTACAAGGCGTACTGGAGGTATCATGGGGGCGGGAGTTTAAGGACGATCAAACGGGGCCAACCCGCTTCAGATAGAGATTATGAAGAAACATGACGCGAGCCCATGTGACGACACTGGGACTGAGAATTAAATACCCGTGGTTTAAATCTTGGCTCTATCACTATATCTACCGAATAAAGAATCGAATGCACACATAAGGAATAGATTGTGGGTGTCGCTTGTGTATTTTTACAGGATATAGTAAAATCTCCTTATCCAATATCCTCAAGAGGGCCAGATTCCTATTGTGGCCACTATTGGCAGCCAATTCAATACTACAGGGATATAGCTGGCCACAGCCCGACTAATAATGGACATAAAGGAAAGTATTTGTATTAAATATCTGAGCGAGGCATAAGAGAAATTTATAAAGAAAATATTAAAAGGTTACGTCGAGTTAAAATAAGTAAAAGGGCCAGAAAGATTACTGAACTTTCTTGATTATCTTTTCGTCACCTGGTTGAGCGGCAAAAACATTAGATTCTGGGTCATGTCTGTCCTTTCTTGGACCGTGGAACCACTTCTTAAAATCCAAGATAGATTTCAAACTCCAAACCTTGACCCTCATGATATAATAGCAGCCCAACATGGCAACAAAGTTGAAGATGATGTAAGCAAACATGAAACCAAAATTTCTCCATCTTTGAGACCACTTGATGTTGACAAGGGCCATTGGCTCGGCCTGGGTGGTGTATGGACAGTATTCACACAAGCTGGTGGCATCGGGGTTACCGACATACCCACCGGAGGTGTTGGCGTAATGTCTCAAGTACTCACCGCATGTCTGACCGGTGGGAGGGCTCACAATGGAGTATTCATAAGACTTGCAGATCAACTCTTTCTTGTCAACCAAGGGAGAGACAAAGGACTGGACAAAGTACGTGAACGGAGAGACCTTGTACATAAAAGTCCAGAAACCTGGCATCAAGTCGTACGGTTGAAGAATCCCACAGAACAACAACATGGCAGCGAAAATATTGGAGTTAATCATAGCAGCAGATGGAACGTTTGGGGAAAAGTACAAAATCCACAAGCCGTATGAAACGTAGTAGATTGGGAACATGATCACGAAAACCAAGAAAAAGTAGCCGGCGTGCTCTGGGGTAGATGAGAATCCAGCTGGGAAATAGTAGCAAACAAAGCACAAGAACTGACAAGACATACACCAAATGATCTCCCAGGCAGTCTGGGACAATAACAAGGCAGACCAGTGGAAGGTATTGGAGGCAGATTCTCTGACCTCAAACAACTCTCTGGAATCATAGGCGTAAACGTGAATCTGATTGATCATGGCCAAAGCAATAATCAACATCATGAGAATAGATAACAAACCAAACTGGGAGGCAGCAAGGGAGTGGTTGGCCTTAACAAAAGAGAATCCGACGAAAAGAGCACAAACAACAGCCTCGAAGTATTTGGCTCGAATGTAGATCGGAGATCTCCAAAACTGAAGCCTGGTTCTGTTGAAGACGACAGAAATTTGGTTTCTGTAAGAGGTGGCAAACTTGGACTTCAAGTCTTCGAGATTCAGCGAAACAGGCTTCTGTGGCAAGTCACGGTGAAGTTGGTCAATGACGGCGCGTTCGTGGGCACACTCCGGAGATTCGTTCCAAAGGTCACCCCAATCAGAAGTCAACTTGGAGTGGGCTGTAGCACCGGCACCGATACAGTTCAATATGTATTCAGCAGGGTTCTCGGACACACCACACTTGACCCCAGACTGCCTTTCAAAGTAGGTCAACATGGTCTCAGAGTTCGAGCCAATATCGCCAAAGTAGACAGTTCTACCACCCTTCTTCAACAACAATAATCTGTCGAAAACCTCAAACAAAGTGGCCGATGGTTGGTGGATGGTACACAAGATAGCCTGACCGGAATCGGATAAGGCACGCAAGAACTGGATGATGGACCAGGCAGATTGGGAATCCAACCCAGAGGTTGGCTCATCCAAAAATAACAACAACGAAGGCTTGGCGACTAATTCGACGGCAATGGATAATTTTTTACGCTGTTCGACGTTCAACCCCCGACCAACCTTACCAATGATGGCTTCACCATAGTTCTGCATACCCAACAAGGAGATGATCTTCTCAACGTACTCGTTTTTCTCGGCTCTGGAAACAGTTTCAGGCTGACGCAAGTAAGCGGCGAACCGCAACGACTCTCTGACAGAGTATTCGGCCAAATGCAAGTCCTGCTGCTGGACGTAACCGGTTCTCCTCTGGAAAGAGGCATCGACAGGATGACCGTTCACAAGCATCTCACCGGTAATGGTACCAAAGTCGATTCTCTGGGACAAGACGTTAAGCAAGGTGGTCTTACCAGCACCAGACTCACCCATTAAGGCGGTCATGGTACCAGGCTTGACATAACCCTGGATCTTGGAGAGCAATTGCCTTTGTGCACCGTTGTATGGAATAATGTAGTCCAAATTTTGCCACGAAAAGACATCTCTCTCGGCGATAACCTTTTCTAAGTCAACACCAGGGCCGTTAAGAGCTTCCATCATCTCGTCTCTGGAAGCAACCTTGGCATCGGCGGTTTCAGAATTGCCGTCTGGCAAATGACCCCTCTTGTACAACAACATGTCACCACCACCCTCAACGGACTTGACAAATTCAGACAATCCGACATTGATCATGATAAAGCCAGCGGTCCAGGCAATGTTGATTCCAAAGTTTCTCCAGGTGTGGCCGTAAGAGAAGTTGTACGAAGCCTTGATGTAAGCGTCGCCAGAAACGTACAACTCACCCATGATGGACCCTGCAACGGTACAAACCTGGTTGGCAATATCGACGTTTTCATAGCCCTCACCGGCTGGGATCAACGAAGTACACCTCATCATTCTACCGTGCATTTCGGTGGCAAGTAATGATTCGAAGCAGTATCTCATTGGGTTGATCCAGTTAATCCACTTGGCCCAGTGATGCATAGATGGCAATGGGATAATGAAACCAACATAGACACACAACATCAAGACCCACAAACCGGCAATGGCGTGAGCGGTACCACCGTCACGGGTAATTGTGGCAACCACCTTGAAGATGAACGACATGCACTGTTGGATGGTCAACAAGAACAACATGAACATAAAGAAGGCGCCGGCTTCGTGCTTCAACTTTGGCATCCAGTAGGCGGTCAACGCCAAGATTATCACAGCAACAAGCTTTACTGGAATTTCGGTAATAATTTCCTGTAGCGCCTCGGCGGACTGGTGATACATGGAGTAGGATTTTTGCTTCAAGATGATAGGACGATGGGAAAAGGAATGAGAGATTTCCGCCAACGAGGTGACGGCACAGAAAAGCAAACAGTAGAACAAGATACCACCACGGGAAAAGACACCAGAAGTGTCTTCGGGAATATTCCAGAACATGGAACCAACAATCAAGCCCTTGATGATGAAAGAAGAGATATAGATCGTCTGGTAGGTCATCTCACCCTTGGTTCTTTGGAAACCTCTGGTCATCAAAGTAGATACCTGGGTGAAGTACGAAGCCACGAATTGGGACTTTGATCTGGACATTGCTTCCTTTCTCTGCATCTTGACGTTGTGTAATCGAGCTCTGGTTTCCTCGATCGGGTGGGCACTAACGTAGCTGTCGTATTCAGCGAGGCAGGCCTGATACTCTGGAGAGTTCAACCAATAGTGTTCGAATTCTTGGGCGGTGGTTGGTACTTTACTCTCGAAACCCGGCTTGACAGTGCGGCCATTAGGATCGGTGACAGAGGTCAAGAACTCGGGATCAGTCATTCTGGGAGGCTTGTACCAACCCATGTTCTCGAAGTAGGCTCTAGCGGTAGAGGCTGGGCCAAAGTAGATCTGTCTGCCCAAGTACAAGATGGTTACCTTGTCAAACAATTCGTAAATGTTTTGGCCAGCTTGGTAGATGGCGACAAAGGCGGAATTCTGCAACATGTTGGTGGCAGTTCTGATGGCCTGGGTGAATTCCAAAGCAGTGGAGGCATCCAAGCCTCTGGTGGCATTGTCCCAAGCGTAAATGGATCCGTTACAGGCCAAGGCTTCGACAATGGACACTCTTTTCCTCTCACCACCGGAAACACCTCTGACAAAGTCATTGCCGACATTCGTGCCGTAGGTGTGCCTCAAACCAAACACGGTACACCACAAGTCTCTCATGGTAGAGATATATTGCTTTCTAGAGATCCCGTCAATACGTCTGTTTGGGGTCTTCAACTTCAACGCAAAGTCGATGGTGTCCTTAACAGTAACCAAGGGGAAATGAGCATCTAACTCCGGGTTGTAGATAACATAGCCCTTGTAGTCACTCATCATCTCCTGCTGACTGATACCATCATACTGGTACTCACCGTCGACAGAAACCAACTCGGAGGTCTCGCCAGTGAGACACTTCAACAAGGTGGAGCATCCGGCACCCGGTCTACCAACGACGAAACACATCTCACCGGCCTCAACGGTACCGGTGAAGTTTTCAATGATATTTCTGAGAGGTCTGGTGTCCTTCTTGAACCACTTGAATGGCCACTTGATAGCGTCTCTGACCATTTCTTCAACGGACGGACCGTACGCGGCGGACACATCCACACCGACGGCAGTGATGCCCTTGAAAGCTAAGCCTGCGGCACCAGATTCGATACCCTGCTCCTGAGACTTGATGCTCAAGTAGTTGAGCAAGAACTGCAAGTCAAAGTCGTCGTCGTGGACGGCAAATTCACTCATCTGGGCCTTGGTACGGTGCGACAAAGTTCTGGCCAACGACTGAATTCTCTCGATACCTTTTGGGTTTGTCAAGATGTGAGCTAATTGTTCTGAGTAGATACCCTCCTGGTCGTTGTTCTCGATGTCATTGACGTTAGACCGTCTGGAGATGTATCTTTGGGCATGGCCGGAATAAAGCTGTTCTGGACTTTCAGATGAACCGGCGTCCTCGTACTTGGGTTGATTGGACAAAGTTGAATTATTATCCGTCATTGTGTAGGAAAAATCAGACAAATACAATCGGAGGTGGTGTGAGAGTGGAGAAATAAAGAGTACTGGCCGTAAAAAAAAGTGGAGCAGTATCCAAGGATATATATACGATTTTCCTATCGGTCTCTTGGCACTAATGCTGTAAAATAACTGAACGGAGTTGTTGCGGTTTTCGAAATTTGTATACGCTTTACTATGGTGCACGATCGGCCAAAGTAAGATTTCTCAGCCGTCGATAAGGTAGGTTGATATAGCTGCATGAAGGTGCATGCATAAATCGGTTATTTCATGCATGAGATCCTTGCGCCCTTTCATCCCGCCACACAGTATCTGGGTCTCTCTTCGTATATCCAGATAACCCTTACACCGTCTAGATAACTGTGCCGTGAGACCCGGAGGCCGCAGTAACTGGGAGGTAAACGTGGTGCTAGTCTGTGTGTTTGTACTTTTCTCCCCTCCGACTGCTCCGGTTCATCATCCGTCAAAGCGGCTGACATTCGTTTTCCTTGTATGGCTTAGTATTTACCCAGAGGCGCGGAATGAGTGAAAAGCATTCGGCTTGTGCGCAGGTTAGCATCCTGCATGCGGTAGCCGGCTCGTATATGCCGTGGTTACGTCGATGGGGCCAACGGCTATTCTCGTAGGTGTGTATCGGCTGGCTTTCAACCGGTCCTAGTCTTACTAAGTAGGAATACGGGGGATTTTTATGGCCCATGATAGTACTTCTGTGCGGTTTGGATGCACGTCTATTTGAAGAGGTGGGAACCGGTAGAGAAAATCCCGCATCTTCACTCTAAAGGCAATGGTCGTGCATAAGTGATAGGGCAGAAGGGAGATTGTTCCACTTGCTTCGCAATGCCCGAGGGAAGTAGCATTGCAGGCAGCTAACGTATATCCTTGTAAGTCTGTATGGTTGATGAGCGTATTATTCTTTTTAAGACACAATCTGTGGTACTGGTTGCAATAAGTTTGGTATGCACTAATTCTTGCGTACTATGACGTATAAACTGACTAGAGCTTTCAAATTGCACTTAGAGAGTTTTGTTTTAAAATAGTCCGTATAGCCCTAAATATATAGATTAGTTGATTTTGGAAAAAAAAAGAAATCCTGGGGATGGCGAATTACTGCGAAACTGAGCAATCCAGCCTTATACCCACCATTGAAACACTGCCCGATGAGTGATCTGCTTTCCATTTAATCCTTGGAGAAATAAGCGCACCAGGGAAACCTCGATATATTAGTGTTTGGCTTGGTGATTTAATTATCGCAGCTTAGGTTCTTTAAGAGTGACAAAATGACACGTGTTTACCATATTTACAAGCAATAAATGAAAGATTTTTGGTCATAAACCTAGAAAAACATGACATATTGGTGTGGTTATCATCCTACTTTTGTTTTCGCTCTCCTAGTGTCAATATTCTGGAGCACAGATATCTATATGTAGCTGTCACTACATCAAACATCGTATACAGTCCCTGGTGAAGCATTTCAGCTGCACGTATATTATCGTTGGATTCATGTACCACTCCATGCTAGAGACCATACAATTAAGCTAATGGTTTAATGTTTCGAAGAATCCTCAGTATCATCGCCAAAAATAAGAACAATATAACTGAGCCAAAATCAAATAGACACTGGATCTAGCGTTTTACAATGTATATTGGTATATATCATATATAGTTGTATTTTTTTATTAATATTGAAGTGATGAAATCATATATATCAGAAATATATTATATATTTGCATATACATTTAGCTTTCGTTCTTAATATGTAAATATAGATGATGCTGGTGTCATATACCTGTTCGATACTCAGGAAGCAAAGAAATGCATAATTTATATACCTAAACTAGCTATCTCTTCCATTCACTTTTTGCCTAGGTCGGCTGGAAAACTGAGTTAGCATCAAGCGAAATTGGTGGGGATTCCAAACCTCCGGATTGGTGCGTGCATAACTAAAATCTAGGTGCAGCTGCGATTCGGCTGCGTCGGTTCGGATGGGAGATCGTTGGCAACCCTATCCTCCACCCTGGTATTTATATGCACGGGCGGCAAGAAGATAAATGGCTAGCCGACAGAAACTAGACAGCAGAAACGGGAGTGAGGTGGATCACTTCATTCAGTCCCGGATCTAGCGGCATTACCAAGTTTTAACACTAAAAAACAGCTAGTAAATACAGCAAAATTCGTACATATATACGCATTTCCATTTTAGTGGCTGGTTTGAGGACTAAAGTCAAAGGGACCGTCTGGAACGTCGGGCTGTATGCCGTAAATACTTTGATCGAGACCTTATGGCTGATGGTTAGGGTTTCGAGCCGAGGGTTGGATTATAACACAAAGACGTGATTTAATCCCAAATCCCCAGTTCAACCAGGCCACACCAACTACCGGTAATTCTAAACGATAATCATTCTTGAACCAACAACTAACCTTGTAGAAACAGGCATGACTCATGTTTGCCACCTTGCCACCCGCACCTACCATAACTACTAAATTTCAACACGTGACCACGACAACTCCGACGTTGCCAAAATCTCGCAGGGCAAATTGGTTTGAAATATACATCACATTTAAATTCTCCTAGCACCATACCACCAACTATAAACCCATTCATGTCTGAAATAATCGATGAACATACGGTCAATATCCCGATCGTGGCATACCCACCGTTCCGGCTCCGATCGTCCCTAATCGACAAGGACCCGGTCATCTGGGCGCACTTGCTCGAGAGCTATGTTCGTTTGGCGCAGGCTTTACTCGACGAAGAGGTGGTGGCGCGCCGTTGGTCTGTCAAGTCGCAGCAACAGTTGGCAGTATTTTTGAAGGGGTATCTTCAGGAGACGGCGGAGGAGCAGCAGCAGGTGTTTTCGCTCGGTGCCATCAACCCCGATATTGTCAAGAACGGAACAATTCTCCGGAGCTATGTGTTCCAAGTGGTCAAAACGCATTCCTTGTTGAAGCTCAACTTGAACGGAAGCGCGATGTGGGACTTTTGCCGCGTCTATGTCGCGGAGAACGCCACTACCGTTCGTAGCTTGGTAGACGGAACCTTCAAGTCCAGGTTCAATAACAACAAAAAATCGGGCAACATTTCATCCATCAGCTCCATCCACAAACACTTGGAGTCTCTAATCTCCAATGGAAAGTTTAAAAGCGCCGAATTGAAGGTGTTGGCTGCGCTACTCGGCACCTCCGCTGCGCTGACAAGTACGTTTGTAAATAAAAGCCGCTCCACCGGCTCTAAAACAGCCATAAACACTCAGCGAAACATCAACAAGCGGGTTAATAACTCCGGAAAGTTTGGTGAGCTGTTTGTGAACGTTGCGTTTGTCGAAATGTTGGAGAAGTTGTACGTGGGGGGCAAATCCGTGCACGCCAAGACGTCTCTGAGCATCATGATCGTCTGCTTGTTGTCCTTGCCGATATCTGCCACAGCCAACTTAGCGACGGGGCTCGGCATCAACAACCTCGCGCTCTGCCGCCTCTATCCGCTCTTCAGCGGGGTCATTCTTTCACTGTCGTACAAGGCCATGGTTCCGGGCTTGGAGGCCCGTTTGCCGTTTTTAAGCAAAAATCATATCCAGGAGCAAAGCTTTGATGAATCGCACGTCCAGCTCTTGACGGATTTGTTCCCACAGTTATCTGTCGCCCAGGCAAAGACGCTTTTGAAGGAGAATGCCCATAATGTGGAAACCGCATCAAACATTTTGTTGGAGGACCCAGAGTTGGTGGCATCCATCCCAGAGTACAGAGAGTCGATTCCCGAACATCTGAAGGCGGAGACAAGAACATCTATTAGCAGAGGCATATATGATGAGGACGAGTTTTCACTTCTCGCTGCCGATTCGTCCAAGATTAGTCACGGGAAGAAGCTGTTTGTGACTGAAAATAACAAGGAAGAAGAGGATCGCCTTAAGAAAGCCACATTGACTGCAGCGTTGCGTTTAATCTATGAGAATGACGAGGACGAGCCAGACGACACATATGCCGACCAGGAAAAGACCAGTGGCGAGGCGGTGGAGACGCGTAGCGGGCGGATCTCAGTTCAGGACGACTCGCGAAATGTTTCCAGCAAGATCGACCAGATCGAGGCTGTGCTCTGGGGCGTGTTCAAGAAGGATCAGGGCTTACTTCTCGAGAAGGTTCACCGCAAGGCAAAGGCGAGAAAGGAGATTCGGGACGTCACCGGCTGGACGGATGAGCAGATCGAGGGCTGGGCCCGCATGTTGGAGCGTAACCCGCGCCGGTGCAAGTTGTTGGAGGAAAAGTTTATGTTTCAGGGGAACAAGCCGGGTGGGATGAAGAAGTCGACCAGGTACCGCAAACCAGATGACGAGTTGGAAGAAACTGAGCCGCAAAGTCGCCAGCCCGAGCCGCAAAGTCATCGGTCCAAGGCAGAGGGAGATGAAAAGAAGGAGCCGAATACGAAGAAGCAAAACTCGAGAAATGAAAAGAACAAGGCCCTGAAGGCAAATCATAATAGAAAGGCGGGTCACGATAAGAAGTTGGCCAAAGCGGGGTAGATGCGTTACGTGTCTGGTTTATGAAGCTATCATTTTGACACCACTTTACCCAAACAAATGGATTATCCATTGCCATCTCAGGCACAATGTTCAACCAAAGGCCATTGCTTACTCGTCACTAAGTTAATTCATATGCCATTCGATATATTCATTCACACTATATTAGTTGATCCTCTATATGGTGTATCATGTAATTTAATCGGTACTGTGATAAAACGAAAGATTATAGCTTCATACACTATAGTGAATTAGAAAGGATGACAAGTAGTTATCGTTTTTTAATACCCACCACAGGATGTCTTTCACACATCCTAAAGTATTCAAAGGGGCGCAACCCGTGATGAACATAGCTTGGTTTAAGATGTACGAGACTGGAAATACCGCGTTATATAATGAAATTTATCGCAGAAATCAGCTATTGATTCTACTAATACCGATACACGACCGTGGGCACACACAAACATACCGTACCAAACCAAGCTAGTACTCAGCATTCGGAGTGCTTCCTAGCTACTATTATATAAAATCATGAGTTTTGTAGTAAGCGTGTAGCTGTCACGTGGTAGGGATCAATATTCTATATAAGGAGGTCGATCCCTCTCTCCTTTATCCTATATACATTATAGAGGTAACCAGTATTACTTATTACTATAAGTAGATATTCTACCCTTGAGGTAGAGATATACCACAAGTTTTACAATTATCTGTAAAGTTTGCTAGGGTAGCTCAATACCATATAACTTTTAAGTGTCAACAAAATGTTGATAGATGGAACATTGTGAACGGATCACACAATGTTGAACCACCCCCCTTAATGTCAATATACCAGAAGACCACTAAAACTACTTAGGGGTTTCATTAATTATTAGAATATAATTTACCAATCGTACTTTACAGACTATTCCACCGTTAGTCATAATGTTTTCTCCCTCCCCGATGAGATCCTGCACAGAGTAAAAAAAAGCTGCAGTGAAAAAAAGAATGAAAAATTGCATAAGTATATTTCGCCATTTGCTTTCACTATTTTTGCACACCACTACGCAATGGGCAAATCTAAGATTCCGGTTGAGGCACCAGCTACTTCTATCAGTTCCATCTTTGGGACTGTTTCTCAAAAGGTGGATGAATCCATTGATGCATTGTTCAAGTCGAGCGCCGGGCCGGTGCAAAGAACTCTTCAACCAAGAACCGTTTCGTCGTCCAGGCGCTCCGCCACAGCGAAGAAAGAAACCGAAGCCGAAGCCGAAGCCGAAGCTGAAGCCGAGTCAGAGCAGCCAAGAAAGAAGAGAAGTAAAAAGGCTAGAGATGAGGAAGATGACTTGGAAGGCGCGTATCTCACCAAGCTTATGAAGGATGACACCGCAGAAGAATCCAAGGAAGAGGTTGAGGAAAACTCTGATTCAGACTCTGAATCCGAAACTGAGACCAAGACCAAAAAGACTAGAGCTGCCAAGATCGTAGACTTGAAGGAAACCGAATTGACAAAGGCGGAAGCCACCGTATTTGTGGGTAACGTCTCCTCCACCGTCATCACCAACAAGGCCACCTACAAACTCTTTAAGGCAAAGTTTGCGGAGTTTGGTGCCGTCAAGTCCATCAGATTCAGATCCATTTCCTTCGAGGACGCGCTTCCAAGAAAGGTTGCGTTTGTCCAGCAGAAGTTCCACTCCACCAGAGATACCGTCAATGCGTATGTTGTGTACGAAAAGAAAGAGTTTTCAATCAAGGCTGTGGCGTTGAACGGGACGGTTTTCCAGGAAAACCATTTGAGGGTCGACCACGTGGCTCACCCAGCGTCCCAGGACAACAAGAGATCCATCTTTGTGGGCAACTTGGACTTTGAGGAGAAAGAAGAGAGCTTGTGGAGATACTTTGAAGAGGTTTCTGAGGTTGAATACGTCCGTATCGTGCGTGATTCCAAGACCAACGTCGGTAAGGGCTTTGCTTACGTGCAGTTCAAGGATTCCTTGGGGGTCAACAAGTCATTGCTCTTGAACGAAAAGCCGTTAAAGACCAGCGAAAAGAAAAGAAAATTGAGAATTTCTCGCTGCATGAACATCAGACCGTCCTCCCAGACGCCTCAGAGAAACAGCAACGGTGCGCGGTTGAACGAGCAGCAAAAAACCAAATTGGGGAGAGCCAAGAAGATCTTGGGGAAGGCTGATAAGGCCCAGGTCGGTAAGCTCGTCCACGAAGGTATGAGAGCCACCAAAGGTGATAGAGTCTCCGGGATCAAGAACGGGTTGGGCAAGGTCAAGAAACCGAGACACAAGAAACCAAGAATCAGAGACAGATCCTCCAAGTTCAAGGACGAGCGCAACCAGATGCAAAAGGAGTTGTCTGAGAAGAAATAAGCTGTGACCTTTCTTTAGCTGTATATTATATCAAATTATAAATCATATAGCTGTAGCGAGGAGATAATTGATCTCTCCTCCAAACGCCTCCGATACAGCTCAGTCTAGATAATGTCTTCAATGACTATATAATGAAGAAACCAGCAGCTATACTACAAACTCAGCCTTAAAACCATACAGGCTATGGGTTTCTATCAACTCTTAAATACCTTGCCCGGACTCTTTCCTGCGGCGTCAACACCCAGTTGATCCCAGCCTCCTCCTCCTCTCCGTCAAACCCCACCATCAACACCACTTGGGTCACCTTCAAAAACGAATCCTTAAGCGAGTATTTCCCAAACTTCGTTACATAGTCAATGATTCCAGAAATATTCGACTCCAACTTGATCGAGCCTAGCTCATTAATTCGGTTTTCCAACGCCCAGAGTTTCGCTTCAAGCAAACTTGCCATCAGCGCCATCACCAACACCATCAACGCGTCCCAGATCTCCTTCGCCAACGTCCGCACAAACGGTGAGATGAGTCCCGCCCACGCAGCCGCAAACTTGGCCTGGTTCAGCCCGCTCTCATCCATCTGCGAAATGAGATATTCAGAGGCAAGGAAATAGTCGTTCACCATCAGCCGCATCTTATTTTTAAACACCAGGTCGTACAACACCTGCACGTTGAATTCAACAATCTTGGTGCTCTTTGCGTGGAGGGACGCGATTAGGCCTCCAGAGATTGCCGCGAGCTTCTGGCTGTCCGTTGCGAACGGATAGTTTGCCGGTAACACTTCCGCGTTGATCTTCTCCACAATGCGGCGGAAATAGGAGTCCCCAATACTCACAGAGTTCAACAACACCACAAAGTCGTTAAGCTTTTGATCGTTATCCGTGTTGATCACCGAGTTCGCGTAGTTCGCTCCGCGCATGAGCATGCTGCCCATATTCGTCTGCTGGCTCCGCGCCGCCACCGGTGCCGCCAAAAACTGGTAGCCCCCGCGTGGCTGCAGATCCCGCAAACGCCTCAACATGACAGTAAGGAAGTCGGTGTCTATCACCCGCTTCACGGTGATGATTATAGAGCTGGCAATCTGGGGCTGGCCCGTCTCAAATGCGTTGCGGAGCGATGTGTTGAGGATGAGGATCAAGTCCTCCACCACGGAAGAGATGAGCGGTTGGTCAGGAGATGTCAACTGGTCTTCACGCGTCGCAATGAGGTCTTTGTGGGAAAGGGTAGGGAGCTCTTCCATCTGGTAGGCTTTTTCGAGCGACCGGCGGAAGTAGAAGACGCTGAGGGCATCAAAGATTTTGGTGTACGGGTCGGCGATTTTCTTAACAAAGGTGGAAGTTTTTAAGGGTGGGGGGAGTTTCAACGACACTGCCGGTAACTCGGTTTGCAGTTCGGCTGAATGTTTCTCGGCACTCGCAGAGTCTTTCGGCTCACCGGCCGGTTTCAAGTCTGCTGTTTCCCCTTCAAACTCATTCCACCGCACCGCAACAAACCGGCAGTACATTGTCCATTTGTTCAAAATCGCCGAGAGCTCGTTCACCAAGTCACCAATATCCACCACGGAAACATCCTCGGGCATCGGACTCTCCATCGCGGGCGAGGCGGAGCGCGACGCGGCGTTCGAGAAGGTTCCGGTAGCCATGGCGCTCAAGTACGGATACGAGTACTCGCTCACTTCACTAACCGCTTTGGGCAAGTTATGCACGTCGTGAAACGTGTCAATTATCAAGCCTACTTGGGCATCGACCTCGCGCTGGATGCGCGCAACAACATCAGTCATCGCGTGCTGGCCGTAGTAGCGTGAAATAAGCGTGCCGTGCTGGGTCACGATCATCGAGATGCTCTCAAAGAGCTTCATCGCTACGGCTGAGTACCAGAAGCTGGCCTGCGAATTATTTGTGAGAAGGGCACGGCTCTGTTCCGCAATGATCCCGCAGATAAACCGTGAATAGTTGTCGAGTCCAGTTTTCGCCTCGCCGATCTGCGGGAAGAGCTGGAAAAACGTCGTGAGCTTCGGGATGTCTTTCGCTGTCGCTGCCGCCTGGAATTCTCGCACAAACACCGCCTTGAGCTCCAGACACCATTGCTCCACAATAGCCGTAGGTGCCTGAGGAATGTCTGTGGAGGGCACCACCATGTTGGCAAATTTGCCAGCGATGACATCCTGTGGCAAGGCGCGGATACTCGCGATAGCTCCAGCAGCAGCGGGCCAGTCACCACGGTCGATACTCATATATGCGTGCGCGACAGCAGCTTTCAACGCGATCACGTCCGCGGCGTATGCCGCGGTCTGGCTCACTTTAGCTTTCTCCAGGTCGAGCAAGCGCACGCGCGCGGTGATCTTGGTGCCAACGGTGTTGGCGTTGGCGATGAGCCCGCAGAGCTGGCCAGATGACTGGAGGGTCGACGCGAGCCCCGCGCGCGTCACCTCGAGGCGACGCGTTTCACGGAAAAACTCATATGACTGACGCTCAGTGTACTCGTCGAGCGACTTGTGCACCGTGCGCGCGGCTGCGTCGGCCGCCGTGATCACGTCGCGGAGCTGCCCTACTGACAGCGCATGCTGGAACTCTCTTGTGAGTACTGTGAGTCTGTCGTCGGTGTCGGGCATTGATGTAGGGTTAATGAATGATAGCAAGTAGGGTTCCTCGATGATCCAGCTATGCGATAGACCGATTTGTGGAATTGGCGAATATCAGTGAAAGGTCAGGTTTCTGTTAAGACAGATCAGAGGGTTATTTTTAGAGGAAGGCTGGCAATTGTAATCACTGCTGAGGTCGGAGAGAGCAGTAAGGATAGAATTGGAGACATTCGAGAATAAGTTGTGAGTTGGCGCGCGTCGAGCGAGTTCCCAATACCTGCACGACCTTGTGGCATCGTGGCCTTCAACCTTGTTCGTTGGCACCTTTCCACGTCCAGTCTATATAATTTTTGCTAAATAGAGCGGCTAATAACATTTAATTGGGAAATATAAAAGGGTGTGAAACCTCTAAAACCTATATTATCCACGTCTTCGAGAGGATAATCTGTGGGGTCTCAAAAGGAATAAACATACGTTATAAGTCAGACATCTCTGCTTCTAGTCACTATCCACTCCACTTGAAGGGGGCTAACGTATTGTCCCAGCAGAATATCCTGACTAAGCCGCTATAAGTCTTTTCCATTACAATATCTAACTTCAATTTCTTAAAAGAATATATCTTTTCAAATACAATCTCCAATATAGCTATTACAATTCAAATATCAATATGTTAATACTTAGCATTCATTAAATCATTCGGAGGCTGCAACCTCTTCGGCCTCCTCCCCAGCACTTCCCTCAGCCTCGCTATTCGTCCCGGACTTGTCACCTTTACCACGCTTTCTTCTTCTCTTCTTCGCGTCCTCCTGGACCTCTTCAGTCTTCACAGCCTGAACCTTCTGCTCTTCCCTCTTCTTTTTCATACTCAACGGATTCGGCTGCTTTGGCCCAGTCTTCTTCTTTGGCTTCTCCACCTTCCCATCCACGGGCGGCTTTGGCGGCTTTGAGGCACCTATCGGCACGTTTAATCCGGCCTTCTTCTGGTTCAACCCACCGGTCAACTTGAGCCTCTCATACCTCTCAGCATGTCTGGCGGAAGCGGCACTGAGCTGCGCCATGATCATTACCCCCTTTTCGACATACACCATCGGCACTCCCGGTACTTTCTTCAACTTTTTTCTGAGCACTTCGTCCTGGGTGGCAACAACGTAACGGTGCTTATTTTCGCCCTTCACATCCACCACAGACTTGATGCACTCAGATGGGGGGATCGGGTCTGTCGGTGGATGGTTGCATCGACGACGCTCGAAGGTCTTGGCGTACTCAATAGCCTCCTGATTCTTGGAGTCGTAGAGCGCCTGCATACAGCACTGAGTAATCATCGGCTTGACCTCACCATGGATGGTGGTGGTGAGGCCCTTGGTGAGATTGACATCGGCTTTTTCTGCGTAGAGGATGATTTCGTGATCTACGATGGTTTGGTACGGCTCTCTGAATTTGAACGCGTGTTGGTAGAGGACCATCTGCTTCTTGTAAGCCTTGGCTCTCTTTTGCTTCATCTTTGGTGGTTTGGAAGTGGAAAAGTATGTGGTTGGATACTAGAGGCAATGCTTTATGTACGAAAAATTTCAAATTTTTCTCGTGCAGGATATGCAGAAGAATTTTATGCATGCAGGAACTTTTCATAAATCCGATGTTAAAGGTTTTGGTGCTGGTGGAAGATATATTGCTATATCGATTGAGGTACAGAGAGCAATGCCGATAATTCCACATGACCCTACAGAGCTCTTGATGCATAGCCACCATACACTCCCTAAGAACTGCAAAAAATACTGGGACCACCGCTACCTTCTCTTCTCCAAGTTTGACGAAGGCGTGTACATGAATTCGGAGCTATGGTACTCTGTGACGCCAGAAAATATCGCCTTATTTCTAGCCAAGCTCTTCTACTACTGCTATCCCGAAGCGGAAACAATAATGGATGTGTTCAGCGGCGGCGGCGGCAACACCATCCAGTTTGCGCGATACTTCCCCAAAGTACTAGCCTTGGAGCGAAACGGAACCAACATCTTTTGTACCCAGAACAACACCCGGGTCTATGGCGTTCAAGAAAAAGTCTCATTCATCCATGCAGACTGGGTCGAGTTCGCTCAGCAACAGGAAGAGATCAAGAGGCTTTCGTCCACTGTGGACATCATTTTCAGCTCCCCGCCGTGGGGCGGACCGGGTTATGTCAAAAACAAGACCTTTGACTTGGATTTGCTACAACCAGCACCTTTGAAAGCTATCCTACAGACATTTTTAAGGATCACCAACCATGTCGGGTTGTTTTTACCGCGAAACTCCAACCTCGACCAGCTCGCAGAGGCGACACGAGAATTGCTCGGTGAGGAGGCCCGCTGTCGCGTGGTTTACGTCAATTTGCAGGGTTACTGTAAGGGGATCGTAGCTCTCTGGGGCCCAAAATTTATGACTTCAGAGCAAGAGACCAATGGAGGAGCCGAAGAGCTTCCATACTAAACTGGGAAACTACGAGCATTGAATTAAGCACTGGACTGAATAGAATAGTATAGAAAACAGTATAACGGGTGCGTTACAACATTGAATACTAAGTTTATCAAGTATTGGAAGTGATAGCTGGGTCAAATGAGAAACGCCTTTCTACGGTGTGTGACAAACAGACAGCTAACCGAGAATGACCAACGGGTCATGTGAGCCTTTGTCAAAGGTTCGAGTCGCTTGCTTGACCGACCTACACTGACTAACGGATAAATTATGATAGGGAATATAAAAACAGGCCAATGATGCTTACTCAACATCCAAAATTGGCTTCAACTGCTTGATCAACAACCAATCGTCTCTTGGGACTTGGTCACGGAAGGCAGGGTCCTTCAAGGTGTCAATAGATTTACGAGTGATAAAGGAGTACAACAAGTCGGTTTCGTCAACGTGACGGCCCCAGACAGGCTGGGCGGCAGACGGGTTGTCAAGACGCATTGCCACACCGGCAGAGGTGGTGGATCTGTTGACCTTGTCGACAGGCTTGTGGTTAACCTCCAAGGAAGTGACCCTACCCAACAACATAACGTGCTTCTGCTTGGTAGCAGGGTCCGTACGAGCAGCACAGATCGGGGTACCCAAACGGACGGTACCTTCCATCACGTCAACACCAATAATCATAGGGTTACGCTTGTTAATAATCTGGAGAGTCTTCATAACACATGGGTAGACGGCGTGTTCCTGGAACTCCTTACGTCTCTCCTCCATCAACTTGGCCTGGTAGGCGGTGAAGGCATCAAACAAGTGGTAGATAATGTCAGCAGAGAAAATCTTGACACCCTGCTCGTCGGCATACTGTTCGGCTTCCTTGTCAACCTTGACATCGAAACATAACATGATGGCAAACTCCTTGGCTTTCTCCAACATAGTGGTGGCCTTCATGACGTCTCTCTTGTAGACTGGACCCAAACCAATGGACATGACTGGGATCTTCATCTGCTTGAGGAAATCCAACAAGGCTTCCAAGGAACCCAAGGTGGAGGCTTGCACGGTGACACCGCGACCAGAGGTGTCGACAGAGTCCAACAACCCGGTAAGATCGTCCATAACCTCGTCCAACATCTCTTCCTCGTCGTCGTCCGGACCAACAACCAACAAACGTGAACCAGCAACCGCCTTTTCCAAGTCGGTGGCAGCAATCTTGACCCCCAAAGCGGCCTTGACCTCCTTGTGGTGGACGTACTCGGACTTGATACGCAACTCACGCGACGGCGGTGGCGTAAGCAACGCTCTGATATTAGTGGCAATCGGCCCATTCATACCGCAGAGAATGATACGATCACCCTCTCTCAACACACCATTGGACAACACCACATCGATGGTGGTACCGAGACCCTCAACAATCTTGACTTCCAAGATGGTGGCCTCAACCTTGGAGAGGTACATCAACTGCTTGGACATTCTCTTCTGGGTCAACTCCAACAAGAGCCACAACAAATCAGGAACACCCTCACCGGTGACGGCGGAGGTTGGAACGATAGACACATACTTGGCCATGTTCTTGTTGTTGAAGTATAACTCGGAGTTAAGACCCTCCTCGGCTAATTCAACCTTGATTTTCGTGTATCTGTCTTCAAACTCCTGCTGGACAGTGTGGGACTGCTTGCCGAAGGAGTCACGGAAGGAGTTGTTCGGGGTGGTCTGCCAGTCGTAAAGACGATCAATCTTGTTCAACGCGACAATGAATGGTGCCTTTCTCTCTCTCAAGAGACGGATAGACTCTCTGGTCTGCTGCTCGAGACCATGCATGATGTCGATAACCAAGATAGCAATGTTACAGAGAGAGGAACCACGGGAACGCAAGTTGGAGAAAGACTCGTGGCCCGGGGTATCGATAATCAACAAGCCGGGGACGTCAAAGGTCTGCTTCTCGTAAGCAGCCATGACGGCGGTCTTGGACTTGATGGCCGACACCGGGAAGTAGGTGGCACCAATCTGTTGGGTGATACCACCAGCTTCACCACCCTGGACGTTAGTCTGACGGACCTTGTCCAACAACTTGGTTTTCCCGGTATCAACGTGACCCAAGATACAGCAGATTGGGGAACGGAGATCTGGGGTCTCTGGCTCGGTAACCTTGGCCACCTGCTTCTTGGACATTTGTTTCTTGCTGGCCTCTCTGGCCTCTCTTTCTCTCTGTTCGGCCGCAACACGCTCCTCTTCGGCGATTCTCTCGGCCTCCAAGCGCTCAGCCTCGGCCGCAGCCGCTGCAGCCGCCGCGGCAGCCTCGGCTTCCGCAGCCCTCTTGGCCTCTTCGGCTTTCTTGTTTGCGTCGAACGATTCCTGCTCGTCCCAGTTGTCGGCAACCTCTTCGTCATCATCAAGAGCCAACGCCTCCCAGTCATCGGCAAGGGCCTCGTCGTCATTTTTTTCAACAACTTCTGCAACTTTGACCGGTTCCGGGGTAGCTTCAACCTTCTTGGACTTTTTCTTACCGTAAACCACCTTCTTGGCCTTTGGCGCGCCGGTCTCCTCCTCCTCTAAGCCGGCAACGACAACGCCCTCATTGGCAAGCAAAGCGGCCCGACGACGTTCCTGAATCTTCTTCTCCTCCTTCTGTTTCTTGGTCAACAACTTACCCTCGGCCTTGAGCTTTTCCTTCTTGACCCTTTCCTTTTCCTTCTTGGCGGCACGGACGGCCTCCTTTTCGGCTTCGGCCTCCTTTTCGGCAGCTTCTTCGGCAACAATACGCGCTTCCTCCTCATCGTCGAGACGCTGGGCCTCTTCCTCCGCCTGCTTTTGCAATTCTAACTGGCGTTTGAGCAAGGCGATACCCGCAAGCTTCTTGGTGGTCTTCTTTGGGGCGGCAACGGGAACTGGCGCCGTCTCCTTTATCTCCTCCTCCGGCGCAGGGGTAGAAGCCTTAGATGGAGTGCCAGACTTTGCCGCGGCAGCCTTCTTCTTTTCAGCCTGTTCCTTCTTCAACTGCTTTTCCTTCTCCTTCTTCAACTTCTCTTTCTCCTTTTTGGACAAGATGACCGGCGCGCCGGTGTCTTTCTTGGCCTTATCTTCGTCATCCTTCTGTTGCTTCTTAGTCTTGGACTTGCGCAAAGTAGACATGAAATCGCCCGCGACGTCGTCGGCGGTAGTGGCCTCTGGCTGGGCAACCGCATCAGCGGCTGGCTCAGCATCTTCGGTCACTTCTTGTGGCTGGTCGCCCTCGAACTCTTCGTCCCAGTAGTCGCCGCCTTTTGTGTTCTTCTTGCCCTTCTTTGCCATTGTATAAGGTGTGTGTGGATTAAGGAATGATAGCAGGAATGCTGATCCTGCTCTGCGTATTTAAAAATTCGGCGTCTCTGTCGTTTGGCGCTGCGAAAAGAAAAATCTTCGCACGTGACTTTTTCAGTTTACCCGGATTTGAAAAAAAAAACTCGCGGTACAACTTTGCTAGCATTTAAGAATACCAGCAAAAAGTATCGTTTCCCCCTCCAACCAACCCAACACAGACATTCATCATGACGACCGTTGAGAAGATCAAGCACATCGAAGATGAGATGGCCAAAACCCAGAAGAACAAGGCCACCTCCTTTCACTTGGGGCAGTTGAAGGCCAAGTTGGCCAAGTTGAGAAGAGAGTTGTTGGCACCAACCGGAGCCGGTGGCGGTGGTGGTGGCATGGGTTTCGACGTTGCGCGTACTGGTGTGGCGTCGGTCGGTTTTGTGGGATTCCCGTCTGTGGGTAAGTCCACGTTGTTGTCCAAGCTCACCGGGACTCACTCTGAGGCCGCTGCCTATGAGTTCACAACCTTGACCACCGTGCCCGGTGTGATCAAGTACAAGGGTGCCAAGATCCAAATGTTGGATTTGCCGGGAATTATTGAAGGTGCCAAGGACGGTAAGGGTAGAGGTAAGCAGGTCATCGCGGTGGCCAGAACCTGCAACTTGATTTTTATCGTGTTGGACGTCAACAAGCCGTTGGCACACAAAAAGATCATTGAGAAGGAGTTGGAGGGGTTCGGTATTAGAATCAATAAGCAGCCACCAAATATTTTGATCAAGAAGAAGGAGAGGGGCGGTGTCAACATCACAAACACCGTACCGCTCACCCACCTTGATAATGACGAGATCAGAGCCGTCATGTCCGAGTACAGAATGAACTCTGCTGACATTGCGTTCCGTTGTGACGCCACCGTGGACGATTTAATCGACACCATTGAGGCCCAGAACAGACGATACATCCCGGCCGTCTACGTGTTGAATAAGATCGATTCTTTCTCGATCGAGGAGTTGGAATTGTTGTACCGCATTCCAAACGCCATTCCGATCTCTTCCGGGAACGGGTGGAACCTCGATGAGTTATTGGAAATGATGTGGGATAGATTGAACTTAGTCAGAGTCTACACCAAGCCAAAGGGTAGGTTGCCAGACTTCAGCGAGCCAGTCGTGTTGAGAACCGGCAGTTCATCTGTCGAGGACTTTTGTAACCAGATTCACAAGTCTTTGGTTTCCGATTTCAAAAACGCCATCGTGTACGGCTCTTCTGTCAAACACCAGCCGCAGTTTGTCGGTCTTTCGCACGAACTCGCGGACGAGGATGTTGTTACTATTTTGAAGAAGTAGTGAGAGTCGAGCGAGCCAGAACTTACTAATGTATAATATGACCTAGGAATGCAATGTATGTTGTAATTTCAGACAGGACGTCAGCTCGAGTATAGGCAGAGGTACGGGGTGATCGCAAAGGTCCCAGGAGGACTGGAATTGCTCTGATTTACGATCTACACGGTTCCCGAAGTACTTACCACTATGTTTCCTCTTAGTCAACGTAGCCTATCCGTTCTAACTGTATATTTACAGCCCTGTATCTCTATCCTTTATTTACTTCATTCATATACCCCTTTATACAAATATCCGTTTCATATATTAATAAGATATCTAACTATATGGCAGTGTCTCATTATACCAGGTTTTGTCTCTGGATTCCTGTACAAAACCTTGACCTCTATCTTTGTCAGCACCCATATTAAGAGATCCTCCTAAATAAATGTACCCTCCCAGTGTCACGATAAGGTTTAATTACGATTTTCTGGTTGAATTGGATCTTTACTCATAACAAAGTAACTAATCTCTATCCACGCCGAAAGTCGCATGTTGAGATATTTAAAAAATGCGGCTTGGACCACAAAGGTCTTTGTGCTTGTGACATTCCAGGGAACATTTACCAGGAAGACTTTCTACAACCACTCTAACAAGCTTCATATTAAGAACCTATTTTATCTTGTTTAATATCTACTTGTCAAGAAAAAAAGTGCAGGCATGTCTTCACTTCTTCCTCAGCAGTTCTTCAAGGGAACCTTCTTCCCACTTCGAGTAAGTTTGAAGCTGACTTTCACGTTTGAAAATGATCACTAACCTTGTTAGGGGGCTGTGTTCATCTTAAACCATCCGCTATTCCTCAAGCACACCGTTACTCTCGCGATTCAAGAACTAGCCCTTACATTCTTTCTCTACTTCTTCTACGCCTTGGCCACTTCCTCTGTAGTGGCTGTTACAACGATTTTCAATTTACCCACGGGGTTTGGTCCCATGGTGTTTCTGGTTGCACAATTCACAATGTTCACTCAATCCAATATGGTTGCCGCGTGGGTCTTCAGAAGAGCTAACCAAGAGGACTTGAACGGAATGATCGATGCTGTTTATAGTGTGCAAGGGAAGCATGCGGTGATTTTGAAAGCTCGACTTCGAGGAAGGTTCACAAGAGCCCGTTCGTTACCGTACATCTATCGCAGAACCCTTACCAACTTGTTCAGGACCTACTTCTTTTCCTTGTACGTTCCAAAGGTGCTCATCAGGTTTTTCTTGAATTTTGGGATCCCGATAATCGGGCCTTATATTGCGAGCTTCTCGAACTGTGGTGGGGTGGGATTTGGCTACAATAACCGGTTTATGGACCTCTCTGGCTTCAACCGAAACCAGGCCATCATCAACTACGTACATCACAAGTCAATGTACTATGGATTCGGCTTTGGGGCTAGTGTTTTGGACAATTTGCCCGTGATGGGAAGCCTTCTCTTCTACTCAAATAGTGTAGGAGCCGCCCTCATGTCGTGTGAGGAAATGGTCCCAAACTAAGAAATGGGAGCTCTACACTGCCCCTTCACATCGATCAGGATAAAAGAACATAATTGCGATATATGTAGAAACTTGAAAAACATCCTATTTAAAGAATACTGGCAATACATTACTATACCTCTCTTTAGGCACGTTTAAGACTTGAGCTTCAATGACATAAACCTCCAAGGATAATTTCTACTGCGGTAGATATGAAATTCATCAAGACTTTAATAGTTCAAACTGATAATGCATCAGACCAGAGATATTACAAATTAGGCAATTACATATATTCACAACAATTTGAATAATAACCCGTTGGTGGATTATGCAGGTACAGCCGCACTAGCACACCCACCCCCCTTAGGAACACGGCCAATCTGTGACTATCGTTTATTTCACATTACCGTAATTATTCCTAAAGTTTTTATCGATAATATCAATGCTCTAAATTTTACAGTAGTAAAATAAAGGCTCTAAACCATATACAATACCACATTATTGCTCTTGGCCATAAAAGCCCACCCGACAGATTTTCCAGCCCGTGCGTACACCTCAGCACGAATTTTCCAGATGAGGGTCTAACCGCTCAATCTGGCAATTCGTACATATTACAACCTAGCGCAAAAGAAAACGGGGCCAATTATATCTGTACACCCACAATCATCCCATCTGTGAGCATGTCTGACACTGAGTCGCCTTCCTCGCCGCTTCCGGCCTTTGAGACCATTATCCAGAACATTGAGCTGGCCGCAAAAGACGCCATCGAATCTAAGGACTACTTGTCGTACTCCACCTTACTCGACATCTACCTCGACAATCCGTATGCATTCACAGAGGAACAGCGCACCGCGATTGTAACCCAGCTTCTCGACGTCTTGTCCAATACGGAAGGCAGCAAAGAATTGATCTACGAAGTGGGTTGGGACCTTCCTGCGTTACTTTTGAAGTACTTACACTCACACTTTGCGTTCCATACACCGATTCGTAACGCGCCGTGCTTCCATCAATGTGTCAAGATCTTTGACTTGCTTTCACGCTTTGGCAATCCGAAAGAGTTGTTCCTCAAGAGCTGTGAGCTCCTCAGCGTGACTACAAGGGTTGATGCGGACGACGCAGGGCACGCGTTCGCCAACGCCGATCGTATCTTGCTTCTCAAGTTCTACTTGACACTTGAGCTCATGAGCGCAACCTTGAAACGTATTGTGACAATATACCCATCTCGCTTCTTGTCCATGGCGTTGACGGCACTCCTCTCGTTTGTGAACAAGAACATTCAGGGTATGGATAACGTCGAGTTCGTTGTCAAACGTCTCTACGTCTTTACGCGGGACTACGTGCCTCCACAGATCCCGGCTGATGACCAGGATGCTGAAATCGAAGATGAGGAGTATTTGCAGGCAAAGTTGCTCAAAAGCTTTTCTACACATTTGGTGGAAATCGTTGGCAGACAGTTCTCCATAGGCTGGTCGATGGAATTGTATCCGAAGCTAGTGGGCTATAAGAATGGCACCCCAAAAGAGCAGACCAAGACGTACGCTGAAACCGATTTGCACGATCTTGAGGATGCAGACGGTGATCTGTTCAGCAAGAGGGGCGAGCTTATGGACCGGATGATGGAGTTAGTGATTTCCCAGGACGTTGACTTGAGGCAGTGTTTTGACGAGGAGATTTCTAAAACGCGGGATTTGCAAGAATTGTTACAGGTCTTTGCGGAAAATCCCAGTGTTTCCGAAAATGACCTTAACGAGCATTTTGTTACGCTCATCGTCCAGGAGTACTACCAGCAGGCGTCAGCGAACAAAGCCGAGATGAAGGAGATTCCGTTGTCATCTATCGGTCTCTTAACCCTCTATGCGCACAAGACTCTCGAGGGGGCCAGACCGGTGATTCAGACCAGCTACGCCGATTTGTCTGCCATTGACATTTTTTTGCTTACGTTACGCTACTACTTACCCCTCATGGCGTCCACCAACGCTGCAAAGAGCTTCTCAAACAAGGCGCTTAACGATGTGTTGTTGTCTTTCGCGCTCCTCAAGGTCATCATGATCTCGGAAACCGATGCCGCCACGTTGCTCAGCCTTTCAAAGTCTAGCGCTATCGTCCGCATCATCATCAAAGCGTACTTGCAGGTGTTGTTAACCGAATGCTGCTCCAATATGGACTTGTCGGTGAATCACAGAATGGTGTTCTTCACGTTAATGACCAAGGTGTTGGCGTTGGTCAGTGACGACGTGTCGTTTGAGTTCATCGCCGACTCTTTAAAGAGCTGTCCGTTTCCCAACGGTAAGGTTGCCTTGATCGGGGTACTTAAGGACTTGTGTGTCAAGGATAAGAAGCAGAAAGACTCTACTGACGAATTGACTGAGAAACTAGCCACGGTCAAGCTCAGCGGTCCACCGCTCCCCCCAAGATCAACCAAGTTCATTCCCTTGACCCACACGCGAAAGTTGACCATCTTGCAGAGTATCAGCCAGACGGTGGATGAGCTTTTCCACGATCCACACACGATCCAGCCGGCCCAGTCGCAAATGTTGATTGCGTACTTGAATTTTTTGGTCGCCACCAAGCAATTCTTCATCCAGGACGAGGACAGCAGCATGCTTCTTGAGGAAATTGTTGAGAAGCTTGATGCCAAGCTCGCAGAAGTGAAAAGTTCGTACGAAGAGGGCAAGGATGGCCAGGAGATGGACACGGTGGTTGGACTCTTGGAATTGGGTTTGGAAAGACTCGGGCTCTAGTGTATTTACAGACTTGACAACCAGGCAGGGTTAGCGATGAGCTGAAAAAGAGTGGCATGACTCCTGTCCACGTGTTTATTTAATTTAATGCTATTTTCCAGAAATATCTTGTGCTTCGACCAGGATTTAGGGTGTATATATGTACAGTCTTGGTATGATCGCTACATAGGCATCAACGTGGAGTTTAGGGCCCTATCGACTTGCTTATTTAGCCCAGAGGTAGTACCACTTACGTGGCTTGGCAGCTGGAGCTTCGACCTCCGCCTCCTTCTCTGGCTCTTGGTACTCAACTATGACATGCTCCACTGGCGCACCGGCCTCGCCAATATACGTATCTCTGTATATGGAGCCGATAAATACCAAAAGGGCAAAGGACACAACAAAGCTGCTCATCGGATCCAACCCCCTGTTCTTGAACGTCTTTCTGCGATCCTCGGAAACGGTCTTCAAATCTCTAACTGGTAACTCTCGGATGGATATCTTCTGCTTGGGGTCCGTCACAGACTGAGCCTGGGACGGCATTTCCCACGGCAAGTCCTGGGGCGGCACCTTGGCGTTAGTGAAGTTTTCAAATCCTTCCCGCGGGCCCCACGGCCCGTACCATATATAATGGATCATTCGCTTTTCATCGCTGGTCATGGAGGTCCATTTGCGCTTCTGCTTAACGTCCAAGTCCTCGATGATCTGGCCCTGGTGGTATGTGTTGAGCTTGGCAAACTTGGCCGGGTGCGCGAGGACATCCTTCACATCGGCTGGGTCCATGGGGACGACGTTTTCGGAGAAACTGACAATATTTTCAAAGATATCCTTGAACGAAGACACAGCAAGCTCCTTCTTTTGTCGCTCGAGCTCCTGTGGGGAGTTCTTTGGTTTGTACGGCGCCGGGGCTCTTCTGGAGGGTGGCGGGCCTGGTAGAGGAGTAGCAGCTACAGCATAGCATCTGGTACGAATAGGCAGGGTGCTAACCGACTTAGCACTGTTAAAAATTCGACAGAAACTCATCTGTGGAAGGGGTGAGAAAAGTATGAGAGAAAAGGTGATGGTGTGGTATATGTTTAGTATGAAAAATACCTGCATGTAAGTATGACAAAGTGCCGGCGAGAATTCGATGAAGTAGGTAAAATTCACAGCCAATCCTCACTTTTATAGACAGGTGATACTACAAGCATAGTTGAAATTCGAAAGAAAATGTATTTGGAGGTACTGGATTTGTCGAGCCATTATATAAACTTTTGTATGACTCACATACTGAGAGAATATCGGGAACCCTGTTCATGTGGTTCAGATTTCCTTTATTGCCTTTGATTTAGTGCCAAAACATTACTAATTAGTAAACCTAAATACCCATCTCTAGATAAAAATTTTGTCTAAACACCCTCTGTGTTTCCCTTTTCTCATATCCCACATATTGAGGTATCGAATCCATCTTCTATTATATTATATTCATCTATACCCCATCTATTCACATTTCCGGAAATCAGTCCCGCTTGAAGTCGAGCCTATCCTTGACCCACTTGGTCTCCATAGGAAGACTGTCTTTATCCACCTCAAGCTCTTTATTGTGGTCAAGCGCCTGGTGCACTCCGTGGAAAAACTGCGACAATGGCTCGGAGTACCATCTCTTCAAGCTCGGGGTAAACCAACCAATGTGCCCGCCAAGCGAACTGGTCGCGAACAAGGTGTACGGATTCAATGTCGCCTCCTTGTACGGGTAGGAGGTGCTGGCCGCGATGGGATCGTCCAACGCGTTCAAAATCAAGGTCGGTGTACGGATCTTGTAGATGCGGTTGATTGGAGATCCTGTGCGGTAGTATTGGCCAGCATTGTTAAAGCCAAAGAGCCGTGAGGTGAACAAGTCGTCAAATTGTCTCAAGGTCTTGGCCATGTAGCGCTTGGCAGCATAGTTTTCCATCACCTCACTCTCACTGAGCGCATCGTAATGCATATCCACTAACCGGTACAAGTTTTCTGTCATCGCGCGCGAGTAGACGTTATGGCCAATGTATGAAGACTCGATCTGGATGGAAGAGTCGTTCAAATCCCAGGGCGTGGCGATCACAGCAGCGGCAGTTAAGGGACAGTCGTCAGACTCCTGGCCTAAGTAGTTGGCCAAGATCGACCCCCCAAGCGAAAACCCAACGGCGTACAACAGCCGGTTCGGGTAGTCCTTGCGCAACTTGGCAATCAAGTCGCGGATATCGTTGGTCCAGACCCCGCAGAACAACTGGGACGTGGTCAAAGATGTATTGGCACATCCACGTGCGTTCAACACACAGGCCTCAAACCCGTATGGCTCGGAGGTGATTGCTTCCAAGAAGCACCGCACGTAGCTCTCGTAGGACCCGCCGGACAAGCCGTGGAGGCAAATGATTAACGGCTTGTGGTCATCGGATCGCAACTCAGTCACTTCCTGGGGAGAGTAGTACTTGGTTCGTGGAGGCAAGTCGAACTTCTGCGACGCTGGAACGTGCAGCAGGTCGTCAATCAAGTCGAACTTCTCCTTCAGCAGGTGCACCACATGGTCTACAGAGGCCACACCACCGTCCTCGAACTGTAACAACTCACGGCGGTAGTAGATCTGATTGACCTCTTCAAAGTTCCCAATACCGGCATACATCGTCTGTAAGTGACCATTGCACAAGAAGGGGCTCATGAGAGCGGACGCTCCGTGCTCGAGGCTCGGCGCATACTTGGCCACAATCTCGGCCAACGTGAAGCTCTGGCCCTCTTCCTTAGATGGAAGTCTAACTGGCGCCGGCGAAGCAAAGTGCTTGATCTGGGAGACGAAGTTTATACCAAAAGGCATACTGTGTTGTGGGTCAATAAAAAAAATCTGAGGGCAAGGCGAAACACATGCATTTTATCTCGGTTCGGTATCGGAAAAAGAATTTTAGTCATATGACTATCACGTGTTTTCACATGGCCGTTACCCTCTGGTTGTCACGCAGAATTGATTTTTTAAGCGTCATAGGTATGAGAGATTCAGGTCACAACTATCACCTTATTTATTACCCATGCTTGCTTCCAGAAACATATACAGAACCGTATTACGTGCGAGGTTTGTACCTGCCTTGCAGGTCAGATGCCAGTCGAATGCGACGGCAAAGGCAACGCCCGACGATGTCGCCGAGTTGGAGAAGCCAAAAGCAGCGCCCGTGCCCAAGAAGCGCATCACAATCCCCCATTCAAAGCTCCCGCGGGTCCCTGCGGCCGAGTTTATGGACCATGAAGATTTCAAGCTCCAAACGCTCTTTGCTAGGGGCGGCGCAATCTACGCCCCCGAGTTGTTCCACGTGATTCCCCAGAAGAAGCTTTTTTTGGAAGACTTGTACGCTGAAGCAGAGGTGCTAGAGCAGGAGATGGCTGGATTTAATGAATGGAGCGCTGTTCCGGCAGAGCTGGACGAACCGTTGGTGTACTTTGAGGGCCCGGATGAGAGAGCCGCGCGTTTGGATACCGCGGCACCAGAAGAGGAAACCAAGCGGGGCAGACGCAAGCCGAAGAGCTCCCGGTTCAATAAAGATTGAACCCCCTGTTAATGCCCTTATGTCCTCTGTATATACCTTATGTTAGATGAATCTTTGATACAGCTGTAGAAACCCTGCAAAATAAATACCAGTAAATGGTTGATCGGTGGCGAATATATCGATAGAGCTGTCTCGGACGATGAAACGAACGCAGGGAATAACGGACCAATATTGATCTGACGGATAGGGGAGGCTATGCCTGAGCCCATGCTATCTTCAGGTAAACGATCATGGGTTGGATATCGATAAGTGATATTTGATGTGAATTCACAGTTCTGGGTCTACCTACGAGTACTCTGTTGTAAACCTCTGGGATGCATATCTATATAGGCGGGTCTATTATGGAACTTAACGTCGAAATAACCTATGTATTAGTCTTTTCGATTCCTATATGAAAATCAAGAGCTCCGTTGGCGAACGTGTTTTATGAAATTAGATGAGCTTCGGATGGAAACGAATACAATCTATAGACAGTTTTTTAGCCAAGCTTTGCAGAAAAAATTATATACCCCGGGGTATGTGGCAGAGGATATACCCGCATTTCTACGTTAACGTACAGCATTCTCCTTCCCTAATCAAACGGGATAGGCTTGATTCCCTGCTGTTTGTTCATCTGGCTCGCCCCAATGGCACTCGGGACCTTGATTCCACAGCAATCGCCCCAAGTGTTCAACAGAGAGTGACCACAGCAATCATCATCCTGGTCACCCTTCTCACTAATGCCGACAGGCACAACGAGAATGCTCCCGAAAAGAAAATGCTGCATTACCGGCAACTTTCCAAGGACTTCTGCCTTGAACATTTTGAACATACCCTCGGCAACCTTGGCCCAGGTTTTTACGCCGGAAATATCGTCCAACATGGGCGAATGCCAGCGTAAGGGCACGTTTTTGACCTCATTGATGAAATTGATGCACTCAAAGTACATGTACTTGGGGTGAAACATGTCCACCATATCCTGACTGCGAATCGACTTGGGCCTCAAGTTTGGATGTGTGTACAACTGCCAGGAACCGAAGAGGAAAGGCAAGAAGTGGTAATCGTCCAAGCCCCACACCCCGTGCGATCCCGCAGGCTCCAACCAGTACTCACGCTGCAAACGGCGCATAAGCGCCATGTAGCGGATGAACACCTTCAACACAAGTGCCTTGTCGTCTTCCGGCACGAAAAGGCGGAGCTCGTCCAAGCAGAGAAGAAGCGCCATGAAGTTGAGCTCGTGGCCCGATCCGTAATCGATACGGGTTCTATTACCAAAAGATTCCGAGAGATATGCCGCTAGTTCAACTGTGGGGTCACCATAGGCTGTTTTCTGATATATCTGCACAATAGGAGCGAGTAACCCCACCACCTGTTCCTTCACGTCGTCGTAGAAGTCTCGGAACTCCACCTTGCCGAATCGCGAGGTGTTCGCGTCTTCCACCACCGGGTGCTGCGATAAGATAGTCTCTATACCGTCAAGCATGGCGAGCAAGGCGTCTATAATCTCTGAAGCGCCCGTTTCTGCCTCATTGGTCAACCCTTTGATAGATGTGGCGAGGCGCTCGATGAAGGCGTTCAACTTTTTGTATGTTTCGGACTCACCCCACTTGGTAAGATCTTCTGGAGTAAGAATCCGCTTTACCGGAATTACAAAGGAAATAGGTTCAGACATGGATATTTGTATACGGATAGAGGGAAGGATTTCCCTGAGGTCACCAAAATGGTTATGCATTGGTATTGAAGAAGGCCGCACTGGCATCTGTGCAGGACCTAAGATGATACGTTGATTACTCCATACATTCTAATTTGGATATATTGAGTAATATATTAGAGCACTGTATGGTTTTAGAACAGTTGGCCAGCAAATGTAGCAAAGGTGTGAAAGCCAGCTTGGATTATTATTCTGACGGAGACATTAGCCATACTCTACGCATAGAACACAAACCGAGCATTACTTGGTGCATTATCTCTAAAATCGCCTTTAACCTATGTCATTAATTCCGTTTCCTCATAGTATTACCCAGATAGGTTCATAACCACATATATACACTTCATGGAAAACCCCAACAAAGCTCTTTAGTCTCGGTTTGCGTCCACAGGTTCTCATAAAGCAATCCCCATACGCTCAAACAGGAAGCATCCAGTCCTCGACCTTGGCTTACCACCCGAATCGCAACTGCGAGGAGGTAAAGACCGGCGGCGTCCAGATGAGCAACTCAGGCTCAAGCACATGCTTCCGCTTCTTAAGCATCTTGTCGTATTGCTGGATGGCCTGTTCCGTGAGCACCAACACGTGCTGGCCCTTGTAATACCTAAGCATGTTCAACGTCTGGAGTGTGTGGAGCACGTCGGCCTGGGTCATGGCAGTCTGGGCGCCGATATCGTCAATGGTGATCTCCAAACCGTTTTCTACGAGTAACTGGATGATTGTGTCCGACCAGTACGCGCGGTAGGAGAGCAACCCCAAATCGGACAACGGTTTTTCCGGCGATCCAAGCTTTTTCTCCACCTTTGACAACATGTACGAGAACTGGATGAGGAGCTTCCCGTACCCGTGTCGCTGATACTGGGGCAATGTGAGAATGCATGCAACGTTGTAGTTCTCCAAGCTCTCTTTTTCCTTCGAAAAGTAGCCCACAAGATGGTGTCCGAGCTCATCGCGCTTGGTCATGCAGTAGAAAAGGAACGGATCCACGTCGTAGTACAACGTCTTGTGGTCAAGAAAGAGTTTGGAGAGAAGACAGAGATTGCGGCACCACGTGCGTTGCTTTCTGCCGTCGATTTCAAAGAAGGAAACGTAGTCATCGCGGTAGATCTCGTTTCCTGGGGGGTGTTTGAGCGTGCACTTGGATCTGAACCGCTCATACTGCTTCAAGGAGCCAAAGTAGTTCATCGTAAAGTCACAGATGTAGATCACATCTTCCTCCGTCAACTCCACAGGGTACGGTGAGAAGTACCATGGCTCAATCTCGTGGCTGCCGATGATCACCTTCGACAAGTTACGTACCTTGGCTGTCTCATGGGTGCTCTGCTGCGACATGGACCCACCCATCCGTAACTTTTTGAGCTCCTCCTCGCGCGACAACTCCTCCCCCTCAGGAACGATTCCCTGGACGTTCAAGTCGTCTAAATCCATCATGTCGGATCCCGTCGACGGGGCTGGGGTGGCCGACTGCGATAGCGAGTCGATCGCCTTGTTCTTCTTCTTCTTCTGTCCTTCCTTGGAGTTAGCTTTCCCCTTGGATGGTGCCTTGGTTTCCTTTTTCGGCGTATCCGGCTTTGGCAACTCATACGGCCGTTTGTAATCGATTCGGTCTACTTCCACCCACTCATCCAAACGCTAAAGGTTAGTATCATCTGAGAAGTCATGGTACCAAAACATACCTTGTTGAACTCAACGTAATGCACGTAGAACACGAGCCGCCCTTTCCTGGTGTGAGTCGAGAGAATGTCTGCGCGTCTGAACTCTCCGTCCTTTTCTACATACACCTTCCAGCCGATAAGGATGTCTTCGGGCTGGAAGAGCTCCACCTCGCTTTGCGTCACCACCTTGGCTGATGGCGGCGGTACCACCTCCTTGACTTCAGAGGGGTCTGTCATAGTTATGTAAGGTTGTTCTGACGATAGATTGAGTGGAATGGCATACATTTGGTTTTGTTTTGCTTCAGTTCTTTGGGAGTACGTCTGATGGTTATGCGCCCTGAGTTTTTACTGCATGCTTCTCAAGAACTCCGACAAAGGTCTCAGGTGGATGTGGCATCATATATTAGTTTATCCAAAGAGTTGTCCTTTATTAATAATGTACCAATCTACAACGAACAATTATCATAAACGTTATTTTTATTTTTATAACTCATAAGAAAGAATGCACCTAAAACCTATTATACAAAAGCATTCTCAATATACAAGTCACCTCTAAACTAGTGTTCCAGCAATATTTAGAATGGACGTTCACCCCTTGGCGTGATTCTGTAGGCGTGTCTGACACTAGAAGCGTCCCAATCCAAAACGGCAGTGTGCAAAAGTCTTCTGTTGTCCCAGACGACAACGGTGCCCGGCTGCCATGTGGCACGAACCTGCATGTCGACGCTGTTGATAGCGTGGGCAGACAAGAAGCTCACCAAGGCTTGCGATTCCTCAACCTTCAAGCCGTTAATCTTAGTGATGAAGGCGGTAGAAATGAACAAGGACTTTTTACCGGTGACCGGGTGGGTTCTGACGATCGGGTGATCATGTTGAGAAGGCTCTCTTCTCTCAATGCCACCGGAAGCCTTCCCCTGTCTGGCCTGTTCGAAAGAGGAGTGGTTTGCGGTCAAACCCTCCAACATAGACTGGAAAGCCGGTGACAACCGGCTGTAAGCCTCTTCGGTGTCACAGAACACAGTATCACCCCCGGTAGATGGACCCTCCAACATGGTGAAGAAAGTGATACACGGTGGCTGTTCTTCGTAGGTAACATCAGAGTGCCAGTTGACAGAAGTGGTTCTGGAGGCAAAGTTGGTAGCATACTCGTTGGAAGATTCACGTCTATAAGTGATATGGAATTCTGGGTGGTTCAATGGAGCACCGGAAGATGGGTGCTGATGTAACGGGCCAAAGTATTCACCGAACTTCTTGTTGAATTCAAGACCTTTGTCCTTCAAGTCTTGATCTCTGAAAACTACAACTCCCCTTTGGGCGACGTACAAGGCAAGGTCATCTTTCTGCTTGTCGGTCAACTGAGACAATTGGATACCGCGAACCTCACTCCCCAACTTTGGAGTCAAGTCCTGGCGGGTATGGTCACCGCCCTCTGGGAACAAATTCTTCAAGTCCTTGTCTGCAAAATGACCTCTGTCAACGTGTTCGAATGGTGTGTATTGGGGAAACTTTTGCTTTGGGTCCCAGGTTGGAAGCCACTCTGGGTACTTGGAGTGTTCAATCTCACCACTAGCAACCGTCAAGGTACCGTCAGCCAAGACTTGATCCTGATCCTTACGGAAGTGGATATCCAAGTTTTGGGCAGATTCGAAAGTAGTAGTCATCTTGTGAATGTAATGCGTAAAGTCAAGCAAAGTTCAAGTCAATTGAATTATTGGTTAATGAACCAAACGAAAGCATTCAGCAATTGTGGGAAAACTGTGTTATTTATATTACGAGATACCCTGAAGGCAATACTATTCTTAGTAAGCATGATCGGATCATACTATATGATTGAAATGTGTGGCAGTTAGACTTTGAACCACAGTTTCGAGAACACAGTGGAAAGCACCTTCGTGCATATCGCCTGGTCAGGCGATTACCAGGATAAGCCGGCAGTGTGCATATTGGCGAGGACGTCAAATCTTGTGGGTGGCGACCCGTTAGTAGTGGCCTGTCAGCTTTTCTTACAATACGGAGTGATGGTGGCATTGTATCACGAGGCGTAATGCTAACGTCATATTCGTCATTTCTTACCTTATCCCGTGCATTTGCATATGTTTATGCTGGGAGTCACGTGAATTTATGCAATATTGTGGATATATGCAGAGCCATATAGATCAAGCTGTGTAACTTCCCCCGCGTATGGATCCCAGAGACTTACCTCTGAGAGGCAAGTGGTATTTAGAATTTTAGCATACAGAGAACGTTGTACCAGTTAGTGTTTGGCCTAAAAAAGGGCACGGGAAGGAGAACGGGTCTACCCCACAAACGTCTAACCTTATCCAAGTGTCCTTCTTGGGTTTTAAACCTGGGGTACAAGAAATAAGTCTTCACGCTCATCCACCGGCGATGCCTGACCAACAGACCTACCGGGCAGGGGAGAACAATTTTTCGTCTTCTTGAGCCAATTACATATGGTAGGCCCTCCTATTCAGAGCAGATTTTAGAGGTGTGGCCAAGGTCTCAAACACTCTAGCAGATGCATATCTTAACATCCAAGCTCAACTGTCGGTCTACAACGAAACTACCATGGAAATTTCTGTTATCGCCGTAGGCACATTTAATGTGGGAGGTGAGTTACCCCCATTCGTTAAAATATCGATAAAGATCTGACGCACGTGACATACGAATGTCCCTGTGAGTTCAGGCTTTAACTTGTACTACCAAAATTAAGTGAAGTCCGCAACCACTCAGAGATATCCCCCTCTCACCTCCGTCCTTCAGCTTTTTAATCATCAGCAACTTCTTAATAGTTGTAATAAAGATTAGAGGCAAAAAAAAAAAAAAATAAGATAAACGATAGCGCTGCTCGGTTTCGATCCGAGGACATCAGGGTTATGAGCCCTGCGCGCTTCCACTGCGCCACAGCGCTAGCCGCAATGGCTGCCGAAGTTAGAGACCAGATCGGTGCGACATTTTATGGGGTTACGCTGACGTTGCATTGTACGATAAATGGAACTACACATTGTGATTCTGATGAATATAAGCACAGATGGTGATTACAATGGATTTAACCACCGTGGTGGTTCAAATCCAGAAGGGCTATATAAAGAGGTGGTTTCCCGTGAATGGGAAAAGAGTCTAGTTTAGAAGTATTTTTATTTTTGTGGAAAGTCGTGATTGTATCTAGTGGGTTGCTATCTTGTATAGTTTTTATTCTAGAAAGAAAATAGCCTTTATTTTGGAGACTCTAAGAAAATCATTAAAATCTCTCTCAGTTGGCAGTTGATAGTATGCCACTGAAACAGTGACAATGACACGATTTACCCGTTTATAAAGTTGCTGATGCCTTGAGTCGCATCGAAATGAATAAATTGACGACCGTCTGTGTGGAACTGTTAGATGACACATTTTACCAAGAGATCAAACATGAGTACCCCGAAGTTTCCGGGTTTCGATAGATATACTATATTTTGTTAAACAAAAAAGGAGCCCCAAAAGAAATTAATAAACATATCCTGTAGTGTGTCACAAGTTCCTCATCCTACACAGATATACTATATTAACTAATTAATCACTTAAGCCTTTTGTAAACCTATATCGGCCTTGCTTCAATATTTTTTTTTCTTTTTTTTTTGTATAGTTATTAATATAGATCCAAGGCGATACCTTGTAATATACACGTTAAATAAACCAGAAAGACACGAGGCAACGCCCGATGATAACTAATGGCTCTATGCTTAGACTCTCTCATACATCAAAATGTACGAGCTCTTAATACCGTCAACGTCAGTGATCGCTACAACATCTTCTGCCTTCACCATTTGCACGTTGGTGTCGTCAATTCGGATCCAATTGGATTTATCTGGCGTCACAACATCGACGGTGTAGTGCCCGCCCGCGGCGCTGGTCCCATGGTGGTAGACAACCCCAATTAACTTGTAGTTGTTATCGGATTCTGCCTGCTTGTGGTGTTTCTTGTAGTAGTTTGACAAGCATTCCGTCGGGATCTGCAAATCACGAGAGTACTTGATGGTCTTTCTGAGCTTCTCGATGCGCCCGTAGGTGTCAGATTCGGCGTCATCCTGGAAGTACTGGAAGCGCTTTAAGTGGATAATAAACACCTTGGGTAAATTGTCCAAGAAACACTGCTTCTTCGCCATCACCTCGTGGTTGGTGGAGGACTTATAAGGGATCATTTCGGGTACGGAGAGCAACTTGAAACAGTCCTCTAGGGTATGGGCCCTAGGGTCCGAGATGTCCAACTGGAAGTGCTGGAACGGATCTAACGTGATCGACTGCGCTTCCTTGTTCTTCGGGATATCGAGAACGGAGCGGAACTGGCCCCCAAACAACACAGTGATCGGCGACGGTCTGACCTCCACCGTACGCTTGACGGCCACCTTCTTTTTCGAGCCCACTTCATGCCAGCCGTCTTCCTCATCGTCTTCACTTTCTTCTCGCTCCTCGCTGCCGCTACTGCTGTTGCCCCTGCTAATGGTTTCCAAAGCACTAGCCATCTTCACTCTGGTCTCGCCCTGTACTGAGCCTAACAACTTGGTACGTTCGTCTGCACTCAAACTGCAAATGGATTCGACAAACTCCTCGTGCAACCCGTCCAAGAGATACCCGAGGAACTCCTCGGCGTCCTCCTGCTGGCCCCAACGGAGATGCTTGAAGCGCGTGGTGGCGATGATGGACTTGTAGAAGTGTTCCGGGTTCAACGACTGGCCGACCTGGTCTGCAGCGTCCTGCGATGTCTTTTCAAACTGGTTGAGAAAAAGGATCGTTGCGTCGAGCAATGGCGTCTTCGAGTTGCCCATTGATGCGGCAGATTTCTGTGATATGACCCGCAAGATATTGTAGAACGGCTCACAGTACAACAACAACTGGAGAATCGCGTTCATGAAGCAGATGTTGCCCGTGTTCAAGATCCCGTGGGGCAAGATAGGAATCTTTGACTTTGGCAAGTAACCCGGCTCATACATGATCCGCAACAACACAAGCCCCAAGGCTTGCACCCCTGTGGCCAGTGGGGCCGGCGAAGCCGCTCTAGGTATATCCGCCTGGAACATGTCCGACCACTTCTTCGGCTTCGGTATTGACTCAGACTCGGTGGCAGGCGAGGCAGCCCTAGTAGACTTGGAAATTTCTGTTTCTGTTTCCGAGTCGAACGGCGTATTGTAGGCTGTGCTGGCGGGGGAGACAGGAAGAATTGGTGGGGTTTCCGATTTGGAATGTAGCTTGTTGAATTTATCCATAAGCGCCTTGCGCTTTTGTTTTCGGATGGCGCGCGACAGATCGCGGTTGGCCTCAAAAAGTGCAGCGGTTGTGTTATAGTACAAAGGAAACCGCTCATCGTCGGTATATGTGTCATGCTTGGGCGACTTTAGCGTCTGGGTTATGCTGGAAATGCGATGTGTGGATGTGGACTGAGTTTGCGTGTTAGACATTTTGGGGATATGAGTACATGTATTAGGAAAATGCAAATAGGAGACAAATGTATGAATGGGGGTTATAAATAGCGATTAATAGGGTATAAGATGCGGAGAGTCTAGATAGGTGTCCTATAAATCGGTGCGGTTCATTTTCGTAATCTGAAAAAAATAGTTGGCCACTGGCGCCCGCCGAAACAAATTTTTCTAGACGCTTCCGAGCCGCACGCCCAAACAGAGGTCAACCAACGATATCCAGGAGACATATAAAAACGTCAATGTAATCGGTTATTAAGAACCAACGATGAGGGGAGGCAAGTAAATGGGGTTGCCTTTGAATTCAGTTTAGAACGTTGGTATCTACAAGATGCTAGGCAGAGGCCATGGCTTAGTAAAAGGTGTGGTTGAGATGTAGGATCATTTGGTATATTTGAGGTGTACTTGTTTCACTAGTGAGTGTTGTAAAGGTATATGCTCATAGGATTAGCAGAATTCCAATATAAAATCAACACTTAGATCTATATTCAACTGTCAAACACATACATTGCAGGCAAATGGCAGATATATTCAGACAAGCTGCGCCCGAATAGTCCAACGATACGGTAGGTGGATATCTCAGACCTTGACACTTGGTCTAAAATTCAATTAAGGACGCGGGATAATCTGCTGCAAGCATTGGCTAGCTTCGAGAGGTTATTGCTACCCAATCGAATATTGATATGAACCCCTGAAATGTAATCATACCACAAAGTGTTGTATCAAGTGCGATCAAAAAACATCGCTATTGAGCCTGATCCATGCATCCGTGTCCAAAAACTCCACCCTTACCGAGTTGTCAAACAATCCACGGTGCTTCAGAACAAGATAGACAGCTAATAGATGTTCACAACAGGGCACAGGATCCACAAAGCACATAGTTTGGGCACACGCGGTACCATACCCCCCGTTAGTCCCCTCCTGTGGGATTTGGGTAGATTCAAGGAACTGGAGGAGGTAGGTGGCGCACGAACAGTACCAACTCGGTAGATGGACAAAGGAGTCACTGGCTGCCTGCATCTTCTTTCGCTTCTTAGGAATTTTCAGTCCATCTTCCTTAACGAGTACAGTGGCAAATTTTAGGCGTTCCATAGCCTCTGCTGGCCCCTGCTCTGGAAGGCTGAGATGAATTGCTCTCAACTCGAGCAAGCGGATGCATTTGATGAACGTGAGCGGAAAGAGCATCGCTAACACGGTGGCGTTGTCTTGGTTTAGAACTGGCATCCCTCTCTTATGGGGTTCATGTTTCAGAAATAAATCATCTAGCAACGAATCAATGAGATCGAGCTTGAATTGCGGATCTTCTAGGCAGCAAGATGCGTCCATAGGGATTGTACATGGGCGGTGACTTATACGGTGTCAAATTGCCGATCCTGATAACAGATTGTGTTCTCAGCCCAATAGTATAGTGAAAGATGTCCGTAGAAAGTCTGCTGGAGATGATCAGAAAAGAGGCTCATGACGGTGTACATCAATAAGATGCGGGCGGCAAAATTAAGCGTACATTCGTGTGGCCGCATGTGGTGAAAATTATAGTTTCAGGGTTTGAGCGTATCTTGCGTTGGGCCCCCGGCAAAAGATTCATCTTGGGTTAAAGAATGGAAATAGACGGGAATAATTGAATATAAATCCAATTTAGGGCGATATAATTGAACTCACCTTCTAAGTTACAATGATATTCGGTGAGAAGCGAGTGGCCAATGCATAACATGAGGTTCCTGGGGTAAATAGCACTGATACAATTAGGTAAACCAGCTAAAGTCAAGGTTGGCTCAGATATATTGGAGAATTCTATAAAACTTTCTGGCGAAAAGACAAATGGTATAACCCTAGGTAGTACTGCAGTAATATAGCCCTGTGTTAGCCAATTATTAAACTGTCACACGCATACCTATATAGTGTGTCATTGTTTGAAGCACAATTACACCTATTAATAACAGGGTCCAAAAGTATCATAGTTACTGCCTTATACACTATAACTGAATATAGCTTTAAATAGCGCAGTCCTTCAAAGAATTCCCTACAGGCTAGTCTGCAAATGGATATCAGAACATTATTTTAGTGCCACTTTCGACCAATGTATATCTCAACTAAATAACCGAGCTCCAATTCATACAGTCTTTTGCTCTGGTTCTTCCTGCTCCTCTTTCAACTTGCGGATGACCGATCCCCAAATGCGCATCCCCTGTATGATCTGCTTCTCGCTCAACAAACTGATAGAAAGTCTGACAGAACGGTCGCCCCAGCCGCGCTCATCGCCGGTAACCTCAAAATTGTCACCGCCAGCCAAAACCACACCCTGCTCCTTGCATAACTCTACGACCCGGCGACAATCCAAGCCCTCGGGAGTGGTGATCCACACAAAGTAACCACCCTGGCCGCCCTCCACCACGGTACCAGTGGGCAAGAACTTACTCGACTCAAACACACACTGTGCACGCTTCGCATACGTCGCGCGTAACGTCTGAATCACTTCGTCGAGCTGGCCGCTCTCCACAAGCTCGCCAACAATGCACGTGTTCAACTGCGCAGGCGAGCCCCCGGACTTGTTGGCCCCACCTTGCGAAAGTTGGTTGCTCAAGAGCGGCGACACGGTCTCCTGCCAGCCCACGCGCAAGCCCGGGCCAATCAACTTGGAAAATGTGCCGTTGCTCACGGTGTGACCATAGTCCGCTTTGTCAGCCATCGACTCTCTGTCAAGTTCGACCAAGCGCGCAAGCGGACGCGGCGGCTGATCAAGAGGCGTATCAAACGACAACAAGTCGTAAACGTCATCACAGACCAAAAGCACGTCGTGCTTCCTGGCCAACTCAATGAGCCGCGTGCGTGTCGCAAGGTCGTAGGAGCCACCGCGCGGGTTGGAGTACGCCGGAACAAGGTACATGACGTAACGGTAAAGACGCCTGTTAGCTCTTCTCGGATCGCGCATCGATGGGATGGCGTCAGAGAAGGTGGGGGTGGTCTCAATTGGCGAGACGGAGTCATAATGCTGCAATTGCGTCTCCAAGTACGCGAGATCCAACACGCCGCCGCGTTGCTCTTCGATCGCTGTGAGCTTACCACCGAACCCCGCATCAATAAACGTCCCATTGATCAAAAAGTAGGTTGGTGAAACAATAAACACGCGGCGTGTGTAGCTCTGCGAGGTGGTTTGTGCGAGCAAGTTCATAATCCCGTAGGACGCACCACCCGTGAGGTTGAGACAGTCCGCGTCCGTCGCGGTTGCGCGGGTAAATGTGCGGTCGATCCACTTTGCGAACTTGGCTCTAACCGCGAGATTACCTCTGTCGGTACCATACTGCAAGGGGTGGGTGTTGTTTGGGTCGTTTTCGTACTGGAACGGGTCTTCCTGGAAGCGTTGGAAAACAGCCTGCGACGCCGCAGAAAGCGCCGCAGACGGGAGCAAATCGGCCGTCGGGTGGCCCTTGAAAAAGTTAATCGACATGATACAGAAGAATTGCAGTATGGGAAAGAAGGGATAAAGGGGGTGTTTAAATATTGGGGAGTGTGGCTCGGCTCTTTCCCCTCAGTTGGAATCGCGCAGACTATCAAACATAATGTCCTGCAGGGATAGCTTTATACGGCGTTGATGCATCCAGCCGGTTGCATAGATACCAGAGCCCGGTGACTGAGTACTAATCATAGCAGCCTCCCACTCTTATATGTAGTTATTATTTTAATCCAAAATATATCCAACTCCTTCCTTTTGGAGTAGAACCATGATCAACTGAATTGATACTGTATCAAATACATTTATATCCACATCTATTTTCACTCCGTGTAAACCGGCTGCAATAATATCCCAATGCAGTATGTCTAGCCGCGTAAACAAAGTAGATGCCCTATTGATAGAGATTTATCCAGGGACTTTAGTGGCCTATGTTAAATTCTAGTTTTACTTGACTTTATTTAGCGTTATTAACCAGTCCGGTTGAGAGATAAACTGCGATTTGTGTTTCCTTTTTGTGATATGCTTGCGGTCTTTTCAAGTTAATTGACGGCACGAGAGCTTTAGGCAATAGCGATTACCTTGGTACCTAGAGTTGATATCACCAGTCTGACGTAATTCGAGGTAAAGGAATACAAAGAATGCAACCACACACATCCGGTAGTGTATCCTTGAGACACTGTTTGAATTGTTTTCTGTCAACGCCCTAGAACTTCCAGCAACACAATAAATATCACTCTAAATTCGTGATATAAAGAGTAAGGACCAGAATAAGATAGGCGTATTTATAGTAAATCCTGTAGCGGAATAATTGACCGATAGTAAACCCACAATGTATAGCCTTTGAACCTGGAGACAACCTATTTATTAATTTGGACATTTGTCATTCCAGCTATAGGATGGATCTTTGGACCACATCCACGGTGGGCTCAGCCTTGAACTAGTCAGAGCCAAAAGAGTTGATACACCTCTTACTGCAGTTCGTATACTAGGATGTTACCCCAGCGTGTCTACGAGAATAAAGCCGGATAACTATGGTAAAGAATAATATACAGATAGAATAATACAGCGGAATTAACATAAAGCAAAGCTTAATACAGAAATAAATAATAGGTTAGATGCTCATCTTGGCCAACTGGATGACGGCCTCCCTGGTCTTGGCACCGCCAATGAAACCGGCGGCATGGACGAAGATGCAGCCTGGGACACCAGTCAACTGGGACAAGGCGTCATCTCTGATACCCCTCCATGGCTCCGGCAAGGCCTTTCTGTTCTGGAAGGAGGTGGAGGTCAAGGAGACGGTGGAAATTCTCCACGCACCGGAGGAGTCACCGAACAAGACGTACAAGATTTCGTTTTCCTTGTCAGCCTCTTTCTCGATGCAGTACAAGTGTTCCTTCCAAGGGCAGAACTGGTCCAAAACCATGATCTTTCCCGATGGATCGACGTCAAATCTGGCGTTGAAGGCATCCTCAACGATGGTTCTGGCTGGTAACCAGCCGTTGCCGTACCCGTCCAACAAGTTCATAAAGACCTCACCCATCAAGGCAGAGGCCTTGTGGAACTGTCTGTCATAGTCAGCGTCAGTTGGGTTGGTATTCCAAGATGGGTTCAAGTGAGACACGATGGAAGGCAAGGTGATGTTCTTGTCGTGGAAATTTGGCTTGATGTCCGCAGCATAGTTGTTGATCCCATTGTCGTTGGCATCCAAAGCCTCGACAAAGTCTTTGTAGATCTTCAAATACAACAAGTCGATTTGCAGGGCCTGTTTGGCGTCGGAGAGTGACAAGTTTAATTTTTCGCTGATGATTTCCTTCCCGAAGTGCTTGTACACCAAGCCAGCAGAGGACAATTTAGTCTTGTAGTCAGCGGAGAAAACCTCGTCAAACTCTCTCTGGTGGTGGTCGAAGAACTTTTCGCCATCGTACTTACCGCTAACATCGACCACGATGTCGGCCTCCTCCCATTGGGCCGGGTCTCTGGATCTGACAACCTCGGCGTCGGCATACTTCTTCAAGGACTTCAAGAGGTATACCGCCAAGGATTCGTCGGCATGAAAGGAGCCGGAGTGGGTGCAGATTCTGAGCATTTCGGAGTCTAACTTGAGCTTTTTGGAGACAGGTTCGGACATAGCAATGGGAGGATCGAAAACAGATAAGGTGTAGCAAAATGGTGGGAATATTTTTCAGCCGCCGCACCAGGGTGCGATTACGTCAGCAAATTGCTCGCTACCAGGCATGTTAGGAAAAATTCATGTACGAAGCGATGGCCTTACATAAAGCGGAGCTACCAGCCTCTCTCACGTCTCTTCCCGTGCTATACCACCCCCACCTAATGTCGATGTTTAGATTCCCAAAGATGAACAGATCCAACTTGGAGGTCTTCAGAGTATGTGCTATATACCGTTTGAGCTACTATAGATACTAACCCCCTTGCAGTTCAGTTTCTACCTCTTGACGCCGATTGCCGTCATGTTCTGGGTCGGGATCGACACTGACAAAAAGTTCAACGTGCCCGGCTTCTGGCCAGCACCAGAGACCTTGAACAAGATCCCTAAGGAGCCTCACGAGATCCAGGCTGAGTTGCTCAGAATGAAGAGAGCCGACATCGCCAAGAGACAGAGATTGGAGGAGAAGGCCAAGGCCTTGGGCATCAGCTTGGACGACGAAGAGGAGAAATGAGTGGCGTCCGTTTGTATTATAGCCAAGAATCGTGTATATAGTATTTTCTGTCGCGAATATACGTGGTGTATGAAGGGGTGTAGGCGGAAATAAAGGATGGTTGGAGACACATCTTTGGGTGGGCGTCCCTGAGTTGTGCTTGGTATGTTTAAATCATGGGTTATTAAATTTGCCCAAAGATGGAACCATAAGATTTTAAACGTGATAGTGACAATTTGGGATTGATCATTAACTCTAAGGGTGCATGTTATTCCTTCCAAATAGGATGTTTGAAGCACAAGCGGATTTCAAGCTCATACTTGTTGTGCTTTAAACCTTACGTATAGCCTGCAGTTAATCTGAACTTTGGTAAATATAATTGTATGTACAAGTGATTAGCTAAATGCCTATTTCTTGGCCTGCTGTCTTGGCTTGTTGATGATCTGGGCGTACTGGGACGACGCCTTCGCCTGGGCAACCCTCTTCTTGTTGGCATCAGCCTGGTCCTTCATCAACAACGCCCTCTCGGCCTTTTTCTCGGCCTTTTCCTTCTGTTCCTGGAAGGTCTCTCTGACGCTCTCCATGAAGGTCTGATTCTTGGCCTTGGCAGCCTCTACCGCTGGCGGCGGAACAAACTCCGCCAAGCCGAGCGCTTTACGGAACGGCTTGAACTTGATAAGCATGGTCTGGGTGATGGAGAACAACGCGTTGGTGAAGAAGTAAACGATGATTGCAGACGCAAGGTTCATAGTCAACGGGATGGACAAGATAGGCATGATGGTCATGATCTTCTTCATAAACGGCTTCATCTGGCCGTTGCTCCCGAGTTCACCGCCCAACTGCACAAAACCAGCGAAACAGGCGGCAGAGATGACTTGCAAGGCGACGTATGGGTCCGGGGCGGTCAAATCGGTAAACCACAATATACCCTGGTCAGAGAAGCCCTGGACCGGGTAGTTAGCCATGTGGCGGAGGCCGGTGAAGAAACCAATAGCAAGTGGAAGCTGCAAGAACGGCACCATCATGAATCTCTGCTTGATACCCTCAGACTGCAACAACTTCTTACGTCTCAACGCCACCTTCTGCTGCTCCATGGTGGTCTTTGCCTCCTTGATATCCACGAGCAACTGATCCATCTGCGGCTTAATCTTCGACATCCTGGCCATCATATCGGACGACTTGATGTACAAAGGGAAAAGTGCCAATCTAAGCCCAATAGTTGTTGCCACAATGGTGGCCCACCACGGCATCCCCGAGTACACGTGCACGCACTCCAAGATGTTCTGGATCAAGTCTGGCGGCCAGACCCACGACTTTGCAAGTCCAATAGAGTCCAAGTACCCGATCTGATCGGAAGTCATGCCACCCACGGCTTCAGCGGCCTCCTGGACCTTGTCAAACGCAGTCAACTGCGTCTTGATCTCCGACACCGGAGCGGTCGAGTTGAAGCGCATGGCAAGGCCTGCGGAGCGGAGCGCAGGTATCTGGCCCGGGCGAGTCAACCCCAAGGCCCGGGTGGTGCGGAAACAGTTTCTGAGCATTTTGTTGCGAAAAAAAAAAAGAAGTGAATGGTTCCGCGGAGCGTGTGTGTCAATGTTGAAATATTGGTACGTGAAAAATCTGATGCTTATGTAAGCAAAATGTAATCACGTGATTGTCGTTGGCGAACAGGAGATGGGGCTAGATTCAAGACAGTAAGTGGAAATAGTACTATCGATTTATGATAAAGGTTAAAGTTGTTAGGGTATCTGGGGTTACGTAATTTGGGTGTGAGAGGTATCATTTCCATAATGTGGGAATGGTCCTAGGCACACGAAATTCCACGACTAACTGTAAGAGACGATGTGCATGATTGGCACAAGATACGGAAATTTTTAGGCCATTCTATCGTACTAAGTGCTTTTATTAGAGAAACATAGTTTTTTATGACTGTGTTGAACTTATGCAACGGGGAAAAAGGATAGTATGGGAAAGTAACAGACCCAAATCTGAAGGACCCGTGCGGCGGTATGAGCTATCCCATATGGGACCTCCAGTACTGACACCTGAAGCTTACAACGAGTAGTGATAATTGCACAATCACCACTTTTTCTCTCCCCAAGCTCAATTAATTTTTGAAGGTACACACAATTAAACCATAAATCTACTCTGGACCTCTTAGAGGGTACAAGTAGAGGCGTTACATTCCCATGCCACCCACACTCTGAGGTGCCCCATATGCGGCTGTTGACTATCTCGGCGCCGCACCACTCCAGGAATTTTTCACTGAGCCATACTTACCATGAAGTATCAGTTTATATCATACCGTGACACTACCACCCATTGTCTATACACCTTGATGTTCAAAATACAGAACTGTCTAAGACACCAGCGAAGGGGGCTCTTGACGAGACGCTCCCAATCCGTCACGGCTTCGGGTCTCACCCCAGTTCACAATGCCCTCTCCCGCATCCAGAGTCTTAGCCCAGGGTCCGAGATCACATTCACACAGCTTCAGTCGCTTACAGAGGAGCTTCTCAGCATGCAACAAAGTGATACAATACGCCTCGCCGCGTTAGAACCATTGATACGCCCTCACCGCGCACAGTTTTTGGAGTTTATCCACGCCAAATACAAGACCATGTTCGCGGCCAAGCGCTTGGGCGCGATTCTTGCAGAGCAGCGCGTCGAAGAGGCCCATCCCGAAACCAAAATCCTGCGCAATATCCACCAGTTGGAGCCCTTTATCCTCAGTCAACCCTCCATCGTGCTTGACTTTTTGCGTGAGGAGTTTCCTGAAAAGGGTACCGAAATGGTGAGGTTTATCCATAAGGCACGCTCTTTGAATGCGCTAGATGTAGCTTATTTGCTGCCGTTGATCCTGCCACACTACTACGAACTTGCTCGTCTCCTCCGTGATGCCTGTGGGAGTGGGCCCGTATCTCCCTCCATGGCACACAACCTCGCACTCATGGCAGTTCTCCACAATAACCTGTCACAGCAAGCATTTGCGCTCATACACGATGCTCTAGCGGAGAAAATTCCCCTTGACCAGTCCCTCTTGGAGTCGTTTTTTGCCTCGCTAGTAGGGAGCAGCTTGGATGCAGCTTTCACACTCCTCCAGTTGTTGCATTCACACAACCTCCATCACCTCACGTCACACAATTTAAATCTGTTTTTGGCAGAGGCCGCCTCGCAAAGCCAATTTGAGAAAGTCCTATGGGTGTGGAACAAATGCGTGAAAAAGGGCTGGCTCCAGGTGGAAAACGGCTCGCTTATGGCCATTGCCAAAGCAGCCAACCGTCTCGGGAAAACCACGTTTGTGAAGGAAGTGTACCAACACTACATTGTGCACCAGCCTCACCCCCCATCCTTCATTGCCCAGGCCTCTAGTGTGAGCGAGAACCTTCTGGAACTCTACGCATTCAAGAAAGAAGTGATGATATACCGTGTGGAAGACGCGGCCCGGTGGGAAAACCATCGCTCTGTGTTCAAGATCTTCAACGAGAGCTATCACGAGCTTCCGCGCGACGTCAAAGACAGTTTGCGTGTGGCAGACTTTCCACATTTTATCAACTTGCTCGCCAAGCGATACAAGGAAGATTACTATCAGAAAACCTACGGTTCGTCTCTTGAAGAGGTGATGATGGGCAGATGGCGGATGGCTCGCATCATGTTCAACCTCAACATCGTGGCGTTGATCAAGGCCGGTCAGGTCCATTACGCTGTGGACCTCGTCAAGAAGTTCAGGGGGCTCGCGTGGATCCGTATTGACAATGAGACGTTTTTCTACTTGCTCAAGGCTTGCCAGCTCCAGGAAAAAGACGACTTGTTTCTCATCGTGTTGCAGCTCAGGCGCCAGTCCTTCCGCCGCGTCAAGCTCAACTACAATACATACGTCGTGTTATTCCACTACTTTCTCCGCAACCGTGACCTCGCGCTCTGTGAACTCTACCTCCGCGAGTTTGTTCTGAGCGGCTTCACCGTCGATCTGTACTTGGAGACGGTTTTGGGGAGCGAAAGAGAGTTGTTGATGAAGTACAAGTAGCTGGGCGGGTGCTCATAGGAGAAGGTTATGCATAAACCGCCTTTGAATCGCAATATCTGTAAATAGAACGAAATGGTAAAGATTGGTAATTACTGTGGTAGAATTGGCTTATAAAACCGCGACAATGGCATTTAAATTTTCCAGTACACTGAGTGTAGGGGATCTGGTGAATTGAGGTCGCCATATAGGCACAAAATCTGTACAACAAAGTTTAATGAATGGAGCTTCAGTTTCCAAAAACTCTTTAATAGGCCTGTACCAGTTGTATACGAAGATAAGCCACAGGTATTTACGTAGAGCAGTATGGTTGCATCGCGGTACTCCGATTGCCTTCTATCCATGATATTTTATCTCGTCGAATCGCCAAAGTGGCCTGTTGCCTCGCTTTGTCTGAGATGTATTGTTTTGTTAAAGCGGTTCTCGATAATGGCAGACACTGTCCCTGGTGGGTGTACCTGTTCATCTCTATGCATCAAGTCTTTCCTAGCTGCATATGCTTTTCGACAGACCGGGGGATGTCCCAGATTAGTATAAGGTACGGCTGATGAAACTGCTACCTCGTCGAAATCGTCCCCCTGCCGCGAATATCTCCGATGGTTGACGATGCCAACTGCACCTGTAACCATTCTGACGGACTTTACGTGATATTTAGATAGGTGCATGCCATATAGGCTTAACTTTGGTATCTCAACCACCCGGCGAACCTACAGGCATATGCTCCAATCACCCATTTCCCCATAAGAGCATATTGTATGCATGTATGCGGCGCGCGGTCAAACTTGCATATTAGGCTGGCACGGTGAGAGTTATCGGGCTGTAATCACGAAGCTGTAGACATTTTTACACCCAGTGGACTCCTTAACAGTCCCGAAACACCCAATCCTTTCCCTAGCAACTCCGAGTTTTCTTTATTCCGGTATACAACATCCCCCTTGAAACGTATCTCTCCGGTGCTAGTTCCTTGCGAGCTGCCTGCATGCAGGACTTTTTGAAAAACGTTGGCGCATGTCGTGCTTAATGGGGAATTCGTCTCCGGCCGACAGCTCTAGCGCCTTATGTCTCCGACTTTCGAGTTGCACTGACTGTAAAATCATCCCGCATTCGATGAGCAGCTTATTTGAATTGTGCTAACCGTTAGTTTCACCAGATGAGACCGAATTCCCCGACTATCCATAACCTTACCCCTTAGCAAGTCCTATACTGCACGGTCCACCCCTGCTAACTTACAGGAATACCTAGTCCTCACTACACGATTGAAGATTGCTCCAGGAAGCATACTACGCACCAACTGAAGATTTCCATTTGAGAGCCATCCTCTATCTATCTAGGATTTGTGTCCTATCGCCCTCCCTCACCAGCCTCCAAGAGCCTGCGACAGAAGCCTTGACACGCCAACCACCTGCTCCCTCGTGGATTTAATAACTGGATACTTGACAAAAAGACTACCAAAGCATACCAACGCAGTTATTGCATCCTTCAACCACAGTTTGAGTCTGGCCGGTCTTTCCCACCAGATTTTTGTGGGTACGAGTCATTTTCGAATATTCTCTTACACCAAGTCTATCAACATAATCCCTGATTAGACTTTTTGGTTCAGATCTCCCAGACGGTATCTTCCTAGGTATACTCACGTATAACTAGCGCATAACTGCTCTCCCGATTACTAGTTCGCGTCATGGGTTACACAATAAAACAAAAAATTGACATCTGTCTCATGTCGGAGTCCAACCCCGAGATGACCCAGGCAGACCTCGCACTCTGGACCCACCGCAAGTACGGCACCTCCAAACCACCCTCCCAGACCACCATCTCGCGCATTCTTTCCTCTAAAACCCAACTCATCTCCCTGAAAAAGCACGAGTTTGCCTTGATTCGCCGCCGCAAACCTTCCAATCTCGTACTCCGCAACGTGCTCCAGGAGTGGATCTCGCAATCCATCTGGGATGGGATCCCCGTCTCCATTCCTATCATGCAACATGCGGCCCATGACTTTTGGTATCGCCTTCCCAGCGACTTACGCCAGGGTACCGGTGAGTTCAACTCCAAGTGGTGCCACCAGTTTCTTCACAAGGTGAATATCAAGCTCAACTCGTTGGACCACCATGCGCTAACCACGTCCCAACACAAGATCTGGACGTTTGAGGAGCGCGTGGCGCTCCAGGGCGAACTCAGCCAGTACAATGTCAAAGATATCTTCTCTATCGATGAAATCCAGTTGTGCTACAACCTTCCGCTCGATAACGTGTATTACAATGAGTACCCAAACTTTCTCCAGAAAAAGTCTGCCATTCCCCACGTCACCGTGATGTTTGGCATCAACGTGGATGGCTCTGAGCGGCTTGAGCCGTTGATTGTGGGGAATTATGAATATGAACGAAGCGGTGGTACCGGCTATACCTCTGCGGGTCAATCTTCCGCGGGTCAATCTTCCGCAGGTCAATCTTCCGCAAAATACTTTGAACGCAACGGCATCACGTACAAGTCCAACCGCAAGGCGTGGCTCACGTCCACGATGTTCTACGACTACCTCTCAATTTTGGACAAACGGTTGGCGATGACCAACCGCGAGATCGTAATCCTCATCGATGACTGCTCCGCGCACAAAATCATCAACGTGAACTTGATGAAGATCAAGCTCATAGTGACCAACTCCGGTGGCGACTCCAACTCCACGCCCGCAAAGTCCTTCCTCCCCTTCAACTGGGGCATCATCGAGGAGTTCAAGATCCTCTACCGCTTGCAGCAGTACCTTCACATGATCAACGTCCAGCGCAATAGCGAGCACCACCAGTTGTTGCCGTTGACAGCACAGCAGTATCGCATCGGGCTCCTTGACTGCGTTGCCTGGATCAAGCGTGCGTGGGATTCGATCCCCCAGGCCACCGTTCTTGCATGCTGGACGTACTCGCACGTGGTTCCCCCTAACCACCTCACGGATCTCGTGCGCGAGCACCCAGCGCTTAGCCGCGACCCGCACCGTAAGTCTCTCGAGAAGTTGCGCGTGTTGATAGGTCAGTTGCGCGTGAACGAGGTTTGGGACGTCCAGGCGCTCTTGAATCTCGCTAAGGAACGCAAGAACAAAATCTACATTTCCAACCAAGAAATCATTGATGTGTGTATTGTGGACGAAGCCGAGCCTCCCGTCAATAATGTCGACACGTTCGAGCACGATATGATGTCTGAAAGCCCGGGCTCCTTCTCGTCGGTGGACGAGCAAAGCGGCGGCGTCATGAAGTTGTCAAGCATGTCGATCCACGACTTGTTTTCATTCCAGCCCGCGCTATCAAGCCTCGGTGACGCAGGCCTCGCCATTTCCACCACCACCGACTTCTTCCAGGAAGACTCCCTCAAGTTTGGGAAAGAATCCAAGAAAGGCGTAATCCTGGAAAGGCAGGCCCCGGCTGTGTCGGGATCAAACGAGGATTCCACTCAAGGCAAGACAGTTTTTAAGCCCACCGTTTCATCTCTCTCTTTCGAGTCCAGTTTCCATCTCTGTGACAAAGGATTCTTACCGTTTGATGGACATGCTGCGGATTTGCCGCCGTACCAGTACAATCTGCATGACACCACGTTCAACGACCGACACTTCCATCAGCTTGGTGAAATGGGAACAGATTCCCGTGTCCAAATGCCCAGCGGCCTTGCATATGCGATACAAGATCGCGAGAAGACGTTACATATACCAGATCAGGGATCCCATAAACACGCTCTTTCGTCGTCGGACCTTCAGGGGCTCGCATATTGCTACAGAAAACACGCCACCGACGAAACTCCATTATCACGAGTGCTCCAGGACGATTATGCCATTCCATCAACGCAACACAGGTCAGAAGATGTGTCTACACGGGCAAAGGTGTCCTTGTTGAGCCAGGTTCTCCGGCTCTCGGATGACGGCCAGCTCGAGTTTAGCTCGCTGACCGTGCATGAAATCAAGACTGCGTTGATGGGCAGTTTGAATGAGTTAAAGCAGGAGGAGATGTTGCACGGAATGGGTTACAGTTGAAGCTGAAATGCATCATGTCGCAACTACTTAGAGTTTTGGTGATTCCGTGACGGTTGTTATCCCGTGGAGTTTGGTGATATTTAACCATCACGGCTGAGATGCATTAGTTCATTGGTAAATGGTGTAAGTATCTCTGAGATGAAGCAAAAAGGGAAAATGGATATGATTTTTATGTAAATTAGTCCATGTAGGCCCCGGATATGGAGGGTTCAGGACAATAATGGACTGATCCCATCGAAACGCAAGGGGTAATACCGCTTTTGTGAAGCACCGTTCGAGCGGGTTTAAGATCCACAGAGTATATACCGAATTCAAGACCTCCAGATTACCGCTTTCCGGAAACTTGTATATATGGACTATATAAGACTCCCCTCGTTTGCCATACTTCAGTAACACCCAAACATAGCTCAAGCTAAAAATCCTATCATGCTACTGTATATCTATCTCTGCATCAGAAATATTCCGTTTATTACTGCAACATGTGTGCTATATCTCGATACGGCCAAGACTAGGTGGCCACAGGGCGTGTTCTTGTATACAATAGATGTCAGGATGTACGGACGGCATCGAGTCTCTGCTCAGAAAAAGGCTGCAAAAGGGTTCATTCTGCTGAACGCACTTCCCAATATGCTGGACGTGAGATTGTTGGCCTTGCCAAACTTGTCACACTTGGTGAACGCAAGTGTGTTTGTGATATTCAAAATTACGGCAATCCCCACCAAAATCAAGGATAAGAACTCAAACTTCAAGATGGCAATGATGGCAAAAACGATCCACAAAACCGGTGATACATACATCATGGTCCAGAACACGTTGGAGTCAATTGGATTGATGTATCTGTCCGGATCGGCAGTTTCAAAAACCCACACGGTATCACCTTCCTCTGACGTCTCATTCCACCATCTCAACCCCACCAAGAGTCTACCCAGCACATTCTTTACGTTCCAGAAGTCTGCGGCAAGAAGGAGGATCACCACGATGAACTCGAGAATAAAATTGCCCGTCAAAAAGACCCCTAGCAAGTACATGGTTAAGGACCCAAGACGGAACCCAAGGAAAAAGAGCAAGGCGATGGGGTGCGACGACTGCTTCAAGCGCTCCAAAAGCGTGGTCGGTTGGGCTTGTGGCGTGGTGTTCATAGGCGTGGACTATCACTGTTAGTATTCGTTGCGTAACACTCAGGTAAAAGCAACTTACCATTGTTGGATTAACGGTTGGGTGAAGTGCAGTTGCTTATCCAAAAGTGCTGGCTTGAAATGTCTGATAGATACGTATGTGTCTGGGGGCCAAGAGTCGTGGCATGCCCAGGTGTCAATGCCGATACATCCTGCATAGCCGCGATAGGCGCATCAGGTGGAATGTTTAGTAAATCATCAATAGGTTGTTAAAAAGGAGGCAAAAAAATAGGTGAAAAGTATAACTTCTGGTTTGATGTGTTTTTTTTCTTTATTCTAGTTTTTCCTGCTTGGTTTGATCACTCTAATGTCAGGTTTTATGGCTCGTGGAGAATAGGGTCCGTGTAATCACTTGCGAGGGGCTGTGCTATCGCTCTGCTGCAAGTATTTACTTATAACCTTAACATAAATTTTACTAGCTATTCATCATATAGTTTCAAGGGAAATAACAGCTCTAGAGTGAAATTTGTGGACAAAGTATTCCAAACTGATAACATCAACATATTTGACCATTAGACACATTTAGGCACGAAAGACGATACAGCTTTAGAGTCCCCAGGCTGAGGAGTCCGCGGTGGTTATCCACCGAACAATGTACCTGGGAAAACAACCCAACCAATTGGGTTCGGCTGAAATCCTATATAGCCGTACCTCGTAAAAACCTTGCAAGGTTATCCATACATGGCAGCTCATGTCACCTTTGCCTCGACAATATACTCCTGGTGAATGAGCTTATCCCGTAATGTTCTGCTGAAGCCACGCCAGACCAAATCCTCTCCTAGGAAATCCTTCTCAGTGACCAATGTCTCCTCCAGGATACGCTTGATAACTGTCTCGAACTTGTCAAAAATTCCGACATGCTCGTCCGGAGCAACTTCGAAACCCCGGGTCTTCATATCCACAAACCCACTGGAAGTCTGTCGGTTTTGAGTGCTAATAATCTGCGACACTTTCTTGTTGACCAACAAGCTTAGATCGTTGTTAGCGGAGATCTTGCAAATGGAGGCCCGTAAGCCTTGGATTTCCACGTCGTGCGGAATTTTGGAAACGATATCTACAGGGTCAATGTGGTAGTCGATGGAAGAAGCTGATATCCCCGCACACCCTTCGTTGAAATCGTTCGAAAGTTCTATCAAGGCCCTGATAAATTTGGGCTTATCCATGGAATAGTCAATCAAATACTCCCAGAGTTCTCGGTCATGCTGCGTCTGCGTAAACGAGATAGCGTACTCAGCGTCGCCAAGTTCGTTGATAATCAACATAAGCGCCTTCCGGTTTTGGCCCACCTTACCCAACAAGTACACGAGCTCCGGCACCATCCGCTCCTTTTCACACAACTGGATTGCTCGCTCGATATCATAATGGTTGTGTTTGGACAAATACTCCAACAAACCATCAGTGCAGAAGCGGATGTATAGCGAAACAAGGCCATCCTGGAAGGGAATTGTCGAGTCGGTGTCTACCTTCATTAACTTTCTAAGGTAGAGAAACGAAATGTACTGCAAGTCACGCTGATTCAAGAGGTCCACTAGCACCTCTGGTTTGAGCTCGTGTCGGTGATGGATTAAAAGCTCAATGTGCGGAGAGAGCTGTTTTTGTAGCTGTGACACGAGCACCGGCGGCCCCGCGCCTGAATGGACCAATTCCTGTTCTTCAAGAGACAAATTCATGGTGAGGATGGTGGGAATCAAGTCAGCGTGACTGGCCAAAAGGCTGTGACGCGAAAGAATCTTGAGGGTATCTGAACGCCTGAGAAGCATGAGATGGGGGATGGCAAGTGCAGCATCGAAGGTGTCGATGTATATCTGAGTAAGAGCTTCGCGTAAATAGTGGCATTCCGTGGTCTCTAGGTACTCTTCCATGGCATTCTCCACTATTTTGACGCTGTACAACGATCGGTTCCATTTTCTGAGCAACACAATGAACGCATTGGTATTTTTAGCGTGTAGGTAGTAGAGCAAAAAGGTGTCGTAGAAGTTGGCATCGAGGTGGATTGACTGGGGGATAATAGGGGCCACCAACGGAATGTGTCCGGAGGAAATGAACTTCCCAAGCCACATTTCCCACTGCTGTGTAAGGTTCGCCATGTAGTTCTTGTCGACTTTGCCGCCGGCGCCATGTATCGAGGAGTACTCTGGGTCTAGCAATACGGCCATGAACGTCGCAGCCGCGAGCCAGTCATCAGCCTCAACCAACACTGCTAGATGCTTGGTTCCGATTATAAGCCGCTCGTCTTTGGAGATGATAAACTCGCTGATTTCCCACGCCTTGTCAAAGGCCCCTGCATCTAGGTACCAGTCCACACGATCCTTTAATGTCAATTCTTCAGCAACTACCCCGTCGTGGGCGCTCACCACGAGGTACAGCTCGATGGCCCCGTTGGAATACTTGTGCAAGTGGTAGTCGTTCAACCCCAAGCTGGCGGCAGTGTATAGCCCGATTTCCTCCTCCAATACGAGTTCGCCGTCGGTGGAGTTTACAAGCATGAGCTCGGGTGAATTCTGACCCGGGGTGTACGCGAGCAACATAAGGAGGTCATTCTTGAAGGAACAGATGCCTGCAATCAACGCGTCGAGTTTTAGAATGTTTTCAAGCGTGACCCCAATGATTTTGGCCTTGGACGTGAACGTAGCGGTGGAGATAATAGACTGAGAGTCTACGAGAGATCCAAGAAGCTCGTGTGACTTGATTTCAAGCTTGAGTGACCAGATGTAGGTAGCCCATGCCACGAGAATGGTGTCGTTTTCGGGAAAGTTCACATGTGGCCAGTAGAGGTCTGCGCGGAGAATTCCCTCGGGCTTGTCGATTTGAAGGAGAAACTTGCGCAAGGCGAGACTATAGAACGAAATCCCGGCGTCGTTAACCCAGATGAGGAGGTCCTCTTTGCACTGGATGCTGATGATGCCCCCAGCGTTTTCGGTGTTGAGGGTGGTGTCCTGTCTCTGGCCGATCCAGTTGCGGCTGGAAAGAATCACTTTCTCGGAGTTGCCACCAGAAACAAACATGCGGGCCTTGTTGTAGTTCTTGAGGAGCACCACCGAATGGATTGGTCGTTTGAAGTCAAATGCGGTAATGTCTTTCGGATCCACGATAGAACCAATCACCACGGTTCCGTCCATAGATCCAGTGGCTACAAACTCCCCATCAGTGTGGATCGAGAGGATGGAGGCCCGGTGGGCCCGGAACGTGCGAATAGGGGTGTAATCGGGCTTGCAAAGGTGTACCATTCCCGAATGGGTGGCAAAAATGAAGATGCTTTCGTTGACGTGGAGGCAGGACACGGGATCACGCTTGAAGAAGGTAGATGGGAGCTTAGACAAGCGGGAGTATTTGAGTAATGGTGGTTCGTCCTCCTCAGCCTCGGAATCTGTATCGTTGTCATTGAGTCCAGCTTTGTTGGCACTTGATTCATCTAGGTTTTTCAACAGCTCAGAGGGTGTATCAATGATACTTGTATGGTTTTCATCTCCATCAATGAGGTCTTCTCCATCAATATGGTCTTCTCCATCAATATGGTCTTCACCTTCAACAAGGTCTTCTCTATCAACGAAGTCTTTTTCATTAATATGGTCTTTTTCACCAATATGGTCTTCTCTACCATCGTGGGGGTGTGGGTCATTTTCCACAGCTTTTGTCGTGGCCTTTATCGTGGCTTTGCCGTTTTGATGTGTGGTTTGCTCGCGTATAGCATTCTCTTTGGGTATCTCAGCGTGTGGACCATGTCCGCCAGAAACTCCTTCGGTGAGAACAGCATGTGTGCCAGCGTCATCCGTCTCATTGGAGTGGCTCGTATTGCTTGAACACAATCCAACCATCACCCCACCACCATTAGTTATAATATCTTTCTGCCCGTCATTATCGGATTGACTCGACTTAGTAGAATCCGGTGCTGCTGTATATAGCTCATTTAGTCCCAGTTGTGTATTTGTTTGTGCAGTCGACTCTTCCAGGGACATTCGCACTGTGACCAGATCCGCCCCAATCGCATAATCGTTGGTGGATTCAGTCTCTGTGGAATCCATTCTGTCTTGATAATCGCTGGTTGAGAGGCTTTCTATTTCATGTCTTATGAATTGGGCGTGAACCTTTTTGCTGGGTCATTGCCAGCGCTTATCAGATTGTCTCAAGGCCGCACAGCACGTGGCGAGTCTACAGTGCGTGCGGCTCGGTGGGCTGCTTGGGTAGAGACACAGGAATGGCATGTATTAAACGTGAAGACGACGAAGGTTGACCATGTATGACTTTGACACGCAGATGGGGGGCTGGCTCATCTACAATAACTAGGATTACTCTCGAAGGTAGGGCACAGGAAAAAAATATACTCATAGGACATTGGTATGTGCCTGCATAAATAGCAACTCTCAACGGATAATGGAAACGTTCAACTGTAAGTTTCCTTTATCACATTCATCAGAGTGGCAATATATAGCGTTGTCTGACTCGAGCTGAAGGAAGTTGTTTTTACATTCCGGTTTGATGTATACGCCGAACATAGACAAAAATATTAAACTAGACAAAAAGGTATACAGAAATAGGACTTTAATAGAGAAAGGGGGATGACAGGGGATGGTAAAAACGAAAAGGACGGTGTTAACAAAGGAGCCAACAAAAGGGAGTATAGCACAGAATTAAAGGAGAAGGAAACAGGTAAATCAAAGAGATCAGGCACAACACAAGAGACTTGTCAACCAGGAAAACTAGGTGAAGGTGCAATCATAGTACCAAAAACCCATAATAGTATGTGCACAAATTTCAACAGCCTTGTCAGCAAAAAGGTCAGGTTACGGCCACCACAAGTGGAAGGAGGTATACCATTGCTTCGTCCCCCCTGCCATCAGAACAGTGAAGTTTTCTCTCTCCGAACTGCAACACCTTCAATACCTCTACTCTGGGTCCTTATTCCGGTATTTCATTCCCCAAAAAGATATACTCATAAAGCCCAATCAACTCGTCCACAATTGGATTGATCGAACCGATGTTCGCCACCAACTCCGAGCTGCTTGGCTCGGTAATCGCCGGGCCAATCACCGTAGAAAGGTTCAAGCTCCCCATCTTGTTGAATTCCTGGTGAGCACTGATCTTGCTCATGTGCCCGATCAAGCGCCTCAAGAAGTTGTAGTTGTGGAACGGCAATTTTGTCAAAATCTCCGTGTAGTGTGCCACCTTTTCTGCCGTGTCGGTGCAGCGGGTACTGCGGAAGGCAAACAAGTCCGCAATCACGTCATCGGTGATGAGAGCATCCGGCAACTCGCGGAGATACAACTTGACACAGCCCGTCAAAGTGTGCACGTCGATCTTCTTGTTGGAGTGGAAGTTGTAGTCGCCCAGACGGTCGACCTCGTTCCTGAGGTATTGCAACTCATTGATACTCGGTGAGATACGGTAGATCCCCAACTCCTTGACGCCCAGGAACTCGATCTCGTTAAACACCTTCTCCAAGATGATTGGCACCGTCAGGTTCTCGCGGTTACACACAATTTCGAGCGGTACCCCGAAGATGAGGTTCTGCGACACACGGAAGTTTAGCGTGCGTGAGAAGAACCAGTGGCGGTTTGCGTAGTCAAGTTTCTTCAACCATTCGTGCATCTCATGCTCCAGCGGCGCCTGGAAAAAGTACTTTTCATTCAGGGTGTCCAGGTCGATTTTGAAACTGCATGGCAGGATATACACTGGGAAGATACGCTTGCTGCGGAGGTTGATGGTAAAGGCCGGTTTGACCTTGGCGTCAAAGTGCACGTGGGGGTTAGGCAATTCGTGGGGGGAGACGACGCGTTCGGGCGTGTTGGACGATGCAAATGCGGGCACGAGCGAGAACGGCCGCGACTTGTTGAAGAGCCCGGAAATCTTGAAGCGCGAGGTCGAGTTGAGCTTGTACGCCATGGACTGGCGCTTGACGGTGGCGGCGGTCTTTGTCTGTGTTGGCGCTGGAGCCTTGGCCTGCTTTACCGCACGCTTTCCGTTGTCGGCCTTGAGGATCTTGTACTGCGCGTCGATGACGGCGCGGAAGATCTGCGCTTTTTCACGCTCGTACGCATTGAAATCGCGCAACGCCTTGTTGTTGATGAGATGGTCACTCAAGCGAATGAGAAACTCAAAGTCATTGAAACCGTGGGTGATCTCCGTCGGCTCCGCACGCTCCACCACAAAGTTCTGGAGGAACTTGTACGTGAGGTAACGCTTGCCAAAGTGAATGAGCTTGCGCGACGGATCGAAGTTGGACACACGGTTCATGGCGAGGAGGTTCTCCAACACCCACCCAAAGCACGGGAGGAACTTCTCGTCGAGGTTGGGCAACGTCGCAGGCGCAATGTGCGGGAGCATCGACTCAAGGTCATCGAACGTCCCGCCACTGCCCAGCTTGAGCAGGTCGGCCGAGCGCACCCAGAAATTGGCAAAGTAGCGGCTCTCTGGCGAGTAGATCGTGTTGGTGAGCGCACTCTCGATGAAGGACGGGATCGGCCCAACCCCGGGAACCGAAACCTTGTACTCGCGCATCTTCATCTTGGCCACACGTGTCATGATGAGAATCGTCTTCATGCGCTGGAAGCGCTCGTCCACGGTGATGGTGAGGTCCGTGATCTGGAGCAAGAGGTAGTTCATGAACTTGAGGTACAACTTGAACAACTTCTTGAAGATGAGCGGGAACTTCAGGATCAACAACTCATTTTTCGCCGGGTCGTGGACGGAGCTGAAATAGTTGAAAATGTTAGACACAATGAGGTTCTCTTCGGTGGTCGACTGCTTCTGGAGCGAGAAGCTGAGGAGGTGATTCTTCTGGAACTCAATCTCGAAGATCTTCGACACCTCGAACCAGTCCGCGAGAGAGATGTTGTCGTAGAAGAATGCGATGAAGTTGTTGAACTTGTTCAAGAACTTTTCAATTTTGGCAATGTTCTTGTACGACGGGAGGTTGCGGTTCAATGGCACCTCCACAAGGTTGTTGTTGAATCGGAACGTCTGGAGGAGGAGCTCGTCCACCTTGGGAATGTCGCTCGGCCGGTATGTCTTGCGGATAAAGTTCTTTTTGAGTTGACGGCTTAACCCGAGAAGTGTCTCTAAGTCTGCCACGCCAGCCTCCTTCCAGTGGTCCACCTCATCGCTCACGAGCTTCAACAACTCGATCATTAACGCCTTGTTATTGAGGTCAACCACAAAATTGTCGTAGAACCGGTCCACCAAGACGGTGAGCGCGCGGAGAATGTTGGTCTGGATCGCAAGCGCCGCAGCCTTCGTCGCTACCGCAGCCTCCTCGTCCCCCTCCTCATCCGCATCCCAGTCGGGGAACGCGAGGTGAGGCTCGCGCACCAAATGGCTCGCGGCCGCGCGCGCGCGCGCGAACCGGTGCGTGAGGAGTGCAATGAGAGTGTTGGTCGATGTGAACGACGTATAGTTGAGAAGAAACACCTCGCGGAACTCATCGGCATGAAGCGTCACGTCCGCCTGCGCGTAGTTACGGGTATCCACCACGAGTAAATCCACGAGAGCGTCGAGCGACCCGTACTTGGGGATGAGCTTGTAACTACGCGGCGCTGCAGCCTCCTCGGGGGTGTGAACGGAGGAGGTGTGCGTGATAAATGAGAGTGCATCATAGTTTGACGATGCATCGGCCACATCGTCACGTGTTCCAGTGAGCGTCGCATCGAGTTCCGCGCCCAAGGACGGGTCGAGCGTGGACGTTGTGGCATGTGGACTAGCAAGGCTCTGCGAGCTGGCGAGACCTTGCGAAGCCGCAGATGCATCTGAAACTACGGCAGCCACAGCTGCGCTCGATCCGTCCTCGTCGGGCTCTGACTCTCCCTCGACCTCTGACTCGCCAAACACTTCGTCTACACCAAACGTTAGCGTGTCGTTGACCACGATCGACCGGGGCGGCGCGTCAGGATCATTGCCGCGCCCGTCGTGCTCACCGAGTTCCACGCGGAAGTACTTGTTGTTAAACAACGGGAGGCGCTCGTCCGGCGTTGCCGTCTCGATTGTGTGCAACACGAGCAGATTGGACGACGTGCTTGGTGGGAGGCGCTCCGTGCGGATGTACTCCTCCGCGAGACTCGGCTCGGCCACGAGCGACAACTTCATGATACGTTCGAGGTTGTACAGGTCGTAGTTGACCTCGAGAAGTTTGTAGAGGAGGCGCTGGATGTGCTCATCGGGAGTACCGGAATCACGCGAGCGCGCAAGGTCGGGGTCGCTGGGACTCTGTGCCATTTTCTCGGTCTCCTCACGCACAAGTTCATCGAACGCGGTGGTGTCAGGCTCGGACGACACAGCGGTTGCGGGCGAGTCGACGGTCTCGGTGGCCACGCCCGGCGGCGTCGCCGGGCGCTCAGGCTCCTCGCCGATGTGGAGGAGCTTGTCAAGGTCCAGGTTCAATAACAGAATGTTGGCCTCCAGGTAGCTCTTGAGGATATTGAAGTTCAACTGAATGCTCTCTTCGGTGTCGGTCATGTTCTTAAGGAAGTCGGCCCAGCGGTTGAAGGAGTACTTGATGCGCTTGAAATTGCGGTCGTACTTGCGCACGTCGAACTGCTCGTTGTAGATGATGAGATCACCGAAGAATGGAATGACATGCCGCTTGGAGTAGTTCTTGCCGAGGCCCTTGGGCGCGATCACGTGGTACAGCGTCTTGAAGTTGTTCAAGATGTGGCGGTCGAGCTCGAACACCACTGGCGACCAGTCGTGGCGAAGGATCTTTACGTACTGCGGTTCGACATGCGCCCACACTTTGCGAAGGCGAAGCACCGGCTGCGAGAGGATAACCGTTGCAATTCCGAGCCACGAAACCATGTTACCTGTCTTGTCGAGGAGACACCCGAGTTGAATCCACTTCTGGAGGATGCGCGCCTTGACGTCTGGCGTATTCTTCTCCACAAGAAGGTGGTGCACAAGGAGCCGCGCGAGGTAGTGGATGTGCGTATTGTTGTTGAAGATTAGGGGGTTGCGCTTGAAGTAGTCGTACTGCGCGAGGTTGGTTGCGATGAGGAGTGATTTGTCGATTTTCTGATTCCACGTAGTGTTGAACTTGAGGTCGATCATGTTAATCTGCCCGATGAACTGGAAGAGATCGATCTTGAGAAAGAACGTGGAATTGAGTTCTAGGAGAGGGTTGACGGTTTCTTCCTCCTCGCCCAACGGGCCGAGGGTGAGCGCGTGGAGCAGCCGCTGGCGCATGACAATCGCCTTTTTGAGCTCGTCGATGTTGGCAAAGACCGAGATGACCTCGAGGAGCTCGAGGATCATGTTGAAGTGCTCGGGGTTGAGCATGAGCCCGAAAAAGTTGTCGTTGAGGTTTTTGACGAGGGTGGTGAGGCGGGAGATCATGCGCGACGCCGCAGAGGTTTTAGCTGGAGCGTCTACGAGGGCTAGCGCCTCCGGATCTTCTTCCGTATCTACTTCGGCGTCCGCATTGACCGCGGGGCTTGTGTTGCCCGTGGCTCCGTTCACAGAGCTCCCTTCGCTCGCCTCACTAACCATCCGCCCGTATAAACAAAAGTACTTTAAAAACCGGTCAAACTGCGCAAATAACGGCGTGAGATAAATGAGGTGGTTTACCTTATCAGTCACCTCATCACCTGCGAAAAGGATGTAGTGCACGATGCTCTCGACGGAGCCGCCCACGACCGTCCCCTCGCTGTCAAGTTGGAGATCCGGGTGTGGTCCCTGTGTGGACGCGTAGATGATCTTGGTTTCTTCGAGCGATACAGTTTCGAGAATTGTGCCGGCGATCGACACATCGTCACTGGTAATGGACGCCGCGAAACTTGCGGCACCGTACGCAGGGTTGGGCGGGAGGGCGACGGCGGTCGCGTCGCTGTCACGCGTGGAAATGGATGCCGCTGAGTTGGATACTGCAGAGCTGGACGCCGCAGAACTGGTCGCCACATCGCGCGCGGTAGACGCCGTAGACCCAGTATCCGACGAGAACGACGGATGGCGTCCCTTCAACGACGTGAGCAACGCCATGTTCTGGTCCACCACGCTCGCCGCGTCCAACTTGAACAGGCGCACGTTCAAGCTGTTGGGCGCCTTGTACAAGTTGAGGATCGCGCCGCGGAGCTCCGCACGGTATAACCGCAAGTCTTCCTCGGAGGATGACCCGTTGGGGCTAAAGTTGACCCACGCATTCTTGATAAGCTTGGTGTCGAACGAACTAGTGATCAACTGTGAGATGTCGTACTTCGGCGAGGCGCTGGGCACAGGCACAGACTTCGGCATGCGTACGGACGCGTCGTCGCGTGCGTCTTTATCGTAGAACGTCATGGCCCCAGACATGTTGGATGCCACACGCGTGAGGTTGTTTGTGTAGAGCGACGAGCTTTCCAGCTCGAGGGCCGATGACTGCATGGCAGGCGGCGGCAACGGCGGCGGGCTCTGCTGATAGTTGGTAGACAAACTCTTGCGCTTCTCTTTTCTCTGCCAGATTTTCTTCATGGTTGCGTCAGAAATGAAGAGGTTGTGGAGTGGGTATGAGACGTATTAGATATTAAATGTAGATAGGAACGGTAACGATCAAATGGGCGACAAATGGCGATCGCTGGTATCAGACGGTAATGGAGTGGCCAAACGGAAGAGGTGGCTCAGATTAGTCAATAAGCAAAGGGGCGGGTCTGGGCTCTGAGGCAGTAAAGAAGGACCAACGATACAAATGGCAGTAATACAACTAGAATGACAGTGAAGACCAGTGGTAGCGAAAGGCTTTTCTTTGGGGAAACGTGTCGCGGAAAGCGTCGCTTTATTTTTCGTGCGCCTGGCTAGAGAGGATGCAGGTGCGTGGCTGTATAACGTATCTCTCCCAACATACTGCAAAACCGTGTACACACTGGTGAAGACAGAATCGATACCTCGCCCTGCGGAGAGTGCGTGTCTGGCTCGGGACGTCGGCACGAGGTAAAAATAGACCAGCGCGACGCATGTGAAGAAGCGTGCGAGCATGGAGACGCAAGGCAGACTATCTACCGTCCACGGAACAACGTCTCTGTCGCCTCACGCACCGCAAATCGACCCCGGATGTACGTATCTTCTGGTTGGCAACGTATGTGCACCCGCCTGGATTCCAGAAGGCGACCTTGCTGAGCCCCAAAGCGCTTGGCCGTGAATCGATAGCATGGGGCTGGATATAGCCCTGATAGGTCTCTTTTGGTTTACGAGATATAGGCCCCCCCTGGTGGGTGGACGGTTCCTAGCCGGGTTTAACCAAATGCGAAGCTGGTACGCGGTAATTTAGTGGATCGGGGAATAACTCTACATGACTCCTAGACTAAAGGCTTCGTGTAGCATGTCTGAGAACACGGAGTCGCATGCCAAAGCTGAACTGGAAACGTTGGTGGAACTCTGGGCCATGGTTTAGTGCTTCGATGAGGTAACTCGGTTCGTACTGTAGCGCTCTGGATTCCAGTACGTTATGGTCTATATGAGACTATAACCGTGTTCGCCTTTATATATTTTCACCGAGTTTTTTTTTGAATATTGCTTTGAAATTCATGTGAACCCCCAGCATCCTGCTTCGGTGGCTGAGTAAGTATGTATTATCCATGTTACATCATGCCGGCTGATTAGCTTTATTTTTCATGCACCTCGCGTTGGATCTCGCGTCACCGTGACATCTCTCCGAAATCGATACATGTAGCTAAACAATAGCCATGGAAGAGCTATGCGCCATTACGCACATATCTCCGCCGCATACCCTGTCCCAACGCAGTCCTCAGTTGCGCCTAGCTTTAGAGTAGACTCGTACCACAATTGTCAATTGGTACGAATCCATACGCTCACAGCTGCTTCTCATATTCCTGAAGATAAAATAGAGTGTGACTAATATTACTGGGGTTTCAACACCGCTCAATCGGATGAGTTTTCCGTGGTCGCGACTTGCGTCGATCTGAGGCGCACCTGCGGCTCATGACTGCAGCCGGAATGCGAAGACGCCGACAGATTTCTGTCGTACATATCAGATGGCGGTTTCGCACCTTGGAGAATTATATCGGCTGTTTATTTTGTGCTTAACGGTTTATTAAGATATAACTAAAGAAGGATTGTGGGGTAATTTTCTTTTGTTAAAAATTTGCCCTCAACAATGACGTACCTCGACATCTCCGACAACGACATTGGAGACGCCAAGGTTGATCGCATAGAGGAGGTTCGTTTCCCAGCGTCTCTCGATAATCTCTGCATAAGCGATAGCGAAAAGCTTTTCGTAGCATACGACCCGGAGAAGGTTTTGTTTCCTCAGAGCATGGAGTCTTTCGAGGGGTACAACACTGGCCGCCAACGCGATAGGGATTTTGCCGAGAACCCCATTGGCCAATACTTTGCTAAGCAGATGGGATTCCCTTTTCTGATGGGAATGGATATTTCTCTGGTTGATGAGGTAGAACTGTTTACCAGTGGACGGGCCTAACAACTTGCATAACCCGGACTTAGATATTGCCGAGGCAAAGCAAACCCATGAACGAATCATGAACAAATCATGAACAAATCATGAACAAATTATGAGCAAATCATGGATGGTATCGTTTAGTAGTGGCCAGAAACCTAGAGGTTCGTCCAAACCAGAGATAATTCAAGAGTCTGGTTACTATATACAAGCTGTCGCTTAGGCTGCAGCTCTGGTACAGGCCACACAAAGATCAGATTCGGGGGAGAGCAAACTGGATCTCCGTAAACCCCGTATAGATTAACCACCTTAAAAAGATAACAGCTACTAAAGATATTTTGCCATAAAAAACATCTAACGCCTCAGTAAAAAGTGCATTTCCCTGTAAAGATACATGACAATGATAAGCGGGTCGTGCGATGCAATTTCCTTTTTGGGAAGTATAATTACACGCGTCGCGTATAGAGCTTAAATTTTCGCGTCACACTAAGAGGGTTCAAGTCTGTCCAAAACTCAGCGACAAACGATATCATATCTCCTTATATAGAAAAAGCCCTTAGCAAAAGCCCTTAGCATTCAACCATACCACGGCATTCGTCTCTCATCAAATACAACCATACCCCCAATGACAAGCCCCGAAACACAGGCGCCCCAAACAGACCAGGAAAAGCTTCTCGTTAGATTCTTTTCTGCCCTTGACACGTCAGTCAACCTTTATTACGCTCTCCATGTGAACGACCCGGCTATCACAGTCTTGATCCCCCAGGTGCGATCTCTCACCAATACCGAGTTCAATCATGCCTTCGTGGCCCAGATCCTCGCGATCTACCCCTCTGCCTACCGTATCCAGGTTAACTCTCGGGGAAGTATGACCATAGGGGTGGATTGCAACTTGAAGATGCAGTTGAGGGCCCGTTCTATTGAGTTTGAAGAGCGTCTTGCGGCGTACATGTTAGCCAACGGCTCCCTTCCGATGATAGAGGACCCTCAGTCATGGATATCCAAGCTTGCAGAGGTTAAACCTAGAGAAGAACTGCCAACCAAACGAGCTATCGACTCAGCACCTAATGCCTCTCTGAAAAAGGCCAAGATTCTCTCAAATTCTCCTTCCAAGTTTGCGTACAAAGCCGTCAGCACAGATACCACTGGCTTAACCCTTCTCGAACGCATCAAGCTCAAAGCAAAGCTCAAGGCAGAACAGGTACAGGTAGAACAAACGCCAGAAATAAAGCGTAAAAAGTATCTTGCGGGGAAGTTTCCGGTCGTGTACGACATTTTGTACACGTCTACTTCCAAGTCGTCCAACAGTATTAGCTTCTATGCAGAATCAGGCGAGCTTGGGGAGACCGCGGCCCTGACAAAATGCTTTCCGTTGGTGAGAATGACCGAGATCATCAAAGACAGCATCAAGCATGCGTTGCCAGATGATGATGTGAAAGATATTCTCCTTGAAATTGCAGCAGTGTTGGAAAACGTCGAGATGGTGCCAATTACCACAGACAAGGAAGAAACGTATGCAGTGAAGGTGGGGACGTTGAACCGCAACGCCGACTTGAAGAAGTTGAAAGAATTAGAAACCTGAGCGTTGCATGGCCTAAGCCGGTTCAATTCTCAAACTATAGTTTACCTCAGGGCTTATCTCCAGTGAATAAAGATTTTAGTATTGTATACGTATATAAAGGTTTAAATCGCGTAACAAAAAAATTGCCAGCTAGGGTGGGATACCACGGCGACAGCCTCTAAAAGGAGAGATTTCTGGCTTACGCCTTCTCATCATCGCGGATGGCAATATCGGCGGCCTTGAGGTCAGAGAAAAAGTGCTTCAACACCGACTCGATGGCAAAACAGACACCCAAGTCCAAGATAAGACAGAAGGTCAACTTGACTTTGAATGCGGTCTCCATCTTGACAAAAGACATGGCTTCGTTCAATTCTGGGATGAATTCGGTGGATCCAGAAAACGCCAAGAAAGTGACACCGATCAACCCGTAGTACATCCCCCTGTTCTCTGAAATAGACTCTCTAAAAGGACGGCCCTGGTAGTTGACGGCAAAGGTGGACACCTGTTGGGCCAACTGCAACAAGAAGATACCCGTGTTCAACAACGAAGGAGCAAACTCCTTCTCTAAATCGAGAACCGGTACTCTTGGCTCCAAGATGTAAATCTCGCGGGTGATGTAGATCAAAGTGATAATGTGAATGGCGAACTGGCCCAAGATGGAACCCATGATGTAGACGTTGAAAATACCCGGTTGAGGTCTCTCCTTGGACAACTTTTCAATCGGTTTACCACGGGAAATGGACAAGAAACAAACAGAAATCAACAACCCAGAAACAGTGGCCTGGCCATCACCAAACTTAACACCGGCAAGGTAAATCACAGAAAGAGAGTAGGCCGAGATCAAACAGTTCAATGCAAGGATCTTGTACATTTGGATGGTGGACACAAGTGCACACCGACCTTGGCGGATGATGTGAGTAACAGCAGAGACGTTAGCAAGCTTAGAGGTGAACGGAGCAGCGACGGAAGCGTCACCCAACTTCAAGGCCGGGGCTTCCTCTTCCTCCATGGTGTCAGTCAAAGAGGCAAATAACAGCTCGCCCATGCCTATAGCATCGTTGGAACCACTGTTGGTAGAGGTCTTGTTGGCCTCCCTAACAGCGGCAGCAATTTCTGGGGTGATCTCAATACCCTGCTTAACCAAAGCGGACATATAGTGCTTGTTCTGGGGACCCGGTGGATACAAGTGGGCAATCGCGGCGGGGATAGGTGGCGGAGGTTTGTTGAATCTAGCAAGAAGCTCAACGTTCTTGGTGTAGGCCTTCTGCAAGAATTCAAACTTACGGAGTTCGGCCATCTTCTTCAAGCCTTCTTCGGTACCGTTAAGCAAGGCAATACCAATATGGGCCTGCTTTAAAGCACCGACATCGTTGGTGCCGTCACCGCACATAAGGGTGTTGTAGCCGGCATCCTTGAAGGAGGTCAACAAGAATTCTTTCTGGTTAGGGGACACACGGGCGTAGACCCAGGTGCGCTTCAACAAATCAAGGAACTGGGCGTGCTCGGTCAACTTTGCGAGGGCGTGGCCGGTAACACAGACGTCGTAATCGTGGAAAAGCTTGATATCCAAAGGTTCTGTGGTTGGGTTGAACGGAATAACCACGGTTTCGGTGACATTCTTCCAGACCAATTCGGAGCCCTCGTCTTCGGGCAAGTCCAAGATCAAGCAGTCAGCCTTTTCGACAATAGCAACCTCCTTGGCCACGTGGACAGCGGTCAAGGGATTATCACCGGTGATCATGATACAACGGTGGGAGGATTCGTTCAACATCTTGACAGACACAACGGCATCCTCCTTCAACGGACAATGGAAGACAATGAAACCGGCAAACTGCAAGTGGCACTCGACGTCTTCACGGTTTAACTTGTTGACTTTTGCCTGGGAGATGTTGTTTTCAAGGTGCTTGTACGCGAGCGCAAGCACACGGGAACCGGAACGGGTGAACGACTTGTAGACCAGTTCGTAGTTGGCAGGAACAGTATCCAACATCAACTTGATGGTTTCAGGGGCACCCTTAACGGAAACAAGAGACTTGGTAGCTTGTGCCTGGCCGTAGGTGGAGATGGAAGAGGACCTCTTGAGGGCAGAGCTGAACTGGAAACGGCGGAGAATCTTGACCTTGGACAAAGGGGACTTAATCCCATCCTTGCCTGGTGCCTGTTGTTCCACGACATCCTTGATGGTGTCGGAAAGCACCCACTTTGCGGCCTTTAAAGTAGCCTGCTCCATTGGGTCACCAACCACCTCACCGTCATCAAGTTTGACCAACGCGTGGGCAGATCCCATAACGTACAGAGTGATTTCAGGCACCTCGGCGCTGTCACACTGGGCCAAGTGCTGGGTGGCGGCGCCGAACCCAGCAATACCTTCAAAGACCAAATCCTCGCCAGTTAAAGTACCGGTCTTGTCGAAGCAGCAAATATCGATTCTCCCGGCCAACGGAATACGGAACGGCTCAGTGCAGTAGATGTAGAACTTACCCAACGCGGCAAGGGAAGAGTTGACGGCCATGGTAAGTTCCATTGGCAACTCAGGTGGAACCACAGAAGTTATGATGATGACACAGTCGAGGAGCAACTTGGACTGCTTACGGCCCATCTTGGTGCCCTCGATCCAAACGTAACGGGAGGCAAAGATCGCAAAAACAAGAAGGAAGAGAAGGAAGTACAAGGACTCCTTGTTCCCCACGGATATACGCTCAGAGGAGAAGATCATCGTACGGACAAGCGAACCCTGGGAGGTCTCAAACCCGGTCTTGGTGACGGTGGCAAGGGCGCCAGCATCGGGGGCGACGAGGTTGGAGTCGGAAGGGGCGGTGACCTGCAAGGCCATGGTACCACCGTGGAGCAAGGAGTTCTTGTCTAAGCCTTCTGGCTGGTAGAAGTCCTTACCATCTCTCAACTTGACGGACTCCTTCAACAACGGGGTGGATTCACCGGACAACATGGCTTCGTTAACGATACAGCTGCCGTCGAGCAAGAGAAGGTCGCATGGCAAGGCGGAGCCTTCCTTGGTGCGGGCCACGGAGACCAAGTCGCCAGGAAGAAGCTCATCAGTCTGGAGTTCAACCCACTTGGCGTCACGGTAGACCCAGATGGCGTAGGGCTTGATACCCATGGTCTGGAACTCGGTAAGGGTGGTGCGGCGCTGGAAGACGGTGGTGCACTCGAACGAAACAAGCATAAATCCGGAAAAGAGCGAGTAGTACCAAAACTGGTCCATGCACCAGAGCGCGATGGAAAAGATCTGGAAGACAAAGAACGGCGCGACGGCGTGCTCTTTGAACAACTCGAGGAAGGTAGGCACCGGCACGTCGAACTTGTTCTTGCCGTACAAGCGATAGGTCTGGGTCAAATCACCGGATAAGCCCTTAGAGTCTTGGAACTGAGACAACGTTGGGTCGCTATCCACGACAAAAGACGGTGGCGCGAACATACCGGTGGCGTCGTCGAGCAAGAAGCGGCGCTTCTGATACATGAACGAGAACTGGAACTCCTTGCGGGTATCCTTTTCCGATTCGTAGACATCAAGGTTGATTTCACAAATCTGGGCCACGCCGCAGTTGGGCGCCGGAACGATCTTAATATGGCTGGCCTCGTAGTTCTTGGCAACGCGGATGTAGTGAAATTTGGTGGCGAGGTCGATCAGCCAGTGCGGCACCAACCAGACAAGCACGTGCAACGAGATGAGGGTCCCGAGATACACAAAGGTCCACTCGAACATCCCAAAGAGGGTGTCGTAGTGGTTAGCGTAGTAGTAGTAGAATATCGGGTACAAGATGGTGAACGGCCACACGTCTGGACGGCTGAAGAACGGCCGTGGGCGCAAAAGCACCGCTTCCACGATCGATGCACTGTCGACCAATTTGCTAGGTGTCGCTATTTTGCTCATCTTGGAGAGAAAATGGAAGTGATAAGATGAGGTGAGGGGACGTCTTTATGTGTACGTCTCCGAAAGTTTCGCGTCGAGATCGATGGAAGATGCGAGAAGATATCTCCACGTGAGTGCGCACGTGAGTGGCAACATGGGGGAGGGGGTTGAACCGGAGATTTTCCAGACCGGGGTATTAGAGGCTGGAGCGGCACCGTTATCTGGTTGAGGGAAGTTTATTGTTTCTGCTAAGTCCAGGATAATTAAAGTCTATGGAAGGTTAATGTCGTTTTTTGTTGTCTGTCCAAAGACTACGATTACCGCAGATCAGATATATATTGTCGGTACCTCTCGCTATGTCTGGATTTTAACAAGTAGATAAAGAGTCCAAGCCCTTTCCTTGGCCCGTTGCGTATCCTCAATCCACGTTTTTTTTTGGAGAGAAATCTGGTTCGACCTGATAGTCCTTAGCGTTTAGATACATGTTGCAGTATATAGGGGGATCCAATTAAGTGGAGCATGTTCAAATTTAGCACGTTGGTCTCGATCTAAGACGAGCATTGCTTGTATATATTGATCGAAACTTAGTAGCACCAGGCACTCTTCCGTGGGTGTGCGATGCCGACCCAGCCGCGATGCCGGATCCGGCAGTGGCACGATGCAAGTCGCTGCAGGTCGTCATGGGTCTGATCAGGCTAAATAGCCCGTATAAACGACTCGGATATTTATTCTTGGTCAGGTTATGATTCAATCTAGGTTATATATAGGCCTATTATAAATTAAAGCGGAGCGAGTAGAGTTGTGGCGCCCGCAGCCCGAGAACAATATCTGTCTTCAGTGCAAGTGTGTGAGAGCATTTATGAAGCAATACGCGATTCTGCATAACCTGAAACACACTGGTATACGGCAAACTAGAATCAAGGGCTGCCGTGAATAATAAACGTCTCAAGGAACGTCTCAAGGTTGAATCGGCTGTATAAAACAACTGATAAGCCTAAAATCTGCGCAATCTATAACCCACTTACGATTTCCAATGCACCGCACTTACAACTCCAAACACTGCCCCTAGCACTCTCCCGCACAACGGTCCGTCTCTCCCCAGGTTACATTGAACCCTGAATTTTCCATGGTTTACCCACGATTTGTACACATATATCCTCCCTCCTGCTTTCCCCCAACCTACGCTACTATAAATGCCGTTTCCCCGGCTATGGGAGGAGCAGCGCTTGTGGCCCCCAAGGCGACTGTGTGCAGGATGTAGATGGCATAACCCGGCGATACACCGCACTTTTCTTTTCTCGAACTTTCCACCGGGTCCGAGAATATCCGGGTAACCCCCAAACTTTTCAGCTACCTCCAGCATCGACCGACGAAAATTTCCACCCTCCATATAAGAGCGCCCCGTCTGCTGCAACTGCTTTGGCTAACCCTTTGCTCCCCATACAAACACCATTTATAATGTTGGCCCGTAACTCTATTAGAACTACTCAACGTATCCCAGCCGTGGGCCGTTACAACTCCAAGGTCCAAGGTGCCGTTATCGGTATCGATTTGGGTACCACCAACTCCGCCGTTGCCATCATGGAGGGTAAGGTCCCAAAGATCATTGAAAACGCCGAAGGTGCCCGTACCACTCCATCTGTTGTTGCCTTCACCAAGGATGGTGAACGCTTGGTTGGTATCCCAGCCAAGCGTCAGGCTGTCGTTAACCCAGAAAACACCTTGTTCGCCACCAAGCGTTTGATCGGTCGCCGCTTCGATGACCACGAGGTCCAGAAGGACATCAAGCAGGTCCCATACAAGATCGTGAAGCACAGCAACGGTGACGCCTGGTTGGAGGCCCGTGGTGAGAAATACTCCCCATCGCAGATCGGTGGCTTCGTCCTCAACAAGATGAAGGAAACCGCTGAGGCTTACTTGTCCAAGACCGTTACCAACGCCGTTGTTACGGTTCCAGCTTACTTCAACGATGCCCAGAGACAGGCCACCAAGGACGCCGGTCAGATCGTCGGGTTGAACGTTTTGCGTGTGGTCAACGAGCCAACCGCCGCCGCTTTGGCTTACGGTTTGGAAAAGGCCGACGCCTCTGTCGTTGCCGTCTTCGACTTGGGTGGTGGTACCTTCGATATCTCCATCTTGGACATCGACAACGGTGTCTTCGAGGTCAAGTCCACCAACGGTGACACCCACTTGGGTGGTGAGGATTTCGACATTGTCCTCGTCAGATACTTGGTCGAGCTTTTCCAAAAGGAAACCGGCATCAACTTGGAGGGTGACCGTATGGCCATCCAGCGTATCAGAGAAGCCGCCGAGAAGGCCAAGATCGAGTTGTCTTCCACTATTGCCACCGAGATCAACTTGCCATTCATCACCGCCGACGCCTCCGGTCCAAAGCACATCAACATCAAGCTCACCAGAGCCCAGTTCGAGTCTCTCGTCGAGCCATTGATCAAGAAGTCTGTCGAGCCAGTCAAGAAGGCCTTGAAGGATGCCGGTTTGGCCACCTCCGAAATCTCCGAGGTCATCTTGGTCGGTGGTATGACCAGAATGCCAAAGGTTGTCGAAACCGTCAAGGCCTTGTTCGGTAGGGAACCATCCAAGGCTGTCAACCCAGATGAGGCCGTTGCCATTGGTGCCGCGATCCAGGGTGCCGTCTTGTCCGGTGAGGTCAAGGACGTCTTGTTGTTGGATGTTACCCCGTTGTCTCTCGGTATTGAGACCTTGGGTGGTGTCTTCACCAGATTGATCCCAAGAAACACCACCATTCCAACCAAGAAGTCCCAGGTCTTCTCCACTGCCGCCGCCGGCCAGACCTCTGTCGAAATCAGAGTCTTCCAGGGCGAACGTGAATTGACCCGTGACAACAAGTTGATTGGTAACTTCACCTTGTCTGGGATTCCACCAGCTCCAAAGGGGGTTCCACAAATCGAGGTCTCCTTTGACATTGACGCCGATGGTATCATCAACGTCTCTGCCAGAGACAAGGGTACCAACAAGGATGCGTCCATCACCGTTGCCGGCTCTTCCGGTTTGTCCGACGCCGAAATCGAAAAGATGGTTTCCGACGCTGAGAAGTTCGCTGACTCCGACAAGGCCAGAAGAGAGGCTGTCGAAAACTCTAACAAGGCTGACCAGCTCTGTAACGACACCGAGGCCTCCTTGAAGGAGTTCTCCGAAAAGGTTGACAAGGTGCAGGCCGATGCTGTCACCAAGCAGATTGCTGAATTGAGAGAATTGGTTGCCAAGGCTCAGTCCGGTGAAGAAGTTGACCCAGCTGAGTTGAAGACCAAGACCGAGGAGTTGCAAAACGCCTCCATGAAGGTCTTTGAACAGATGTACAAGAACAACGCTGAGTCTTCCGAAGAGCCAAAGAACTAAGTTTAAACACAACCCCCGATTCGATGTATATTTTTTCCTTTCTTTAGTTGTATATAGCTTAATGATTTTGTAAAGAAGAAAGACCAGCAGAGTGGGTCTCCAGTGTAGATGCTCCTCCTAACAAAACTGTCTGGCGACCGGTTTATGCAACTCCAACTCTGTAGCTATGTTTGGAGCATATCGATGATGTACCCTTGGCTGGTTGCCAGTGAGTTCAAAATCCCGATTCCGTCTTGTGCTTCCAAGATTTGTCATCAGAAGCGGCTGCATCGGTTTTTTGAAGCCACATCGTACGGTAGGCCGATATTTATCTCGGTTATGGCCTCCCACTGTGGCGCTTTCAGAAGGCATCCGCTAGAAGCCTAGGCTACAAGCCGTGCCTGAGGCTCCAACAACTAATAGTACGCTTTCTGTTCAGATAAACCTCCAGGTGAATCCTCTAGCACACTGAGCAGTCCGAAACTCTACTTGGCACCCGAGAGTCAGCGGGTTTCCTCTTCTCCCAGCACGTCATGCGGCGTGAATTTGCATCACAGGCTTTGTACAGGGACCTCTGTGCATAAATACTCCGCGCGCCAGGCCTTTGTACCCTTTTTTTCATTGCAAAGCAAACCTTTCAACCTCTGTCCGTTCCAAAGCATCATTCATAATGGCAGCAGACTCGGTTGTGCCCGTTCTTGATCTCCATCTCTCACGTGATCCCACAACCAGGCCGCTCCTCATTGCCCAGCTCAAGCATGCCCTCCTCGACATCGGCTTTCTCTATGTCAAAAACTTTGACATTCCAGTCGAAGTCTTTGCGTCGCTCAAGCAAGAATCGTACAACTTTTTTAACCTCCCGTTGGCGGAGAAGATGCGCTGCGAGATGACCAAAAGCCCTCACTTTCTCGGCTACACCCGGCTCGCTAACGAGATCACTGCCCTGCAAACCGACTGGCGCGAGCAGATTGACTTGGGAACGGAATTACCGCCACCCCAGAGTCCTGATGAGCCAATCTACCACAACTTGGTCGGCCCTAACATGTGGCCAGATACCACCGTGATTCCGGGCTTTCGTCCCACCATCGAGGACTACCTCGCACGCATGACGGCTTTTTCCAAGCTTTTCATCTCCCTCGTTACCGAGGCCATCGGGTTGCCACCAGGAACATTTGACCAGTTCTTTAAGGCTAATCAGCAGGTTAAGATGAAAATTATCGCGTACCCAGACACGGATGATCCCAAGAACGAGAAGGCAAACCCCGCTAGAACCGGAGATACGGCCGCCTCCGGACAAGGGGTAGGGCCTCATAGAGACTCAGATTTCCTCACATACATCTACCAGGCCACCCAGCATGAATCCCTTCAAGTCCAGACGTTCCAAGGCGAATGGTTGACGGTTTCGCCAATCCCAAACACTTTGGTGGTGAACGTAGGACAGACCCTCGAGGCGTTGACCCACGGGGTGTGCGTCGCGACGATTCACAGAGTGGTGAGTCCGTTACCGGGCTTAGGCACAAGACTCTCGATCCCAGTGTTCCAGACAATCGACATCGACAGCTTTGCCACACAGGTTGTGTTACCAGAGTGGATTTTGGAAGAAAAGCGAAAGAGAGATAAAGTGAGAAAGCTGGGAGGTATTGGATTCCAGTTCAAGCCAGACTTGGAACATCCAGTGGGGTACGCTGTGTTTTTGAACCGGTTAAAGAGCCACCAGGACGTGGCACGGATCTGGTATCCAGCAATGTTGGATAAGGTTTTGGAGCAAATCAAACAGGGGAAATGATTCTCGCTGATGAATAGGTTTGGTGTTGTTTACGCACCAAAAAGCACAAGCGTGCTTCAAAAAAAATATATGTATATTGTTGATCGTTTAGACGGCGAGCTATGAAGGGACTTCGTCTCATACTAAGCTTCCCCTTCGATTGCTATTCAATTCACATGTTGAGTTGCCCAAAATTCCAGTCCTTTTGTAGCGTACTCTGAGACTGATACCTTTGGGAGGATACCAAAGTTTCGATTTCGCGTGATATCTGACGGATGGTGAGATCTCAATTTAGATTATGGCATTCCGGTTTCACGTCTTAACTGCCTACAGCTCCGGAAAGTAGCCAATGCTAAAGAAAAAACAGAGATCAGGCCTACAGCGATCCTTTGCCGGAAAAAGCAAGTTTATTTATATAAATTTATAATTTCAACCCCTCTTCCAAGAACGCAGTGACGGGCTATACCTGCGCCCTTTTTGGCTTGTATGGTTCTTCCAAGTACTTCACCTCTTCTTCCGTAAAAACCACATCTAAGCTCTTCAAGGTGTCATCCACTCTTGCTAACGAATTGATCCCGATGATCGGACTGTACCCCTTATGCAACACCCACGCATTAGAGATCTGGGCCATGGAAACCCCCTTCTCCTTTGCCAACTTCTCTACACGGTTGATAATCTCGATAGAATCCGCACCCAATGGGTTATCCAATACCAAAAAGTCCAAATTTCCGGCCTGGCTAATTTGCTCCTGGGACGCTTCGCTCAGTAATGGACGCGTGAGCAAGCCCCTGGCGTTTGGGGACCACGGAATCACCCCAACATTGAGGATATCCTCGCACAACGGAAGCATTTCACGTTCTTCCTCGCGGTACAACAAATTGTAATAGTTCTGCATCGCGATAAACTTGTGCCAGCCATTCTTATCCGCCGTGTGCTGCAAATGCGCGAACTGGACAGCCTTCATAGTCAGGGCGCCAATATATCTGGTCCAGCCTCTCTCCACCACGTCGTTCAAACCTCTCATGATCTCTTCAGCTGGCACCTCTGGATCGTACTTGTGGATCTGGTAGAGATCCATATACGTCCCCAACCTCTCGACCGACTTTTCGGCCGCCTGGAGAATGTGTTTGCGCGATAATCCACGCGAATTGCTCCACTCGAGCTGGTCCCAGTTTGTAGAGTCAAAGCCCTCGGCCGAAGGCGTTTCAGGAACCGGAAAAAACAATTTGGACATGATCACCACCTTGTCACGCGGAATCAGGTAGTGGCGCAAGAATTTCCCCAAGAGGATTTCTGACTGCCCGTTGGAGTACATATCAGCGGTATCAAACGTGCGGATTCCGCTGTCGTAGCACTTTTTGAGGATGGAAAACACGAGCTCCTCGTCTTCGACACAGAAAGGCGCCCACAGCTTGAGCCCGAATGTCATGGTACCGCAAATGATACGGGAAATCTTCAATCCGGAGTTGCCGAGCTTGGTCTGGGGAATAAGTTTGGACAGCATTGTAGAGAAAACGGGGTTAGGGTTAAGAATACCAGGGCTCCTCATATGGGAAACTTGGCTTTATATACTGGTGGGGAATCCTATATTCATTAGTGTAGGTCACGTGTATTACTAAGCATGGCTGCTGTGAATGGAATTTCAGACCCAATTAGGAGGGCTAAGGCGCACAAGGGTTCCAGGATAGGAAATTATCATGAGGTGGTGTCGTGTACCCCAGTCACTAAAAATCTGCATCAGTATAACTTGGCATCCCCACATAAATTCCGCTCCAGATAAACTGGTTTGGAAGTGGGGGGATAGCGATGCTATAATTATAATTTGTGGGTTTTTGTAGCAGCTCTCACTAATAAGTGATTCAAGCCTTTGCGACTGGGTTCATATCAGTCTGTCCTGCGACTAATTAGTTTGTAGTGGCTTAATCTGTAAGGGCTTAAATATTGGTATGCATCTGGCGTCCATATGTAACGCTAGCATTTTCGTAAAAGAGTTATAAATCGTTACCTTGTTTTATTTTTCAACAAACTTTATTGGAGTTTACAGGTCGAAGCCAAAATCAAGGTATACCCCGTAGTTCTCCCGGTGAAAGTATTTAATGAAATGTCTCCGCCTGATGATTTGGTGGCAGGAAGCAGAGGAGCTTTTACGAATTTTTTTTTTAGTGACAGAAAATAGGAATGTAGCCATCCTAGTGCTTAGAGTCGCTCCTAATCCGCTTGTCCGCAAACACGAAACCCTGGAGTGATCATATGTGAGGAGCTACCATGGTACCCTCTCGGTTCGTGATCAGACACCTAAACGGGGCCAATCGTGACCATCCTGATACTGGTAAACCATCTTTTCAACCCTGTCTAGACTTAACAGAATGAAAGATTAGAGAATAAAAGCAGAGCATGAGATCATGCATGAACTCTCCCTAGCAGATCTCTATAATTCTGCAAGCGATTCGTGTATAGTGTTGCTGAATTAGTATTGGTTATCGTAGTGTTTACGCAGGTGGGTTCGAGTATTTAACGAGATACACCAGAGCTAGTTACATCTACGAAATTCTCGTACTCAATCCTGCCCAAGGGGTGCAAATAATCAATACCTTTGTGCTTGTCTATCTAATTTCAGGGGTAAACTTTTAAACAAAAAGTTGGGGTAAAAAAATCAAGCTTTACGTCGTTTTATGAGTCCCAAATCATTGGTGCCATCGTCTACCAGCTATCATCGGGCCAAAACTTAAGGATCCATACACTTACATGGCAACTATGCAAAAACTTCCGGAAGAGATCTGGTCAACTCACATCAGTCAACCCACATCGGTCATTATCCACGATAATGCATCCAGCACAGCCGCACATATGCCCGTTGTTGCCAGAAACAGTCATTTAGGTTCCTCTCCCATAAAAGCATATGCATACCACAGACCTGGGTTACGCAGTTCAAACCCCGAGTGTTCGGACGGAGGGAATAATCTTGGTATGGTCAGTACTAGTCATCCTCGGGATGCAGGAAGCGGCTTATCGCTCTGCAGACTAGCCGCGTGCTTGGCCATACCGTCACTCATTTGCGAACGGCTTGAGAGTATAGGTATTACACAGACAGTTATGTAAGCGACGTAGATCATCCCGGGATTCGATGGACAAACCGTTGTGTTTGTGACCATCGAGAATTCTCAGAGTTAACAGAAAAGACGTTCTACGGCGATTAAACAGTCATTGTGGTTAGGTATCCGTCGTACCCCCAGATTCACGAATGGCCTCACACCCTCCAAGCCTCTATGATAACTGGCTTCACAGTGGTATGACGCACAACCCCTCCACACGGTTCTCGGCCAGTCTTCCGGCTCTTAGCTCTAGGATCGCCGATTTTTCTTGATTCAGTCAACGTGCGCTTCCCGTGGTAAATGCAGGCTCGTATTGCCTACATAGCTAGATTTGGCTGACGCACCTGCTCTAGTTAGGAGACGGAGTGAGCAAACTTAGCCTCAAAGTTAATCCACTTCCACTCGCGCACCGTACTTGAATCATCAATAGTACACCATGCTCTCATACGCGTTTTATCACACACACAACTTGCGGCATAGCTTGATTCTGACCCTTCCTGGATTGACTCCTCGGCCTTGGCCCTCACATGCACATGCCGACGGGCCTCGGACTTGGGAAAGCTTCTACTGGCTCGTGACCACTGCAGCGTGCGTCGCCTATGTCGTCCTACATATAACTCCTATGTATTGCAAGTTTTAGCCCCACTCCGCTTTTGGCTGTAGAAAAATAAATATTTAACAGGCCCTGCCCCAACCCTGCGACAAAACTTTTCACCCCAGATAAAAACTCCACCTTCAATTATTCTGCCTTTGCTTTATCATCCAGCATGACGATTCTATCACGCTTGCAAGACAGTTTTGTCCCCCATATGCCCACCAAGGACGGCCTTCGTGACCTCCGCCATAACCATGGCAGTGCGGTCGCGCCGTTGAACCTGGAAAAACAGCTTGAAAAGGCATTGACGGAGCAGCAGCAACACAACCAAGAAAACGATTCCCTCAACAGCGACAACCTCGACATCAGCTCGACTAACTCCGGCTCTAAGATTCACGTCTACGATGCCACCCACCGTAACTTGAAGAACCGACACATCCAGCTCATCGGGATCGGTGCAACGATCGGAACTGCCCTTTTTGTTGCCATTGGGTCTGGGTTGTACAAGGGTGGCCCGCTCGGGCTCTTCCTCGCGTTTGTCGTTTGGTCCATTCCCATTCTCTGCATCACGTGCTCCATCGCGGAGATGGTGTCGTACCTCCCAATCTCGTCCCCCTTCATCCGCATGGCTGGCCGCTGTGTGGACGAGCCGTTCGAAATCATGGCTGGCTGGAACTTCTGGTTCTTGCAGTGCTCGCAGATTCCGTTTGAAGTCACAGCTGTCAACAGCATCATCCACTTCTGGCGGGACGACTACTCTCCGGGGATTCCGCTTGCCGTACAGGTGGCGCTCTACTTCATAATCAGTGTATTTGGTGTCAAAATCTTTGGCGAAACCGAGTTCTGGCTTGCCATTGGTAAGGTTGTGTTGGCCGTCGGCCTCATGATCTTCACGTTTGTGACCATGGTGGGGGGGAACCCGCAACACGACGCGTTCGGGTTCCGCTACTGGAGAGACCCGGGCCCGCTCAACGAGTACTTGTACCCGGGTGCCAGGGGAAGATGGATGGGCATTGTTGCCTGTTTCATCAGAGCCGCCTTCACCATTGCGGGGCCCGAGTATATCAGTATGTGTGCCGGTGAAACAGCCAACCCGAGAAAGTCTTTGCCTAGAGCCTTCAAGCAGGTGTTCTGGAGATTGTCGCTTTTCTTCATCGTTGGTGCCCTCTGTGTGGGTATCTTAGTGGCACATAACGACCCGGCGCTTGTGGAGGCGATCAAGATGTCCAAGCCCGGTGCTGCCTCCTCGCCATACGTCATTGCCATGACCAACATGAACATTAAGGTCTTGCCCCACATCGTTAACGCGCTTATCGTCACGTCCTGCTTCTCTGCTGGTAACTCCTACACCTATTGCTCCTCCAGAACCTTGTACGGGATGGCGCTCGACGGCAGAGCGCCGCGCTTCTTGACCGCGGTCACCAACACCGGGGTGCCGTTGTGGTGCGTGTTGATCTCGTTGATCTGGGCGCTTCTCTCGTTCTTGCAGCTTGGAGAGAACGCATCCGTGGTGCTTAACTGGATCATCAACCTCGTGACGGCCTCGCAGTTGATTAACTTCTGTATCATGATGGTCACCTACATTGCCTTCTTCAATGCCATGAAAGCCCAGGGTATAAACCGAGATGAGTTGCCATTCAAGGGCTGGTGGCAGCCGTACCAGGCCTATGTGGGCCTCGTGTGCGCTTTCATCATGACCTTTGTCTCCGGGTATGAGGTGTTTTTACCGGGCGAATGGGACTACCAGACGTTCTTGTTCTCCTACATCATGGTGTTCGTGAACATTGCCATCTATGTCGTTGCCAAGGTCATCAAGGGCATGCTGTTCATTAAAGCCGCGGATGCGGACTTGGTCACTGGTTTGGCCGAAATCGAGGAGCACGAGATGATCTTCTACCAGATGGAGGAGGAGCGTGCATTGGCTCACGCCGAGTTGAGAGAGCGTTCCGGGATCAAGGGCAAACTTGTCGACGGTTGGTTGTATACCTCCAAGATTTTGTTTGGGGCGTAGGTGTGTAGCTATTTTTAGATTTCATTTCTTGTACGGTGTATTAAATTGTTTCCTTTTGATTGAGGTAGAGCCAAAAATTAGAACTTTCGGAGCTTTATCTCTGCCGCCGATTCAGCTATACCGTGTAACAGATGCTTAATATTGTTCTCAGTAATCCCTGGCACAATAGTAAAGTAGAGGGTTATGGATTTTCCCTGTCAGAGACTATAGTCCTTAGTGGATTTAGATTAAAGGGAATGATTTCATGTATATATAAAGATCTGGTATTTTTACCACCGTATCTATCAAATGTACTGAATATTACGTAAATTTTATATATAAGGGTGATGTAAAAAATATCTTTACTGATAAATTTGTATTACGTTCAATATTGGATCTTGTAATAATGAATTCATGGGTAGATAGCTATATATATATAACTTTGCATTTAAAATATTCTTAACGCCAAGATATTAACTTCTGTATAAACACATATGGCACATACAATAAACTCAACGCTCCAAGTTTCTAGCACTAGGCCAAACCTGCAAGACTTATAGCTATATATATGCTTAGGCTCGCACCACCGCGCCGTTAGCTTACCTGCACAGTTAAGTATTCGTCCGTTCGCTGCCACCTTTAACTTATCGAAGCCTCCTGGCTCAAGGCATCAAACCATGCATGTAGATAATTTTTTTTAACCTGCATGGGATATTTTTCAGTTATTTCTCATTTACCTTCGTTCTCCAGTCAATACCCATCGATACACACATAATGTCTATTTCTTTGGAGACCGTTATCCCCCAGTTGGAAAACCCTGTCAATATTGCTCCAATTTTGACCACCTTGTACTACAACAAGTCTCTCATCAACGATGCGGCCCCAACCGAAATTGCCCATTTGGTTTCCAGAACTGTGAACTTGATCAAGTCTCCGACTGAATACAAACAATGGTGCGGTGCTAACTTGGCCAAGGTCATTTGTCTCAGCCCTATTCTCTTACCAGCGCACGGTGCAATTATCTTGCAAAGTTTATTGAAGGTAGTTGATACCGCCCACACCCAGTCGAGAACCTTCAATGCTGCCGCCGATGCATTGCTCACCTTTGTCAAGCAGATCAAGGGTAAGCCAACCTTGACCAGAGAGATTTTGACCCCATCCTTACCCCTGTTGATTGCCGCTTTGGTCGCTCACTTGCACAAGGCTCCGTTGAATGCCCTCAAGTTGTTGAATTACTTGTTAAAGAACAACTCCACCACCTTCAGACCTTACGGGAACAAGTTAGAAAAGAAGTTGTACAGTTTGTTATTGAACAACTACAAGTCTTTGCCAGAAAACTTGAAGAAATCTGTCTTCAACACCTTGACCTCACTCTACATGATCAACAAGACCTCTGTTGAGGAAACCTGGAGCGTCCAGTTGAAGTCTCGTATCAGTGACTTGAGATCAGTCTTGATGGTCTATGGCGAGTTTTTGAAGTTTGAGGACGACGGTGATTTACAGCAGCTCATTTCCAGATTACCTGATTTTGACGCCAAGACCGATTATACCTCGCCGTTCCCGGCGTTGGACATTGATATTTCCCACCCAGACACCATTTTCAACATTTCAGAAAGAGTCGAGATTTTATTAGGCTGTATCGGCTCCTACTTGACCTCTGCCACCTATTTGCCGGTTAAGGTACCAATGGGCACCATCGTCATCTTGTCAGAAGTCATGTTCACCATCCAGGCCAAGTTCCTCTCTTTCAAACGTGAGATCGCCTCCAGTGCTGTCTTAACCTCCACCATCTCTGCCTCTATTGCTATGAACCAGAAGAGTATGGTCGGCTTGTTGGCCCAGCTTCCAAAGGTCTACGGGGGGATTTTGGTTCCTCACTTGCAGTTGTTGTTTGCAAACCTCGAGATTTTGTTGCCCACCTCCAAGAAGGGTCTCGAAATTAGCAAGGTGGTTAACAGTGAGGCCTTGTTGTTGGTCATCCTCGAATGCGCCACCTCCTACTTGGCCATGGTGGAGCAGATTGCCGATTCGTCTTGTTTCTTGCGTCTCTTGGACGTTTCCTTCATCCTCCTCCAGGAGAGATCCAACTTGCCCGACTCGGTCACCAACTCCCTCAACACAAACAAGGCTCATAATACCTCGAACCCACAGGGTACCAAGAAGAACAAGAAGAGCAAAAACACCAACTCGGCTTCCACCTCCGATTTCCTTTCCCATCGTCTGTTGTACTTGGTCAAGCCTTCCTGTGAAAAGGTCGCCATAATCAACCGATTCTTCACCGCTATACTCCGCAAGGTCGACTTGAAGTCCTCCACCCATAGATTGAAGTTGACCAAGTACATTATCGTGGCTTCTCATACTCTCAAGCAGGATGCCGCCACCCTGAGCATCCCAACCAGCTTTAGAGAGTTGTTGAAGGCAGCCGTCTTGTTCCCGGCTGCCAATGAAGCCGCATCCATCTTGCCAATTGTCTCCAGCTTGATCGGCAAGGACGATGACGTCATGGGTATATTCGTGAACCCACGCTTCCCTCCATTGAACCAGTTTGCCGCCAAGCCAATGGAGTATGCTGAGGATGTACCAGAGGAAGAAGAGGAGAGCGAAGAGGAGGAAACCTCTGCCAAGCGTCGCAAGTTGAGTGTTGACCTTGAAGTGGAGGTTGAAACCGCCATCCCAATGGTTGAGGTTAGTGCCGCTGATGAGGAGGAACAGAGTAAGCTTTTCCAGAAAGTTGATCCGGAAACGGTGCTTGAGTTCCCACAGACTCCAGCCGCTGAACAAGTGGAGTTGGTTGAAAACATAGTCGAGGAGAGAACCATTACTACCGTTGAGGCCGAGGAAGACGATGGCTCTGACTTTGAAATGCCAGATATTGAGTTGGGTAACGACGATTCCGAGGATGAAGAGTAAGCTTTTTGACTTTAATAGAAGTGTATCATAGCCTAAGAAAAGAAAAATTACCGTAAAGGTTTTATATGACAGAGGCTATTACATTCCTGTAAGTGCGTGGCATCGAGTGAGCTCATGACATTATATAAATCACTAGAGTTGTAATCTCAAATAAATTGTTTAGAAGGTAATCCCGTCGCTTATAAGGGATCATTGGAATAATTTTTGAAAACACAAAAATTCAAATACTGGTGCTCATACTTTGGCATACACGCAGTTTTTAGTATAGACATTGTGCAGGATGCAAAACACAGATAACCAAAACACCTCCATCTCCAACGGTTTTACCCTTCCATACTTTCCAGGGTAGTCGATAGTCACTATCGTTACATCTCCACAATGGCAGAATGCAAGCCCAAACTTATCCTTACCCTGTCCCTTTCGCCTTCCAAGGTGACGCTTTTGGCACTAGTCACCTCATACTGTGCCGGCGTCCTACCGCGCAATCGCAATGCCGAGGTGTTGGACACAATAATCCGGTTTATCGACGGGTTCTCGTCAAAAGAGGAAGATCAGATCTCTACCCTTTTGATTTTGCCATCATTAAACGATATTCTTGGCAGCTTGAAAGAAACTATTGCCGAATCCATACGCGAACAGGACGAGAGCCCTACCGCGATAAGCGATTTCCACCAAATCGAAAGAAGCCTTCTCACCACCCTTTGGTCCTTCAGGTCCCTTGATGCACTTACCTCCTTTATCACTCGAGCGAAAGCGCTACTCGTGGATACCCCAGCCCAGGGTAAGCAGCTTCTCTCGCAGACAACCAAGCTCTTGGCCAGGTCAAGTTTTCTAGGAAGGTTTGTGTCGATGTTGGTGCAGGACTTTGGGCTTATTGACTTTGATAGCGCTATACAGCTCTTTGAAGCGTTCAGCGAGTACCGCGAAGAGACCAGATCCCAATGGGAGGAGTTCACAGGTGCTCTTACGAGGAAGCACGAGGATACCACCGAAGACAACTTTTTCGAGGATTTGATGCAGAAGAACCGACAGCTAATGGGTCTAGAGCCTCTGGGGGGAGTTGTTTCGGTTGGCAAACAGGAGGTGATCATGTTGGCGACAGGGGACTTGGAGAAGCTCATCGATAAGCAGATATACCTTCTTGAAGCCTACGGTACGCCCACCCCCCCTGCGTTGAGGAAAGTTTTGGGCCTCATGACCCAGCTAGACAATGCTGTGATTCCATCTTCACACTACGCCAAATATTTGGAGCACCTACGGGATAACGACTACGAGGGCGCCTTCGAGTGCCTACACAGATACTTTGACTACATGATGTCGCATAATTCCAAGAGCTTCTACCACTACGCGTTGCTATCACAGGCAACCTTGCACGCAAACTTCAACTGCGACAACGAGGCCTTGCGATCGATCGAAGAGGCGATATCTGTGGCCAGAGAGAACAAGGATGTGAACTGCTTGAACTATTTGCTCGCTTGGCTATTTAACTTCTTGAAGGACAGGCCCAAGCTCTTGCGCAGTCAAAACTTTTATGCCACCAACGACCAACTTTTGCAGTTCCTCAAAGCCAAGTCCAAGCAAACCTCTCAGTCCCTTCACGCTATGGCGTACCAGTTTGAGGCATTGCAGATAATGCTAGACGGTGGCCCTTTGAACAACCTCCTTGAAACGCTCACAAAGGCTTCCTTTCTCTCGATCAATGACACCATGCCGACGTTTATCAGGAATTCGGAGCTTCAGGCCACTGTTTGGAGCCGAATTGGGTTGTGCCACTCGGCAGAGTTCTACGTTGATATAGCGCTAGAAGCGTGCGCCGTCAAGAAGAACTTGCCGGACGAAGTTTCCGTGTCTATCCGCAAGGCGTATATTTTGTATGCCCAAGGCGACAATGAAAAGGCTTTTGCCCTCTTGAACAAGTACAAGGAAATTGTACTCAAGGATGGTGCACTTTTCAGGCAATGGGAATCTCGGAGACTAGTCTTGTTGATCAAAATGTCTTTGAACAAGGGCAGATACAGGATTGCTGAAACATACCTCGATCGTTTGAAGGCTCAGAATGTGGTTGACTTGGATCTTCAGTACGAGTGCGACTACCTTTTGGCTAGGCTTTGGACGTGCTTGGAAAACTACTCGCAGGCGCTCCAGCTAGTGCTTGGGCTCACCTCCAAGTTTCAGAATGACCAGCAGCAAAACGCTTACTGGTCGCTCAAGTTCAACCTCTTGGCGGCGCATATTTTCACCAAGACAGCTGTTCCTAACCGTGGGTTGACCCTTACGATTAAAAGCTTGACGCTTGCAAAGAAGGCGGGGTTGATGCCCTTGTTGATGGAGGGGGCTTTGGTGTTGTCCGAGATCTTGCTTTTATTGGACCAGGAAGCGGACGCCTTCCCTATTTTGGAATCGGCCATGCCGCAAATCTTACTGCTTGACAACCTTGAACTCAAGTCCAAAGCGTATTATTTGTTGGCGAAAACTGCGTTCAAGCTTCTCAGCTCCACGGTGTTGGTTAAGCAAAACGGGAAGATAGACAAGCCCGACAAACGACGTCTAAACCTCATCCTCGACTACCTAGCCATCGCCATCAACGGCTACAAAAACATTTACTGCTTTAAGGAGATGATTGCATGCTTCCAGGTTGAGGAGCGACTTGCCACGTTGATCAACGAAGAGGCTTTATGCCAGCACGCGACAGATGCCATCGGTAAGTTGATGCAGCGGATTAGTGAAGAATCCAGATATGGGATCATCGACTAGACGCCAATACATGCAGACGTAGGAACCCAATAGAGATGCTATTCATTACACTTGAGGATATGCACCCGATCTAGATTATGCACTTACGGTTGGCATTGATTCGTAAAAACTAAAGGTTTTATTTGGAGAGTTACTTATATAAACAAAATACAATACACATAAGAGAAGTGGACAAAAGTTGTTTAAATGAAGGTTTCGTAAGCAACTGGAGCCAAGGTTTGTGGAACGTTACCTTCGGTAGAGATGACTCTGAAGCCTCTTGGCATAACTGGCTGTCTCTTCAACTGAACAGACTCACCGTTGGCCTTAGCAGCAGACTTCTTGGCAGCGTTTTCCTTGACACGGTTCAAGAACTCTTCACGGCACTTGGAGTGCTTGATGTGTTCGACCTTCAAGTTGACTCTCTTTTCGAGGTATCTGTGACCGACAATCTTGTTGATGATAACACCGACAGCAGACTTGGTAACGTTGTAGATAATACCAGTCTTACCGTGGTAGTACTTGTGTGGCATACCCTTCTGGATGGAACCGTTAGCCTTGATGTCAACAATGTCACCGACCTTGTAGATCTTCATGTAGGTGGACAAAGGAATGGCACCATGCTTCTTGAAGTCTCTTTGGAAGGCGTAACGAGTACCGGATCTGTAACCACGACTATAATAAAGTTAGTACAACTATTCCAGGATCCCATGGCTAAAAGAGACTATGAGCGACAAGTGACAAAATCAGGGCTTGTAAGGCAAACTCGGTCGTATCGAAAATTTTCATTCTTGGTGTCTAGCCAAAATAACACCCGCCGATACGGTCATTCGAAGCGGGAGGGCGGTCTGTGTTGTTTGAGCAGTTGGAACCGTGGTTTAGAGTGGCTATTGGTTCCTTGGTTTTTTTTTCAATGGACTGGTGAAGTCAAACGTCGCTTGTGCCAAATTCATAGTTCTCCTAATCGCTGCCGTAGTTTGAAGGTACATACGATTTACCCATTTTGAATTAATTGATGATACAAAGGTATTAAGACAGAAGCGTGTTGCAACGGTATTGAAATATAGGTATATTATTTTATCGGAATGGTCTCTCGCTGGTGGAAGGTGTCACACACTATCCTCAGTATGGAGAGCCGCGCACGCACACCCGCACCAGAGTTGGTGGTAGTATCCTAACAAAAATTTTTCCAGCTGCAATAAGCCAAAAGACACAGATTTTGGACATGCTCGAAAGAGAAAATTTTCCACTATACCACGAAGTTTTCGTAGAGCGACGACTAACATACCAGAGATTGGATCACGTGATGCACAAGATTTTCGAATTGCCAGAACCATTTTCAAAAAGTAGTCACACCACTGCAGGCTTTGCCCTAAAAGCCCTGCTAAATCACACGTGATGTGGAAATGGATTCCAGCCTGGGATAATCGTGTGGGGTTGGCTACAAATGAGGTACATATAGGGCGAGTCTGATGGGTACTACAGTATGTGGAAGAAAGCGGGTTTGAAATAATCGACCGTAAAAGTAGATTTCTAAAAGCAATTAGTGATAATGAATTTAGTGATTCACCGTCTTCAAGTCGGCTAGTGGAACGATACTTGGCCTGCCATGAGCGCATTGGAAGGGTAGCATGCAAGTACTTAAACCGTCCAAGATACCTCTCATAGCTTCCCTGTCCAAGACATCCCCGAACATGATGGCAGAGCGGCACGCTTTGGAGTTGATAATATCTATCAAGACCCTGGGGACTGCCTTTACCATTTTAAACCACGCGTGAGGGTCCCCTGAGTGTTGGATCCGTCTTTTACAAGATACAAGGCGCGGCTTTCTGTATTCTTGCAAGTCATAGGCGTGCTGTAGGAGGCATCTTTTCAAGAATACAAGATCTGAGGCACATTTCTGCGAAAATAAGAGCGGTAGATGCGTAACGTAAATCGAATGTTTGGCAGGTTCATTGAACGAATCTACGGAGGTCGGTTCGGTGAAGACATCAAACTTGATGCCCCAAATGGCGAATTCTTCCGAGAAAGTTTCGAGTAGCATCTGTTCATGGGAACTCACATCGATACAGACGATTTCAATTGGTTCGGATAGCAAACTTTTGCTGTCGCAGTACAAGGCAAGTTCGATAAGCTCCTTCATGTATCGTTCAACCCGGATTCGCTCATCAGCTGCATGTTGGTCGACGACCAACAAAGTGGGGAGCATGAAGCCTTTCGTTGTCAGGGTCAAACGCATGGTCACTAGGATGAACTTCCGTTCAAGCTGCGACACAATCCGAGCACTCTTGAGAGCTCGTCTTTCGATCGATACCTTGTTCAGGTCCTTGAAACGGGGAGATGCCACCGGTATCAGGTCAAGCATCTGAAGTTTGGTGTTAGAGGTGGTGGGTATAGAACTTTGAAGCTGAAAATAAGTGGAACTAGGTAGGGCAGTCTGAAGGTTCCCAGTATCCCGCGAACTATCAGTATGGGCCCTTTTGCGCACTGAAAGTCCCCCCATACGCGGCACAGAGTCACTATAAACTTCATCCTGGCTCCTTCTGGCTATCTTGGTTCTTTTCAATGAGAGATTTGTAGCTCCCTGACTGGCATTTTGCCCTGTCGTGATATCCACACCGGGAGAAACGTCAGGATTTTTCGGCCCACCACCCATTGTGCCTGATTCCAGGCTGATTGTGTACCCCTGCACTTTCAAAAACGACGTAAGTATCTTGATGATCATCGGTCTGATGACTGAAAAGTGTTTGGACTGGTACACACCCTTGTTTGGGTCTTGGATTAAGTCGGAAACAGACACTGGACACACCACCTTGAGCACGAAGACAGGGTGCTTCAAGATCGGCCTACCCACGGAAGTGATTTTCTTTGGACTTTTAATCATAGTTTGACTTAAGGGGAAAGCCGTTAGTGGTTCTTCCTCTAAGGACCCAAAGTCAGCAGCAATAAAGAGCTTTGAGATGTCCCGAAAGAGATCGGGATCATAAACCCTTCGGGTATTCATGAAAACCAGCTGGTACGCCTTGGACTGGATGGCGTGCAAACCAATAACTCCACACACCGAGTAGTTCTCAAAGGAAGCAGAAAGGTACTCATACTTGTCTGTTGTCGAAATTCCGTAGACTGAGTTCAACACTGAAGCGCTCATGGCCGGTTCCTGAGATGTATGGAGCACTCCGACCACTAAAACGAGCTCCTGCGCTCCTGAATCCGAACATGTCACCCTGATTTGCACTTCAGGATGAAATATGGACACGTCAAACACTATGCGCCTGATCTCATCCAACACTCTGTACTTGGACAACTTTTTCATGTGGTCCACGCGCACAGGGACGTTACCAAACATGTTGGTCACCTCCACCACCGTCCCACTACAGCTGAAAAACGGCCCTGACACCCACGTGTCGGAATACTTTTGGCGAAGGGAGTCGGGAAGTCGGCTAGAGCGGTTAGTGACGGTTATTCCGTTGATTAGCGTGGTGTAGAAGGCATCGCTGTCACCTCTTTTAGACGAAATAGTGAGATTCGAAACCGCTGCGATGGAATAGAGAGATTCCCCTCTAAAGCCGTACGTCCGAGCCGTCTTCAAATCATCTAGGTGTGATATTTTGGAAGTGTGGAACCGCTTCCCGATAGCGTCCAACTCGGCGGGGGACATTCCGCACCCATCGTCCATTACCAAGAAACTGCGGTTAGAGAGGTCAAAAGACACCACAATGTTCTTAGCAGTCGCATCGATAGAGTTCTGGATCACTTCACGAATTCCACAGGCAAGGGACCGGATCGAGACCTGAGACAGGAGGAGCTGACACACTGAATCATCAAGGTGATTGATGGAGCGCATAGGATGGGAGCACACGGTGAGAATACAGCATGGGCATAAACATTAATGAGGCTTTTTAATGGGGGCCAGAGGCGGGAACTTTGAAACCAAGATGTAGCCTTTGCAGTTTCCCATGTGTATGCGACCTGCATGTTGCAACCTGGGGTTCCGATTCGTAGTATGGATGCCCTTGTCGCACAAATACAGAGCTGTTCAGTCATTACATAGATCGACTACCGTAGGTTATTGTCATAAAATAATATATATGGACCAAAATGACACCTTTGGAGGCTTTAACCGCTTTGGAATTATAAAATTATAAAATGGATAGCGATCGTATAGCCAATACTCAGAGTTTATGATATTGAACATAAACGGGGACTAGAATAAAATAAATAGCCCTGACCAACTCCGCCACCATCCACCTGCTAATTAAATACCATCAGTGATTAAACTACAATATATGTATCAGAAATATTTATTAAACTCTACAATATATCAGCTTTTCTACAAACATAAACCATACCTACTGCAAGCCACTTGCCCTTGGTTGCACTGATGATCATCCACCAAAACCGCGGTAAAACGTTATCTAACCAATACCACTAGTCCTGGGTTAACCCATGTCGTACCTATATCTCAGCTGTTTGGGGATGCTATCAAATTCGCTTTTGTTCTGCGGTCTACTCGTGGTAGCGGATGGTTCCGATGAGGCACAAGTGCAGGGGGAGGCGTCCCGGGACGGGCCCGAGCACCTTCAACTTTTGCTTCGTGTCGTCGGCGTCGCTGATGTAGGCAAAGCCCATGACGGCAGAGTCCAACGCGTCCTGCGCGGAGCCACCACTGGCTGCGACGTGCGACACGGCCACGACGGTGTTCTGCAACGTGGCGGCACCGTTCTTCACGCGCACAAGTAACCGCGCGTCTGTATCCGTATCACGCTCCTCTGGCGCCATATACACCACCATGTCATTGTAGTCGATTACCGACGTGTAGGGCGCCAAGACGGTGCTCCCCCCGTAGAAGTACTCCTTGATGGCGCGGTGCTGGATCGCACGGATAAACACATCCTCACGGTCCACACACCCACCGCTCTTGGCCACCTTGAGCACGGTCTTTCCGTTTGCCTTCTTGGCCATTTCCACAAACAAGCGCTCATTCCCGATGACCACCACCACATCCACCTCAAAATCAGCGATGATATCGGCGATCAAAGCCGCATCGTTAGCACCGAGAGCGGGCGTATCGATGACATAGCCCGATTGCTGCACTATCTCGTCTTGCTCGGCGCGCAAGTTCGCCACCACGCTCAACTTTGCCGCCTGGTACTTGTACAAGTCGAGGTTTTCACCGGGCTTTTCGAACCCGTACCACTTTACAACCGGCTGCTTCGTATGCAACTGTGTGATATTGCTGGTGATGGTGTCGCCCCAGTATGTCTCCACGTCGAAGATGTCGCTGATGGGTGTCGCGCTGAGCGCACCCGGCACCGCGAACGCGCCTTCCTTTGGGTCAAGGTTGACAAAAAGCGGCTGGTGCGACATTTTGTTGGCGTACGCGCACAAAATATTTGCGAGTGACGTTTTGCCGGTGTCGCGGTTTCCCAACACCAACACGCGCGGCCCGCGCGCCGTATTGCGTCGCGCCGCGTCGCGCATCGCGTGGAGGTACAAGTGCAAATTCGTGTACTGCGGCATTGCCGTCTCGTCCGAGACGTAATCCGATGCAAGGGCTCCACTAGAGTGTAGGATAGTGGCGCCAGTAGGCGAATACACGGATATTTTCGTTCCGGTAAACGTGTAAGTTCTGTTATTTGCAAGTTCCGTCCCGAACACCTCGGCGATTCCGTCGGTCACCTTAATTACCACCTTGTTTTCGAAGGACACTTCCACACGCCATTCCTCGCCCGCCTTCAATGTGAACGACCCCTTGATTTCTGTTGCTTGCTCTGACATGGAGTATTGGGTGGATATTAGGTCAAGTGAATGGCTTGCGTACAACCCCGTTAAGTAATTTTCCGTACAGGATTGGATACAGATGGTGTGTGATTCTGCAAGATTTGAAAAATTACAGAGCTGAGGTAGATGAACTTATGAATGTACAACCGGTGATGGGAAATATATACTGCAAATATATATTGAGAAATAAATACTGAAAATATGTACTGAGAAATAAATACTGCGAACATATATTTAAAATAATAATATCGACAGGGTGAGATAGAATATATTTCAGGTATGAACTCAAGTGTATACATGTATACGCACTCACCCAATATTAATTTAAAATAGAAAAAACTATTTATTCCTAGATCGATAGATATATAGACCTTAGAGTTGTTTATATAAAATGCCCGATTATAAATGCTAGCTAAGCTCCTATGCTTGACGCTTAGGCACTGCCCTTGGCAATATACTCCTTAGGTGCCCTCGCAGCCCACTCCGACCAACTCCCGTCATAAACCACAATTTCATCCCCCGAGGAATCCTTTCCATACCCTGCAATATCCAATGCCGTCTTCAATACACATGCGGTGACACCAGAACCGCACATCACAATCGTCTTCTGGTTAGCCACAATGCCTGCCTGGTCTAAAACCGCCACCATCTCGGGCTTCTCCAAGAACCTCCCGTCCGCACTCCACACCTTCTGGAAGGGAAGCGACTTGGCGCCTGGAACGTGTCCGGAAGGCAATTCCGGACGCGGCTCTGGTGCCTTGGCGGTGAACCGGTCGGCGGAACGTGCATCAATCAACTGGTACTCGGCCAACTTACCGGATTTCACCAATTCCAACAACTCCTCGTACGAAATGACGCCCTTGCTGAAATTACTGGCCTCGTACAAGCTTGGCGCGAGCGCCGAGGGGTTCTGCACGGCGTTGGTGTCTACGGGGAAACCCGACTTTCCATAGAACGGCCAGTGGTTCAAGATGTAGATTTCCGGGTGTCCAAACAATCCAAACGTCCAGGCGGCACGCGGAGATGAAAAGACCCCAGTCTTATCATAGAATACCAACTTATCGGTGCGCCTGATGCCCAATTCGGAGATGGCGCGGCTGAAGGCCTCGGCCGACGGCAACATGTGGGGATACGGGGACTCGGCATCCTTGACCTTTTCAATGTCAAAAAACACAGAGCCTGGAAGTCTGGCGTTCTGGAACTCTGTGTACCCGTTGGACGGACTGTTAGGCATGTACCAGGTGGCGTCGACGGGGATCACCCGTGATTCAGGGGTAGAGGCTTGCACCAAGGCTCTGAAGGCCGAAGGAGAGAGAACACTAGTGAAACGCTTGGTCATTTGGTGATTGTTGGACATTTCGAGCAACTAATACGGAAACGCAGGGTACGCGAGGTGCACTTGTAAAGGAGTTGCGACTAAAGCTCGGGGAGCCTCCTGACTCTTGGGCTAATCCCCGCAGACACCCGTGTTTGAGCCGCAGCTCGCCATCTAGCCACATTCGCACATTATTGAGCGACAGAAGCCAACGGGGATGTGCTAAAGGGTTGAATTTGAAACAAAAGAGGAATGTAGTAAATAATTTACATGACTTTGTCACAGTATTTCGGTTTCTCGCATCTAGGGTCTTAGAACCAATGTATGGTTGATCTTCCAAATTAGTGTGCGCTAAGTATTCCTGAGTGTACGCTTTGACCAAACTAACAATCCTTAGCTTGGCAAATGGCGGCAATAGTATAGATATCGCCCCAAAATACACTCTCTATTTAGTGATATACTGTGATTAGCCAATTCTGTATACTCTGGTCCATCTCCAGTGTTAGGACATGCGTGCCAACGAGTATATCTAGTAGGGAATAGTAAACGTTAGCAAAGATTATATCGCTGGTTACTTTATAAACTGAATATACAAACAAGAGGAGCTGGGGCCTTTATATGCCATGAGGATAATTATATTACATCACCCCGGGTGAGGGCAAGGGTTCGGTGGGGGAAAGACATCTGCGACGCAGTAACACCTTTACCACACCGTGCGAGATAAAGAGCATTTCTTTCAGATATCTATAGTATAAGTCGCATAATTTGTCCATAAGAGAATCGATACTACGTTGCAAGGAGAAAAAAAACCCCAACCTCTATCGCTACTACATTAAACTTTCCCCACATCTATCCTCCGTCGATAAGAGCAAGCTCCAACGCAGACTTAGATAAACTGGTGGTGGAGATCTCACTCCCGTTGTCATCCTCTTCCTCTTCTTTTGGCGGTAGCTGCTGTGCCAGATGTATTTCCCGTAGGCGTTTGTCCATCCGCGAGAGGTTCAAGTCCTTGGGGGACACTTGTGCGGGGAAGAGGTTGCCCATAAGGGGGTTAGCGTGGAGGAGTGACCTATCGAAAAGGATCTCGTCATCCGAGTCTGACGGCGAGGCGTACTCCTTCATCAATCGGGTCTCGCTATAAGGAGAGGTGGGCCTGAGGTTTCCAAACCGCGAGCCGTAAAGGAGGCTGGATTGCATATCCAACTCATTGGTCTGTTCCACGTACGTTCGCGGAGTTGCCTCGGACCTGGACTCTAAGACATCAGCTATGGAGTTAAGGCGCACTACTGTGTTGCTCTGCACCGTAGTGGTGGCGATGGAGGGCTTGATTCGCGAGATGGGGTTGATAAAGCTAAACGACTTGGCTGGAGAGACCCGTGTTCGAGGGCTTATGTCTCGCAGGGCTGCCGCTTGCCGAGGACTGGCAGAAACCCGCCTGGAAAACAGAACTGCTTCTTTTTGTGTGTGTTGTTTCTTTGTGTCTTCGATACCCCGTTTCAACTCCAGAAGTTCCTTCTCGTAGAGCCAGTAGCTCACCTGCTGGAGGTACGAGATGTCAATGTTGTCAAATCGACGGGAGAGGAGCTCCCAGTCTATGGTGGAATCTTTCAGTCTGCATTCCAACAAATATGTCCAGAGCTCCTGCTCCTGTCGTTCGGTGAATCGGATCTAAGCGGTTAGTTTCTGTTTTGCGGGGAACTCTCTGTCACGTACCTTCCCAGGGTCCTCAAAAGCCCCTCGCTTGAATGGAAAGCGAACATACACGATTGTTTTACCCATAGGATAGATATAATGGGTCTAGAATGAGGTGTGAGTATGTGAATGAAATGCCGCTAAGAGTGAATGGATGAGTGGGAAGTGCTGACCGACATTCAAAATGCGTGTTCCGCGATAAGCAGCAAAATCCGGCCGTCGCCTCGCTTTGACCCAAATTACTTTTTCTTTCATCCTTTTACCGCTCCAATAAACAAAGTTATTGGTTTACCATTTAAAATTACCATTCTTTTTTATTTCAAGCTAAAACTCCATGTAATCGTCTTCCTCCTCCTGGAAAAACATCCCAAAGGTGATGATGCTGGCGTAGATGATCAAGCCACCGGCAGTGCTCATGAGCATGGCATAAAACTCGATCAAGTGCGAATGGTACAAGACCAAAGGCAACGCCAAGCCAGAAACCACTAGGAATCCGGTCACATACTGCCCAAACTCTGCTAGCGAATTGGCATTCCTGTTTTGTTAGTACTAGCCCTGTACAACGGTAAATATACGTACCCCCCACTCAAAAGATCGTCGTAGCTATTGCCGCTTCCACACATGGCGTTTGGCAATGGTGCAATCAAAAAGATTGCGACTAAGAGGTTAGTAGCTGAAAGAGTAGAACAGATGGCATACCTACCATCAATGAGGGGCTTCCAGTTGGAGTAGATTGCACACGACAAGATAATCAACAAGAACCCAGCGGCCAACGTCCCCGAAAGAAGTACAATCTTGTTTAAGCTGTTATTTCCCATAACATAAGCGTCTGAATATCGGTTTCTAGATGATTCGAGGGCCAATCTGCGTGGCGTCTTCAGCCTGTATGTAAACAACCTGTACAGATTCGGTATGGTCGCAAATGCACGACTCAAAAACCTTACAACCACGCCGGGAAGATAGCGCTCAGTCTGTATAGCCAATCTACGATGGTCAGAGCGGTGAAATGTGTGCTAGTGCAGTGTGATCCGTCCATCAAGGCGCTTATTTTGGATATTGACAGGCTGTCGCAGACGATCGTGATCCAGGATCTCGACGACACCCATTTGGTGATTGATTCCAGCAAGGTCCAACATGTCAAGAACGAGTTGAACCGGTTGCTCACCAAGAATGTGTACAACCCGATGGAAGAAGAGGAGCAGCCATAAACCAGGTTATGGTGCTAGGTTAGAAGAACTGCTCTCCGAAATTGCATAGTGACAGGCAGAGGTTTAATTTCACATGAAATATGACTTCTATAGGAAGTCTGTTGTATAGTTTGATTATAACATTACCATATGCACTATATAATCTGTATTATAATAAAAATGGTTCACCTCCATGAGTTTAAAGCTACTCGACGTAGAAACAGGTATAAGCTCCACAATCCTTATATCTCTCTGTAAACCCTTTCATTATAAATTCTGTTTGATATTCCGGCCGCTCTGATACTTTCGGATCGAGGATATCAGTATACTCTTATGCATTTTCAAACCTATCACTATTCTATCTGTTGCAAGGTTGCCACTATTCCATTTCGTGATATTCCTTGCTCTGAAACTCTATCATTTCACCATTTGTAATACCCGCCGAGCCCTCTATTTTAATGACTATTCCAACCCCTTTCTGTGGAGTAAGAGCCTGAGCAGGTACTCGTATACCCACATGGTCAACGCACTGGTAGGAGCGGTCTTTAATACGCTCACCAAAAAGCCCTTATAAAAACCCCGTGTTCCTTCCACGGCAAAAATCTTGCAGATAACGTCCACGGCGGGCTTGGAACTGCCCACCATCTGCAACCTCCGTCTGAGCAAGTCCAAGGGAAAGGTCACTCCCTTGGAAAATGCACCGGCTATAAAGCCACAGATCGGCTCAGCAAACGGCATATCCACAGCCGATGACGCCCAGCGCGCCCAGTTGTACGTCTGGAACATCACGCCGGTGTTGAGACACACGGAAATCATAGTGGGAGCAATCCCCGCGTAGAAACCTCGTATACCGCTCTCGTGCAAGTACACATCTTTGATGGTTCCATAAAACGACTGGAACTGCTTGTTGGTGTTTGCCGCAAGTCGGGTTCGTAGCAAGTCGAACGGATATGTGACCATCGTGGAGGCAGACCCTGCTACAAAGCCGGAAATGAAGGAATGTGCACTGGGAACGGCCCAGTGTGGATTTTCCTTGCCCCAGGAGGCAAGTTGGGAATTGACAAACGAATAGGTTGTAAACTGGACCCCACCGTAGACCACGTACAAGATCTCAGCCGGCACGTTGCCCTTCCAGAGCGCCCGCACGCCTTCCTCCCGCACTACGGTGGACATTGTCCCGATAATCCCGTGGTACTTTGTGTTGCTCACTTGGAGCTGGAGCCGGATTTTGACCACATCCAACGGTGCTGTGACCATCCTAGGGGGGTTAGTATCAGAACAGGGACATCCTTCTATGGACATACCTGGCGAGCGCGCCTGCGAGAGAGCCGGCGGCAAGGGCTGTCAACGGTGGAACCTTGGTCCCTCGGCTGAGATGGTTCGCCCGGGAAGATTCTGGCTTGCGTTCAGACATAGATGCTTAAAAGGGCTGGAATCTTTGCAAGCAGATATACGGTGGGTAATAATATGCAACTATGCGGTAACAGGCGATGACTTTCCCAATCGGGACGTGCTTACGTTTTTCTTCAGAAAAAAAATTACATGGACAGGATATTGAAGACTGGTGTATTGCTACCTCCAGTAAATATATCTTTAGCCATACATCTTTAGACGTACACCTCTAGACATACATCTTTAGACATTCATTTTTGGACCGACACCCATATACAAAGATAATGAGCTCAGTGAATACCGCGCAGACCTCGTTATTGAACAGAGTAGACGGTTCGTCACAGGTGGAGTCCGGAGCCACCAAGGTGTTGTGCTCGGTTACGGGTCCGATCGAGGCCAAGTCGAGACAGGAGCTTCCGACGGCAGCGGCATTGGAGATCATCGTCCGTCCCGCGGTGGGCGTCTCCAGCACCAGAGAAAAGTTACTCGAGGATAAGTTGAGAAGCGTGTTGTCCTCCGTCATCGTGCGCCACATTTACCCGAGACAGTTGATCCAGATCGTTGTGCAGGTGTTACAGGCCGGCGAAAGCGCCGAATACACTGTCCGAGAGACCGCTGCGGCGATTAATGCTTCGTTTCTCGCCTTAATCGATGCCAATGTCGCCTTGCACACTTCGTTTAGCGCCACGTGTTTGGCCGCGCCCACTGCACAGTCCCCTAAGGAGAAGTTCATATTAAGTCCGACCGCTGACGAGTTGAAGAAGGCCTTGTCGAACCACGTTGTTGCCTACTCCATTGTGAATGGCGAGTCCGAAAAGTTATTGTTGAGCGACTCCAACGGCAGCTTTACCGAAGCGCAGTTGTACCACGTGTTGGACGTGGGCGCCGCCGAGTGTGAGCTCATACACAAGAAGTTCAGGCAGACGGCGAAGGAAAAGATCGAGCACGATTACGTGTGGCAATGTTAATGTAATATAGATATTTAAAGATGCTCGGGCGTAGGAGATGAAAATTGTAACCAGACCAGGATTGGAAATATTCAGTGGAAAATCTGGGGGACTTTGCATCAACGTCTGTTCGCACACCCTTCTAAGTGGGGTCATGATCAGAGCGTAAACATGTATATTTACCTCAAATTGGACGGTGGGCCATCCGATATAAATCATTCTACTTAATATCACCAGAGTTTTTTTAGCATTACAAAGTAGCCTCGCTTATTCCAAATCGTAATGCTCCAAGTCCTCCTACTGACAAATCATCATGACCGTTATATTCATCTCTAACCCATCCTACCCCGTGCTACGTACCCGCTATGCCCTCGCACCTAGCTCATTCTTAACAACTTTTATATTACACACCTATTCCGCTGGGGCTCAAGTTACATACTCGTAGCCTAAACCTTCCAGATCTTCCCATCCGCCATCATGAGATGGTTCTTGCTTTCCATATCAGTCATCCCGTCGACAAATTCCTCACGCGAGAACTGCTCTTCCTCGGACATTTCGCGATTCACATGTTCGAACACCACCTCGATGGCGCAGCTCTCGCTGGCAAAGATCTCGCCTTGCATCAAGCGCGCCATTGCGCGCATCAAGGTGGCCAAGCGCGCCGCGCTGAGGGTGCTCTCTGGGACGTTCGACGCCGCGGTGTGGTGCAACGGCTGGGCATCCTCCATCACGCTATCGCCGTCGCCGTCTCTGCGCATGGCACGAAGCTCCCTTTCGGACGGCCCGGCCGCCGGTTCTGGGGAGTTCGTTATCGCTTCCGCCTCCGGCGATTGTGACGACTCCGACTCTACCTCTGGCCCCGGGCCTGCCTTTCGCTTCTTGTTCGACTTCTTAGACGGCTTCTTCGGAACATCTTTGAAAAGGGCAAACCGCAACATATCGTTCGCCACCTGGGCATCCTCTTTGCTCACAGTCTTCGCCAACCGCACCTTCGCGTGCGCAGTAGCCAAACGGATCAATGTCTCCAACGTACGTGCGGTGATCGGAGCGGTTTGCTTTCCAGACCGCCCCACGTCGTTCCGCAACCCCGCGTAGATCTCCACGATGTAGTCAGACGCTGCCTGCGACAACGCCGGGCGCACACGCGCCTTCGCGTACAGGATGTACTTGCGGAGGAACGGAATGGAGAGGATCTCAGGCATGCCGTTCGTGCCTTTATGCGCCTGTGCGGCACCTGCGTGCAACAACGGGTTGAACTTTTCCCACACGGCAGCGTCGTCGTTCTCGGTGTTGGCCGAGCTCTCGCCGACTGCGAGAGAGAGATGGGTGTTTTCGCGGATTGGCTCGCCCTCAGAGTACCCCGGTGGGATGAACCGGTGCATGCGCAACACATGCTCGGAGATGGCGCGGTCGCGCTCGTCCGACACATCATCGGTGACGATGAACAATAAGTCGAAACGCGACAAGAGCGAGTCCGGCAACGCGATGTTCTTGTGCGGGTCTTTGGTCACGTCGTACTGGCCGTACACGGGGTTCGCGGCTGCAATGACTGAGCACCGCGCGTTCAACGAGGTGTGGATCCCGGCCTTGGCGATGGTCACCGTCTGCTGTTCCATCACCTCGTGGATGGCCACTCTGTCGATGTCACTCATTTTGTCGAACTCGTCGATACACACGATCCCTCTATCAGCCAACACCATGGCCCCGGCCTCGAGACGTCGCTCACCTGTCTCTTTGTCGTGGGTTACGGCCGCGGTCAAACCGACACCCGAGGAGCCCCTCCCGGTGGTGGCAATGGCCAATGCCGCGGTGTTGAGAACAAAGCGCAACATCTGCGACTTGGCCGTGGATGGGTCACCGACCATCAAGATGTTGATGTCACCTCTCAAGTGGCCCCCGTTGTCCAAGTTCTTCTCTACCCCGCTGAGCAACATCAAGAGAACAGCCTTCTTGATGTATTCGTGGCCATAAATGGACGGCGCAAGCGACTGGGCCATAACGTCAAACACATTGGTCTTCTTGGCGATGGCCGTGATCGCAATCACGTCCGCATCCGTCACCTTTTCCTGCTGCGACACCCCGGACGACCGCGCGTGCAACGGGTACACCGCATTCGCCAACACGACCGTGCGGAAGTGCGAAACGTTGCTGCCGCCGTTGCCGAGAGAGCGGAAAACCCCGACAATCTGCACACGGTCGCCGGGCTTGGTGCAGTCGACGAGGTCGTCATCGAGCACGATGTCGATAGACCGCGGCAACTGCCCCGCGGGCGCGGTTTCGGGCATTTCCTGGATGCTGATCGTCTGGTGGTCGCGGTATGTCGAGTAGCCGTACTCGGTGATCAACTTGTTACCGTCGGGGTCCTCAGTGGGGTAGATGGCCGCGTGCGACACGGGGTCGAACGACGTTGTCTGGTCACGGTATTCACGTGCGTGGAAGCGGCCCGTGTTCTCGGCATAGTGCACCGACCGGATGATCTTGGGTCTAACCAATGACGCACGCGTCACGATTCCCTCGATCGACAACATCTTGGAGAGGTGGAACGACGAGATCGTGCGCGGCGATACCGTGTGATCTCCGAATGCGCCACGGAAAGACACATAAAAGCTTGTCTGCTCGTCGATATACGCGAAGCGCGTATCGGCAGGGTCGTAGATTGTAAGAATCGTGTCGCGGAGGGCGCGTTCTGCCGCGGGAAGAAAGTCTGCTGGGAAGTTCAACAACCCCGCCCAGTACTCCTTGTCAAAGTCGCGGACCTCGTCGATGGAGACAGGTAAGCGATTTCTGCTGTGGATGAGCATCTCACGGATCGCGTCCTTGTAGTCGGTTTTTCCGTTCGGCGCGTCTAAGAACTCCTGGAAGCGGCGCACCCTATCGCCGAAGACGGCGTCCACTGGCTCTTCGTCCATGTTTTGTATGTGTTATGTGTGAAAGTGTAGGGAAGCAAAGGCTAGTGATATACTAGCTATTTGGGTATCAAGTGGGTGTGAATGAAAAAGAAGAAAGAAAGGAGGAAGAGAAAGAATAAAAAGCAAAGCGCGCCGGTTTTCCTGGAAATTTGAGTTAAACGCTGACGCGTCGAATTAGTCTCGATCAGGAAATAAAATTTGATTGAAAGCCGCACGAGAGAGGCAGCGATCTGACGAGGGATACTGAAGACATTCTCATGCGAGGATGTAGGTAAATGGTGGAGGATATGATAATGCTAATAGATAATGGAAAATGATATATATTATGGTAATGATGTTATGTGGGATATTAGCTGTACTTTGGAAAGGTATATAGTATATACGTGCGAGGATATGCCCTGTGCTGGTATATGGCTTGAAGTTATGCGACGGGGCATTCAACCACGTGACGTACACTGAAGTCTTTTTGGCTCGAAACGGCTAAAATTTTTGGGTTAAACCAGTTCCTATTGATCGATCTACCTACTATACCTTTTTTTTGGTAACTTAAAACCAATATCTCTCATATAATTAATCATTAACTTCGCAATTTGAAGGAAATAACTTTTCTGATCTTTGCAGAGACAGTTTTACGACTTTCGAAGTTTTGTTATACTAGTTCTAGAGTAAGATACCGAGAATATGAAGGCAGAATAGATTGGGATTGAATCATATTAGATGGATATCTGAAATTATGTGAACGGCGAGATCACACTTGTAGCCAATAGCAATAGGCTATCAACATACAGGCGTTAATACGTCGATCAAGGGGTGGGAGGATGAAACCAAGAGTATGTAAAGCAGCTTGACGATGATAGTACCCAAAGCTTTTAGTAACATAGTGAAATCACCCGAACTAGAAGGCTGCAAAAAATTTCTCTATTTTAAATATGGCATTACATGAGCGCCGCTCGATGCCATACTTCAGGGGTTTCCCAAATGGGTACAAAGTTTGGATCCACAAGCTGCTAGAAATATAAATCAAGATGGTTGTCGAATAATGAAAGCTAGCCAGTGTTGTAGCCCATGGTTCGACTAGTATTTGAATATTCACACCGGTTGAATTCAGCTAACACCCACATTAAAGTAATATATGCGGGAGAGTAAGCTATACAAGTACGTGAAAGAATTTTGTAACTGTAAAGCTGGGGGCTTAGCCCGACTAAACTGGCTGATTACGAAGGCGCACTGTTTGACAATGTAACCCGCCGCCGACCGCCCAGCAGCAGCTTGCATGGGGGGGTTTTCAAATTCGGCGAAACTTATCTCGTTTGCGTTCGGTCTCTGGAGTAAAAGTCAATGATTGATTTTTAACATTCAGAGTTGAAACCACCGCTTTATGCGCGCTGGCATTTGCTGTAATAGGGACCCCGACTTGCTCGAAAAAAATAACATTCAAAATACATATAGCCCCTTTAATTGCCTAATTTCGAAGAACAAATTCACGTGAATTAATTAAAATATACATAGGACCTTTGGTGATTAGATATTGTGATGAAATAACAGGGAGATATCTGTATTGTGAGAGGTTAGCCTCGAGTATAATCCGGGGATGATAAGACCAAGCCGAGGGGAAATTTTCAAGGGAGATCCTCTAGGGAGACCTTTGGGGAGGTTGTTTTGGAATTACTTCGAGGTAAAAGCCTTGTTTCTTTCCTCGGCGTCAATGGCCACCAACTTATCAGAGGCACCCCTCATTTGAATGACGTTGGTGACCTGCTTGAAGAACCAGACCGGGAAGGTGACCCAGGCCAAAACCTTGCCAAACAAAAAGTAATCAAAGTAGGCCAAGTACAACGCCATGTAGAACAATTCGTTCAAGGCGCATACCACAAACAACACGGTTCTATCGTTGTAGTACAAGCTCAACAACTTGCTCTGCGAGGCGTCTACATCCTTGTGGGAGGTAGAGCCCACAGACAACATAGCGTACATGTGCATGTAGTGGGAGGCCAAATCCAAACTGATGAGCAACTGGAAGACGATCATCCACGATGGATACAAAACCGCCAAGAAGCAGATCAACGACGAGGTGGTGCACCGGTCTGTTACCATATCCAAGACGGCACCGAACTTGGTGGCTTGGTTAAACTTCCTGGCCGCAGTGCCATCAAAGGCATCTAAAAGACACGAGAGCCCGTACACAAAGGCAGTGATAACCGGATGGTTCTTCATCGTGAAAAACGACAAGATCGCCGTGAAGACGCGGGCATACCCGATCAAGTTGGGAATGAAGACATAGATATCTGCTGGGGTTAGAGCCTTGACTGGTTGTGGCATATTGGATGCAGTTGAACAAATCAATGGTGAGGGATTGTCTGCTGACCCAACTATGGGTTGCCTGTGTCTCATGTATAGGCAGCGACTTTGGCACGCGGAGGGCTGCGGGTGGCGAGACAGCTTTTCCGTGTGACGGCCGCATCGAACACCTCCCAGAGTTCCGCCGAAAAATATGCAAATGCATACGTACTAGTCCGAATTGACTCAGTCGTGGAGGTAAGTGGGGGGGGGGGGGGGGTTAGAGGTTAAATAGCAATGAATTGTCAAATTAAAGTGACTATCAATTAAAAGTTGGTTGATATAAATTGAAGAAGAAGCGGATCAAGGGGACCTTTTTAGCAAACGTTTGGGCAATCTGTTTTCAAGCGTGTTGGTGCAGTGTCGCGTTAAGGTCTTGAGATGTATGAAGTTACAATTCGCCTTAGATAAGCTACTAGCGGTAAAGGAAACTCTATTAGAAATAATAGAACCCACCAATATCCCTCGCAATCTTTTATCAGTCAATAAGTCTTGTAGTTAACTGCTCTAGGGTAACCTCGAAGGTTAAGGCTCGTAGAAAGAATAAAATTTTAAGCTCTCGCCAATGTTAAAGAGTGCAACACTTTGCCAAATCTCACCTACGCATTTATAATACTAAACCAAATTTCTAGCTGAACATTTACCGAAGACAAGGAACCCACGGATAGATGTCTGATAAAAGGCAAATCATACGAAATGTGCCATTACTAGATATTTGTGAGGAGTACCCGTGACTTACTGTGTTATGACATCGACAAACCATTTATTACTGGACTCATAAACTAGGAATCGAATAAAACTCAAGTTAAATACTTGCAGCCTTGAGAGTTTCATGCAAGTTACGATAGTTCTCACTCTTCTTCATTCCCAGAGAACCCCGTGGAGGCAGACCGCTGGCATCATACATTGACCAGCGTTGATGAGGAGATACCTGGTAGAGTGAACGAGACTTTGGAAGGGAACTGCGGCCCAGAAAAGAATCGGACTTGTATGCACCAGCCGAATTGCCATCGGCGTTCAAATAGATGTTAAAGAGTTTGTTCTCACTGTAGAGCGAGGACATCAAAGACATGCTACTCATGGCTGCCACCGGGGGCCTGAAATCAAAATCGTCTATGTCAGCAGTCAAATTCGGAGCAGGCAAATCAAAGCCTTTACTGATCTCTTTGTTCGGGGAAAGAGGCAGGAAGTTGTAATCTTCCTCCGTCTTAACCATTGGAAGTGTTCCCTCTTTATCCAACTTGACCATTGGAAGTGCTTTCTCTTCCTCTATCTTAACCATTGGAAGTGTATCATCTTCCTTCTTAACCTGAAGACTCACACCAGAATCACTGATGAAGGACTGAGTAGTAGGTTTCAAATCCGGGACGGAACCGAGTATGTTACACGATGCCAAAGGTTCAGACTTGACAACCATTTCTGGGTACGAAGCGTGGGAAACGGGGATTTCATTATAGTAGTAATCACTTTCGTTGGTGACCTGTGAGGCATCACTGTCCAAGTCATCCACAGTGGTGGCTTGCCGAACGGTTAGGGATTCGTAGTCATCTGCCTCTTCAGAGCTTTCGTCGGATGCCACCTCTTCGTAGTAATTCTGACGGATTTCGTGCAAGACCCTGTTTCTAGAACTATTCAACTTCCGTTCCATCTCATACTCATCGCCTGCGTTGTACAATAGCCCGATCTCCTGCCTCATTTTGATCCTTGTCATGACGGTGTTGAACAAGTATATTTTCCAGAACTTTCTGAGTTTTTCATTCTCCGCTGCCTCTGGATTGACTCCAACGTCTTCCTCGGGCTCTGACAGGAAGTGCTTTAGTGACGTTCCATCTGTATCTGGAGTCACCTCTCTGGCGTCTGGCGTCGTTTCTCTGTGCTTATACTGGGCTTGGGTGGCTTTCATCTCATCAAAGGTATCAAAATAGGCAGAGGAGTTCTTGAAAGAAGAGATATTGTTCAAGTAGCTCTGGTTTTGGTCATCAACAAAACAACTCGTGCGGTGCACCTTCTGGTAGCCCACCAGCACGCTGGTACCTTGTCCTGGAGCCGGGCGGAGGCTCATGGGGTGTAAGTTATCTGTCATCGGGAATTTCCCTCGCAGAGCAACGATTGGAGATAATAGCCGAGAACCAGGTTTCTGGTTGGAGCGCACTCGCGGCAACCGAAGAGTGCTGGCACTTTGGCTCAGATAGACGGTTGGCAGGCGAAGCATGGAGGGAGACCTGCGAGGAGGCTTAACCCCAACCAAGGCCTTCCGCTTTATAATGATTCTCCACTTTTTGAGCTGCTTTAAACTATACTTCTTAAAGTTCTTGAGCTTGTAGACAAACGTATTGATCTTTCTTCGAATGGCCTTACTCCGCTTGAGCAGAGACCTGTGATCCCCGCTATCGGAGTCCAGCTTGTTTTCGTGTAGTGAGAAAATATCCTGATCGATTGTAATTTCACGGCCCAAACTGAGGTGCCGTGACCGCGCACTGTGACTGCGACGGGTGGGAGAGTCTTTCAAGAAAGCAGAAACTTCTTGGTCAAGCTTGGCCATCTTATGGAGGTAGTGTGGATCCAGGTTCGCCTTTTGTGCGACCCAGCCAGAGCCGTAGACTGAGTCCTTTTGATGTGGAGTTCGTCCGTTTTTGATCCCCTTTGGAAAAGTGTCAGTGAGGGGGGAGAAGTAGACAGATACACCGTCCAAGTCCTGACCACGAAGGAGGTACGATCTGCTACCCATGACTGAGGCGGCAGTTGATGGAGTTGTGGCACCCTTTAATACAAGAGCCGGTGGGCGATTGAAGCCGTTGTCATACAACTCTTTTGTAGCGTGGGTTTCTCCACCAATGTCTTGACGTTGATTCATCCTAGGGGGTAGGGTATCTTTGTCCAGGGACTTTATCTGGGTTTCGTCTGTGGTCATATAGGATGTAGCACTGGTGTGGAGCGTGAGAGGGCGGGAGCTGGATACAGAGACAAGGATCTGCTCAAAGTTCTCGATGGAGTCACCGATCATTGCCATGGTTTCGGGCTGGCAATAATGTGAGGGAATGTTTGGGGGGAAAGTGCATTCTCCTCCTACACAGGACTTGGGTAAATGGCTGATTTACAATGAAGTTTCAGAGCAGAATGAGTGGAGTTGATCTCGTCCCGGCCTAAGACTCACCCTCGTGTCTACAATAATAAGATGGCTGGTAATCCTGTATGTCAAGCGAGAGTCGCTTGGGCGGTATGGGGAGCCACCCGCATCTTATGCAATGCAGGTGCAGAGCGTGCATGAAACGGTGTTATGAGTTTTCCCAAACAGGGAATATTAGAAATATAATTAAAGTCACGTGAGAGAGTTCCTTGGTCCAGTGCTGGGACGGCGAGCCAGGCAAACGGCCTCTTATTGCAAAGGTAAAACCAGGAACTTACAGGAGGAGAAACAAATACAGTATTTGTAATACTCTTTATGAGAGAATCAGCCTGTAGGAGGATTACCTTTTGTAGAGTTCAGGGTTTCGAATATGACGAGCTTCCATGGAAAAACGATTGAATCGAGAGCTCATAAAGGTGTAACGCAAGACTTTTAGCAAACTACGCAGAGTTGGAAGTACGTCTTTGCATCATCTTACTGTTCTTGAATTAAAAATTCAGGATCCATGTATTTCTCTTTGAATTGTCTGTAAGGCAGCGAACACCACGGCTAGATACCCATAGAACCCAGACATGAACTTAGCCGTATAATCCTCTATTACTGCTCCGTAAATGATACATACCCTGAAACAACCTTTCCAGTGCACTGCACTAATCCCGACCTAAAAAGCTTTCAAGACCAATCAACATTGCGTTTAAAAAATAAACAGCTAAATATATTGGCCAGTGATTCAGGACTCTGAACCACTCCCATATATTCATACCACACCTACGATAAATCTTGAATGGTGTGGATCCCACCTACGATAAACCTTGAATGGTGTGGACCCCACCGGGGTTTACAATAAACTTTCAAATCTGTTAAAAATTTATTTTCAATAAAAGGGTGAACGGTACATAGATAAAACCACAAGCCATATATCCATATAGCCAAGAGATAGGCTCAAAATAAGGACAATGCTAGAACCACCCAGACGTCTTAGGATATTCAGTAATGCTCTCCTGGGTTTCAAAATGGTCATCACCAGCGTGCTTGGTCTTAGAAACCCTCTTGATCTGGGAGGTGCCGTCAGAGAACGATTGCCGAATCTTGGTGTAGTTTTTCTCCGTGCCGTCCTTAGTCGTGTAGAAGGAGGTGGTGGTGCAAGTGGAGGTAACTTCCTTGGCAGGTTCCAAGGCTGGAGCTTCGCTTGTCTTTTCATTCAACAAGCTGACCCATTCCTTCTTCTTCTCCTTCAACTTCTCCAATCTTTCTGCACTCTGCGCCTTGCGCATGGCGGAGCTCCAGTCCATGTAGGCGCTGAATCCGGTGAAGAACTTCCCGTTGTTTGGGGTTTCGTACACGATGTCACCGTTATGGGAGGTGCTAGAGCATGACTGAGCGTACTCTTTGGTTAGAAGGTCTTTCTGAAGGAGGAATTGCGGTGGGATAATGGCCTTGGGGAAAAGGCATCTCCAGTACCCGTTGTGGTCCCACCCGGCCATCCCGTTCTTTTCCTTGCACAACTCGTAGAGCTCGCTGGACGGCGTTGGGTACGAGAATAAACCCACATCGGAGATGATTTGGGTGTTTCTTTTGAACGGCAGAAAGTTTGGCCAGTCGGTGAGCACCTTATTAAATTTGGAAAGATTGTCGTCATCGCTGTCAAAGAGGAAGCCAAGGGAGTTACTCACAGCACCTGGAAGGTTACCGAAGTCCTCCGGGAACAACTCCTCGTCGGTGACCAATGCCTTCAAGTCATTCACGTGCGACTTGGTCAAATCCCACGCATCTGCTGACTTGTCGAGGATTTCGTTCGTGACAAGAGATGCACCCTTGATGGTGTTTAGGATGGTGTGGGTGACGTCGTCCAAACTTTTCTTCATGTCCCTGACATGGTCGACGTCTTTGTCGTCATCGTTATTGTTACCTGGTAAGATACTCATAGGAAATAGAGGGATCGCTGTGAAGTGAGCTAATCCGATAGCCCCGCTTGATCACACACGCCACGCATATGCTTGAGAAAATCTCGGAGCAAGCAGGTGCTAACGTAAGTTACGTGTATACGGCGCATGTGTTGACCGCACCTTTAAATCTACTTAGATTGTTCTCTAATAGTGATTTCAGGGGATACCAAACCGAGATTCTGTGGGCTTATTTATCGTCTTCAAGTCATAGACAAAACTAAGGTAGCAAGACAAACATCTTGCTTGGGAGGAAAACATGCCTATTCGGTAAATACATGGCAATAATCGAGGTTCAGAATACACTGACTACGCGCGTCTTAGGGTTGGCATTTGTACAGATTGGTACGCTGTAATCCACCTTAGCTACATACTAAGCATACACCAGATGTTTGTTTCATAAGTCAAACAATCCTGACTTACGATTACACCTAGGTCAACTTCAATCAATGCATCGTTACAATAACTCTAGAAGCTTAGAGTTTTATTCATGGGTGATCCTTTGATAAACCCACATCACGATAAAATCAAGGCACATGAAATGTTGACCGTCGCTTATTCCAGGTCTGTGGGAAATCCATCTACCACTGGAACTCTTCACGGATGGTGCGGGCCTCGTTCTGCTGGAGCTGTTCCGACCGGTTCAATGCCTTTACTCGGGTATAATAAACCGGACAGTCAGCACTTGTACAGTCCGCATAGCCATCGGAGTCCCCATAGTTCGATGCTGCACAGCTGTAACAAACAACTGCCAGTCGTCGCAAGGAGCTGTCCAGATCCGATATCCTGGCCTGAAGGCTCGCTAACGTCTGTACCTCGTTGAACTTACACGCGCGGCATAAGCGCGACGCGGGGTTGTCCACGCTATGGGCACAGCAGACACAGGCGTTCGACTTGACCACGCCGAGGATACCCTTGGCGCCGCGTTTGGGTTTGCGTGTATACTGGATGGACCGCGGAAGCTCGCGGAACCACAGCTTGACGTCTACACCCATCAAGTTGAAGATCCGTTCAAGCGGCGGGATCAACACCTTGGTGATGTAGTACTGGCTGTCAAGTGTTAGCGTGGGATCCGCGAGGAACTCCTCAGGCAGGATGCACCGTGACCGTAGCGTGGCCTTGGGAAGCCCCTTGATCACCACGTACGGCACCCGCTCTCGGTACTGCGGCTCTGCCTTCGCATCTGCCGCCATCTTTGTCATGCTCACGGCGGCGCCGGGCGGGGGGTGTGCTGCGCTTTTGTACCTACCGATGCGCACCTCCTTGGCGAAACAAAAGTCCTGGACAGAGATGCGGTCGAGTAAGATCTTGTTGAACTGTGTTTGGACGTACTGTTTCACCAATGAAACGTCTTTTGTTTCAAACAAGAGGCGGAGGGTATGCTCCACGATCTTAGCCTGCGCCGGAATTCCGTCTCTTCTGACCGTCTCTATTCCCTTGGCATCAAACATGGGCACGGTTTGGTCTTCCCACTCGTACGCATACCCCACGTAGCGCTTCTTCGTGAGCAACACGCACGGATGGTACACCTTTTCGAACTTCAACTCGATGGGACTGGGAAACAAGTCGGTGACGTGCTTGGCAATGGCGCGTCCGAGCCGAAATGCGTCGTCGCGGGACTTTCCGGGGAAGTACACAAAGAGCGAATCGGTATCGCCGTAAACCACCTTTGCCCCCCAGTTGCCGCGTTCAATCTCGTCAATCGACTGCGACAAAATCTCACGACCAGTCTGAACGATGCTGTCGGCGAGGTCCGAACAGGGCATGCGGCCGGAAAAACTGGCGGAGGTGTACCCGTAAGTGACGTTGGCGATGAACTTTAGCGCCAACTGCCGCGAGTTGTACAACCGGCAGAGCTGCTGGTCGTCCTCCAACTCCTTCATCGTGGTCTTGGTCATGACTCGGGTTTCTAGCAACTCGTCTAACATGATGGCGAGCACGGATTTGCGCACCTTCTGGCTCACAAACATCATTCCTGTTGGGGAAATCGTGATATCATCCTTCAACACACCAATGGCACCGGGCTTGAGTCGCACGTTGGCTACACCCAACTTATTTTCAACGGGATTGAAGCCTCGGAGTTTACCAACCATCGTGCTGTAACAATAGTTGAACGCAATCATGATGGACGGATACAACGACTGGAAGTCTAGCACCACAAGAGGACTCTTGTAGAACGCAGACTCTGGCTCCATGACCAATGGTATGCATTCGAGCGGTTTCTGCTGGCGCACCTGGAACCTGTCCGGTGAAACCATTATAAAATTCCCAGCCTTGCTAAGACGGGTCAAAAATGCCTCCACCTTAAACTGCGACCCACGGTAGAGCACCGAGTAGAAATCCATCCCCATCAACCGCGCCTGCTCTGTGGTCCCCGTGATCAACTCCTGGTTCTCGATGATGCGGAAGTTCAAGTCGACTCGCTGTCGGAAGTAGCGTATGACCATGAGTTTTCCGCGGAAGCTGGAGCACATTTGGGTGAGCTTTATATCGGAGTAGAGCGGCACGCGCTTCAGGAGAAGGTGAAACGCGATGTTCTCCATTGTGTAACTCGTCAATGCCACCGTATCGCGTATGTGGCGCCACGTGTTGAGCATGTGGCGTCCGGTAATTCGGATGGCCGAGGCGTGGGTATAGCCCCAGCGGTCATCCGTCTTGTCGCTTGTCTTCGTGGAGACTCGACTGAGTGTAGTGCAGATGTCAGTATCGTACACCTCCTGGAAACGATCCACGAGGTACCCCCATGACTTAGCATGGAGTTCATATCCCGTGAGGATATCCGGGTCGAAGCGGAGTACCAACCACAAGAGCTTGTTAACCATGGCGACCTCATCTGGAAACGACAAGATGCTCACTCCGGTGAGCTTAGATAGACGACCGTATTGGGTCAACTCATAGTTGTCTTCTCCTCCGTGGTCACCCAAGACCAAGACCCCTTCCGCAGCGGTCCGCCCGTCTATGGCAAACTGGTTCAGATTGTCAAAGCGATAGAAGATCATCTTTATGGGATCCCGTGCAGGGTCCGGCTTCATTCCGTCCCGCGTGGGCACAAAAACCTCCACCCCGAAGCTAGTGAGGTGCAAGAAGCCATCTGGCCGCCGCGAAATTTTCGTGGTGCCCAGTCTCAATCCAGGCTTGTAGGACTGCGTATACGCATCGATCTGGGACGAAAAAAGGCCTCGTTCTGGCTTGATCGTCTTCAAGAAATCAGAAACATCGGCGAAGCTTGGCGGTTCGGGACAGTACTCCCAACGACAGAAGGAGGAAGTTTTGCCAAACACGGGGGTTGCAATCCGAGCGCTAACTGTGTCCGCTATAGTGCTGGACATGGGTATCCCACAGACATGGAGCTTCGGGATATGGGCCAAGTCGTTTGACTTCAAAACAAACTTCTTTCCGGAGTAGATCACTGGTCGCGGAGGGAGGTCCTGGGGGTTGGAATAGAACGGGTCGGAGTAGTCGATCTTCAAGAGAGCGTGCTCGTCGAAATCTTCCATAATATGCGCTGGGTCCGGTGGTTGGGAGCTTGCCTCGTACACCTTTCCGATGGTGGAGAAATGGGAGAGGTAGCCCCTGGCTAATTTATTGCGGCACTGCGTTGGGGGTAATTTGTATAAAGGCGAGCTGGTCAAGGAATCGGGGAACGCTCGGGAAAATTTCCGCTTTGGAGGGGGAAATTGTGACTGGCGAAGCATTGACATATCAAAACTTGTATCAGAATCCAAGCTGGTTAGCCTTGTAGGGCTGAGGACCTCTTCTTGGTCGTCCTTTTCTCGAATTTCCTGCTCTTGGTTGGTTTTCTCTTGGTTATCCTTCTCTTGGGCTTCCTTTTCCTGTGGTTCATCCCAATTTTCCCCATCATCTTGTGGTTCACCCCATTCCTCGCCACAGTCCACCTCTGCATTTTGCCCATCCCTCTCCTTTTCTTCATTTTGATCGCTCTCCTCTGCACTCATATCAATCTCCTCCTTTAGAGTCACCTCCTTTAGTTCCACCCTTTTTCGATCCCCTTCCTTCCTCTTTTTATTCGATACATTCATCACGGTCCCAGTCTGTAACGAGGTCACCTGATGTAAATCGCTTTGTGGGGTCCACTCTGCCAACTCATCGTCAGGAATCTCCACACTCTTTAGTGCATTCCCAATCGCTGCGAGCTTGAACGGAATGTTGAGCATTTCTAGGTGCGACGTCGTGATGCTTTCCACCGACAACGGGCTGCTCGACCGTTGGCGATGCAACTCTGTACTAAGCTTTGTGGCGTACTCGAAAAGCCCGCGCTCCTCATCGGAAACCCACGCGGGGGAGAATTGTGCCGGGATGGAATGCACCGGGGTGGCAATAGCCGGCTGGATAATCCCGCGCTGTCGGCGCTGGAAATCGATGTCGCGCACCAATTCCTCGAGCGACGCAATGCGCTTCGTACGCCCCTGCGGTTTCGGCACCAAATTCTCGTAGAGCCGCATCGGCTGTTCGTGAACTTCGTGGCGATTCAAAATCCACGAAGCGTCAACATCAATTTCCGCTACCGCCTTGCCCATTCGCGGATAACACGCCCGACTCAAGACATTGCGTCCCAAAAACTGTGTGAGATACTTACCAAGCGACTCACCAGTGCTGTCGGGAACCTTCAGATTATACACCTTGGCGTCAAGCACCGGAGTCCGCACGTAGCACTTTGCTAAGTTGAGCCAGCCACACGCCTGGAGGTTGAAATCCGTCAAGAACTGCATCGTGTACGGAATATGTGTTTCATAAGGCTGCATCGACGTTGACTGGAGGATTTTTGACAAACGAACAACATAGGCAGCGTTTAGGAGGTGGATCTTGTAGAAGAGAGCTGGCGCTGAGTGGAAACCGTAAAACGGTGTGGCCTGGATCACAGACACCCCGGCGATGTAGCTAAAACTCTCCGGAGGGATATCACCCGTTTCTTGCTCTTCGCTGTAGTCTTCATTTTCTTCATCTTTTTTGCGCCTGAAACTCTCCTGCAACTTGCCCTCGAGCACGCGGCGGAGGTTGCGGCATTGTTGTGCCGTTTCGCCCTTTCGTCCCTGGTACTCAATGAAGAAATATGGGTATACATTGTGGACGTGCACAAGAACCGAATGGCCTGTGGGGAAGGCACCGAAAATGCGCAACACAGGCACCCGTGTGAAACCATGTTCCTCATCGTTAGCCGCTGGGGCGTATGTGAAGGACGACGGATAATCTTGGTACGAGTCGTAGGCGTTGATTTGGACCTTGAGTAGCGCCAGACCGAGACTTTTACCAGTGGAATCCATCGATAGCAATCATTCATCAGTATGGTAAACGAGTATCAGGGGGAAGCGCTGATTGTACCGATTTAGATGAAGTGGCGGTTCGCAAATAAGCTGTTGCATGTAGCCGTTGGAAGGGACGGTCAGTGCGGCTGACATGAAGGTGAGACATCCTGGGTGTAATCCAGTCTGCATACAGAAAGCAGTAACTCAGAAAATGCACCAGATGCCGAATGAGTAGATACTTGATTGTGGGAGTCGAACGGGAAATGGTTGTGTGTTGATAAAAAGAGTAACTAGGTGAAACTCAAGAAAGGGCGGTCGGGAGATATACGTCTTGTGGTTCTATCACGTGATCCCCATAGTATCTCCAACATCTAGCCAATCCCCCGGTATAAATCAAATAATGCTCATAAACGTCCCTTGAGAAAGAGTTAAAGTCCGAAATTTCAGGCATTGGACCACTGTGATGGTTACTGGGCGGATTCACCGATACTCTCACTTTATAGGGACAGACAAAGCTACAGCTCCACACGTGACTCGCGGCGGCTACACGCAGGACAAGAAAGCGATCCAAAAACGCTTCAAGATGCTAGTTTCAGTTCACTACAGATCCCACTATCCCAGATGTCATTTTTGTCAGAGAGACAACGGCAGGAGCTCAACAAATCATTAGTGCAGTATCTCCGACCGGTGCTCCCTGCGGTTGCAGCACAGTTACAGGAACAGTTTGCAGTGAGCGATGACGACTTGACCAAAATCATCCCCGACTACCTCGAGAAGAAGTGGTCGACAGTGCTCCGACTTCAGAAGAAGATCCTCGACCTTGAAAACCAGGTAGAACACCTCACATCTGTGCTAGAGTCTAATGATCTCCACCAGATGGCCAGTGAGGCCGCGCGCAAGCTGGACTGGCTCCCCAGCCGCAACTCCAAGATCCTCAAGGCCCACCGTGACTCGGTAACCTGTGTTACAGTGCACCCATACCTTCCACAGCTCGTGAGTGGTGGTATGGATGGCACGTTTGTGGTGTGGGACCTCCTCAACGCTACGGAGCCTGAACGCATCGTCCGTGCGCACGCACGCGCAATCACCGCGGTGGCGTTTGCGCCCAGAGAGAGCGTCAACAAGAGCACCAACAAAAAGCAGACGCTATTTGCAACGTGTTCTGCGGATCTCTTTATCAAAATATGGGACGCTGACTTCAATCTTGTCCGCACCTTATCGGGCCACGACCACTCCGTATCCGCACTCGCGTTCAGTCCTGCGAACCCCAACCATTTGTACTCGTGTTCACGCGACAAGACTGTCAAACTCTGGGACCTCACCTCCGGCTGGTGTGTCAAGTCGTTTGTGGGCCACAGCGAGTGGGTGCGCGCGCTAGACGTCTCTCCCAACGGAGCGTACGTGCTCTCCGCGTCCGCCGATCAGAGTCTTAGGTTGTCACACGGTGAGTCTGGGACCGGTCTCGCGTTGCTCGTGGGGCATCACCAGGTGGTGGAGACGTGTAAGTTTGCCCCAAAGAGCGCGTACAAGTTCCTAGATCCTCTTGCAGCGCAGGCGGTTGCGCGTGAGCTTGTGGACCTTGAGGGATATGAGGCGCTCTCGGTGAAATACGCCGTGACGGGTGGTCGTGACGATACTATTCGCGTGTGGCTCTTGCCACTCCCCACTGAGCGTGCGCACCGACCGCCGCTTCCCGCCTCGAACCCCAGCGCAACCTGTTTCCTCGAGCTCAAGGGCCACACATCGTGGGTGCGTGCGCTCCAGGTCCATCCCAATGGTCGCTTCTTGTTTTCCGCGTCTGACGACAGGAGCATAAAGATCTGGGATCTCGAGCGAAAGGGCAAGTGCGTGAGGACATTAAACGGGCACGAGGGGTTTGTGAATGCCATAACTATGGCTCCACCCCACAACCCCGAGACCAACGTTGAGGAGAGCAAAGACGACGAGGAGGCATTGACGAAATCCATCCGGTGTATTTTCGCCAGTGGTGGTGGTGACAACACCGTGAGGTTATGGAATTAGAGTAGATTCCTGGATAAGTAATACTTGTACTATATGTAAATCGCTGTAAGGAGCAAAAAAAAAAAAAAAAATCGAGGGTGAGATGTTAAGCGTATGTGAAACGGCTTAGCAACTATATACACAGCATTAATAATTTATTATTGGAGTAATTGAGTTATGGGCTATAATCAGACTCTTATCTCTGGCTACACTGCGTAATTTGACTTTTGAATATAAATATGCATGATAAACGGGAATAATCCCCAAGAGAAAATAGAAAGAAAGCATATAGGCAATGGCGCAGTCACCAGTCTATCGAAACAATATGGAAAGACAAAGTTACGGGTACGAGATATGAACCAGAGAGTGATGTAATCCGGAAGAGCAACAACGACCAAGAGTCGGATATCAATATCACTACTCTGGCACACTAGCCAATCTTTGAGACTGAGGCTCCGATAAAATCTAAAACATCAAGAGTAAATGATATGTGACAAGCATCCCAGCCATGAAGTACAATGTAAAATCTAACAGTTCTTTGAAACAAGTCTCAGGTCCGTATCGGGGTTGGGCTACTGTTCCACCCTAGACCTCGGCTAAGATTGCCTTAAAGTTAAACGGCTCAAACAACCTCCCCTCACCCTCAAAGAACTTCGACATCGATTCGACCCAGTGCAAACGCAAGGAGTGCAACATCGCGGACGTGCCCTCCATCATCACCAAAATCACCACGGTCAACACAAACCACATGCCGAACAAAAGCACCACCTTCACCGACCCGAGAACCCCGGTCGCACCAAAGGCGCCTTGTAAGGTCATGGTCCACAAGACACTGGACAACTGGGCGTGGGCCAAGGACAAGGCCCACAACCGCAAGTACGACGCAGTGTGTGACACACAGTTGAGACAGAACTCGATGGTGTGGATGACCTGGTGGATCATGATGTCGCCAAAGTCGTGCGCGGTGTGTTCCTCCTCGTCGTCTTCAATGACTTCCGCCTCGGCTTCGGTGCCTGGCAAAGCATGGTGTTCCCTGTCCAACTGTCTCTTCAAGTACAATGGCTTCAAGAGCAACAACCACGGAACACAGATCAAAGCAATGCTCAACAACACCACCTGGACCTTTGCCTGGTGCGGATACAACTCCTCGGCGACGGTTCCCGGGGATAAGAACATCGAAATCAACATGTTCAACAAACCTGGTGGTTTTTTATCCACAGCAACCCAGTCCACCGTCCACTTGTACACAATGGAAAGCGACAAGTAGCCGAAGATACCCTGCATGAAGAGCAAGCCCGGAAGGAAGTTCCCCAACAAGTCGATCGGCGACTTGAAGTAGAGGTAGTTGACCAAGGAAAACATGTAGGAGTAAGACATGTGGAGGTAGCCCATCAAAATAGAAAGCTTCATCTTGTACGAGTTAGTGAACAACAAGGCGTTCTCAGTGCCATGCCACGCTGAGTCCAACCCGAAGGAATACACCCCGACGGATTCACCAAACACCGTCTGGCCGACCTTGAAGTCTTCTGGCCACTCCCAGCCGGACCGGAACAACGTCATCGACTTGGAAAAGAGATCGTTGTACATAAGGCCGGTGTACATGGAGAAAATCCCCATGAGCAAGATGATGTACCTCCCAGAAAAAGCCATGTCGAAGATCTCGTCGCGCTTCATCAAGCCAATGTTCTTTTCATTGATGACAAGGAACAAGGCGGCCAAGGTGACAATGAAGCCGTGTCCCAAGTCACCGAACATGATGGCAAACATGAACGGGAAGGTGACAATGGTGGGCAAGCCAGGGTTGACCTCGCGGTAGGTGGCGATCCCGTACGCGTCACAGATGTTCTGGAAGGCGGCGGTAAACTTGTTGGTACGGTGGAACGTTGGCGGCGTACGCGACGTCTGCAAAACGTTGACAATCGTGGGGATCTGGGACGCCGCGCGCTCCGTCGCGAGCTCCACCGCGCGCTGCACGTCGCCCAACGCGTCACGCGCGATCCAGCCCTCCGCGACCAACGTCTTGCGGTTTGCGTCGTAGTTGAACAAGTTCATGGCCGAGAAGATCGCCTTCTCTTTCGCAATATCCTCACTCCAGGTCTGCAAGCCGGTCCCGATCGCGGCCAACTCCGTCTTGAGCGTGCGGGTGGTGGTTTCCAACACATACGTGAGATCGGCTAAGCGGCTGTTGACCTCCGTGAGCGCCTCGCGACGCAAGCCCGCGTCCTGATCCACCGCGTAGAGGTCCGCGTCGAGCGATTCCGCGATCTTGCGGATACGGCTCATGATCAAACTTCCATGGGAGACGACAATGAACACGTCCTTATTGACATACTTTTTGGTTTTGGGGTTAAAGACGGGCTCGCGGATCTCGATCGTGTTGAAGTACAAGTTCCCGCGCAACGCGCGCCACAAGATGCGCTGCAAGATGCCGATCTTTTCGCGTGCAACCACACCGGTGACAAAGTTGTCACGCGTGGCAGCCGGCACGCCGCTCTCCAATGCCTCCGAGGTGTCGCCTTCCGCACCCTCCAAGCCGCCAAAGTCTGCAAAGAACGTGTCGGAGGCATTGATCGCTAAACGCAACTGCTGAAGGTCCGTCTGTCTCTTCTGCAACTCTTCGGTGGCATCAATCATCTGCACAACGCGCGCCTCCAACAACTGTGCGTTCTGCACGTGTTCGTCGATGTCGTTGGGTGTGGCCTGCGCGCGTGCATCGTCCTGGTACGGCGAGCTCGCGGGCTCGATACCGTGTGCGCGCAATTGCTCGCTGAAATAGCGGTGCTGTCTCTCAACGGTGTCCAAGCGGCGGGTTTCTTTAACAAACGAGCGCTGGAACGAGTTCACCTTGGCGTTGAGGTCGCGGAACTGGATGAGCCCGCTCTGCCCCAACGTGTACACCACGTCGCGGCTGATTTCATTGGGGATGTACAACTGGACTAGCGACATTTCCGCCGAGCGGAAGATGGCCTCGTCCTTTTCGGTCATATTGGTGGGTTAGATCGCGAATTGGCGGTGAGTATAGGGGTAGAGGAAGGTTGTTTTTAGTCCTTATCGATAGTCACTCACTTTTTCTCGGTTGGGCACTATCGCGATAAAGGGTGGAGCAAGTGAGGGCCGGTTACCCGGCGCGCACGTGCCCATAACTTGAGAACCCAGGGGACCGAAAGCGCCATTAAGCGGCTGCCGCATATCCAGCCATGGGGTTATGGCAGACGGTACGAGACGAGGAAAAGGGATTAAAACCAGTAGAAATATACTCATCCTTCTTGGTGCTTTAATTTGATTGTAGAAAATATCTAAGGAAGACTACCCTTATACGGAGGTAGATACACGGGGTTTGGCTATTTGGCAGTGACAATTGTTTGCGGCCAGTCGAAGCTCCCATACCTTGCCAAAGGGCATTTTCTGCCTATAGAATGGTGGTTTGTGAGTTATCAACGGGTACTTTGCATTAGTTAAGGGCCAACCTCTTTTTTGGTGTATGCTTATTGACATGTGATTAATATTGGTTCTCCCGGCCACTAAAGACAAAATTTCTCTGCCTCTAAGGTTATTTCAATCTCACCTGATCTATAAACATGGCATAATAATTGTCTATATAGCTACCCTACCAGAGATACTCCGGGGTACTTTTTTCCCCTGGTAACGGGAGGTGATATCTATATTGCCAATCTCCATGGTGGAAACGAAGCCTGATATATCTGTCCACATCTGAGTGGATTGCCTCATAGCATCAGAAGTATTAAATTACGTGTATTAGACCAAAGCGATATCGATGTCAGAAAAACATTTGCACAAACTTGAGGAGAAATAAAAGATTAGAAAAAGATTAGAAATAGAGGCAGAAATGTAGGGACAGAAATGAAAGGCAGAAATGAAAAGCAGAAATGAAAGGCAGAAGTGAAGGGCAGAAATGGAGGACAGTAATAAGAATGCTTATGAATAAATAGCTTACGACGATTGAGATGGCGCCTCGTCCTGGCATTCCTCTTCCTCTACCACAGTATGAATATGACCCGGCGCATGGATGACTTCTTCACGGTTCATCGTGCACGGAGTAATGCTCTTAATCCAGTCATCCGCCAAGATCTCTGAAAGCGTGGCTCGCTTCACAGGATCCAAGAGCAACATGCGTGACACAATCTGTCTGGAGGCGTGGGGCAACAAGCGCATGAGTCTGTAAGGCCCCCGAACCGTCTTGGAACGGCTCTTGCCATTGGGCTCGGTATCCAGTTTGTGGTCTTCTTCGGGACTGGCCCTTAGAGCGTGGTACGCCTCGCGAAACTCCTTCTTCTCGATCTCCATCTCCTTCAACTTCTTCTCAATCTCGCCGAGCACCAGACACAGCGCTTCATCCGCGGTCCCTTTATCGATGGCAGATTTCAACTTGCGTTGCTGCAACAACAAGCGATGCTGCTCGTTGGACTTGATATAGTGATGTGGTTGATCATCTTCCATGGCAAACAATTTGAACGACTGGTCGGACTGTTTCGGTGCCTTCCAGGGGAACCTCCTGAGGGTCATGCAGCAATAGATGATGGCCACGGACCAGATATCCACGGGCTGAGGGTCATAGGCGCCACGATCCAGCTCGGACTTCAAAATCTCTGGGGCCAAGTAGGGGTCAGAGCCCACCACCCCCTTCGCCTTGACCAACTGATCTTCAAAGGGATAACGGAAGACAACGGCAGAGCCAAAGTCAATCAACTTGAGGATCCCCTCACGTGTGATAACACAATTGTCCAACTTCATGTCGCGGTGGGCCAAGCCCATACCGTGTAGGTAGTTCAAACCCTCCAAGATCTGCTTCATGCAGCAGTTGATCTCGGCGCGGCTCATCTTGCCGCTCATCACCACTGCAAAGAAGTCGATAGGACAGTACTCCATCACTTCAAAGTAGCGGTCGTTCTCGCAGATAATGTCAAGCGTCTGGACAATGTTCGGGTGGTGCAACGTAGAGCCAATACAGAATTCAGCCGTGCACTTCTTAGCGTAGTCTTTCAACGCCTCGGTAGGGCGGCGTGCGCGGAACTCCTTAACGGCGAATGTCTTGTGGTCACTCTCACGGGTCAAGAGACGGACGGACCCACCGGCTCCAGACCCCAAAATCTTGCCCATCTTCCCGTACTTCTTCGCCAAACTGTTGTCTACGTCGAAAATGTCCTGGGAGCCGTTCTTCTTCGGTTCAGGTTGCAGCTCGGCCTTCGGGTGCCGTGATGACTGCGCTACGCTAGGTACCGCCATCGAGTCGACCACATGGGGAGGATGGCCGGTGTCTACGAGTCCGTGGAGCGGCAGGAGATGGATGGACTGAGAGCTGGACAGGCGACTAGGGCCGTTGGGGCTGTGGGCGCCGTTCGCCGTCTTCTTGGATGGCCTAAAGAAGCGTTTCAACTCGATCATCGAGCTATGGTGATCCGGCGTGTGGTCGTGCGACGAGCTGTTAGTCAAAACCGGCGACGCGGAGTGTTGTGGCGTCGCGGCCCCCAGGTCGTCGGACTCGTGCTTTCCGATGGTGAACCCCAAGAAAGCTTTGCGGTAGCCAGGCGCGGAAGCGTTCTCCTTGTCACTTTTGCCGAAGTGGAACCGGTGGTGGCTCTTTTCGTGGCTTTTCTCGCCTAGCGTGGTGGGCGTTCTTTCTGGCATGGTGGGATCTGTTATAAGGTACTTGCGGCTAAGACAAGTGTGAAAGGCAGGAATGCAAACTTGTTAACGTGGGGTGCTCTCAACGGCAAAGGCGGATGAGGACTGAGCCAACAACAAATTAGTGCAAGTGGCAATTGCTTTGCAGATGGCGTTCTTTAGCAAGCGTAGGTTTAAACCGGTAAAGAAAAATCTAACTGGGGTTTAACTATGCAAGCGATGGTGCTGCTTTGGAAGGCTTGGGAAAAAGTCTTGATCGATCTAGGGCGCTTCTTGGTGCACCGGGAGAAACATATAATCAGTTCACTGGCAAGGGGTATCGGGTCTATTTGAGAGCAGCAAGAGAATTCCGGATCAAAAACGGTTATTAGATGCGATTGTTCGAACAGCTGTTGCTAAAAAGAGCGGTTGCGAAGTAGAGCTGCGCGTGTAGAAAAGCAAAAAGAAACGCAGCGCAACGGCGGACTATCGGAGGATATTTAGACGTGTTCGGCAGTGCCAATAAAACCGCTCAGGGGAGCTGCACGCGCTGTTCGTCTTGCGGTCTAAAGCTGCACTTTTACCGTAAGATGATATATGTCTGTTAAAAGTCTTTTACAACTTATTTAATGATCTGTTGTTATGTACTTGGTAAAGCTTGCTCCTTTTTTTGGCTGGAAGGGGACGACTTGTATCATAGACCGAGATGGTATCAGTCACAGCTGCAGGTCTATACGGAGCACAGTGCTGCACGGAAAAAGAGGAACTTGCGAACGGCACCAATTAGTGTTCCGGAACCCCTCTTCCGCGGTACTGTACAGAAATTGCATAGCATACCGCGCCCGGTTAAATAAAAGCCAATGGTACGAAATACACGTAGATCCCAGGCAGCGTTACGTCAGCCTCGACACCCGGGGGGATTTACCTTGTAAACTGCAAGTTGTAGGTTTTAAATTGTAGCCCGGCGGTTAAGAAAGTTAGGTGAGTTGGGATCGGATGGGGTGAAGGGTAGGTTTACGGACGAAATATATAACCCCTAAGAATCCGACAACCGGAGGCAAGCCTTTAGGATAATCAATGGAGATATCTCGGTGGTTAAAGAGTGACGATCGGGCAGTGACATTCTTTCTACAAATGTATCGACCAGGCAGTGGTTTTCCTCTACTCATTGGCTCAAGGTATACCATAAGCCATGAAAAGCCTTCCAAGAGCTCATCAGTGGGCTAAAAAAAGTCCAAATCCGTTCTGAAGCGTTTCACTAGAAATCCACCAGAGCCGTCTCAGTGCACATCCGTCGCCAATACGTTCTAAACGGTAAATACGCAGTCAAGTGGGGCTTCAGCAATCTGACTTAGTATCCTAAAATGTCCGTGTTTATTTAAATAAGTAGCATGCGCCCGTCGGACTACCCCGCAAGCCCATTACTCGGATCTCCCGGATACACACGTGCAGCTCTCGACGGTTAAACTTTGAAGTTTTCTCGTCTGTGCAGGTAGTTATAGGTTCAGAGAGAAATGGGCAATGGGGCAATGGAGGTATTGAGCTCCAATATCCATACGAATCTCGTGTGGAATAAAATACACAGTACAAGCTATCTAGTGAGTGTTCTGACCCGAACCCATTTATATGAATTCTTTGCGGGTACGGATCTTCTGTTCTTCTCCCCCAGCCCGTCTCTTGAACTTCACGTCAAAGTACCGCACAAAAAGCTTGGTTAAGGTTGGAACGGTCAGTGATGCAGATTCACGTGATGAGACATTCAGACGATGATTCTGCCCATACCCGTGATACATGACCTGTTAGTCAGTGATGTCTATGCGTGCACCCACCATTATGGAATTTGCGCAGCTACGTGTTTTAGCGATAACGTCACTGAACAACATGCTCGCTCCAAACCCTTGCATTTTCCCTGAAATTTCTACGTGATTATAAAATGTTTAGGTCGCATTTTGTCAAACGCTTCAAGTCTGCGGCATCATCCCCGGCTGCTGGTGCCGCTCTCGGGGCCACCCACACGCCGTTGCATTCCATACCACTTTTCCAGCAGTGCCTTGCCACCAACCCCACCTTGAGACGGTTGTTGCTTCCAGGCCCCGCTGCTGTTGAAAGTGTGCTTCCACCTGACGCGTCGCCACTTGAAGCTTTGGCTGCCGACAGAATAAACGCTCCCACCACAATGCCTGGGCCCGTGAAGACCCGTGCGACGTTGTTTGCGGACGTGGCGGCGGAGTTTCCCGAGAAGCAGGGCGTCGCTTTGACATTCAAGCAGTGGCTTCTGTTTGGGAAGATGTTTATATTCTTCTACAAGAACGGGATTGTCAACGTTTACAAGAACGGAAAAGCTGCGAGACAGATCCTTAGCGGGTTGTACGTATCGAAGATCGACGAGCAGGGCAAGGACGTCAAAGTCCGTGTGCCTCGGAACGTGACAAAGTTGGACAAAGAATTGATGAACACAATCTACTTGAAGAATATTGAGCACGACGTCAAGCTGAGGGCCGAGGGGCAAGCGTCAGAGGTGATGTCTTCTGAACAAGTATCTGTGTTGAACATCTCTAGGTCCCAGTACCAGCTCTTACACAGAACCAGGAAGGACTACCCCAAATTACCAGCCTTTGCCTTGGCTTTTATCATTTTCGAAGAATTTTTGCCGCTTGTTTGCTACTTTGTGCCGGAGATGAGTCCTACCACGTGTGTCTTGCCGATGATCTTTCCCCGGTTGATGAAATCGTCCATCAAGGCTACTGAAAAGTTGGCAACTCTTCGTGAGATCACCTACTTGGACGAGAACCTCGGGGATATCGCTACCCTGGAGCCGCTTAAAGCAGAGGACATTGAACGTGGGGTTGAGAGGATCTCCCGCAACACCCCGTATACCCTCCCGGTGGAGGAATTGCACCTTCTTGTGAGGTCTTTGAACTTGGTGACCAAGTACTTGCCGCTTTCTGTCTTTCCCGAAACGTATCTCCGTGATAAGCTCTCCCAATACCACACCTACATCTCTATCGATAACCACTTGATCCAGGCAAACGGTGGGATCCACCAATTATCCACCGTGGAGTTGATCAAGGCTTGCACCGACAGAACCTTGATTGATTTCTCAGCTCAGAGGTATGCTGACCTTGTGAGCATCACCGACAAGAACGATCTCCAGTTACAAATATTGCGTGTCAAGTTGGCGGTCTTCATGACAGACTTGCCCCAGAACCAGGTGGGCTACTTGGGAACCAACTTTCTCAGAGACGAAAAGTTGGCGGTGAACTACCAAGAAGTCATTAAGGTGATCTAAAATTGGGCATTTGGTTGGGCCTACGCTAAGATATAACGGGCCGACATTTAGCTTGGGCTATACACTAAGGTAGAATCTACTTTTGTATTAAAAGCTACAACTACACTTTTTTTTTGCTTGGCGGGGTGCTACTTGTCAAGCCTCGATTGGAACTGTATATAGAACAAATAGAATTCCCCCCATCATACCTTGTAAACAGGCACGTCCGTAGGGTCTTTCCCGTACCACACCAGCCAGTCCTTGTACTTTCCGCCGATGGAACTATCCAGGAGCTCCATTTCCTGTTTGGCCGCGATGGCACTCCGAACGTCGGCAAAGTGCAAGGCAAAACATAACTTGCGAGAAATTACTGGCGAAATATCCACAATCGTCCCGTATTTGCTAAAATCTCTTAGCGCTTCATCCACGCTAAACTCCGATATCAAAGTGCCTTTGGTGTTTTGATTTGGCGTAGAATGGGATGCAGTAACATGATAACGAGAGTTTCCACTGGCACTCAAGCTAGACCTGGACCGGGGGGCGGTCTGTAGCTTCTTTAAGATGAGGCACCTACGAGCACCGTTTACCACCATTTCGTGATCTATCTCCATGGAAACCGGTTGGTGGATTCCAATTGACTTCTCTTGCCAACTCGGTTGGACATTGGCTCCATTGATTACAAACATACCCCCGCTCCCATACTCCATGAAGTTTCCGGCATCGCCCAGTTTCAAGAAATATAGCTCCGCGGTGCTGGTTCCATGCATCTCTATTCGCTCCAAGGGGCCGCCACAGACGGCAGCCAAAACTGTCTTGGCTCCTGTTGACTTCGGAAGGTGGCTGAGTAGAACTACTCTGTTTGGCCATGCCGGTTCATCGACGCTGACCGTTTGAGACGAATTGAGGATGTTCTCACTTCTTTTCACGTTGCAAGTTGAAGCCCTGAGAGTTCTTACTGGGGTGAGGGGGGGTTCTTTGGCCAGCGACTTGGCAACCAATTCAAAATCGTAGGGGTTGGAGGTTTCCCGTGCTGTGTTTCCGTTTCTTGAGAGGACTGGCCCGCCTAGCAATCGTGCTGGCCCGTTTCCGCTAGTCAGAGAGTAGGACGTGTCCCGGAGCGACCTTATCAACCTATCTTTGATGTTGTTCTTTTTTTGGTCGAAATGTGGAGGGTTAAGCGTTCCTGTTTTTGATTCTGAGCCCGTCCTTTTGTGATCCCCCAAATCTAAGGATTTCAGCGCCTCAAAGTCAACGGCGGTAGTGACGCTGTCGTTCCAACTGACTAAATTACGCGTACATGCCTTTGCAAATCTCCTGATGCCTATCTTGTCCAGTTTGTAATAAGTGTTGGTGCTATGGGCTGCCGAGGAATGCATCGGACCCTCGTTCCCGGCAATGATACTACTGAAAGATGGTACACGTGAGCAATACCCGCTTTGTTTCCCAGTAGTGCTGGAGATTGTCTCGGAAGCATCACCTCTGGAGCGGGGCATTCTGTTGATAAGTGTGACTTGTGAGCCAGCAGACTTGTGTTTTCCGGAGGGATCTCCTTCGGTGCGAGCCATCTTGATATGTAGTCGTTTGGGGCTAACAGGTTCAGTCAAAATCTTAGCTTTGACTGGGAGCGTTTATCACAACCTGTTTAGTGGGTAAGGAGGGTTTACCCCAGTATTACAAACACCGGACCTCACTCTGAGGGCGCATATGCACAAAACCACAAATGCACATGCCCTTTCCAAGACGCAGAGTCGAGACCGATGTCATTGTTGAAACTGCGAATGTGCATTGTGCTATCCTACATGAATACGCTACGTTTTGATCCGTTTCTGCCAGGATTTTTTTTTTTTCATACCTGAAACTTCTCATAAAACTGCATCAAAGGTAGATATTTGGTGTACGGGAAGTGCATGGCTAATCCAAACAATAGATGCACCAAATGGAAAAATTAGATCAAAGCACTACGTATTCATTCCGAATAGCTTCAAGTTTTTTTTTGGCGGAATACTCACTGCTCCTTGACATCGAACGCATCGCTTCTACGAGAAGTCTCGGTCTTCATTAACTCTCTTAAGGCCATGGTGGCATAGGCACTAACTCCCAATTGCATCTTCAATACAACCGCAGTTCTGTCACCGTTGACCTCTCCCGGCAAGATACGTGGAACTGCTTCCTTGTTCTCCTCGGGAGATCTCAACACATCCAAATCTGTGTTGACCAACTGCTCGAATGGGTTGTGGTACTTGATAATGTGGTACTCCAAGTTGGTTGGCTTACCCATGACGGTTCTGTAAGAACCGGTTAAGGAGAATTCTCTGACCCTTCTAGCCATGTTGAATGGATCTAAGTTGTCCTTCTTCATGACTTCCACGTAGACATCTCTCAACTGCTGGTTTTCTGGGTAGACAATGTCGAAACCCGGGGTTGGCAACACAACATCGTAGATAGAGTACTTGCCAGAGTCGACTTCCTCCTGGGTAACTGGTCTGGCTCTGACAATGGTCTCCTTCTTGACATCTTCCTCGAAGTTGTCTTCGTCGTCCTCCATGGTCACCTCGGCCATTTCAGCCCGGTCCTTGATGATCAAGTCACCGGGAACAATGTTCAAACCAAACAACTCGATTCTCTTACTGGCGACACTGTTCCAGACGTAGCTTTGGTACGCGTGGCCGTACATGATTCTCAAGTTTCTCGGGATCTGCATAATGGCGTTGAAGTACTGGTTGTCGGTGAACTCGTTCAAGGCGCCTGGGCTGGCCTTTTCTCTCTGCAACTGCTTCAAGATGCTGTTTTCAGCGGTGCAGTAACGGGGCATTCTTGGCAAGGTCTTGTTCGGGTTGTGGGTTTGAGCCCAGATGTGTCTGGCCTCGACAGAGTCGGGGGCCACGAGTTCCTGTTCAGAGAGAATCAACTCACAAGCACCTTTCCAGTCGTTGCTCAACACCTTCACACCGACGGCATGGGTGGAGACGGAGAAGGTACCGAACCTCTGCATCCCGAAATAGTTGATGAAACCGTGCTCCTTAAGACTCTCAAAACAGGAGGAGACAACTTCCTCAAGCGTCTTGGTTGGGTCGGTGGACTCGGCGTCTCTGATGGTGATCAAAAACTCGTTTCCGTTCAAGTCACCCAACTTTAAACCCTCGTCGCTGAAACTGAAGCCACCCAATCTGATCCCCTTAAGACCCTTGTTTAAGCCAACAACTCTGTCGAGCTTGATACGGCTGATGCAACACCTTTGCACGGTGCAGCCTCTTCTATCCTTGGTACCAGCGTATCTGACGGACTTTGGCGGGATTCTCAAGAACTTGGCCAAAAGGGAGGCCACCTGCATGGTTTCCCTGTTCTCCTTGTACACCTGGAAGTGTACAAACTCCTTGCTTGGGCCCAACCCGTAGTTTGGCACGCCCTGCTCGTTCTTATTGCTATCTCTTTCTCTGTCTCTTCTCTTGAAGGCAGCGTTCTGGGTGACCAAGGCAATACGGAAGGTGTTTTCCGGGGTGGTGATACTCTCGAATCTACCGTTGAAGGCGGACCGCAAAAGCTGGTGCACCTTGGTACGCGATTGCTTGTCCGGGAAGGTGGAGGTGGTTTCCATGTTGTTACCGGTGGTCAAGAGCTCTTCAATCTGACTGAGTTCCTCGGCGGTGAAGCATTCGAGGAGGGCAGTACGGTTTTCTTCGGTAAGTTCGAACTTGGGTCTTTGGAACGGAGCTGGAGTTTCGAGTTCTGTTTTGGCTGGGGTTTCTGCTTCAATCGGAGTTTCCGTCTCAGCCTTGGCTGGAATATCCGCTTCAGTTATGGCTGGGGTTTCCATTTCAATATTGGCTTCTCTTTCCTGTTCGCGTTCCTTTCTACGCTTATCCTTGGAAGACACTGGACCCTCATCAGCAAGGTGAACCACGTTGTTGTCCGTGTCGATCTCGTTAACCAAGAAATCGGTGTAACGCTGCTTTAAAATACCATTAAACCCATGGGAAATGTCCGAAATGTATTGAGTGATACCAACATCGCATTCTTGGATACCCTTCGATTTGACATCAGTATACTCTTGCTTGTGATCCTTTTCGTAAACTGGTTCCTCTGACACATCCAACTTGATCTTCTTGGTAGGAGGTTCCTCCTGGTGGGCTTCTTCCGCAACTGGTGATTGGACTTGGCCCTCCACTTCAACAGAAGCGTTTAAATTTTGTTCGGCTTCAGACATTATTGGCGTGAAACTTGAAAATTTCAGAGTGATTGGCCGGGAGGTTTCTTGTATAACCTATATGTATAATATTTTTTTTTCACTTTAGCGTATGCATGAATTTTTTTTCCAGTACACGTGACCTTTCTCTATTTTCTACAATGGCGCTAACATGGGACAAAAACGAGTTAGGGAAGTTTTAACCATTTCAAAGATCAATTCATAGAGGAAAAACTGTAACGAAGATTTTAATATAAGGAGCTCCTCCCATTTTATAAAAAGCAATTTAGGGAGTGGGAATCAGTAAACTTAAGGGTATGTTCCTAGATCCTAGATGTGGGAATACACGCACTGGTTCTCATATTTGCAGATACACAAGCCTGGTTAAGGTCGTGCTACGAGAGAAGTCACTTAAGCAGGCCATCGAACTCATTACCTGAAGGTTGCCGTCTTATACTGTCAACACCAACGATTATACGAGACAATCGGATCGAACATATACAGTGTTAAACACGACCTCCAATTCATAGGTGATGAACAACTAATGCCAACTGTTATGGAACCTGGCGACTGTCGTGTGACGTCATTTAATAACTGCGTCTGATACGTTTTAGTTTTCCCCTTAAGGAAGGGTCAATTCCTAACGTGTAGCCCGGCACATGGCGCATGTTTTTCATTTCTTTCGTGCGTTGTGTGAGTTATCATTTTTGTTTGCTGACCCTTTCTCGCAGCAATGCTAACGTTGTAAAGTGGTAACCGTGGAGATGCTCCCAATCAGTCAACCTGCAGAGGCCTGCAGATATCTCGCAGTTAGAATGGAAAACGGTCAACGCCCACGAATTATTTTCCCGGTAGCATAATGGGGTTGAATCTAGCTTTAACTATCTATCTGACACACAAAAGGGTCATGGCTCGTGTCCTGAATGCTTGTCCTAGTTATGTTCCCGGAGTGCTCCAGGAGCCACTCGTAGAATATCAAGACAAGTACTTGAATATTGGTTTTGAATCTTTTCCTATCCTCGCAGAAAATCTTCAGTGTTTACGAATCCTCGTATAGTATCCGTGCATAGAAGTTATTTCAATGGGAATCTGCATTTATGCTGTTACTCGTAAAAGCAGAATCTGCGGAAACAGACGGCTGACACTTGTTGCGCCGTAACGCAATATCTTCAACGGCGTGCTCTGGTGTTATTTAAAGCACTATATCATGTAACTATACTGGTGCTTATAACATACGGCGCACTATGTAACACTGGTTACAATGACCCTTTATTTCTGCACCGGATTAAATGCAGCCAGCCCAGTCCACTGATTGGACTACACCCACCTATGTGAGGCTTTCATGCGGCCGAAATGTCCGTAGCCTAGACTTTAACGAAGGACTATACCCCTCTAATTGTTTCCGATTCAATATCCATTGTGCACGAAATAAGAACCCCAAAACATAAGATATCTCCAGGGTATGAGAAATTTTGTTTGGTCAGGATGGATCATCCTGGTAAATACTTAATCCCTGAGTTTATTACTCACGCCTAGTATGGATCTTGCCGCAGGGTGTTGTCACCGAACCCAAAAACAGTTGATGCAGAGTAATGCACATATCTGTTGCGAATGCATCCAAATTTATATGCCGTATCACACCTCTCGTACCATTTTATTACCTACCAGTGTGCTTTACCATCGTTAAGATGAGTGTTTCGGGAGAAGGATTAATCTCTCACACAACGCGTATTACTGTCATGGACAGTCAAAAATTCAATGGTATGGCACCAAAATAAAATATCGAGCTGTAGCCAGTACTCGACGTGCCGTATTCGTACTATATCAGGAATCGTATCTATTATTAGCACCAGGCTTAAGCATCTATGGAACAGGCGTAAACGCGCCCAAAACTATCATCTAAAGCCCTAAATATAGATTTGCATAACTCGGCCAGAAAATTGACCTGCGCTATTGCGTTTCGGCCATCCCACAGTGCAGAAAGTCAGGGGAAAATGACAAAACAAAGGGGGTCCACGAGATTAGCCCAAAGCCTGTTAATTTTCAAACCCTTCCGAACCAGTCACCGAAGGGTATAAAGGCCGCTTTCCTCCTTCACCTTTTTGTTTTATCTCTCTTTTTTCTTTCTCATTAAGCACTGTAGCTAAACCTTTAAATTTACTATGAGATACTCTACTATCGCTTCTGTCTCCGCCCTCGCCTTGGCCTCCATCTCCACCGCCGCTTCCGCTCCATTCGGTCTCCAAATCAGAAGATCTGGATCTGCGTACCAGTTTTCCTCAGTTGCTATTGTTGACGGTTTGGTTGCTGTTGCCCCATCGGTGGAGCAGCAGACCAGCATCCAGGGCACTATCGAGGACGATGGTACCTTCAAGTTGTCTGACGGCTCTTTCCTTATCATCAAGGATGACGGTACTCTCACCACCGGTACTACCGGTACTAAGGGCTTTGCCATTTCTGGTGGTTACCTCGGCATTTCTGGTTCCTCTGGTATCAATGTCTGCCCAAACACCACCAACAAGGATCTTTCTATCAAGACTTGTGATGCTGCTTCTCCAGTTTCCTTAGTTCCACTTGACACTGCCGGTCAGGTTGTTGCTGACTTTTCCCCAGCTGCCACTGTTTCTTCTACCATTTCCTCTGCTTCTGCCGTCTCTTCTGCCTCGTCTACCTCCTCCGCTGCTGAGACCAAGACCGTTGTTCACGAGTCCACCACTGTTGCCACTGTCACCTCTTGCGGTCCAGAAGCCACTGGTTGTACTGTGGTCACTAAGCCAGCATCGTCTATCCCACCTGTCTCCTCCTGGGTCGGCGGTGCTCAGAACTTGAACGGTGGCTTTGCCGTCGCCGCCCTTGCTGCTATTGCTTTGGTTTAAATTGGTGCCTTCATGCCGTATGTTTCAACTAGGTATTTTTTTGCTAATCAGTTATCTCTAATACCCAAATAACTGGAATTGATTCTTTAGTTCCATTAACTATTAATATAACTCATTAGCAAGCAGGTGTATGTGTAGCGTACAGAATACTTAATGCTAATTTCATTTTGTTACACTTCCAAGGCTTGCTAAAACTCCAAAGCCTAGACTGTCCGAATCTTAGGTATGGCTATAGGTCATGACGATAAAAGACCGAGTATAGCGGTGTGAAATTTAATGCTGATCCTAGGCAGCAAAAACAACAGTAATTAATTTTTCCATTCCTTAAGCATTCTCAGACTAATCTCACCAAAAAAAAATCAGTCTTTATTCCTGTGACATATTCTACATTTAAGAAAGTAAAGGCTTTAAAGTCTGCATCCATTCTTTTGTACAATTTGAGTATATTAAATAGAAACACATGCAAGTGAGCGCGTGTAAATCAATCTTTGTAAACATCGTAGAAGAAATGAGTGTTGTTCTTACTAAGATCATGTACCGGCATATCCTTAGCTTTGAACTCATTCAACTCGCGCTTAATCTCCCGAATAGCCGCGGGGTTGTCTTGCAACTGGGTTACGGTCATTTCGCGGTTAATCCTGTCGTAGAAGTGGGCCCCATACGTTTCACTAACGACAAGCCTGGTAGAGAACGTTACGCCCTTCGAAACGATGGCCTCCGGGTATGAGTCCCATGAGACCACCCTGGAAAGCACGACATCGGGAATGAGTCTGGCCTTCTTCAAAGTTGAATGAGAAGGCTGTAAGCCTTTCACCGGCACTTTCTGGTTGTGATCATAGTCCACGTTAAAGTGGGTTCCTTCAACGTACGAATGATCTGGCGAGGTTACTACCCCCACGTCCGACGCATCAAATTGAATCTCCTCTGATATGTGAACCAAATTGTCATCCGTGTATTCCTCATCTCTTGGGGTGGCTCTTTTCAAGCTCAGTGGCATGGACTTTCTAGGGCTTAGCGCCTTCATTTCCACTTCATCGGCAAAGACAAGCCTCTGGTCCTCACGATATGGTGACTGGGAGGTTTCAGGCAGGAAGGACTTCTTCGGCAGCAGAAAGTTTTGATCAATGTTTTCAATGGCGGCAAGCAAATCTCCAAAACCTTCGCCAAACCCGAGTGTCATCTCACTTAACGGTGCAAAGTCCATCACCTCTTCTACTATCTCTTCGTCTTCTTCCATAATATCCGAAAAGAGTGAAGTCACATCTGATTCATCAATATCCACCGCATCCAATATCCTTGGAACGGATAATTCACGAACTATGTTGCTTTCTGTCACTGGACTTGTATCCAGTACCTCCGGAAGCGGTACGGGCTCATAAACGGGGCGTTCTAGTTGAACTGACGGTCTTTTCTCCTCAAAGGCGTTTGCAAACGAAAGTACGTTAAAGGTCTGCTCGGGTTTAGCCTTGCTATTCGGACTGGCACACACAAAAACAAACTCGCCCTTGCGGTGGTTCCTCTGCTTCACCCCGAACAACTTTTTCAAAAACTCCTTCACGTTCGGCTTCGCATGCTTCGATTTTGCCTCCAGCGGCATAGACCCAAACGGTGTAATACCGATGGGTACTGGCGGAGGCGAGCGGAAGTTGGCGCTCGTAAACAGAGGATCCTGAAACACCTCCCTGTGGAACGGTAACGGAGGAAGATCTCTTTCAGTGCGGAAGACTTTGCGCACTGGATCGTTAACGAAGGAGATCTCGAGTATCTCCTCATCCACGTATGACGACGGCATAAGAACTGGCATAGAAGATCTCTTTTTGAGTGTTGAAGAGCCAGGAGACAACCGTGAGGGGGTCACATCGCACTGATAGATAGCACCGTGGGGGTGCAGATCCGCCATATCCATCGATGCCGTGCGTGGGACATTCCTTGGCTCGACATAGTCGGTTATAACATCGTTTTCGACCAAAGTTTGCGCCTTATCCTCCAACTGCTTTTCAGGGTCGATATTCGGAAAAGAGCGAGTGGTGCGGAGTTTCCGCAACCGCTTGGTTTCCACATACGACAATACCACCGGTTTCCTCGCCTCTCTCTTGCCTGACGGTGGTGCTGCTGGGAGAGGGTCATTGTGGCACCTCTGAGACGGCATTATTGGGGAAGACACGGCATGGGATGGCGAAGGGGAGGAATGGGATATTTGTGATGTCCAGCTCCTAGAACTTCTATTGCCTGTGTAGGTGGGCGTGGCAAGACCTTCTAAAAAGGGGTCCTCCGCTAGTTTCTCACTCAAGGACTTACCCTGGGGCAACGCGCTGTCATTGAAGAGGGTACTATAAGAGGTGTCTTTGTGGTCAGATTCTGTGTCCGCCTTCAGGGAGAACCTGTGAGGGGTGAATGGCCCGGCGAGTCTGGCTGGTTTTTCGAGAGACAAATTGCTAGTGTCGTCGGTATCGCCCTCGTTGTCACCGTCAAAGGAGTAGCCCTGTGTGTCGGTAGACTCCCGCTTCACGGATGTTCCTGGTGAGAGCTGAATCGCGTGGCAGATGGAATCCATGACGCTGGCAAGCTGGTTCTTGCCCTCTTCAAGGTCTAAGAGCAGCGAGTTCCGTCTTGCGTTGTACGAATCAGGATTGCGCACCGTGACCCGGTGCTTGGGCACTTCTTCAGCGCTGAACTCATGGTCGTAGGACGAATGGCTGGTGGTGATAGAGACAAGGAGCGAGGAGTGTTGAGAATCCGTGCTCGTCATGCTAGAATGGGTTCCGGAAGGATACTTGCTGGACTTTAACTTCTCGGTGGTTGTGGAAGGAGACTGGGGAGAAACGGCCCTGGGACTGGAGGTGGACACAGGTGAGGACGGCGTCTCCTTAGCAGCGAGCAATGTTGCGGAAACCGAGGTAGGAGCAGACCTCTCTGGTATCATCATTGGCGGTGCTGTGCAGGTGACCCCTGGAAGCGACAGGGCTATCGAGCTAGGGGTACCTGTGGTGGGAGCTGGTGGCGGAAATGGTAAGGATAGGGAGCTAGTGGTGGCAGACATCTGGAGAGAAAGGATGGACAGGTCTACTGGCAAAGGTACGGCACTTGTCGGGTATACCTTGTCTAGAGAAGGCACTGGGAGGACCGTATGTGCCCCTAGCGAGCCTTCCGGTTTGTCATTAATGCTTGTGTCCCGTGTCTCTTCCAGATGTCGCACCTCTGTGCTGATAACTTCAGATTTCACTTCGGGTTCAACAGGCTTAACCGCTTCGGGCTCTGGGATATCGAGGCATGCTTCGAGTTCCCTGCGCTTGAATTTGGGTGGCTGTTCTGTGGGTGTTGCCTCCCACCTCCCGTTGTGAATCCTCGGCTTGGGTTTCGTTTGCAGAGAATTGGCTGGAACCCAGAGAGGTTTCTTTCTAAGCACAGGCTCGTCCTGTTGGAACTTTTCTTGGAGTTTTTTGAAATCGATGGAATTTGAAATGTTCTTAAAGGACGTTGACTTTCGGTAGTCCCTGGTTCGCTGGAAGTCGTCTTCCTCTAGGAACCTAGTTCTGGCATTGTCGTTTGTCACCTGCGAGTTTGACCGACTTCTAGCACCTTGAGCCACGGGCAGAGCAGGCCAAGAAAGCTTGGGGGAGAGTATCAGGGTGTCGGAGCCGCCGCTATTAAGGGTCTGTTTCAGCTTGGCATGAAATGGCGGCAGTAGCCCCAGTGGTGAAACTTTGGAAGGAGTTCCATTACTCGCAACAGGTGTGGTGGGAGAGTCCATAGTTTTTATCGGGAAAGGGACCGGTACTTGAATGGCGGGAGGTGTGTTCGGGGTTATAATGGAGGATGACTGGGGTCTCAGAATGAAAGTCTGGTCGTAAGGTAATTAGGGGTTGAGATGGGCTGGGGAAGTATCGACGGCGGGAGCGATGTCTGGTTCTGTTATAGCGGTGCGGTTTCTACGCAAGTAATGTTTCTGTGAGAGGTGTTATCACCGATACCTTAACTCGTGCTTGGAGAAGTTTCAATTAGTGGTAATGATTGAAAGGGTGGTTAAAAGAGGTCCAAAGCGGAGCAAGTGAAGTTGAATTTGGAGAACAACCGTAGAAAAGAATATTACTGGAGGTTTCTGGGACCAGTCGGTTGATTCTGAAGGGAAAAATCTTAGAAAGAGTCGCTGCGAGGCTGGATAGAAGAGTGTATGGGGATTGTTTTTGAGGAAAAAGACCCGTACTCGACGGGCTAAATTACTTTAGTGCACGGGAATGGAGCAGGTACAAGGAAATAACATCCCTCGTCTACCAGGCACGTGCTTTCCATTGTGTCAAGCAGAGATTACACGGCCGTGTAGTAGGATTCCCTCATTTTAGAGTGTGTAAGCAGCCTTTCAGGTGAGACAGCCGCCTACACGGGGTTAGGTGCATAGAGGCGGCGAGACTGGCGCATGAGGTGAACCCTAAACAGAAACATTCCGTTGTCCATACTTTGTTACGTTTGTTGTTGTATCACATTTCCCTGCAGAAAGTAAGACATGCGTGTAATGTCTCACCACAGTTGGCCAGGCCCTGGGAAAGCATATAGAAACGGCCGGAGAGGCTGTTCCTCCCCCTTTCATATAAAAGGAGCAACTCCTGGAAGCAACACAATAGCTAAAGCGGCGGTGCTACTTGCCTTGATAATGGGGTTATATAATTGATACGACGCGTATCGCGTCTGCCAACCATCAATCCTCTTAAATGCAAAGGGTACTTGTTTTTAAGGCACGCCCCTCTGTAAAGCAAGCTGTTCTGCGTGTTTTTGTCTTTAAGAAAAGAAATATGCGTGGAACAACACGCACGAATGTGCCTACGGAAGAGTCATACACGGGAGCGCTCCGCGTACCTGGTTTCCGATGCCTTGGCAATATAGGCTCATCTCTGTTTAGTTCTTGATTAATCGCTGTTCCTCCCCGATGGGGAGAATTTGGTGAAACTTCCTGCGGCTCCCTCCGCTTCGGGATATAGGCCTTCGGATAGTGGAGCCTAAGCTGCGAGGCGTACCGCTGGTTAGGCACGATTCTGCACCTGTTCCCCTTGTACGCTCTGGACATGCCATCGTCTAGATATGCCAGCTGCATGTGCAAATTTAGGCAAGACTGCTGTAATTATCCTGGGGGGTATAGTAGAATTGTGACCATTGGCTTATTCTACTACCATTACACCAGACTTGCCTGTAACGATTGCCAAGACTTTTGATATATTTTAGCCCTCATAGTGGGCCTGTTGAGAAAGTCTTTGTGTTCATTAGGTCATGTGCGCCTCTGAATAACTCGGTTTTCCCCGTCAAGGTGGATATATCCAATACGAATGCCGGCTTTCAGAACGTCACCACCTGTCAGATTCCTACCGACTAGCGGTACATGTGCAGTTGGGACATTGCGTCTATATTACGGTGATAAACAATCTCCGAATTACGCTGTACACTTTTTGCCAGGGTATAGAACGGTTTAGCCCCTTGAACTGTACATACACGGACAGCCATAGGTTCTCATCACGTATAGGCGTTTCTAAGCATCAGGGTGGCTGGTTTGGCTAGTAGCTATTGCAGTCAGTGAACTACAACAATGGTCTTTGTCAAAGCAGGTAAGCTAGTAAATTAGAAATACAGAAAACCCGGGGTCCAGACACTTGAAGTCTATACGAAAGTACGGACAAGTGAAGCGTTGCAATCCAAACGTACAGTATCTGTCGCTAAAGGTACGGTTAACCCCACCGTAGCATACCAGTAAGTATAGTTATATCAGATTAAGATTGTCCTGTATTAATATTTTATGAATATCTGATGGATTGAACTGGTATGATGAGGTTGACCAATGTAAGGGAAGTTAGTGAAAATTGTAACCCCTAGAACGTATATTTTACAAGCTCCACCTACCATTTTATCTATCATTAATTCATTACATCTATATACAAGAAATTACAAGAGATAGGAACACCTGGTTCCTGGGGCCACTACCGGCTCTTTCTGAGATAAGCCTGGAAACGCTGCAACTTCGGCTTGTGCTCGTTGCAAATGTCACTGACAGTCTCGGCGACATAAGAGTTCCCATACTGCGTCGCTTTCTGGAATAACGGCGCCAACTGATGAAACTCCCACTTGAACTGCTTCATCGTGGACTTGACAATAATCAACGCCTCGTTCAACAACCCGAGGTTCAGGAACGTGATGACCATGTTCTGAGCAAACTCAAAGTCCTGCGTCATACGCACGGCCTTGGGCTGCTCCTGGAACATCCGCGTCTTGCGCCACTCACCACGCTCGACCCAGATGCGCTGCGCAAAGTTGATACTCTCGTTGACAGACGCGGTCTGCAACGCGATGCTGTAGATGTGGTGGTTGCGTGGGAACTTGACCTGGCTTTGACGCGCGCGCGCGATCGCCGACGGCATCTCCGGTTGAGCTTCAGCTTCCGTCTCCGCCTCTTCCACCACAACCTTCGGTTGTTCCAGGCCAACCGGATCCCTCTCTAAGTACGTGCACTCGTCAAAACGTCTGCGGAACTCAGAGTTCGACCCCTTCATTTGCGCGGCAAGGAGATACGACCCCACGGCCTGGACTGAGAGCGTGTGGGGCTTCAAAAGCGTGAGATACGCCCATATCGCGCCCGACTCCTTCACGGTCTGTTCGTACGACTGGAAGCTGCAGAGCGGGAGGAATGGTGGGGGCGGCGAGCGTGCGCCGGCGATCTGCTGCGCCGGCGACAGTTCGAGGTAGCGCTTCATGGAGCGCATGAATTGGGTAATGATGTTCTGTCTGAAGTTCAAGCCCTTCTCGTGAAGCTCCACCGTCGGGCGCACCTTCTCGTGGATGGTCTTCTGGAAGTCGTACTTGAAGTAAGCCAACATCAAGTAGTTTACGGCCGCGCGCGATACGCTGTTCGACTCGCTGAGCTTGTGGAATAACGCGCGCGCAAAATCGAGGTCGCCGTCACGTGCGGATAGATGCATCATCGCCTCCATCGTTGGCACGTCCGGCTCTAAGCCCATCGCATCTATTTGAAAGACAAATTCCCAGCCCTTGAGGCGGTACTCTGCACGCCGCGCACACCCGTTCGCGAGCGCGTTCAACATTGCGAGGCTGGGGCGGATCGCCTCCGTCGCGACGCTAATATGCTTCTGTTTCTTCGTTCGGACTACTAACTTGCTGTTGTGGCGCGCCTCGTCGAGCTCTGAGTAGATATCCAACGCCTGTTCGATATCGTTGTTTTGCACGTGCATCATGATGATGGATGTATACGCAACCTCATCCGGGCGTGTCGCCTCCCCAAGGAACTTGAGCATTCGGAAGATATCTGTCGCACCTGTAAAGTCACGTAAGCGGATGCACGCCTGCATCACGTTCGTGTAGATCTCCTTTGTCGGCGCTAACCCGTGCTCCTCCTTCATCTCGATGATGGCCGCGTTCATCCTGGCCAAGTCCTGCTGCTTGCTGTACGCCTTGATCAAAACTCCATACGCAACCGTGGCTATCGCCGGCCCCGCTGCAAGAAGCTGTTCCCGGCGCGCGGCCCAGAGCTGTTCCGCCGCGTTGTGCATGTGCATCGTCGCGAACGCATCCATGTATAAGAGGCACGTACGCGCGTCGCCGCGAAGTCCAGCCGTCGCAAACATATGGTCGAGGTACGGCACTAACGCTACGCGCTGCTTTGCGGGAATTTTACCAACCAACACGTTGACATCTTCCACCGCTAAGCCAGCGAATCCATCTCTGTCACGCTTCAAAAACGCCAACACCTTGCGCCAGTCCTGGTGCTTGGTGTCAGTGAGAAACCTAATGTAGTCGCCAAACTTGGCCACCACCGCTGGTGGCATGTCGAGTTTTTCAGGGAAGGAGAATAAGCCATCGGCGAATTCTGAAGCCGAGTCTGGAGAGGCATCAGCTCTGCTGGGTAAGCTGCTAGCTTCGACAGAGCTTTCGGTAGAGCTTCCGGGTAAACTTCTGGCTATTTCTGAACCGTCGGAACTCAAGCTCTCTGTATGCATGTTTTCTTCTGATAAGAGCTTGTAGATGGTCTCGGAGTGGCTTTCGGACTCAGGCAAGTGGCCAGTGCGCTCCTCGCGCGTGGTGAAGTTCAACTCACGTTTGAGCATCTCTTCGCGAGCCTCAGTCGCACGCTGCTTGAGTAAGACCCGCACCTCATGACTCAACCGGCGTAGCTCGGAAAGCTGTCTTTCGGTGTCCACCAACTCCTTCTTGAGCGGCTCCTTGAAGATGCTTTTGCCCCTACGCTTGAGCACGTCGTCCTTGATGTTGTGTAGCGGCGCGTGGTGCACGGCTCTGAAGCTGCTGGGCGCCGTCTTTGGGAAATTTAACGACCGGGAAAGTAGTCTGCTCATTTCTAATGGTATGCCTCGGCTTTTGTAGCTTGAAGAATGGCTCTGCTCTCTTGTAGCTCCAGAAAAATCTTGTGCACTTAAATTTTCACTCACGTGACTGAAAATTATTACGCCGCACACGAGATGGAACATCTGTTTCCGTGACGTTCGGTTTCGCGAAGGGTTTTCTCGAACTGCAGAGAGCCAAGGATCAAATTGGCATAATAGTTATAAACCGAAAATCCGGAGGTTGAAAAGTACTAGACAGACCATGGATAAATATTGGGACACAAAGAAGCCAAACATTACCCAAACATTGCATTGTAAAAGGGAATGGAGGAAGAAATAGTGACGTGATAGGTGACAACGCTGATCTTCAAGTACTGGATGGGTTTACATCGGCTTGTTTTCGGATAGGGGCTAAAATGGCACGGTATTGTGCTTTAGGCATATTCTTCCTTAGTCCATTACTGAAATATCAAGGTCCAACGGCAACACAATTATTCTTAAATGTTTGCTCAATTTGCTGAGCTTGCTTGGGCTAGAACGGAATTCTTTGCTTCGCCGGCCTAAATTCTAGTTCGGGTCTAGCCTTTACTCCATTAGAGATAACCCATCTCGCAGTCTGGCACGGCCTTTTTGTAATCATACATGGGAAACTACACAGGAAGAAGTCCACTTTCTCTCACGTGACCTCATGCGGACATTGAAGAATTTGGCAGGAGCTCATCGCAGGATTAAAAAGCAATACCTTGGCAGGGAGACACCATCACGGTCAAAACGCTGTTTAGAAGAAGGAGCATAGGGGCCAGTTCGTTCACCTGGGGCTTAAACGATGGGTGATTTTTCTCTCCTCCTTCTCATACCTCTTTCTCCCCGAGATAGTGTGGTAACAAAGCCGTAAAGGCGGGGACTAGCAAAGCAAGGATAACTCACGTGCGTGCGGCTTAACTGTGAAAACTTTTTTTTTTTTTGGGTCGAAAACTTTTTGCCTGCAACCGGGGGAGGAAAATTTTTTTAGTACTTAAGTCCCAGTACAGGCCATTTTTATAACCAACTCTTTATACTTTTTTCTTCTTTCTCATTATCTATACTACCAATTCTACAATGGCTAAGCAAGTTCAAGACAAGAAGGCCTCCAAGAAGGTTGAATCCAAGAAGTCCGAGTCCTCTTCTGAGTCCTCTGCCTCCGAATCTGGCTCCGACTCCGAATCCTCTTCTGACGAAGAAGAAGCGGAAGAAAAGAAGAACACTTCCGACGAAGAATCTTCCGATGAGGAAGAGAAGTCTGGATCCGAAGACACCAAGCGTGCTGCCGAAGAAGATGAAGAAGAAGAAGGTCCAGCCAAGAAGCAAAAGATCGAAGAACCAGCCACCTTGTTCGTCGGTAGATTGTCCTGGAACATTGATGACGATTGGTTGATGAGAGAATTTGAGCCAGTTGGTGGTGTCACTTCTGCTAGAGTGATCATGGAAAGAGCCACTGGCAGATCCAAGGGTTACGGTTACGTCGACTTCGAGAGCATGGCTGCTGCCGAAAAGGCCTTGGCTGAGTACCAGGGTAAGGAAATCGACGGTAGACCAATTAACTTGGACTTGTCTAACGCCAAGCCAACTGCTAATGCTGGTACCAATGACAGAGCCGCTAGGTACGGTGACGCCCCAGGTGCCCCATCCTCCACCTTGTTCTTGGGTAACTTGTCCTTCGAAGCCGACAGGGACACCTTGTTCGAGGCCTTCTCTGCCTACGGTGCCGTCCAGTCCGTCAGAATCCCAACCAACCCAGAAACTGAACAGCCAAAGGGTTTCGGTTACGTCGAGTACGGTACCATTGAGGAAGCCAAGGCTGCCCTCGAAGCCTTGAACGGTGCTGACTTGTGTGGCAGAAACGTCAGATTGGACTACTCCACCCCAAGAGACAACTCCGCCCCAAGAGGTGGCCGTGGTGGTTTCGGTGGTCGCGGTGGCCGTGGTGGTTTCGGTGGCCGTGGTGGCCGTGGCTCTTTCGGTGGTGACCGTGGTGGTTTCCGTGGTGGCCGTGGCTCCTTCGGTGGTGATCGTGGCCGTGGTGGCTTCGGTGGCCGTGGTGGTTTCAACAGAGACAGAGACTCTGCTCCATCCCGTGCTCCAAACACCGCTGAATTCAGAGGTAACAAGAGAACCTTCGATTAAACTTCCGAGCCTACTCTGAACTAAAAGCATGGGTTTTGTATATTATACTGGCGGTCCGCCGCCACATTCATGGGGCTTGGTTAGACCATACCCATGATCCATCTTCTGTATTTTACTTCATACATACGTTATTATACGCATTTCTGTCAATCATATTGTAGTACAACAGCCTGTTTGGGCTTTAAGAGCGTCATGTTAAGTCTCAGCCCTTAGGGATTGGCATACAAGGCTAGGTGTTGAGCTCACTCTAATTACGCTAGGAAGTGCTACTTGATAATACAGTAATTAAAACAATCCCCATAGCTTTCCTCCCCAATGTACATCCCAGCGAGGAAAAACCAGAGGGATCATTTAAGTTATGCCATGACTGGTCTAGGCTCCTTTGGCCTCCCCCTAAAGATCAGCACCCTTTAACGGTTTAGCAGTGAAAATTTTCGCTGATGGTTCTGAGCCCGGGACGATGCGTTATCCTGCTTCGTTTTTGTTAGCGGCAATATGTAGGTAAAAAAAAATACAGGCACTTGAGAAGCAGGCAGATTAGATGTCCAAGCCTACCTACAATGAACGTTCAGGATAGAAGAAGGTTGTTGGGTCCACCGAATGCCCGGCTGCTTGTGTTTGGCTCTCGCCAGCCGGAAACCGCTGACACCCAGACCGTGAAGCCAGCTGACGAGATCAGACCCATGTTCCTCAAGACTGGATTGATCACCAACGCTAACGGGTCCGCGTACTTGGAAGTTGATAACACAATCATTTCCGTGTCTGTGTTTGGGCCGCGTCCTATTAGAGGCTCTTTTATTGACCGTGCGTCTTTTGCCGTGGAATTCAAGTTCCTTCCGTACGTGTCGCAGCCGATGGAGGCCATCTTTGAGTGCCACAACGAGGCCAGCAAGGCTGCCGCCAGTTCCAACTTGAACGGGAGGTCCAGTCTTACCGGGATCGAGCACAAAATCTCCAGCTTCATTGAAACCAGCTTGTTACCCAGTATCTTGTTAGAAAAATATCCCAAGTCATCTATTGATATCTTCGTCACCGTCATTGCCAACGACGCCCAGACGAATTTGTTAAACTTGGCCAACTGGGCGGTCAACTGTTCGTCTTTGGCGTTGGTAGACTCCGGAATTGAGTGCAAGGATGTGGTTACCAGCGGACACGTGCGCTTGACTGCCAACGGCAACGCTATTCTCGACCCAGCAAGCAACAGCGAGAGAAAGGCAGAGGGGGTTGCCGAGGCCGTTGTCAGTTTCATGAACTACCATAACAATGAGATTGTGGGAATCTGGACCGAGAGTGAGGGCGCGTTGGACGAAACCAACTTGTCTAGTTTAATCGAGCACAGCAAAAAGATGTCCAGGCAGATCCGTGCCGCCGTCAACAGCTACATGCTTGAGTCCGTCCACAACGATGATTAGAGTTGTGTGTGTATATTAGGAATGAATATTTTTGGAAGGTAGAACGGCGTAGGAGTGTGATCCATTATACCGCTTAATGCTATTTCATTTAGATCAAATAAAGGGTGATCCATCGTAAACGGGGGTCATCCTGGTGGATTGCACGAGACTTTCGCTTTACAATACAGAGGGATCTTCGAGAAACTGGTCGCCAGGAGGGTTTGTGGAGTCAAGAGGGTAGCTGGTAATGGGATTCGTATGTAGGCAATTATATGCCACTCTGTAAATCTACTTGGAACCTGGCGCGTTCTTAGTGTCTGGGCATGTTGACAGCAGGCAGTTGTATCCGTTTAAAACTGCAATCCCTTGGGGCAGTTATTGTATAACTCATCCCTGCTACTTCGAACATAATCATTATCCATGGTTTCTCATTATTTTGTGGGTAAACTTCGCGTGATATTCGTCTTCATGGTATCTGTATCAATCTCCCTCATCTTCGTCGCACTTAGATGGGAACAAAAGCATCAGTATCCAATCGCGCGTGCATTTCCTTCGTTATCAATCTCCTAAGTCTATGCATTAACTCATGAATTTATTCTGCACCAAGTGGAAATAGTAATCACCCTTTGCACTCAGTTCGGATAGGACCGTCTACTTATGAAAGCTGTTGCAGCACGAGGGGATTGTTCAGCGACGGAACCGGCGATTGGGTCTCTTCGTATATCGGAACATAGTCCATGCCCTCTTCGTTATCAGCAAACTCCTCCTCGCCCTCCAAGTCGGAAAGGAATCTATTGGCCCCGGTATGGGACCTCTCCGCACCGTTAGCAGCGGGGAACCCCAATTCAGACACAGCACGAGGTGGCATCATATATTGAGACGGCGCAGGGGGTGCCAGCGGAGAAATAGCCGTATGAAAGTACTGGTTGGACGTAACGGTATTGGGCGGGTTATCGTTAAAAGGCATACCGCTGCTTGCCAGACTGGCCGGAGGATTGCTCTCCATGTATCGCAACCTCATACGCTCGCGCTCTATCTTGTCATCTACCGCACTGATGCCGATATTCGAGGGGGCCGGAAGAACCCCAGGCGCGCACGCAAAGTTACCAGATGCAACAGGCTCGAAAGGTGCGGTTCCTGCTCCTTGGCTAAGATCAAGGCCATTAGCGTTTCCGATAGCATTCCCGCTATGATTGAAGCGAAAAGAGGGAGCAGTAGGCACCAGATGTGGTAAGTCTGGTGCTGGCGCTGCGGGTGGCTGTGATGGCATCAAGCTCTGGGCCCGAAGGCGAAGAAGCTCCTTCTCTGAAAGGCCCTGTTCATGGGTAGGCATTGGGATAGCTTGCTCGTAGTGACCGGGAGGTTCATGGAGATGGCTTGGAGGCACCTGCGAGTAGTGAGGCGCAAGGTCGGGCGTGGCCTTCGGGATTAGCGGCGACTCCACCCTCACTCCCGGAGACTGTGGCGACAAAGGAAGCGGATCAGCCAACGGCGATGCGGAGGCCGAGTGCAACTGTTGCTGAGATTGGGACAACTCCTTGGCTTTCAGCCTGCGTTCCCTTCTCTCGGTCCCAATAACCACAGAGCAGCAGACCCTGACAACCCCCTTAATCCGTCTCAAGTGGTCGGTGTTGAGAATTGTAGCAGAACTATCCTCTTGAGCAGCTGCGGTGGGCGTTCCTGCACTCAAGCCACTAACACCGCTCATCTGCTGATCACTGCGGCTCTCATCAGCTGGTTCTCTGTCGGGAATGAGTTTCTTTCCTGCCAAATTCACACAGCTTTCGACAAGATAGTCGAAAGTAACCCCTGGGGCAGAGATGTTCGGAAACGCGTCAACAGGCACCCTGAGATTGGCTCTGAGGACTGTCTGCGTGGAGTTCTCGTCAATGTAGAGCGGAAGAATCACCTGCGTGAGGTCCTTGCGGAAGGTTTGTTCGATGTCAATAGACATGGAGGGCGTTGGTGGCGTTGACGGAACGCCCGGCGAGGGAGTGTTGATCTGGTATTTGGGGTCGATATCACTGTGGTGAGAGACAGAGCCGTTTGTGGAGGCGGTATCGCTCATAACGGAGGCAGCGGAGGTGGAGGTGGGAGGGGAGATGCGGCAGATGCGGACCAACGTGAGGATTGCGCCGGTATTGGTGTGGGGAATCGGCAAGCGGAGTTCGTCTTTGACCTGTGGGTGGGTTATGGTCATGGTTATAGGTATGACTTCACCTCGGAGATACCCCCTGGCCGACGTGGTTATGGCAATCTTGATGAACGGCTTCCCCCTGGGTCCAATGTTGGCACTCGGAGCGGCCGGTGAAAGCGACTCACTGAGCACCCCTACGGAGCTATTCGAGTGGACCGTGGCTGAGGAAGAAATTGTTCGCATCAACTTCCGCGAAGAATTGAGGTTGACCACGATGGTTTTGGGCTGTTGCGGGGGTAGCGCGGCCACATTAATTGGGTTGATGATCGCTAGGCTGCGCTCGCACACCAAGAGCGGTGACGTAGGCGCCTTTTGTGCAGGTGGATCAGACAGTGGTGACGGGGCCGCCGAAACAGATGCGGCGGTGCGCCGAATCGACGCCCGGAGGCAGTAGGCGATAGCGCCTTTGACAAAGTCAACGGATGTGTAGAGGTTCTTGCCGGGGAGCTTGACAACGAACGGAAACCGGTGCTCACCCTTGCTCAAACCGTTGCTAGCGTTGTCCTCACCATAGATTTGAATCGTGTGGTTGAACAAGTCGATTTTTTTGGAGGTGTTGACGGGGTAGTTCTTGAGCTTGATACGGCCCAAGAGCGAGAGCGCAATGTGGATATCCATCATGTTCTTGTTCAACTTGAGGATGATGGTTCCTGAGATCTTGTCGTTGGGTTTCCATGTGTGGTGCGGTTCGTCAAGGTTGATGTAGAATTCGTCAATGGTGCTAGTGAACTCATTCTTTAAGTTTGACCAGAGCTTACTGGGCTTTGCTATGGGAAAGAGCTTATGCACAGCCTTTTTCATAACGGAAGAGTATCTGGAGGGAGAGGGTTATTGTAAAAGTGCGTGAACGGCTCGGGAATGTCCGGATGCTTGGGCTTGTAGCTTTTAACGTGCTTAGCAAAGCGGAAAGCCGTATTTTGAAGGCCAAAAGCGATCCAATTATATTCTATGAGTCACCTTCGGGTGTCCAAACGGCTGCTCTATAAAAGCCTCGAATACCTATGGTTTGAGAGAGCGGACCAAAGTGGAGCAGTTGTGGATTGCCGCCCTAGGTGGCTTGGTATTATCCTAGCAAAGTGGGATTTCAAGGGGAGGGAGGCCGTGGGTCAGATATATCCTAGGCTTGGTATATATCTGATACGTGCGGTGTGGGTGGTTGTGGTGTGTGTTGCCGCCCAGTTTAACGCTGGCGTTTTTTTTTTTTGGGGGTCGTTCAGTCTGTGAGTTCGGGGAGTATGCAAGATATTCACGCCGGTAGCAATGTGTTCACAAAAGCTTAAACGAAAAAGGTGTCAAGAGTATAGGATTAGTGTGGATTCCAAGCCATTTGCAAGTGTCTAGAAGCACAAGATAGATATCAAAAATACTTCGCACAGAAAGCGCGCCATCTTTTGCAGCGCGAAAAGGGCGTTCACGGCCAGCGAGACAGTTGTTACCCATAGTGGGGGTCAGCTTCCACCGTTTTTTTCGCGAAGCGTGCATAAGCACTAGTATTACGACGGTCCGACCAGGGGGTCGGAGATGGCCTCATGCTCTCCTCTTTACAAACTTTTAGTATCTACCCTATAAACTGCTCCAAATTCTCTCAAAATAACAAGACAAAGAAACTGATACCAGTCCTGTATGCTTCCACGTATTCTGTGTGGGCTCCAGCGCACATCCGGCGGCCCCATCGGGAGGTCGGCACTGCTTTTTCGGGAAAGCATCATGCCGGTATGTGCGAACGGTGGCGGTCGGTGGTCTGCCCAGCGTCTAAATTGGCCAACAGGCGTTAGGCACTATACACTTTTCCGGCGAGAACAGCGAATCCCACTCAGCACTACAAGGCTTTTGGTTGAATGGGGGGCTCCACACCCGTCGTCATTTCAGAGAGATACGTAGCTTTTACCGTGCAAGCTCTCAATTTTGAGGTTTGCTTTACTCAAGTTTGGGCCTAGTGCTGCAAATATGCAATTCTTGTGGAGACTCCGAAGATGCGAAGAAATAAATGGCCAAGCAACGATAGACACACATAGTGGGTAGCCAAAGCAGCCGATTTGAAACATTCGCTTAGTTAGACGGATACAAACGGTGTCTACGGGTTTCTTGAAGACCCAATTGCCTTGCAATTCCGTACTAGTAGGTCCAATTATCGTTAGCTGGAGATCCCCATGTCGGCCATGCACGTAGCACCAAACTCTTTAGACGTGGTTCCCTAGGAAACTGGGAATGTTCAGTCTCAAACAAGCTTTTTTATTGAATACCCCACAGTAATGACAGCAAGATGTGCGTCGTACTTGAAAATTTCATTTTACGAACCTTAGACGCCCAGGACGCAGAATATGCATATGAGTGCTGCGATCTGCAACCTAGATGGTGTATTTCTTGACTTTAATTCAACCCAATTGTCTCTCAGATCGTTGGGAATCAACACCATTCGTGTTAATTCCGTAGAATAGTGACCAATCATGCAATTTTGGGGGGAGAAAGCAATTAGCCACATTTCCCCATCACGTTTACTCAGTGTAGTGTTGTTTTCGTGTAGTTGGAATTCTGTAGTTGAAATTCTGTACTTGGAACTCAGTACTTTCATAAATGTCTGTAAGACCAGGAAGATATATATATGGGTTATCTTAACATTAATTCAAAAGATTTTATTATTATTTCAGCATACACATATATATATATATACATATATATTTACCTTATTCAACTCATAATCTCAACTATAGTAGAAGTGCTATTTTACTAAACGGACATCAGTGATCGTTATCTCGTCACCTCCAATAGGCGGACATCCTAATACCGTATCCACCTTAGTATATATAGCCATTTACTATCATTATGTATATCTTTCGGATGAAAAGTATTTTCTATTAGCTAACAGTAACCACTATTACTTACTGGATATACCGCATGTGCCTAGCTATATATAAATGTATACTCATAAATATATTTGCATACGCATATGACAATTGTTTGAATCTACAACTTAGATAACGGAGACACCACAGAACCCCAAAAGAGTAAATTAGTAGCTCCGCCTCCATAGCACAATTCATCAACGTGACGTAGCTCCGTGCGTATTAAAGTTTGTACCGCGCATTTATAGATTTTCAGCTACTGCACATGCAACGCTTATCGCCTGGGCTATGTATTGTAGGGATACTAAACCATCGCCACTTTGCGCACGGAACTTGATTGGCTGCGGTATTTTTCGCCGCGCGGGTTGTACATGGTTTGGAGACTGCATACGAAAAAGGTACGCAAGGTATCCTGGTTTCCCGAAAAGCTTGATAAATGCATATTCCTGCGTATTCATTCCTTTTTCCAATGCTACGCGCAGAGTGCCACGCCTTGCAGCTGTAGTTATTTCTGGAGGCACAGTGTTCATGCCGACCCACGTCTAGCTCTCTCCTAAAATACAGGAGGCGGCATCTCGTGGCTGTTTGTCCACAACCAGGCGCCTACGAAACCAGGCGTGCTTCTCCCCCGCGCCATGAACGTAGGGGGGCTATGGGTTGGACGCCAGGTTTAACTGTACTCACCATAGAGACCCCACATCTGGACTAGACAGGACACCTATATATTCCGCCTCTCCCCAAGTAGATCGTCACTCCAGTCAGCCCTTCCCAAAAACCGGTCACCCCCTATACCATCACGTTAAAGCGCCAAGGCTTAGGACGCATGCCTCAGCCTTTTGGGTATTCTTAGTTTCCCGTGTTGAAACGTTGGTCCCGTGCAAGAAAACGCCAAGACTTTTCGGCCTTTGCTTCATTCCCCGTTTATCTTAGTTTTTATATATCGTCTCTAAAAGCTCTTTGGTCCCACGATTGCCACAGGAACCACCATTTGTTGAACCCTTTCATTTGCATCACCCATTTCGCTCCTGCCCTTATCCAACCATGATTGTCCCGCATTGGTACCTGAAGGTGACCTCGCGTTCACGGCTTATATACACGATGTCCTTGTTGCTCATCCTCTCTTTTATCGGGCTTTCCCTTCGTGACATGGATCTTCCGTCCTCATTCTTGACTTCAAAAAACGGCGTCAATTCGACCCTTGACATGCTCACCAAGATCGTTCAGGCTTTTACCGAAACCATCCACTGGGATGTGCCCGCCGACATGTTACCCGATGACATAAACCCCATTGTCATGGAAGCTTTGGATGCTGTGCTTGATGATTCGGCCGCGAAAGCTGACATCTGGAAGTATGATTTTTCGAGGGGCGACAAGAAAGTGATCATTCCGGCGTTCTACCTGCCCAAATCCAAGCTTTCCAACCCCTTGACCCAGAGCTTCGATCCCAGATTCACCTGGGGAATCTACTTGCATCACATGGCCCAAGAGATTACACAGGCCTGCCGCGAGCCCACTTCCGCCAGAGAGAAGATGTCAATTCCGTTTGTGTGGTCAGAATGGGTAGACCTTTCAGAATTGGATGGGTATGTTTCGCTTCCGCTTGGCCAAAAACCTACATGTGGAGATGTACATTCCAACGCGGGGCTTTCCAAATACGAAAAACTCCGTGCCCAGAAAGGAGAGAAAGGCAGTCCTCCAGGTATACCGGTAGAGGGTCCCAATCTGAGACCAGATCGAATCCAAGGATACGAGTACTGGATGACATACTGCGATGATGAGATGGAAATTACTAACCAGTTGGCGTTCCCTGGGTTCCAGATCACGGGGCCTACAAGGGAAAAGTCCAGTCCTCGGTTGAAGTCGTTACATGCGAAATCTTACTTGCTCGGAGCGGCGCCGGCGCCCTCGCAAATTGTGTGGCTTGTGAATAATGGCTCCATCATCGTAGACATCGATCCCAACAGCACCCCCTTGCATCTTAACCACACCTTGGTGCAGACTTACATTCGCGATCAAAACGAAAACCGTAACCTTACCAAAACTATCAAAAAGGTGGGGAACTTTGTGAACGTTACGCAAGACATTGCAGACTTCAGGTCAGCTATACATGGTACGCCAAACACCGTTTCCCTCTCGGTGCAAAATCACGCAAAAGAGAATTCCCCGATTCTTACGTACAAGGTTGATATTGCCGACTCCGAGTTTCACGGAGACTGCTACCATAAATACACAGAGATGATCCGTGACAAGCTTCCCGAATCTTGGACCACTCTTGAAAGCAACTACTACAACTCCGTCGAGGTTTCTAAGGAAGCCAAACTCCATAACCTGATCTCCAAGTACTTCTACGAAACTGAGATTATGGGAAACACCCTTGGCAGTCACTATGACTGGCGCTTCTTCGACGGACTCACACATCTAGACCTCGTGGAGCAGCGTATCGTGTTTCATCACATGCTTCGCACATGGTTGAAGTTCACCGGCGAGTACGGGCTCACCACGTGGGTGGCGCACGGCTCGCTCCTTTCGTGGTACTGGAACGGTATGTCATTTCCGTGGGACAACGATCTCGATGTCCAGATGCCGTTAGAGCACTTGCACCGTATGGCCTTGCAGTTCAACCAGAGCTTGATTGTGGGGGTGGATGAGAGCTACGATAGCTACCTCTTGGATGTGGGGACGTTTATCACAGAGCGAACCCACGGCAATGGTAAGAACAACATCGACGCGCGACTCATCCACACCGGGACCGGCTTGTACATCGACATTACGGGGATTTCATTATCGGGGTCGCTTGCATCGCCAACCTACTATGGCTTATTGGAGGCGGAGCACAAGCGGTTGGGGATGCCGGGTTCCTACGCCAACACCCGGGGATCTGAGAGCCTTCGCTTAGAAAAGAACACCCAGATGAACGCAGTTAACGACCGCAATGGCCACTACATGCTCGTCCACGATCTTACACCGTTGCGGTTGACCTTAGTCGAGGGTGCCCCCGCGTACGTTCCCCAAAATTACAAGAAAGCGCTAGGGGTTGAATACGCCAGGGGTATGGTGTCGCGGGCGTTTAAGAACTGGGCATATGAGCCTCTTTCCAGCACGTGGATGTCGAAGTTTGTGCTCACCAAAGTTCCGAATGTGGCAAAGATCACTGGGGAGGAGCTTCTGGAGGTGCTCCAAGGCAACGAAGCGGCATTAAATGAGGTGTATGCTACTCATGCGTTAACCAGAGTGCACCGGCACGAAATGAGCGAGTTGGAGGTGGATGAGTGGGGTACTGAGAAGTTGGTGATGGACAATAAGTGGCTCAAGCCCGTGCGCTGTGACTTGTATGAATTTAGAGAGAACAGTGCGGGGTTGTGGGGACGCGATACAGCGACGATAGGGTTGGTTTACCAGCAATAGTCGTTTGGAATTTGTAAGGAAACAAAGCATTTAGGAAAAAATAACCAACAGATTCTAACTTCACTTAGAGGAAAGGAGAGTGACTTATTCTGGGTATTAGAGACTTCCGGACTATGGAAATATTTAGTTTTTAATAATTGTCCCCTATTTCTGGAATTCCAGTCAGGGGATTGCCTGCTAAAAGACTTGTAGGGTGATGCCGAGTCAACAGTTCAATGGAAGCTTCAAATGTGTTTCTGGAACTTGAGCAGCCACGACGGATGCACGACTTTATGGCCACGTGATGTAGAGGATTGGAAAGCGGGTTGAGAAAGGAACGCATCCGGGGCACCTGCCTAGTGTGTATTGCAAATGGATTTGGTTCAGACAGATTTATTCTGCCAGTGTGTGTCGCAGGAAAGGCTAAAAGCTGCGAGGATCTGTCACGTACCGCTTATTCCAGAGCCCTCTCCCCTGCGTATTCTACCGTCTTACTTACCCCAGACGTCGGTTCCTATCGCTAGGTTTTAACATTTCTGCACCCAGAGTTGAACCGGTATTCTCAGAGTTCTTGCCGTTCAGAGTTCCACATACGCAGCAAGCGCCCCAACTTTCTAATGCTCCATTTTGCTTGCTACAAACGCCTGTTAATGTCCCACCTCAAAGCGATGAGTCGATCCAAACTCACGCGCGCTATCGCATTACTACTAGTGCTGTACTTCGCCTTCGTGTCCCTCCACACCATCGACAGCCCAATTGACAGTATAGAATCAACCTCTCTGCCTCACAGAAATACCTTCTCGGCAGTAATAGCTGCATTCGCCAGCGCTGTCACCTGGGATGTGGCTCAGGAACTCCTCCCACCAGACTTGTCACCCGAAATCGAGATGGCGATGGAGACTACTGACAGGGCTGAGTCCTGGAAATACGATTTTTCCCGGGAGGGTAGACGGGTCCAGATTCCCGAGTTTTATTATGACTTCACGCAGCCGAGCCCCCGCGTGCAGAGCTACGACCCGCGTTTTCTATGGGGGATCTATCTTCGCCATATCACCAACCAGCTCGAGACCCATGCACCCCCCTCCATTCCGTTTGTGTGGTCCGAATGGGTGGACCTCTCGCCGCTAGATGAGTTCATTACCCTTCCAGAGGACCAGAAGCCCACATGTGGTGATGTGAAGGACAAGGCGGAGTTCGTAGACTACCGGAAGATGCTTGCCCGGGTGGAAGAAGCCAAACATGACGGAACTGAATCGGAAACAGACCGCAAGGCACGTCTTATCGAGGAGTTCCGTATGCCATACTGCGTCAATACGTTTGGGGAACCAAGTTCACCGGGCTTCCAAATCGTGGAACCGACGTTGGAAACGTCCACGGCGCGGATTAAGGCGCTCCACGCAATGTCCTACCTTTTGGGTCCTGCCCCTGCCCCGGAACTGATCGTATTTCTCTTACGGAACGGTGCTGTGGTGGTGGGGCTCGAGAAGGGCAACCCGTTGCATGTTAACCACACGCTAGTGGAGCTCTATATGGAGCTGGGAACGACCGTGGTGGACGTGAAAGCGGATATTGAGGCACTCAGAAAGGCAGTGAAGGGAGGAAAAGCTCTGGCGAAAAGGAAGAATAGTGGCAATCAAGCAGAGACCAGGAGAGCCGAGCCTAGGGGAACAGGCCAAGAAGCAGTTGAAAAAATAGACCTGGAAGCAGCTTTACTCCCCTACATGCATCCCCTCTCTATCTCCTCTTTCCTCGAAGATTGCTATCTTCCCTTGTTCTCTTTCGTCGCGGCAAAGCCTCCCCACACACGTACCCCTCTTGAACGCAACTACATTGACTCTATTGAAAAATCGATTGAGGCCAAAGCCACCGAACAGATCCCAAAGTACTTTTCGGAAACGCCGCTTACGGGGACCACCATCGGGGCGCACTACGATTGGCGGTTCTTCAGCGGCCTTACCCACCAGAACCTTGCCGAGCAGCGTATCGTGTTACACCACATGCTCCGGACCTGGCTTAAATTCACGGGTGAGTTTGGGTTCACAACCTGGCTCGCACACGGCTCGCTCCTCTCATGGTACTGGAATGGGTTGTCCTTTCCATGGGATAACGACATGGACGTCCAGATGTCGTTGGAAGCGCTCCATGCGATGACGTTGCAGTTTAATCAGAGCTTGGTCGTGGGCCTAGACGAAAGCTACGACAACTATTTGCTAGACGTGGGAACGTATATAACCGAACGAAGCCCTGGAAACGGCAAAAACAGCATTGACGCACGGTTTATCCACACGGGAACAGGCTTGTACATTGATATAACTGGAATTGCGTTGACAAGTGCCACCCCGGGCCTCCTCTACACCAAGTACTTGGAGGACCAGTGGGTGGAGCTGGGTCTCCCGGGGTCATACGCAGAGGTAGTTCCGGAGCAGCGCTTGGATGCCCACACGAAAATGAATATGCTTAATGACCGTAAGGGCCATTGTATCGCTTTAGAGCATCTCACACCGTTGCGCCAGACTATCGTGGAGGGCACGCCCGCGTACATACCCCGCGGCTTCCAGCGGGTCTTGGAGAATGAATATATGGGGGGATTGACCAGGAAAGAGTTTGATAACTACGTTTACATGCCCCAATTGCGCAACTGGATCAGCCGCAAGGCTTTCGACTGGTACCCCGATATGGACGAGTTGAGCGACGAGGCTATTCGGGTGATGCTTCAGGAGAATGTGGAGATCTTGGATGAGATGTATGCTACGCACGTCTTGACCCGTCTTCACGAGCACGAGATGAAGGAGTTGACTGAGGATGAGTGGGGAAGTGAAAAGTTGATTGGCACCAACCAGGGGATTGGATCGATGAGGCATGATTTGTTTGAGTATCGCGAGAGGTTGGCAGGAAAGGACGAAGAGAGAGCTGCGGAGGTACGGTTGGTATATTAAGAAAGGTATACTGGAGGCGATGTCCACACAGAATCTAATGGTGTATTGCCTTTATTCAATCCTCTACGATTTAAGATAAGGAGTGTGACCCATGTGATTAATTTTCGGCACAGTTAAACCAGAAGGTCGTCGCTTCCAGTAAGTCCCTGAGCGCAAGAGCTGCAAATACAAGGGAGCTTTAAAATGAATATGTCACCAAGGTATGATTTAACCATGGAAGGGTAGACAACAGTTTGGCGAGGAAAAGATCGTACAGAAGGGACGATCAGAAGGTGTGCGATGCTACATATAGGCTTCTTAGGGTTGATATCACGCCAAGCAATTTCAACCAGATTCGTTTTAGCCTTCCGTAGTTAGTGGATTCAGTACTACATTATCCAGTACACACGCTCACATAGTTTAGCTAACTGCTAGTAAAAACAAAATTCTTTGGGTACACTATCTCAAGAACTTTATTGCACGCCAGTATTTGGCCCCAAGTAGGACCAGTGGATCACCGGTATGCATCTTCCGGCTATCGCTAGCTCTTCAAAGATCAAACATAGTGCATTACCTTGGGGAACTCCAAGGCCAAGCCATGTGAACGAAAGGCGTTTAGTTATTATGAATGCTGGAACAAACTCCGTATGTTGCATACGGATATACCGGTAGTAACTCCGCAAATCTGCTTTGCCGCTGCATGTGTCTAAAGATAGCTCACTGGAACCGGCTCGTAACAACTCCCGAAAGGTCCTGGTAAAATATTGAAAACCATACCCATAAGCCCCGTTCTAGAACTCTTACAAACGATTTTTGTAGAACCTTGTTGGCGATTTTTTTTCCAGAGCTGGTGGATATGGCAGTAAAGGAATGTATCAAAATCTCTGGGCCCTTGGAGGACTAGATCACTAAAACATTAAACTACTTGCTCTATGTATCAGTTAGCATGAAAGCTGACAGGAAAGGGCATAACAGTGTGACTAGACACTGCTGTGATATATAGGAGGGCCTCCTAACTGTTAGACTGGTGGCCGGTTCTATGATGGGGATTTGATGTAACTGATCCTAAAGCTAGCATCGATCACAGTCGGTTTTAAGTCTGAATAGCTAATTCTCTCTAAGGCTTAGCCTATTTTAGAGCTGGAATCAATATACAGGCTGTGGCTCTGCATACTTGTATACTTCTGCCCGTCCTGTGCCCATTGTATGAGATTAGTGATTTTCCTTGCATAACCTGTTCTGCACTAGAGGTAGCCTTGGGCCGGCTGTAAACACGGATCCCGCAATAATCACGGATCTTGTACCGGAGAACTGCGTTTCAGCAGACTATTTAACTGGGGAATGTTGCTCCAATCGAAAAGAATCAAAAGCTTGGGTTGTTTCTCTACGTTGGCTGCATGCAAAAAAATAACAGCCGGTGTACTCAAAGGCCAAGGGGGTATCACGGCCGGGTACATAGACGGTACATAGACGGGGACTCTCGTACAAGTGCAAGAGGATAACGCACAATTCAAACCACTTGGAACCATCAGAGATGGCTCTAGGAGCAGATCTTACTATGCAACCGCTCTTCCATATCATATCCAATTCCTTCGTGGTTCACGCTCCATGTGAATTGGTGAGACAGAGGTCCCAATAGCTATTTATGCGTCTCCAAAATGAAACACGTGAGCGGCGATGCATGGTTTAATCCGTATGTGCTCTGTGGCCTAGCGTATACAAGGATCAACGTGTCTACGTCATGCAGTGTCAAGGCTACATAACCAATACAGCTCTGGATTTTGGGCTTATAGATGATATTCGAGTTAAAAGCTGAAATATCTTTTATTGGCTCTTCTGCCAAGAGTCTAGTATTGTAGATTCATTCACTCAAGGTCGTAATATATCCGATTTTCCGCACGATCCCAAAGAAAACTGTATTGGGAGACATTGCGGGTGAACCATAGGCCGACAAGAGCTGTATGCTGCATGCTGTATGCACGTTCTAGTAGATCGGAAAATTACACTTTAAAGAACGTGAGCCAACTCTCGTTCCTACTGGTTAAAGGACGTTACTTGAGAAATTCCAAAGCTTAAGTCAGGATCTGTAACCTGGCCGACACACGATATTATAATCCAAATCAATTGACAAAAGTCCCAAGAGCGATATCCCAGGTATCAAAAAAAAACCCCCCCAGCTTAGCCTGGAGTAAATCCCAGACACTCCATCTAGACGCTTACACCAATCCAAAGCTTCTAGATATGCTGAAGCATCGCCTTTTGAGCAGAGGAGAATGTCGAGCTTCCATATTCAAAGTCACAGTTCACTGGAGCATCAGAAATATTAAACGGTGCAAGATCACTCACCTTACCTGCCTAGTGCTCACCCTATACTACTTATATCTATGCTCCCACAAACTACATTCGCTAGGTGCTAAAGGCGAAGATCCGGATGCCCACTTAGGAACGACAGCAGAAGTATCTTCGAGGGATTATACTCTCCTTACGAAAAGGGTAAACTGGGGAACCGTTACTGACATTAAAGCAGAGAGTTTGGAGCCGCTTATTACCCAACTATTGAACGAAAGAGACACCACAGGAAAGGAGTGGTTGTACAACAGCGAGATTGGTCATAAAAATATTGTTATCCCCGACTTCTACCAACCAAAGTCGAAGTCGAAGAATCCTATCATGCAGAGCTATGACCCAAGATTTACGTTGGGTATTTACTTGCACTACATAAACAAGCAGCTTCTCTCACCACAAAGAAAACGTGGGAGTGCCTTTTCCCAGAGAAAGGGACCTGAAATCACCATACCGTTCCATTGGTTGGAGTGGGTTGACCTATCAGCCTTGGGTGACTACTTATCTCTTCCGCTCGAAAAGAAGCCAACCTGCGTAGATGTTCGGGGAACTCTTAGCCACAATAAATATAGGGAGAGCATTGGCCTTGAAACCCTAGAAAAGCCAGCCCCCGATATTCTGTTCTTGGAGAATAGGGTCTTTGCCAAGGATCTCTCCCTTGAAGTCGACGAGCGATATAGGAAAGTGGTGGAGATGATCCTCCTGTCCCTGAACTGCTATCGGCCTGAGACGAGAAAAGGAGGCGTTGTACCTCCCGAGTTTACCCCCGGGTTCCAGATCCAGGGGAATATTTTTATTCGAAACATGCCATCCTTAGTGTCCCTTCACGGAAAGACCTACTTGTTTGCAAGCGCCCCAAGCCCCTCTCAAATCGTGATGCTTGCAGGGAACCTGGCCATTGTAGTTGGAATTGACCCGACGAAAACAGACCCCATGCTTTTCGATCACGCAATAGTGGAGGATTACATTGCTGACCAAAATAAATCGTCTGATAAGGTGGTAGCCAAAACCGTCAAGTCTATCGGCAACTTTGTGGATGTGAAATCAGAAATCTTGAAATTCAAAGCCGTTATGAAAGGCAAGCCCTCTTCCGCTCTACCGTTCAAGAAGTCGGTGCCCCAGAAGTCCTTCCAACAAGAGTGCTACCAGCATGACTTCGGGAGAATATCCAAGCTCCCCCCAAAAGCTCGCACCCCCCTCGAGAGCAGCTATTACAGCGCCATCCAACGATCGCTCGAAGTACAGGAGGAGAATGCCGTGCCCAAGTACTTTTCAGAAGCAAACACTCCTACCATTAGCCACTATGACTGGCGGTTCTATGACCGAGAGATTAGCGATAGAAACGAGCAGCGCATCATCATGCACCATATGGTCCGGACCTGGCTCAAATTTACGGGCGAGTTTGGCCTCACCACGTGGATCGCCCATGGCTCTCTTCTTTCATGGTACTGGAACGGCAAAACTTTCCCATGGGATATCGACATAGACGTCCAGATGCCGTTAGCGGACTTGCACACGATGGCGTTGAAGTTTAACCAGAGCTTGATCATGGGGTTGGATGAAGATTTTAGCAGCTACTTTCTCGACATCGGCACTTACATTACCGAGAGAATCCATGGAAACGGGACCAATAACATTGACGCCAGGTTGATCCACACAGGCTCGGGAATGTTCATCGACATTACCGGAGTAGCTCTAACCGAAACGGCTGCTGTCAAGAACATGTACACCCCGTATATGATGCAGGAGTTCCTGAACCTGAATTTACCCGGAAGCTACGACTTCAACGATGATTCCGACCCAGCCGTGGCGCTAGAGACCAATACGAAGCTACAGGTATACAATGACCGGAACTACCATATGCTTTTCCATAAAGACATCAGTCCGTTGAGAATGACAATTTTTGAGGGCACCCCGGCGTACATCCCCTGCAACTTCCTCGCCGTCTTGAACAACGAGTACGACGGTGCCACCACCCCGACGTATCTGGATATTATGTACCAGCCTAAAATACGGGAGTGGGTTGATATGTGGAAGCTCCACTTGAAAAACCAGGATCGTGGGAAGGATCTCAACACTGTTGATTTACTTAGAGACGCACGGTACGAAGACGTCTTTATAGAGGCGTTGGCCACTTATGACGCCACCCGGCTCCACGAGCACGAAATGAAGCAAATAGATGTGAATGAACTGGAGGTGGAGCAGTTAATTATGGCAAACCAGAGAATGAAACCCTCACGAAGTGATTTATTTGCCTACCGTGAGAGCCAGGCTGGACGGTGGGCCCAGGATGCGGTCCAGTTGGAGCTCGTATATAGCGTTCAAGAATAAAGGTTGAAAGCTAAAAGGTTTTAAATACTGAGTAAATTCCCCTTTCAGTTTTAAGAATTATTAAACTATACGAAAGATTTCGAATGCACTATTAGCGTTTAACCACTCTACAATATAGCACTTCCTACTTTTAGCAACCCAAATGTCGGTAGTTCGCAGCCCTTAAATGTGTCAAAGAAATGGTCTTTCGTTATAAACATAAAATACCAAACAGCTGCAGCACTTCCAGCAATGACCGCTGTGTCATGCCCTACCTTCATTAAGCCTTCGATTCTCCAAAGATATCTGGACGGAGCCATACATCAGCGTATCTCATTGCTAAAATTTTAACTAAATACTTACGTGAGCCTTAAAGCTTCAATTCATCAAAATCACGGACGATTGGGTAAGAAGCCTTTTCTTCCTCTGTGAGGTCGTAGTTACCTGGCTTAATAACAATCGAGGCGCGCAAGCCTGCCGCAATAGCGGCTCTGACCTCGTTCACATTGTCACTCAAGAACAAAGCATTGCTGCCCTTAACCCCAATATGTTTGATGATATTTTCGTAAGAAGATTTCTCTTGCTTGTGCCCGGAAGTGGTAATGTCGTAGTAGCCACTCAAGTACGGGGTCAAGTCTTCCTGGCCCTCTTCGTTGGTCGCAGCCACGTGCAGGAACAAGAGCTTTTGCGCAGGTACACTCCCAGACGAATAGATATACACCCTCTTGTCGGCAGTCCAGGTCTTAATAGCGTGAACGGCATCTGTGAAAAGTGGTGCAATAATGGATCCATTGTCGTAGCCCGTCTGCCACACGTAGCCTTGCAAAGATTTGAGCGTGGCGTCTTTGACATCATTACTGACCAAGCCGGTAATGTGTGCCTCTAGCACTTCGCTGGAGACTCGGACATCAGCCAGAAAGCCATAGAGGATTTTGACCACAGGATCGTCAGAGGCGGAGTTCAAGGGAAAGGAAACCCCAGCCAAGGTTTCCGGAAGCTGCTGAAGGAAATAGGGGAAGAGCTGGTTCTTCACAAAGGAAATAGGACATACAGTGCCCTCAATATCAAGGATAATGCACGTCACGTTGGGATATTCAGCAGTCATGGGGTATAGTGAGTTAGTTTGAGAGTTGATTCAGTTGTAAGCTCATATTTTTTTTATCTGCCTTATCGTCTATCAGCCGCACCAATATGTGAATGGCACTAATTAGGCGCGGCACAGCCATAATATGAAGGAAGCTTGGTGAAGCAGAAGTCAGAAATCTCGGCAGCGACAGCGATATATGGTTATTGCATCTCAGTGAATTTATTAACTAGTAATATGGTTTAGCTTAAGTAACCTATAGTCCCTTAGTTGATAATCAAAGAACGCAGTCTGAGGCCAGGCAGTTACTAACAGATATCTAGTCTTTACATTTGTATTCAATAATTGTGAACCGGGGTATCAGCGCTTGTGGCTTGAATCAATAAATGTCGGGAAGAATTCCATAAAACATCGCAATTTCATGGAATAAGGACAGACCAACTATTTAATTGGAAGCGATGGGTTAACCTACGAAAATACCTGGAAGCATACAGTGCTAGATTCCAGGAATTGATATCGTGGGCTAAGTTCCCATCCCCTTGACCATTATTTATACTTTAATTGATAGTCGTAATGTTTAAGGTACTGATACCAGATCACATGAAATAGGCGACAAGGGCTCGACAGATGTGCGTTGGACAGTAGCATGGCTGAAGGGAACCAAGTAGTAGATAGCTCTATGGCCGAGATTGGGCGAATCTACCCCCAGTAGCGATATAAGACCGTCATAAACCGCTTGGTTGCACCCTGGTACCTTCGTTGCAGAATCTGGGGACGAGCTCTGAGAAACCAAGCTCGGGGTGTGCCTGCTCGCCCTGAGTCTAGACCCATATATCTCAGTAACCTGCAACATGGCGAGTAGGGTGGCAGCATCACTTTGGTTATATGTTTCCAAAACTGCGTACCCTTTAGTTCTGCCGTGCTGGCGAAACAATACGAGTTGCTTAATCGGGACATACTGAGCAGCTACAGCCTTCAAGGAGCTGTCACTAATCTGAGGAGGTAACTCAGTGACAAAAATGGCGTTTTCTCCGTACGGAATCTGTGCGTCATTGCCATTTTCGTGACTCACAGAACCTTTCGTCTTGTGAAATGCCTTCAGGACGGATAAAACCCTACCCTCCAACTCATAATCTTGTAATCCTCGAAGTGCCCCTTCGGCTGAAGTAGCCTCGCTATATACAACAAGTGCCCAACAAGCATTGAACTTAGGTACTGGATGGAAATGAATTGTCCGAATATCCCCAAACGACCCAAACACTCTCCTCAACGTAGTCTCACTGACATCCAAGGGAAGATTCTTCACAAACACTTTGGGCTCGTCTCCCCTTTCCTTGGAAAAGTGAGTCCGTGTTGTGCTAATCCTCTTTGCTTTCTGAACATGGGTTCCCACGTATACTTGATGTCCCTCAATCTCGACCCCGTTACACCTCCCTATGACTCTCTGCGCTACTTGGGGGTCCGAATAGCTAACAAACCCATGACGTTTTTTCTCATCAAACTTGCAGGTAAGAATATCACCATGATGAGAAAAATATTCGAATAGTTTCCGTGAAGTAAAACTTGACGGTAGGTTTGATATGAAGAGGTTACAGCCGGTTGCCTCTCGTTTATTCTTATCATGAATTGCGGGCATTATACGAATCTCTTGGCCCATGAGGCAGGTATAGTTGAGTAATTTGATGGCCGCTTCCGCCTCGATTTGGTTTGTAAAGTTTACGTAGCCGTATCCTTTAGATAAACTGGTGAATGTATCCACGCATACCCTCACTGAATCAACCGAGCTAAACTGAGAAAAAAACAGTAGTAAAATCTCCTCTGTCACAGCTTTGTGTAAGTCACCAACATAGTATGAGAACATTGGACTCGCAGGTTCGGACTCGCTAAAGCTTGCTCCAGCATTTATCGGAGAGGAATCCAAAGACTTTGGGAAACTTAATACATTTGAGGAAGAAATAATCTGAACTTTGCTCCGCTTGGGCTTTCGCTTGGCTTGATGGTTGTCCAGCTGAGGCGAATTTAAGGAATCATCATTGCCCCTGATGACAAGAGATTGCTCTCGATTACGGTTTGTGTATCCAACAACCCGTCCATAAGCAACCGAATAATCAGGTAAGACTGTCTCGACATTGCTTGCAAGCGTATGGCTTACAATCCTTGATCGTAAGCGTTTAAAAAGCATCACAACAGGTCAATAGCGTATTTGAATGATCTATAACGGAAGGTGGGCAAAAAAAAAATACAATTCAGCTTGTAGTGTAGTTTATATCACTGTATGTAAGCACGAGCTACTTACCGAGCCAAACAGAACCATAGTAGAGCGGCGTACAGACCACAAAAAGATTATCGTAGATGGTAGGTGCGAGTTTTCCGCTTTTGTGTTCTCTGTATCCATCCGTTTCAAAATATTTACCTATACATGCAATATGTTTTATACTTCCTACTGGGTTGAGAAATATAAATGCGTATGTATTAAATGTGTATGAGCTAAATGACTATGAGTTAAATACGTATGAGTTAGATGCTTGTTTATTGACGTTCCATGCTATATAACACAATATTTGGTGTTATTTCCAGCACGTAATCGCTAATTAGACACATATATACTCCGTGTTTGAGAGTATTAAAAGTATCATATTGTTATGGCACCAATGGCGTCAAGCATATATATAGAGATCTTAAATAATCATGAGGTAAATGCATAGAGAATCTGTTATAGTATGTATACGCTAGTATCTTCAGAAAAACCAGTAACTCTCACCATCCTAAGGATAAACAAGGCAATCCGGTCTGCCTGTTGGGTTTCCACATCAACTGGTACAGATCCAGAGTTTTTCGATCCCAGCCCAGGGGTAGGTATAAGTTGGCCGTCAGAAGATAACAAGAAGTTTGGATACTTGACAGAGTTGACATCAGGAGTTCCAGAAACCTTTATGTCATTCATATTAGTACAAACTCTCGGGGACAAACAAGGCCTGAGGGGTAGCATTTTTTGAGAAAGCTCTAATTATGCCCAAACTGCACGAAGAATAATTCGAGGTAGAAGAGACAGGAAACTTTGTATAATGGCAAATAACTTTTCATTTCCAGGGAAGGAGGGTTCAACAATATAGCGTGAAATGCTAGCGCAGTGTTAGCTGACGAGTATGAGAAACATTACACGATGTTTCAGGATATATCAAAGCCTTTAAATACTTTGATTCCATTTACATTGATTATAACCATCCACAGTGGAGCTCAAGTGACGCGTATTAACTCCGTATGCTGCTTACTGATCAAGTTGCACATGGTGAACCTTATCTCGTAAGGTCACACAAAGTTAATTGTGATGTTGTGGGAGAGGACAGCCGGTATTCCGTGACAGATGCATGCCACAACAGGTTATAACGATTAAATGCGCACACTTCAAGTCCTCTCGGCGGAACTCCTCCTGGAGCGACCAGCCCCTCTAATCGGCTTTTGAACCCCACATAGCTTGCCTGAGAATTTGCAACAGGTGTCTCACACGTGCGACCGATGGCCCGCATAAGCGCCTAGGATCGCAGACTCAAAAGTATCACACTGCTTCCGTAGAAACTGAGACATTGTCTACGTCCGCTTATCACCTATATTAGTTCATCGAAATCTGCAACACTGAAAGCCCCCTTTGAAACTCTAGATTCGTTTCAAAAGAAGTGCCAAGAGATTTACAAACGCCAGGAAATGAGCGACAAGAGCATGTACAACCAGGGGTACAGCTTTTAAAATGTTCTTACCTCCACAAAAGCCTAAAGGTGTGGCCTGTCGGAAGTACCGCAGCTTCACGAGGGTGCTGCTGCAACGAGAATACATCTCAGGTGCATGGGGACTAAGCTAGTCCCCCTAAAACAGCGCTGGGATTTTCGCACAATCGATTTAGCTGCCTCTAACGTACACACTTGACTTATATCCTGTAGAACTCCTGACCCCTGCCGTTAGTAACCAGAGAATAAACTCTGCACGCGAACAGATCATCAGCGCGCCTTACAGCGATTTGAGGTTATTGAAATCTACAGCTTTAACCAGCATTGTATACCATACAATTTTAAGGCCATATTCCTGCACAGAGATGCCATCATCTCGAAAGGCTTCGGATAACCAAAATCAACACCAAACGATGTCTTAGACTTAGTAATACCCCATCCGAGGGTGGTGTCTGACTTCAGTCAACGTCAATTACGGTAAGAGGGCCGTACGATTAGCTTCGTTCAAGCTTGTGCTGCGTCCTGACTCTCGGCCCGTCGCGAGGCTGCCTCCTTGGCCTTATGGGGTTGCTTATGCTTGGCTTCTGGCCTTAATCCTTGTGACCATGTCGCTGCGCGTGGTCTTCCACACCTTGTAGGACCCGAAGAGCCCGGACCCGAACCCGGAGAGTAAATACAACGTGGCGGGCGCCTTCAAATGGAACACATCGATGGAATCAAAGGTAAAGTCGCAGGCTAAACGGCACATGTCTACGTAGACCAACTTCTGCTGTAATTTGACGTTGGCAATCTCCTTGGTATAGTCAGTGGCGCTTTCAGACCCGTCATTGACCAGAAAGTTCAAGCGGCTGCGCATGGGTGAGGAAACCTCCATGGAGATGCTCTCCATCAACTGTTTCGACAACTGGGTGGCCTTGACTTTGACCTGCTGCTGGATCTTGAGCTGGAACTCCTGCTGTCGCAACGTAGCAAGCGACGCTATGCTCTTCTGCAAGCCGAACATGATGTTGTAGTACCACGCGAGCGCGCTGTGGCGGTTGGCAAACTGCTTGTAGGACTCGTTGGTCAAGACGCCCATCTTAGCAAGCAAGATAGACTCATCCATGAGCCCGTAGTAGAGGTCAAGCACCTGTGAAAGCATCCCCTCGTTCAATACAGCCCGCTGGAACGATTGGGGCGACTTACACGCCGCAGGTGACAACACCGTGGTTTGCAAGATTTTCTGTACGCGGAGCGGACTTTTTCCGAAGCGCATGCACTGTCGGAAGATGGAGATGGCGTCAAGGACGCCGACCGAGCGCCGGTTGAAGTGGTGGGTGAGCAACACCACAAGCACCTTGAAGAACTTGGCGGGGTTCTTGATGAAATTCATTATTAAACTCTGCTTGCTGCCGCGGTACAACTCCGGTTTGAAGTTCATCTGTTGCGAAAGCGATGTGGTGATTGACGTGGAGTAAAGCACGAGGATCCGGAGCCCATATTGCAAGGTTTTGGCCAACTTGTCCTTACCGGCAACCTGGTCCAACATGGCTGTGAGAACATCGAACGGCGACACCTCTGGCTCTGTCTCCATCGCAGGCTTTTCAGACACAAATGGCTCGGCGCTTACGTTAGCTAACTGGGTGTATCGGAGCGTGTTGTCATCGGCGGATGACTGCATAAGGGAATCGCCAGAATGCGCTTTGGCGTTTCGAACCATTTCAAAGTTGTTGTACATTTTGTGACTGATTGGTGACTCGACGAACGGACTCATCTGGAGGCGGCTGTGTATATCTCTGGTGGCTGGAGTGTGGAATATGTGGTGGATATCGTGGGTTTCTTCTAGAAACTCATTCTGTAACAGCATTTTGTGGATGTAGCGTTGTGCTTTGTGAGGGGTAGCGCGTGGGTAGAAAGTTTTTTTAGTCGGCGCTTTTCCGGCAAAACGGTTTGCGCGGAGTTCAGTGCGCATGTGGAGATTGGCTTGGCAACCGAAAAATACCGAACCAGAGCCGAAGGGCCTATACCAAGTCGCAGGGTCAGTTGTTGACGGACATGATAAAATAAACAGATGGCACTATCATTATAGAGGAAACACAATATTCAATACATGCACTGAAACAGCGAACAGGTAGTATTCTGATACGAAAGCGTAGCCTCAGATCGGGTGGTGCATGTGACCCCGGGGCCGCCGGTACTCCCAGGTGCATTGTACGAGGGTTACATCGAGGGTGCTTGGGCATGCGACTTTCGCAGTACAACGCTCTTGCAATGACAAAAATGCAACGTAGTATTTATTTATTCTGGTAGTCATCTCGGGGAGGAAATAGAGAGTGGAGTGGTAATGCAAGGTAGTGGTCTGAACTGCAAGGCAGCACATAAGAGCCAGTGGCATATGCGATTGCTGAAAGGACATTCAGATCGCCGCTAATTATGCTTGACGGTACCTATACAGCACCTTACATCGGAACCTTTTAACCTCATACGGGCCCTCTTACGCAACTGACACCTCCGACGACAAACGAAACTTATATTTAAGCTCAGACAGAGCTAACATACGGAAATGACCAGAATATGGAAGGGTGTTGCGGCAATAGGCCACTCTGGTCAATTACGTATTCTAGTTCTCAACAATCACCCTTTCATGATGCTCCTCCGTGGCTCAAACGGCTTTACCCAGCATCCCCCTCTCCTACAACCAATAAAATTAGCTCTAATTATGCAATAAATACGCTCTGTCAAAGAGCAGTGGTGATACCAGCCCACCTACGTGGACACCGGCCCGTTTAAAAACGCGCCAACAGAGCCCAAGTAGCCTTCGTGGCGCAAGAAGTACGCCTTCATGACACCCTTGGACCAGAAATCCACGGCGTACGAGAGCGTGTGGATGGTCTGCTTGTGGCCCAGGATATACGATCCCCCAAAGTAGATGCGCTTCAAGTTGTAGCGCTGCGCCTGCAAATACGCGATCTGGCCAATGTTGTTGGAGACCGAGTACAAGAGCGAGCGGCTGATATCCTCCTGGTTGAACTGGGCCAACTTTTCGGAGATCGTGAGCGGTGCGGCCTTGGGGTCGCGCTTGAGGTTCTTCAATTTCTTGAACACCTTGGCGAAGGAGGACGCGATGTGGTTTGACTTCAAGCCGATTTTGTTGTAGTTGGTGCCGTAGATGTCGCCCACAAGCAAGTCGATATTTTCGTTGTTTCCACGCTTCGCCATGTCCAACATCTCGTTATAGTCTTGCGCCGTGGTGAGAAGCGAGAGCAACCCCCACAAAGTGCCCCCACCCAAGGAGGACCCGCCGATTCTCTCAAAGTTGTCATGCTCTGGCCCCACAACCTTGATCATCGACACACCCGACCCAATATTCACAAGCAAGTATGGATAGAGATCGTCCTTGGTGGTGATTTTGGGGACGTCCAAAAACTGGATCTTGTCCTGATTGTAGTCGTAGGTGTAGATTTCGCGGGGGATTTCGGTGATGAAAAAGTCGAGCCCCGTGATCAAGCACTCCATCTCGTCCTTAGCGATGATCTTTACCTTTGGAAAGGTCTTCCTCATTAACGTCTGAAACTTACACGACCCGCCACCGGTGGCGAGGATGTGGGTTATTTCCCTGTTCTTGATGCGTCTTTTGTTCACCAACTTCTTCTGGAGAAACCGCAACACCTCTGATTCAAAATTCTCCGTCTGGTAGTACTTGAAGTGCATTTTCCCACCCTGGGGCGAGTCGTCGTTCTTGGTGAAGTACACCAACTTTGTAAGGGTTCCGCCAATGTCAAGTGAGATGTGTGTAATGTTTGACGAGTGGTATGGGAGCGAGATCTTTTTTGCCGCGTCTGTGAATCCGTCTTCGTACTCTTCCTTTACGGCCAGCGCCAACAGGTCCAGAGACGTGTTGCGGCTGATGTGTTCGTCTTCCTCGCTGCTGCTCTCCTCGGAAAAGGGATCGCGCGAGATAAACGCGCCCAGACAGTCAATCTGGAGCGTCCCAGGGTTTGCGTAGCGCCAACTGATCAGCTCTTCGTTAGCACCGGGCTCTGGCGACCCATTGGCGGCACGCGAGAGTGGCATCTTTTGTACGATAGGGGCGGGGGTTTCCATCTGCATTGGTTAAAGGGTAAAAGCGGTTCCAGGATATTTGAGACGTGGCCTGTAAAAGGAGGCTCCGGGCAATAAATCAAATTAAGGCCAGATAACCAAATAAATTGGATTGGGGAAATGAAACAAAGAGGCGATTCAGGCAGGAAAACTGATACAATGGTCGCTTAGTAATTGCCAGTTTGTTATTTCGGTATCGAGGCTCGAGCGTTTTCTTTTTCGTTCACTCGTTTGCGTCAATTTTTCGTTTCTTTCTTTTTTGCGTTTGTGGGGGACTGCGGAGTTGCGGTGAGTCTCAACAATTCCAAGCAGGGAGGGTGATTTATAATGGGAAGGGAGTGAAAGATTATCGGTCTACAAAGACATGACGGGAGATATATAAAAACCAATTTTTCTTTGCAGGGTCATCAATTCTCGCATGCAAGCCTCGGCAGGTAATTACAGTTTGGTCACCTTCGCGCGCGGTGGGAAGGGAGATAGCCTGGCTTTCAGACCATCTCAGAAAGTGAGTGATTAGTGTCTTTTCCGTTACTAATACGCAAAAACTGTATAACAGGTCCTATTGTCATTGTATATGACTAAGAGCCGAGGAGAAAGGCCTGCGACTGCAGCCCGGGACTTAGTTATTATGGAAAGGCCCAACTCCGTCGGAACGGACTCCAAGGCTTCGGACCAACAGTTTGTAAATTGACACGAGACTGCCGGGCGTTTGTCATAGCTTATCACGGCCGAGTGTCACCCTGCATAGAATGCTGACCTGTTGGGCAGCTCCCCTTATCCGGCCGATGTCTAAATGCGAAAAAGAGGAAGCACGTACAGGTCGCCTCTAATCGTTCCGGCTGACAGCACGGTGGCTTATCGGCACTCATTTACTTGCCCACCACCCTTTGTGAGTACGATGGACGGGAAAGATCGCACTGCCGGGGTTGGGTTGCCAGGTGCGCTCCCGGAGCCGGACGCGATCCATATTTAGGGTTTGTGGCTACAAAAATAAAGCAGACGAACGTGATCGGCACGTGCGAGTGGGGCTGAATAAGTTGGTCGGGCATTCGGCAAGGTTGGCGGGGCATTCGGCTAAGCTTCAAGAGGTTGCATTTCCGCTGCATAGTGACATAGTATTGACGAGAGAATTACCATCCTACGGTAGACGCCGGACGCTTTATTGGAGAGGGAGTCTCTTCTGGGATAGAAACTGAAGTATTTACATTTTAAGGAAATATACGGTTCCTAACTATTGGCGGTGGGTTCTAACGTGCAGCCGAAGTTTCAAAGAGCGATTTGGCAGACTGTGGGCTCTTGAGCGCTTGGATATTCGGATAGCCGTTTGGCTACTGAAGTATAGGGTTCAACCTGTAAGTCCTGCCGAGTACGACCCTAAGGGCGTTTCTCGTGTTAGGCCCTAATTAGAAACACCTTTATTGTTACGCAGAAGTTGGTAATCTTTCAATTAGTCGAAGTCGTGTATGGCCAACACTGCGATGCCAGCACCTAGTAAGAGCATGATATAACCCAACGTTACCAGCGGCCCAAGGACCCAACCCAATGTGGGGATTGCCGCTTGTCAAGCACACACATTAATATGAAACGCCAAAATTTCCAATGCTCCCAGGAGCGCAATTAACCTAGCCCAGGTTTCTAGGACTCTACTTTCTCCCTGTTCATAACGGTCTATTTGTCGAAAAAGATGAGCATACATACACTAAAAGTACAATGGAATCAGTAATGCTAGCGATAAACCTCAAGTTAGGCGACTGTTCTCAGCTTCAAAATCTTCGGATGAACCACAACAGGCCTTTTAAATATCTCCTCATACCGTTGCTCATAGTTGTACTCGTAGTTGCCCATGAACCAGTTCCAATAGATGCTGGTGTAGAACAAGGTGTTCTGGTAGAGGAGCTGGGGTAAGTAGAGGTAGGACCTACCGATGAACTTAAGAGCTTCCCAAATAGTAGCTATTTCCTGGTTCAAGGCACTTTTAAGGTTGCTCTTGGACTTGGCAGTAATGTGCGACTGCTTCAAGTACGGGTTGTTTTTCTTGGATGTTTTCTTGCGGTTCGGCTGCGACTTTCTCTTTGGAGGGGAAATATGGGCCCCAGACGGCACGGAATCAATACGGGATTCACCAGACACGGCAGGGTCAGATCTAATACCGGCCGAAATCCCGGACTCGACAGACTCAACCTCCGTCTCACGGTCGGATTCATCTTCAGATTTAATGATTTCAATCTCTACCCTCTCAGATTCAGTCTCGGAAACTACAGACGCAGCTTCGCTGAATGCCGTTGCCACATCTTCATCATCCGACTCATCCGACTCTGCATCAGAGTCTACCCCACTCACAGCTTGGAAGGGAAATTCAATCCGGTTCCCCTTTTCGCCACCTTCACCAAACGACTCCAAGTACAACACCTTGAAGTTATTGATGGCCGCTACAGACTTCGACAACCGGTCAAATGTGTTGATCAAGGCAACCACCTCCTGCTTTTTCAAACCAAGCATGGCGGTACCCTCGGCCTCCATCTCAAATAACACTTTCAAGGCGGTACCGTAGCCAGTGGTCTGGATCTTGCCCCAAAGCCTGCACCTGTCACAGCCCACACAGTCCATGATGGAAGAGACGTTGCGGAAGCGGTCTCTGAACTCATCCTTCAATGAAGGATCACGGAAGAGCGACGAGTCGTCAAAGAGCTGTTGTTGGTTGAGGGTACCCGAAAGCTGGGTTTTCATGACGTCCAAGATTTCCTCGATGTATGCCGGGTTGTGTGGGTGGTCGTTTGTCTGAGGCAACGAAAACTCTGGGTGGTTGAGCAACTTTGCCACGGCCTGTGAAACAATCGCATAGTTGAAGTAGACGTTGGCCAAGCGGTCGTTGAAATTACCCACACGGTTCATGAACAAGCGCAAGTTCGGGGCGAACGCGCCGGTCTTGGTGTTCAAGTATTCGTGCGACAAATGAACAGCGATCGACGCGTGCATTCCGGAGACCAAGCGGTAGAACAACCTCTTCTCCACACATGTGGCGCCGTCCTGGTTTTCGGACATGTGGGTTGTGTCGGGGAAGCAGTTCTCGCGGTATATGTAGTTCCAGATCTGTGCCGACTGGGCACCACCGTAGCCCGTGAAGCGCTCGGGGTTATCCACAAGCGACACGACCTGGCATTCAAGATCCATGTCGTCCTCCAAATAGCAGTAGTTTTTATCCAGCACGTCGTCCTCGCTATCACTATTGGCGCTGTCGGCCTTGTAGAACGACCCCAACTGCGCCGGCTGGTACGTATCATTGAGCGAATCCCAGTCCTCAATGAAATCCACCGCACAGTTCCGGTTCACACAGAAGCCTTCATCCTTCCAGTAGGGGCAGCTCTTGTAGAGGTTAAGCTTATAGTACTTGAAGTAGCTGCGGCGCACCAACTGCGATAAAGCCGGACGCAACTGCGCATTAGCCGTGTCAATGTACGCGATGGTCGTGTTGCATGTGTCGGTGATGGAGAGAGAGCAGAAGTCCTGGGAGTCGAACGGCGTGATGACTTGGTTGGTGGGCGATACGGGCACTGTGGTTACCACATCGAAAGCGGCAACAAGCGGCACCAACGCAGAGAGGAATAGCAACTTCATAAAAGGGTTGTATATGTGGTTTAGTAGCAGACAGTGGCTTATGTGTCTGGCGGGAAAAGAAGGTCTGAAAAGGGTTGAAATTTTGTCTGACGCGTTTTGCAGAAAAAAAAAAAAAACGAAAAACTCGGAAATAAGAGATTGAGAGGAGAGGTTGGGATAAAGGGGATTGATCCGAGAAAGAAGCTATCCAAATTGGCTGTTATACTTGCAACTCGTATCCCTTGGTAGCTTAATATATGAATAGTTCTAGACGAAGGAGTTTTACGGATGAGGCTGGGTGGCGCGGAACCAGTTGCCATGGAACTTCGGAGAAGCACAAGCTGCCCGATAATGTCACGTGATACTGAAGGGCTGTGCGGTGCTTGAACCGTAATCGCCGAAGGCCGAACACTATTGTTGTTTCGTCCCCTGAAGACCAACCATTATACACTTAATTTTGGACAAGTTACCTTTACACGGTTAGCTTGTGTAGTTGAATGGAGAATCTTCCTTTGTTAGACGCGTAATCTTGGAAGCCTGGGAGCTCGAAAACTTGCCGTACAGACCTGATAATTTGTCAGCGTGGCCGTGCGGCCCGCAGGACGCTCTTTGGTTTCTTTTTACTGCAAGGTAGAAATGGCAACACGTCACCTTAAGGATTTGTGTTAGAGAGCAGCGGGGGGAAACGAGACACGTACGGGGGGAAAAAAGAAACCCCTCGGCGAGAGGGTAATCTGGTATATTACATCGATTACGTGGGAGGCCCCAGGGAGTAAGCAGTGGTCACCACTAGTACTCCTTGGTGATGCCATAAATCTACTAAGCCCCATGATCTTGTCCCTGGCATGTTTCAAAACCCGGATGGGTCTGACATTATGAAATCCCCCGCGTGTTCTGCCACGGAGAGGTAGACCATGATTGTAAATACAATAGCTTAGTTCGTATGCGAGATATTGTGCCAGCCTCGATGTGCATACGCCGTTGAACCGCCTCGCGATAATGCAGCGAGTTAATCACAGTCCCCGGAGAGAACAATTGATTTACACACACGCTTCAAACGAACCAAGTGGTGATGAACCCTATAAGAAGAAGAAAAAAGCTAATTGAGGAGAGATCTAAAAGAAGCTGTAAAGTATAACTCAAATCGTGTCGCGACAAGACAAAAAAGCTAGTGCTGTATAAGCACTTCCGATTTGCAGATACATCCGATACCCCCAACTCCTCTCCACAGACTGATGTACTAAGTTTCCAACAATGGCCCTAGAAAAAACAGATATCGGAATGATTTCGCCCAGGATCGAACTGGGGACGTACTGCGTGTTAAGCAGGTGCCATAACCAACTAGACCACGAAACCTTTCAAACAAAAGCCTAGAAGGTATTTATTTTACAAACTAAGTTAAAAAGATCTTGCAAGATTCAAGGATATGATACTACACTGCATATTTTAGATAATAGATTAAACATGATGACACATTCAGCAGTGACGCTCCTAAAACTGAAACACGTCCAGAACGAAATGCTTCACAACAACCTTGCCCTCATGGAAATTGGGATCCTTATGACGCACAATTGCAGCAGCGTGGCTTGTAACTGTGGCTCGAATGTTGACGGGGAACTTTTGCCAGTTCAACATGTTCAACTGGTCGATGATAAATGACTGATAGGAGGAAACCGGAAGGTTGTATTTTTCTTCGGGGGTTTCCAACAGTGCCGTCTCCTCAATAAGCAGCTGTGTGACAGTATCTTCGTAGAGAGAAACATATTGCTCCGTGTCATCCTCTTGTGAAACCTTTGAGGTCATCATGGCACCCCAAACCGAATCCATCACCTCGTCAGCTCTATCCTCCATGTGTCTCACGGTATTCTCGACAAGTCGTTTGTCCCTTAACGAATCTCCTTCCCCCGTTGAACCGTAGCTCCTTGGTCTCCTATCCAACAAGACACTGCTATCCTCTGGTAATAACTCGTAATATCTCAAAAAGCCCTCGGATGTATCCAGGAGAAAACATTTCAGCCTGCTATGCGACTTTGTTCTTTGGAGAATTGAACTTGCAATGAACCAGACGACCCATATCGGGGCAAACACAGTGATGTTGGCGAAGGCAATGCACCAGAGCCATTTGCGGAGCAAGAAGTTCTGTACCTGAGCAATGGATCCCAAAGATTCTTCATCCATCAAAGAACCATCTGCCCCGGCTGGGTCAATCATTTTGGTGGAGTACCCCTTTTTGATATCCACCACCACGTTTTCATATCCCTTCACGTATGACACCAGCAATTTAGACCCAACTGTCATGCTTTGAAACGGATCCGAGCGGGAAATCCCACTGGTGAACCAACTGGCCCTCTTGTCGTTGACGACATTTGCGTATAGGGCCCTGTTTTTGAACATTTTCAACGCCCTATAAAAGATGGAATGTGGCTTAATCATTCCCACTAGTAATGGAATGTCGCCCCCTTCGAGGCTATCGTTTACATGCACAGACAGATCCTTCTGATGGACCACATTGAAATTCTCTGCCAAACTATCCTTCAAGAACATTTGTTTTCCAGAATTGGCAAGAAGAAAGGGGACCAAGTTGTTGAAAACCTTCACCGCAATGGTACTGCTGGGGGTCAAAACCCCGACGTGCGGAGAGCAGAAGGTGATAAAATTCATGGGCTTGATACCCCGGGTCCCCGTAGGGTCGAATACCTTGTGGTAATACAAGATACCAATGGCATACCGAGCGATCAAGCCGCCAAGGGAGTACCCTACGATGGAAATTTTGGCCACCCTTCTCGCACCCGACTCTGCATCACGGATAGCCTGTTGGATTTCGTCCGCTACACGCTGACCGCATACGTCAATTCCGTCGTAGGTTTTGTAGTATTCGTGAGATCCGGTGATATGTATGACGAGTTGTTCATTGCGTGCTGATCCTGTTGCATCTAATTGGTCCTTGATGTAGTTGAAATGTGTGGTATTACCCCAAAGGCTGAGGGGTTGGTTAGTACTTGTAATAAAGGAAGAGCAGAGAAGTTTCCGCCTTTCGGGGGGCGTATCAGCTGCATACATACCCGTGTATGAGGATTACTAAGTGGAGATTTTGCATTGTGACTAGGTGTGTCAGGTATATATATAATGAGTGGAATCAGCCGAGCCAGAGCTTATTGTCGAGCAAATAAAGGTAAATGGAAGGAAAAGGTGCGGTGAATCAGGTATGAAGACGAATTGTTAGACGTATATCTATTTATCCTCACCGTTGATCGCCACAACAAACAACAGTTATCGCGATAATTACCTTAGTCCTTGGCACGTGCAGGGAGATAAGGTGCCTCGGCGAAAAGCTGTCCGAGACCGCGCAGAACACGCGCAAGAGCTGTGTTCTCTAGGGGCCAGCGCTAATACAGGACGGTAACTCCGAGCTTTGTCTGCGAGTGGCGTCGTTTTGATAATGGCACTAATGGGTGGTGTAGAGTGGAAGTTTGTTCAAGGTCGAATAGTCAACGAGGAAAAGGATATACTTGCGAGATTGAACTGGATATATGGTGCTTAAAAGTAATGCAAATCAGTCTAGTCTCTAAATTCAACCTTGCGGTATTTCTAAGATTAATGGTAGACTTGATATCTATGAAAATAAAATACTATTCACACTATATACATTAACAAGGCTGAAAGACGTCACTCTTTGAATACCGCAGGTATCGGTACCAGCTTGTTTTCTCTAATGACTGACAACTAGAGCTGTGACACGATACGCACAAACAGCTAAGCCTTTGGCAGAGATCCTGGAGATGAAATTCAGGCACCGAAATATAAAAAAGAGGGTGGAATATGGTTCGCACCGCGATTCAGAGACCCCATCAGTTATGTTGAAACTCATGGTTCCTCAGTGGCTTCTCTCTCCGAGTCGTTCTTTTCTTTCTCCGCTGCAGTTCTCGCTGCAGCATCTTGTGCCTTTTCCATTTCACTCTCCTTTGGCAATCTTTCGTTAGAAGTGAAAATCACCGCGATGCCACAGCAGATGAAGAATCCAATGGACATGTAGAAGACGTTACGAATACTGGCCATAACTACCTTCTTGGCAACCTTCTCGGCGGCTGGAGGCAAGGTGTTGACCAAATCTGGTTGCTTGA